TCTGTGTCTGTGTCTGTGTCTGTGTCTGTGTCTGCCACCGCCAGGGATGGGCTGCCCGAAGTTATCACCATCATGATCACATCATCATCGCCACTGGTCCTTCGTCGACTCCACAATCGTGAATAAGTGCGGATTCAAGGCATGAAGGATTCATGATCGACCGTGTTGATCTCGTGGCCAACCACGCCAACCACGCCAACCCAACCCACCGGGGAGGGTCGGGCGTAAAGCGGCGGCGGTGCAAGTGCGGTGAAGGGGAAGGTTATTTCTTGTCAAATGGTTTGCATGCTCCAGTCCACTTCATACAGTACACGTCGTTGAGGACCTGAGACATGTGGACATCCAAGAGGCGATGGCCCCAAGGGCCTAGACACTGCTGGGCGCGGGCGTGGACGGCGCAACAATCAAGATCAAGATCCACACGTAGCGAGAACTGAGGGAGGTGAAGTGATGGTAGGATTCTTGACATCTACCGTGGTTCTTGTTGTTTTCGTGCTTCTCATGGGGTGCTCCTTTGCCGTTATGCTTTGAGATTGTATGACAGGCCATTACATTTCTTGTTACCTTTGAAATCTTCCCCCGTTAGTCAAGTCTCATCTGGACGAGATCAGCGATCAGCGCACCTGGGATCTTCACTATCGTTTACTGGAAGCTGAAGCAAGGTCAGAAGCCAGTCGATATGCCACTGCCGTCTGCAAGGGTCGTAAAAACCTGCAGACGAGACTGCGTTTCACTCACAGCAGTCGAGTTGCTTGAGCATAATAAGTTTGATGTTAGATTTCTACCTACCTAACTAGGCCAGGGTCATATCAATCTCAAATGTCCTAGCTCCATTGCACTGAACACTTCACATCCTGTCAGGGAGGAGCGAGTTTTCTTTGCTCAATCCATTAAGCAACAATTCTTTTCTGTACCTACTCAAGACACATATCTTGATCCTCAAAGGTAAGCAATGCAGTTGCGCAGCAGCAGTCGGTCATCTACCCCCATTCATCATGTTATAGCCTTCCGTGTCTTGCTCGGAAGATTGATACCTTGTCATCATAGAACAATATCTCTCTCAATCGCCACGATTGCTTGGCTGCAGTTGATCTCTCCCCTCCGTCGCCTTCTTCATCGCTTCCGCCACCGGCCGAATCCGACAGGCCATCAAAATCACTCGAATCATCGGAATCCCCATCCTCATCATCATCGTACTCGCCATTGTGTACATGAACACTAGGGCCATGAGGGTGTCCGTCCGAGTTGGCGTCCATATCATCACCAGACAGAGTTCCGCCATTGGGACCAAACAAAGAGCCGGGCCGCGAGGGTTTCCGATTGGTGGTGTATTCGAGAATCTCAAAACATTGATTCTGGACACCGAGATAACACAATTCTAGTTCTGGTCGCAGGGCGACAATGTCGAGAACTTGTAGCGCCGCTTCTCGCGAATGAACATTTCCATTGACATGTTCGGCGATGCGGGTAATGTGGAGGGAACGAAGAGTGGTGGCGTGAGGCAATCGGCGCAAGAAGTAATGCCAATCTTTGTAGTCAATGGCCATGCTGAGTTCCCTCAGTTTCATCTTGCCGCTAGTGATACAGGTGAGCAAGTCTCGGCTGATAACCCAACGTCTCCAGCTTGCGTCCGGTGGCGGGTCTTGTTCATCGGTTCTAATGCTGCTGTCGATGAGCAACTTGGTCAGACTGGCGCGATGGCGGCGAATGGCGCCGCGATAGATGACATCAACCGTGACAGATGATTTGTAGGTGGGGTTATCTTGTAGAAACAACCATTCAAGGCTGTCAGGAGCCAATGCATCTTTGATGAAGGCGATCAAAGACGGAGAGACGGTGTCGGTATGGAGTCTCTTCAACTTGAGGAAATAGTCATCGGCATTTTGGGAGACAGAGGCGAGCTGGCTGGATTGTGACCTGGAAGATGTGCGGTATGGAGCCGAGGATACTCTCCGCCGACTAGTCGGAGTATATCGTTTTCGAAGTGCCTTCCACAGGTGCTCATGGTTGCGACAACCAAGAAGAGTCAATGTGTTCAGTCTCGACCAATCGATTACGTGTGCCATGACAGCTAACGACAGAGTAACACGTTCGATTTCAAGTGTATCCAACATGAGTTTGCGAGTGGGTTTTCGATCTTTGTTGACATGGGCCAAAGGTTGTATGCTGTTCATATGAGGCTCCGGCTGTACGGAGGAAGTCTGAGTGGAAGGCAAATTCTTCGTCACGGCGACTTGGGTGGCTGCTGGATCATCATCGTTGTCATAGAGATGATGCTCAGAGAATAAAATGTCGAGCTGATTGATATCATAAGCGCTTGGGGCAATGTTTGAATCTGCAACCTTGTCGCTAGAATTGTTCATTGGTGGTTGGGTTTCTTGTTCCGCAGCTGTTTGGGCAGTACTAGATACGGATGTGTCGACTCGGGCATGATGAGAAAATGTTGGACAAATGCGATGAACCAAGATGCCCATAATGCCGCCAGGCCGCGGAGCTTGGTCAGGGGCGGCGGACATGAGGGATGGCAATGCCGCAGCACGGTCTTCGGAGGGCCTGGCCCAGAGATCGAACTGGGCATGGCTGGCCATACCGACGCGTAATTCTTGCAGTTTGCCCAAAGATCTGTCGATCAAGACGCTCATTTCTTCGGCATAAGGAAGTTCATCGATATCCAGGACACTGAGACTTTTCAAGGGAGGCAGGATGGAAAAGGTGGGGAATTCAACCCTTGGGTAAGGCGGTATCTGAAAAAGGGCATTGGCGTGGCCGGCGAGTATGGAAGGAAGGTGAGAAGGATCAGTGGCAGGGAGGCTGGAGGGAGGAGGGGAGGCCAATGGGCCCTGGTCTTGATTGTCATGCCACCGAACCCAAACACGCTCAAGGCGACAAGGTTGGCCATCTTGACGATTGCCCAGAGACGCCAGAGCAAGCCAGACATCCCTCAAGACACCGGTGGGCATATCCCAGACAAAAGACTCCAGATTACGCATGCGGCCAACGGCCAGAGCGACGAGCGTACCGAGCATCTTTCCGGCTTCTTTGGTGATGAGGTACTCCTGAACCCAGTCGGCAGGGCCATTTCCCAGGCCAAATTTTCTCGTGTACTGAGCAAAGTAGTTGCCGCGACGGATGTGTGGGGTATTTGTGGTCGGTGTTGGGTGGGAGGATGGTGGATTTTGATGTCCACAGCTTTGGCAGGTATGTTGAGGAACTTGCTGGTGTGGAGACTCGCCAAAAACATCTTGGGCCATGACGAGAGTGGCCAGTCCATACGTAAGAGCATCGACGCCCATACGATTTGCAAACGTGGCATTTGCATCAGGCCAGACGATATCGAAGCGAGAGTAGATGAGGGGTATGACGAGAGCATGAAGGGCGGAATGGGTCAAGGCCAGCGAGGTCAGGTCGTTGGTGTGGTTGAGCTCGCGCAGGATGGTTTGAAGGATGTCGAGGGGGAGGTCGAGCAGACGGAGGGGGGTTTTGTGAGATGCAATAGCATCCCACTCGCGTTGTTTCCCATTCAGATGTTTTGAGAGGAGCGACGGGGCGGCTGGGGCACCGGGGGCTCTAGGTTTTGTTTTCTGAGGAAGGTCATCGTTATCTGGGGAGATCTCCATGGTGTATTAGGTTTTTGAGACTGGTCAGTTCGACGTCGATGGCCCAGAGCATGAGCCCCGAGCCAAGTTGCAATAATGTTAGCTAACCATGAAGATGAGCAGTCGAGGCTGACAGAAGGAAGCGAGGCCTGAGCGAGATGAGGGGAGAGGATAGGCTGATTGACAGAACGAGGGAGGTTGGACGAAGAGAGGAGTTAGAAGGGTGTAAGACGATATAAAGAGTGTTGTAGGTAGCTGAAGGCTTTTACAGCGGTACGGCGTCTATATTGAGGGAATGAGGTCGAGGTGGATGTGTTTGACCCCGGTAATAAGTGGTGGATGGTGGTGGTTGGAGGAAGGGAGGGAGGATGCAGAAGGAGGACTCGCCTAGTTGGCCAATCGCCATGGGGACAGAGGCACAGAGGGCGGCAGAAGATGGCGGACATGGAGATGTAGTCCGTACCTAAAGTTAGTGGGTTTGCTGGGGGGCACCGGGGGGGCCGAGGGGCCTGAGGACCCTGAAGGGAGGGTCCTTTCACTGATACTCACCCACTAAGTTAGGGTTATGACTGGTTGTTGGCTGCTTGTTGGCCGGGTGGCACATGGCTCTTTACGTAGCGTATGACGGAATGGGTAAACGCAGCCTAGCCACCAACTAAACTCCACATACGCATGGTCATTGTAACAAGGCTTGTGTGTTTCCTTGCAAGTCGGCACAAGCGACAATTCAACACGATTGATGATGGACAAACTAGAAATGGCATAGTGATGATGGTCATGTTGGACGTGCCTTCCTCTATTTGATGATTTGCCTCTAAAATGGCAGGTCCAATTGCCATTTTCAATTCCATGTGCTTGACGCGTGCTTGCCTGCTCTGCGGACTTATCTGCACTACGGAGTAAGTACTACGCGGCTGATCGACAACCAATGCGAAGATCAAGGGTCGAAGGCCCCTCGGCCGCCTTCTCGCCACTATTCCCCTGTCTATCTTCATGCATCTTTACACATGGCATGGCATAAAGCAAGGTACTACTGATGACTTGCACCTTGGTAGCATGATGGAAATTAATCCACCGAGAAATGTACAGCGTGTCGAGTGTCGAATGTCGAATGTATCGCGCCTGCTCTCTTTTACATGCAATTTGAATTATTCCACCGCTTTCGCTTTGGCGTGGAGAGTCACCGCTTCCAATTTGTACACTGTTATGTCACCAGACAAGAGCAAGGCAAGCGCACCTCGAATTTGAATCATGCGTGATGTTCAACACAAATGTGTTTGTGCGTCTGGCTGAAATCCACTCCACACATTTGATTTTTAGATCTGCTATATTAAAGAGTGCCCAGCATTGCTCACAGGCTGCGTCTGCCTGTAACCTCTACCGGAAGACTCAAGGTTGGTGACTGCCACAATCATCACCCCTTCTGCCCTTGTACAACTGCAGTACATGCCCATTGTGCCTGAGACTGACAGGGTGAGGTAGTAGGTACTACCTACCTAAACCTACCTTAATCTTACAGTGTTGGTTACTATCATTCTTTCAGGTAGCCAAGCAAGGTGACCTGTGAGTTGTCAGCCCTCTCCAAAGCTCACTGCCCACTGCCCAATGCCCACTGCCCCTCCAGTCCCCCTTTAACAATTTATACCCTGTACAATATTTGCCAGCAAAAAGCCCTTCTACCCCTCCACTAAACTTCTCCACCCCCTACTCCGTACTTTTAAGCACTTTCAAGTTAGCGTCCCTCCACTCTTCCACCTCACGCCAGCACTTCAACACTCCACCTCCGCCCTCTAATCTTTCATCACCAGTTGCTCACTTAGTCACCAAAACAAAATTTCCTTCCTCATGGTCTGACTTCTCCCTTCAACCTCAGCAAGCTCCAGGCTGCAAAGCTACAAGCTGTGGTCATTACGACCTGACGGCTTTCTACACCTCGTCAAGCCTCTCATCTCTTCACTTCAGCTTCTGCGCCCTTGCCGCCCTCTAACCATTAAACCTCCTCACACCTCCCTCCTCATCCTCCACGGGATCGAGAACAAACACTTCCTCAGATCAACTCGACGCCACTCCAACCCAAAACCATCACTCCCACTCACATCATGGATCGTTTCCCTGACGAACTCCTCGTCAAGACTCTTGGTCATCTAGACTTCAAAGATGTTGCAACTATGCGTCGGGTGAACAAGCGATTTGCCGAGGTCGGTGCAGAAGTTCTGGTCCGCCGGGTCCGATTTCACTTCACCAAAGAGTCCCTGACTCGCTTGAAAGACATCGCTAATCACCCTGTCTTGAGCAAAAATGTCGAGTCAGTGGTCTATGAAGGAAACATCTTGGCCAATGTCGCCTGCATTCACGCCTATGCAGCCCATTATGACCTCGACCATCATCACCTTGACCATCCAGCGCCCCCGTCCGACGATGCCTCTGACCGAGAATCACGCCTCTACGCTCGCAACATGTCCAAGTTTGCCAATGAGATCTCAGCCCGATTCGACAACTATCGCAACTTGTTTCAGGCTCAACAAGAGCTCATTGAGGCTCCTGACCTGCCAACCTCGCTACCCCACTTCCCCAAATTGAAAAAGGTCGTTCTCTTCACTGTCGGGAGATGCAAACATGTTCTCTCCGACAGATTCCTCAAGGCCTTTGCTACTGGCTGTGCCATGCCTGTCGAGCATGACACTTATTACTCCAAAGGACAGCTGAAATTCCTCCTCTTCCGCCACGGTCGCCCTGTCACCACCCTCGAGCATCTTGAGGCACATGTCGTCAGTCCCAAGTTCTTCACTGGATTCTTGCCCCGCGAAAGCCTCTGCCAAGTCTTTGCCAATCTTCGCGTCATCGAATTGCGGCTTCGCCTCGAAAAGGACCATCATCGTGATTTGGACTTGACCACGGTCGAGCGCTGCTACTCAGGGTTGAGCAAAGGCATCCTACGCGACTGTTTGGCTTCGGCCACAAAGTTGGAGAAGCTTACCGTCAACTTTGAGGACTATGGCTTCTACGGACCATGCACCAACCTGAAAAACGTCCTGGGAGATCATTCTTGGCCCAACCTCACCGCTCTCGACATCGATTGCATGTCAGCCACCCAGGACCAGCTCATCACCATTTTGACCCGACAGCCCGCCCTTCGCGACCTGCGCCTGGGCTTCTTCGTCCTGACCGCTGGGAAATGGACCGACACCACCAGACAAATGCAAACCAAGCTGAAGCTCGACATGTTCTGTCCAACCGGCCTTCTGGAAGATCCCGATTGCATGTATCCAATGTCGCTGATCCAGAAAAGCACCTACTTGCTCAACTTTGCGCGACTGACCATGGCCGATGCCCTTTCCTTCTTTGTCACGGAATTGAACTCGAATGACGACTACCATCCCTTGGAGGATGAATCATTTGCCGATCCTGAACTGCTTCGCGACGAGTTTGGACCCTTCAGCGACAGCGAGTCGGAGGATGATGATCCAATGGATTGTGACTGAGACGATTGATGATTGTCAAAAGGCCCTATAGAGGCTGCTTGACGTGTTATGAGCTATGAACCTCACCTAGTGTACAGTATTTTCCCTATTTGCATGAGTATGATACACGGACTGCCGGACCATCCGATCGGAGATACCCCTTTTGAGGACGGACCGTCCTCCTACTGCTTTGTTGTCATTCTTTCTTTTGCCGCAATTCGGGCATGTGAAGGGTTGTGGTGCTATGGCAGGAGTTACTGGGAGCAGGTAAAGCCGATTTTTCATGTGGGATTAGAGAAGGCATATGTCAAACCCACGGGGACCATGGTGACATGTATCAACATGAATGGTTGCCCACTAGGTAGATACTTGGTATCCTCTACGAGATAAAGATGCTAGATTAATCAAAGACTCATTCTGGCTAGCTTGACAAGGGATGCTGCCATTACTTCTTTGGTAATTCATTAGTTTGAGTGAGATGTGGTAATTATATTGTCTTTAAAATTGTACTTCTGCCGAGGCATGTGGCGTCTCAAGTCTCGGCAGATCATCGGGCGTGAGACGGCGGCAGCGGCGTCTCGTAGCTTCAAAAAACAAAAATCCGCGAGATGATCTCATTTGCGTCTCGAATCCACCAATATCAAGGAGCTCAAGCGTCGAGACAACCGAGCCATTGCCACTGGTCTCCAGAATACCAGAGACAGTCCATCCTCAACTGTGGTGCGGCCACTGCCACTGCAAAGTCTGCACTTCCATCCCCAGGACATCACCTCTAACGCCATGCGACCGACAAGACTACTAAAGGCCGCTCCCACCACACAACCTTTTCGACCAGGCCAGCGAGCGCCAGCACTAGCCCTCTTGCCGCCATTGCCGCTCTACCGGCGCCTGTTACGCATTCACCGCAAGCTGTTGGGTCCAGAGGAACGCATCTTTGGCGACAATTATATCAAGGCCGAGTTTCGACGCCACCGAGACATTGAGAACCCTCTTCACATTGTCGGTTTTCTGACCGAGTGGCAACTATACGGACAACAGCTGGAAGGAGACACATGGAAAGATGGTCGAATTGACCCTGAACTCTTGGACAAGATGAGTGATCAGCAGATTGGACAAATGTACGAATTGATGCAGGCAATTCAGAAGAGAGGGAGGGATAGTGTGGACGAAGAGGAGGAAGGTGCAATTCTAAAGGCGATTGATGATGCTTCAACAGATGGAAAGAAGAACGACTCGTGAGTCAGAGAGAAGACGCGTCACACAGTGACGCTCCTGGCTTGCAATGACTGTTGAAGTGGTAACAGCTACGACCCGCTCTATGGAGATGGTGAAGGAACGGTGACTCTTTGTTTCCCTTGTTCCCTCTCTGAGACCAACGCAACGGCGTGCAAATATCCAGGCCCTTTCCTATCCACCTTGTTTGGCTGTCAGATTCATCCACATCTACACAACCCTACATCTGTCTGACTGAAAGCGACCTGTATCAGTCATTGCTCGTTAGCTCGTCATTACTGGGCATCACAATCGCAATCTCAATCGTGGCAATCGCGTCGACAGTTCCGTATATCATCGCGTATATCATCGCTACCTCGCCCTGCCACTTCAACAAGCACAGCCTCAGCCTCAAGCTTAATACAGCTCATTGACACCGATCCACAATACCAAACCCACGCCTATCCGCTTTCCTTCCGACAGTACCATCCAACCCACTCGACAATCATGTGCCGTGTCGAGCGCTTCCGCTCGCCCACCTGTCTGCACAAATGGATGACCATCATCGCCCCGTGCAGCCCCAGCTCAAACTTTAGCAACGTCCAGCTAAACATCCACATATTCCAGCCTGTGCGCAACCGGATTTGGGACCCAGAATATGTTATGGCTCCACCTCACACCTGTCCAGACTGTAATATGCGTGGCAATTACGATTGGACTATGACACGGATAATACTTGGACCAGGACAAGAGGGAGGCTTGGGCAATGGCTATACCATGACAGATGGATATGGCAATATTCTGCCTTGGGGACAGTACAATGGCGTTCCATACACACCACTTAACGTGGCAGGATGGGGTGTTATTCCAACCACATATCAACCAGTCAACAATACATACTATTACTACTCCGTCTGATGGTATGATGGGCTTGAATGAAGCTCTGTTGTCTGCAGCAAATGGGTGAGTTCTGGTCAGGGATATGGATTTGGTGTGATCGTGACCAGCTGATCAAGGTTGATGGAATGACTAAGTCATAGACATTGATAACCAAGTCAATAAAAGATCTTATGACTGTGCCTTTCTTCCTTTCTTCATTATCCCCATTGTCATGTATGATCGGACTCACGTGCTTGGTTTCGTCTTGTCGTCTGAGTCCTTTGCGCCTTCCTTATGAACTTGTGAATTTCTGCGCCTTCCTCATGAACAAAAGGCCACGTAATGTGTCATGTGACTCAGCTTCAATCCATTCTCTGCATCAACCTTTCAATTTTTACCAGACTTCATAAACCAGAATCAACCATCATCTCAGCTCAGAATGCTTCCAGAAAATCATCTCATATGTCAGTAAAAGTTTTCGGAAGCATTTCCGTCCATGATCATCTCCAATATTCCCGCCCAGCCAATCCCAAACCCTTGCGCCCAGAATCCCCATGGATCGGACATATCCAATACCACTTCAACCAACCTCGATCACGCAATGCCTCCACTTGATTGAATCAACACTCTCCCTCCCCTCTCCCGCCATGTCCCTCGTTTGGATTGGATCCTGACATTCGCTTGCCCTGGACCTTTCCATATCAGCCATGCTGCCGACCATGGGTAGGTTTGAACCCTTTGCGGACTTGTCCTTGTACCTCAATCATCGTTTGACTACTCTACCTCAGGTCCAACTCTCGTTGTCATCTTCAACTCGACGGATATCACAGCGACAAAGTCTCGGTCTCTCGTGATAAGACTTCTCTTGATGATCATAACGTGATTGTATTCAATTCTTGTGAAGATCACCTTCTCCTCTACCTGATATTTCCCCTGGTATATTTCCCTCCTAGTCATCACAGCAATCCTGACCATCATGGCTCCCACTGCTGTCGAACATCCCGTGCAACCTACTTCCAATCCCGGTACTTCGACTAAACAATCTACCTCCTCCGTTGATCTTTTCGTCTTCCCCGATGGCTTCAAAACTTCAGGTCAGCATCCTCCTCTCTACGACCAAATCTACCCGTACTCTGCCTTTCCCAAATCCATCTCTGGACCGACTGTCTGGGAGGCCGATGAATATGCTTCTCATCCGGAGCAATGGACCCATGTTTTCTCGCCAGAAGAGATCCAAGAACTGTCGACAGCCGCCGACAACTTCATCTCTGAGGGTCATCCATTGACGGGCATCAACCCCTCCAATTTTCCTCTCCCAACCATGTCTGCCACTCTGAAATCCATTCGCAACGAACTATTGAATGGCAAGGGGTTCATTCTCTACAAGGGTTTCCCCGTTGATGAATGGGGCATCCACAAGTCCGGGGTCGCTTACTTTGGTCTCGGGACATACATTGGCTATCCGGTTTCTCAGAACGGTAAAGGTCATATTCTGGGTCACGTCAAAGATCTTGGTGAAGACAGCAAACAGATTGACAAAGTTCGCATCTACCGGACCAACGCACGACAATTCTTTCACGCTGATGACGGTGATGTCGTCGGCCTACTGTGCCTAGCCCGCGCAGAGTCTGGAGGCGAATCCGACGTGGCATGCGTGCACAAGGTGTGGAACATTTTACAGGCCGAATACCCTGACGTGGCCGAGATTCTCACCAAACCGATCTGGTATTTCGACCGCAAGGGCGAAGTCAGCAAAGGCGAAGAACCCTACATTCGCACCAGCGTCATCTATCTCGAAACCCCAGACCCATCCGACCCCACGGTGCCGCAACGTGTCTACTGCAAATGGGACCCATACTACGTCCGCAGCACCACACGATTCTCCGACGCCGGCCTCATCCCACCTCTGTCCATTGAACAGGTCCACGCCCTCGAAACTCTGGAGAATGTCTGCTCCCGCGTCAAACTCCACATGATTCTTTCGGTCGGTGACATTCAATTCGTCTCTAATTCACACATCTTGCACGCCAGAACCGCCTACCGCGACTTCGCCCCACACACCGGCAAACCCAGAAGACACCTCATGAGATTGTGGCTGAGTACGCCTCAGGACGAGGGTGGTTGGAGATTGCCCTTCCATGATGCCTTTGAGAGGAAGAGAGGCGGTATCCAGGTCGACGATACTCCTCCGGTCGCAAGACTGGATGCTGATTAAAAAATCCAGAGAGATCAGAGAGGCCAAAGTTGGAGTTGCAATGCATTGACTTTGAAAAGTACATATGCATGTACCTACAACGACATAGGTATGGTATGCTAGCACTATGGGGAGAGGCCGAGACAGGCGGTAGATGCCTCATGTTCTCCCAAGTTTAGTGATATAGAATCTATGTGTTCGTTTTACCTCAACATTCCATTTCCTGTCTTTTCTTGTCCTGTCTTCTTATCATATTGGATATACTCATATACTCATGACAGCAAAGCCCATCCTCTGAATTCCTTCCCCCTCTCTTCCCTTCCCACTGGGTCTACATCACCGCCTTATAAACCCCACCATTCCCAACCTCCAACACACTATCCTTGACCATCCCCGCCAAAAACTCCTTCAACTCTTCATTACTAAACGGAAACCCACCTGGCACCACAATTCCCAACATCATTGCAATCCTTGGTAACGGCATCGCACCTTGATTCGTCAACATACTCACAATGAATTGATGATAAATAGCCATTTTCTGTTTCCGTTCGGCTTCTTCCGATTCTTTCGCCGCTTGAGCTGCCGCGATTGTAGCTGCTGCAGCCGCAGCGGCGGCGGTGGATGCGGAAGAGGGGTCATGGCCGGAGGTGGTAGTATCGTTAGATTGGAGTTTTGGGTGAGGATGATTGGGGTCATTGGGGTTGAGGAGTTGATCGAGTCGTTCCAGAACAGTAAATGTATCGCGTCCGGTTTCAGCGAGGATTTGTTTCGAGACCCAGAATATACATGCCGACCGGACGAGGGTGGCGGACATTTCGAGATCGGAGGATAATTGGGATATGGTTCTTGTGGTGGGAGGGGGGATGGAATCGACATTATCAGCGTCTTCGTCTTCGTTGTCGTCGTTTTCTTTGTTCTGATCGTCAAAATCGTCGAATGCGTAGATGACGGCGGCTTGCCATGGGAGAACTTGATCGCGATAGGTTCGATCATGTAATTCAAGTTCGACTTCGACTTGGCCAATGGCATTGATCCAGGTTAGTTTTCGTGATTGTTTAAGTGCTTCAAAGCCGAGTTCGTAGCTTTGTTGTTGTTCGGCGACGATTTGTGGGACTTTGAATGCGTGGTCAGCCATAGATGGCCAGAATAGTCGGGAGAGGATCTTCACGTGTAAGCCGATGTCGGTTGGTGAGGGGGAGGATGGCGGTTGGTTTGCTGTAGTAGTAGGGTCAAGTGTTGAGGTGGTGGATTGTTGTTGTGGTTTGGCTTGTTGCATTCCTCGTTCTTTTCTGACTATGCCGTCGACTTTTCGAGAGTCTAAAACGTCCCTCAACATGACTTCGCAGCCTTGTAAGGTGCTATCCCCGAATCGAATCTTGAGGTGTTCTAGGACACTGATTTCTTGGGTAAAGTCTGGTTTGTGTTTCAATAGTCTTTCAGCGAGCATTGCTTGCAATTCCTTGACGAAGACATCTTTGGTGTCGAATAACGTAATCAAGCTACCGATGACATCGGTATTTTTGGATTTCATGTAGTCTGGCGCCGCGTCAACGGGGTCGGGTACCCAGGACATGTTGTTCCAGTCGAATTCTGAGTCTTGGATGGAATCCTGGGACGCTGTTGCTGTACGTGTCAATTCGACGGCGAGCTCCGATAGGGTTTCGGAATTTTCAAGTATGTTGGGTTCGGGGTTTGGGTTGGTAGAAGGAGGGTCTGCTAATAGACCGGCGACGATGACTTTGACTGTGTCATCACGTTCTCGTAGATACCGGCGTATCTTCCGGGCGACTCGGTCGAGAAGAACACCCTTTGGGTCGAGGATGCGAAAGGAGCGGATAATTGAGATGTAAACCTGGAGGATTTCGATTGTTGAGGCACCAGGGTGAAGAAGGCGGGTTTGGAGGGCATTGGCAAAATTGTATGTGAGGTAACTTCGTGTTGTTGGGTTTGTTGTAAAGTGTCTCAGGTCGTCGATTGCTGGGGCAGTGGCATCCCAGTCGACAATGACATCGAAAAGTTCCTCGACGCGGAGAGCACCCAGACGAGCCACAGCAGAAGTCTGATATTTTCTTAACTCCGTGTCCTGGAATAGGTGTTCTCGTGTTTTCTGGTTAGTGTCCAGACTGAGAAGCACTGTATGGGCGATACGGGAAAAGAAGTGTTGGACCCAAAATTCAAGGTGATGGTAGAGACCATCTCGATAAACCCCAGAATAAGACCAGGTGATAAACTCGGTCATAAGTTCGTCAAGAACCTGGGCGAGAAGTTTTTTGAGAGTGTGAGGTCCGACTCCCTTGGCCCATGGGGATAGTTTGGACCATAATGATGATTTGGAATCCTTTGCTGATTGAGCTGCATGGTCCATTACTGAGGGTTGCCTGATTTGCTGCCATGGAGGGCAAGATGGAAAATGGCTGGAGAAGGGAGCCCCGTGGCCAGGAGCTGGGCCCGGTTGACCATAGACGCACTCTTCATCACCAATTCCAAGGAGTGCTCGGAGATGATCTTTCAGACTGGTCTCGATAACAGGTAATGACTGTGCGGCTGCCGGGGTAAAGCGTTGTCGTTCTCGAGGAGGTTTGATGTTGGACGAGGAAAAGACGGAAGCGAACACACTGCCAGGTGGGGTGGCATCAGCCAGAGGCTGTGATGAAAGCATCATGTTCTGGGATAGTGCATGCCCATTGAGGGGGTCTTTGGTGATGATGCGGATTGAATTTTATGTATGACACTAATGCCATGTGTTGTTATCTGAGCATTGGGTCAATATCCATCTTATGGATGTCCAATGTGATGTTTTGATATTGAAGAGTCTAGAATGTCGTCAACGTTGACGCGGTGTGCGCGCTTATTTCAAATGACGTATGTTTTAGACGCGTCATGGGTCTAGAACGGGAAGTTGCGGCGAAATGACAAGCACCGAAACGGTTAGAGCCAGAGTTATAGTGCGCTCTAAATGATCTGCCTAATACTTAAGGGTAGCAACATATATAGATCCAGTCCAGAGTGTCTTTTGTCCTGCCAAATGGTACAACAAAGCAGGATCTTCGAGGTACTAAGAACGTTCCGATGCTTCGGACTGTATTGGAAGGATAATAATATTCTCCGTCATTTCCGGATCTTGCATGCGTTGATCTGCGAAATCCAGAGCAAATACCATAAACTCGTTCAAGTCAAACATCTCTACCCATTCCTTTGCTTGTAGTACAGTGATGGCATGTTGAATCCAAGTAACACAATTTTCAGTGGATTCCCTTCGAGGAAGCGGAAGATCTTCTAGACGTAATCTTACTGATGAATCTTGAACGTTGGGGGGTAGTTCCCCAATCATCACCATCCCAAGGAGGTGAGCACTTTGCACTGGATCGACATTACAACTTGATCGAAAGTACCAGTCACGCTCGAGGTTGAGGTCAGTCCAAGTCTCCGGATCTAATCGGACTCCGTTGGAAACATCGCAAGCAAAGCAATCTCTTCCTATGGAGACTTTTGGCGATACCAGTATACCCCAGTGGTAAGCGGAAAAGCCCAGTTCCTGTCTGTGTTCTCCAAGGGAGAGGTGGTCGCGATAGTGAAGGGTGACAAACACTCGACGTTTCTCATGCATGGTGGATTTTGGTTCGCACATGGCGAGTTGTCAATGAACAACTTGGCTCGAGTTAGATTTTCTATTACTTAAATGGTCACCTTCGTATATATGTCTCTTGTGGGGGTAGTCGAAGGTATAGACCTGGTAAGGCTTATGCTCTGCAGAGGCAGATGCTGCAATCAAAGGAGGTTTATCTTGGGAGGTGTCAGGAAGAGGAAGGACGCCTTGCGATGATAGACGGATTTATATCATGAAGTGACCTGAGTCTGGGCTCCAGGTATGACATGACGGTGAGGTTAGCTTCAACATCTCGTTGGCTCTGCTGACTGAATTGATGATCGTGCAACACTCAGGTAGGGTCCACGTTTGGGCGTGTGTGATATGGGTAGAGAACGGACTCGTAGGCAGGATCAGGGTTGCACCTCCAACCAGTTTCCTCTTCTTGTTCAATCCACGTAAGAAGGGGGTTGCATATAGCATCGTGATATAAGAAGTGGAGTACTCTCCATCATCTTGATTTGACCTCTAGACTTGTTTTGCTTCCGACTTACTGAGTCTCGTCCTGACCTTTGCGACACGAACCTTTGTTTCCCTCAAAGGTATTTGACACAGAGAATAAGGCAATTTTCGTTCGCATGCCTCTGTGGCCATTTCTCGTTCTCAAAGACCTCGAAGGTTTCCACCTCCAGGAAACATCGTAGCCGTCAACTATCTCATGATCGTTTGAGATAATGCATCTCATGCAAATTTGACTGAGTGTCACGAGGATCTTGAAGAAAGGACATTTTAAAGGGTCTAGAGAGCTCATAGGTACTTAGATACCTGTGTCATCAGGAGGAGACTGAGGACGAGGCTGAGCCGATGTTGAGCCGAGCCTGATTGGGTGTTTGTCAGATCCTCATGCGCGAGTCCTCCTTGGTCAGATTTGCTCCATCATAACTGATGACAAAACTATTTGAAGGAATCTGTCAATGGAATGACTGCATGACTGGCTTAGAGAAGAAGAATCAGGCACTAAACATGAATCAATCTGATTATTGGTTGAAATTGAAGAGCACAGAGGGTTTAACAGTGAGCTTGCGCGTCGTTGGGAGTCACAGCCACAAGTGGCGTTGTAGATTTGGGTGATCCGCAGCAGAGTATTTGGGCTGAGGGGCATTGGGAATTGGTATAGGCGTTGGTTGAGCCTGGTTGGGCCCAAGGGCCCCTCGGGCTAAACGCCAGTGGTTTTGGGTACGTCAAAGTGGATTAAACTGACGATGTCATCTTGAACCAGGTACGCCAGGCCTCCAGGCACCTCTCTTCATGTCCCACCATTGCCACTAAGTAAGTACCATCTACCGGCCACTAAGCTACCTAGGTACTCCCTTCATCGCTAATTGGAGCCTGAAACTCCAAGCCTAAACAAAAGCCCGCCGACCGACCCTCAGGCCTAGTGCCTATCCACGCCATCATAGGCACCCACGATTGCACCTGCCAATTACACGTAACCGCTAGCTAAAAGTAGAGGCGCCTTCCTTATATTTCTCGACTGAAGCCAAGTGAGAAGGTGCAGTCACGACGTAGTCTTTTGGCCCGTACCTGCCGTTGTCAGTGTCACTCATCGGCTACTCTATCTGCGCCCATTTCGACCACCAGTCAGACATTCAACCATTCAACCACTTCAGTCATCCAGTCTTTCTGTCGCCCGTTGGTTATCCAGCGTCCTCTCTACAATTATAACCACCCGAGGGACACGTATCCTCGCATATTCACACCTTCACACGCCCTCAGCCTAGGGCTATCCAGATTTCCCTAGCTGTCAGCCAGTCTAATCACAAGCACGCATGTTCTAAGTCTGCGAAAACAACATGGTCAGTCCACCCTATCCACCGCCCTAAACCACTCTGTCATTGACATTTCTCTCCTCTTAGGGCCAAACAAAGCGCCGTGAAGGCAAGTCCTCTCGCGCGCCCAAGTCGTCTCTGTTTGGAGGCGGCAAATCCGGCGGTGGTAATGCCGCACAACCCCAGATCAAGAAGGCCGCCTTCGAAATCACAAAAAAGAAGGAAGTCGGTGTCTCAGATCTCACTCTCCTAAGCAAAGTCTCCAATGAAGCCATCAACGACAATCTGAAGAAGCGTTTTGAGCATGGAGAAATTTATACATACATTGGCCATGTGTTGGTCTCGGTCAATCCCTTTCGAGACTTGGGCATATACACCGACGCAGTCCTCGATTCTTATCGCGGTCGTAATCGTCTCGAAGTCCCTCCTCATGTCTTCGCCGTCGCCGAGTCGGCCTATTACAACATGAAAGCTTACAAGGACAACCAATGTGTCATCATTTCTGGTGAATCCGGCGCAGGCAAAACAGAAGCCGCCAAACGCCTGATGCAGTACATCGCTAGTGTCTCTGGCGGAACCGACAGCAGAATCCAGAGAACCAAAGACATGGTCCTAGCCACCAACCCCCTCCTCGAATCCTTTGGCAACGCCAAAACCCTGCGAAACAACAACTCCTCCCGCTTCGGCAAATACCTAGAATTGGAATTCAACGAGACCGGTGAACCCGTTGGTGCCAAAATCACAAACTACCTCTTGGAAAAGTCTAGAGTTGTCGGCCAGATCACAAACGAACGCAATTTCCACATCTTCTACCAATTTACAAAGGCTGCCCCTAAAGAGTATAGAGATTTATTTGGGGTTCAGACCCCGCAGTCATACACCTATACCAGCAGATCAAAATGTTTCGATGTCCAAGGCATAGACGATGCCAGCGACTTCAACGAGACCATCGAGGCCATGAAGATCATCGGTCTCACCAAACCTGAACAAGACAACATCTTTCGCATGCTCGCCGCCATCTTGTGGATTGGCAACATCACATTCAGAGACAACGATCAAGGAGGTGTCGACATTGCCGATCAGTCTGTCGTCGATTTTGTCGCCTACCTGTTGGAGGTCGACTCAGCTCATGTTCACAAGGCCTTGACCGTCCGCATCGTCGAGACCGCTCGTGGCGGTGGCCGTCGAGGCTCCATCTATGAATCACCATTGAATCAAGTCCAGGCGGGTGCCGTCCGAGACGCCCTCGCAAAGGCAATCTACTTCAACCTCTTCGACTGGATCGTCATGCGGACAAACGTGTCACTGAGATCACAGGGTGTCGTCAAGAATACTGTGGGTATCCTGGACATTTACGGTTTTGAGATTTTCGAAAAGAATTCTTTTGAGCAGCTGTGTATCAATTATGTCAACGAAAAGCTCCAACAGATCTTCATCCAATTAACCCTCAAGACAGAACAAGAAGAATACGCCCGCGAACAGATCCAGTGGACCCCTATCAAGTATTTCGACAACAAGGTCGTCTGTTCACTCATCGAGGATAAGCGACCACCCGGTGTCTTTGCAGCTCTCAACGATGCCTGCGCCACTGCTCACGCTGACTCGGGAGCAGCTGATCAGACATTCGTTGGCCGTTTGAATTTCCTTTCCCAAAACCCCAATTTCGAAAGCAGGCAAGGCCAATTCATCATCAAACATTATGCTGGAGAGGTCAACTACCAAATAGCCGGCATGACGGACAAGAACAAAGATCAACTCCTCAAAGATCTGCTCAACCTGGTCGGTGAAAGCTCCAACAGCTTTGTCCACGAAATCTTCCCAGATCGCGTCGATCAGGACGATAAAAGGCGACCTCCAACTGCCGGTGATAAAATCAAACTGTCAGCAAACGAACTCGTCGATACGCTCATGCAAGCCCAACCCTCTTACATTCGAACCATCAAACCCAATGAGAACAAGTCTCCCAAGGAGTACAACGACGCCAATGTCATGCATCAGATCAAATATCTGGGTCTGCAAGAAAACGTCCGCATTCGCCGAGCTGGCTTCGCCTACCGTCAAACATTCGACAAGTTTGTGGAAAGATTCGCTCTGTTGTCCCCTCGATTGTCTTATGCTGGAGAATATACCTATACCGGAGACGTCCAAACTGCTTCTCGAATTATTTTCAAAGACACCAGTATCCCTGAAGAGGAGTACCAGATGGGGACGACCAAAGCCTTTATCAAGACTCCTGAAACTCTGTTTGGGTTGGAGCACATGCGAGACAGATACTGGCACAACATGGCGGTCCGGATCCAGAGAGCTTGGAGAAACTATCTCAGATATCGTGCCGAGGCCGCCACCAGGATTCAACGGTTCTGGCGAAAGTCAAAGGTCGGTGTCAAGGAGATCGAGTTTCGGGACCGTGGCCACCAACTGTTGGCTGGCCGCAAGGAGCGTCGCAGGTACAGTCTGTTGGGGTCAAGACGCTTCGCTGGTGATTATCTCGGCCTCAATTCCCCCGGCGGCCAAGGGAGGGTCCTTCGAGACGCCATCAATCTCAACCCCCAAGAACGTGCCGTTTTTTCCTCACGCTGCGAATTACTGGTCACCAAGTTCGGAAGATCCTCCAAACCCATGCCTCGAATACTGGTCCTCACCAACAAGGCTGTATATATCGTGGTCCAGAACGTTGTTCAAAACCAGCTGCATATAAGCTCGGAGAGAACTATTCCCATCGGAGCCGTCAAGTTTATCTCGACATCGAATTTGAGGGATGATTGGTTTGCTTTGGGGGTCGGGTCGTCTGCCGAACCAGACCCTCTCATCAGCTGCATCTTCAAGACGGAATTCTTCCTCCAGTTCAAGACGGTCGCAGTGGGAGGAATGAACCTCAAGATTGGACCGCAGCTCGAGTACAACAAGAAGCCCGGCAAACCGGCGGTTGTCAAGGTTCAAAAAGATCCCGCGGTACCGCGTGACGATGTCTATAAATCAGGCGTCATTCATGTACCGAACGGAGAGTCGCCCAATTCTGTTTCACGGCCGACTCCCCGGGGGAAGGCCGTTGCCAAACCAATCACCTCTGGCAAACTGCTCCGACCTGGCGGGCCTGGTGGACAATCCAAGCCTGCCGCTCGACGACCTGTCCCAGCCGCGAAACCAGCTGCTCAGACACCTCGCCCTGTTCCTACACCAGCAGCCGTCCAAGCTCCTCAACCAGTGCCCGTGGCACAGCCGATGGCTGCGCGTCCCATGCCAGGAATTCGACCAATTCCGCAGCCTTCAAACGGATTGTCATCACACACCAGAAACGAGTCAGCATCGTCCGGTCGTCACGTTCCACCACCTCCTCCGCCTCCACCAGCAGCGCCTCCTGCCGCCCAAGCACCTGCGAAGCCTCAAGCCAAGGTCAAATACGATTTCAATTCACCAAATGCTAACGAGCTTTCCATCACGGCTGGACAAATTGTCGAGATTGTGCAAAAGGAGTCAAACGGTAAGTAGACACGGAAGTAACGTGCATGCAACGATAGCTAACAAGACTTTTAGGTTGGTGGCTTTGCAAGAATCCCCAGACACAGGCACAAGGATGGACACCATCTGCATATGTTGAAGAGATAGAGCATGCGCGAGCACCTCCACCGCCGCCACCTCCAGCAGCTCCTCCGCGTGCCATTCCCACCCCGTCTGTCGTTGTCAACGGACATGCCAACCCAGCCGGCAGCGGCATGAAGACCAAGCCAGGGCCACCGCCGCCACCGGCTAAAAGACCGGTGCCAGCAGCGCGAAAGCCTGGCGTGTCGCCCGCGCGAGACAGTGGCATGAGTCTGGGTCCAGGAGATGGGAGGGACTCTGGGCGATCAACGCCGAACAGCATTGGGGGAGGAAGTCTAGCAGGAGGCCTGGCCGAGGCATTGCGGGCGAGACAAAGTGCGATGAGTGGCAAGGCCAAGGATGACGACGACGACTGGTAAATGGAGACGACAGTGCGACCTGTGGAGGCTAGGGAGTAAGACGTTGCGACGACTACATTCTACTATTTGACGCATTGAGCGATAGCAAATTGACTTGTTAGAGAGTCTCGTGACATGGAGGTATGTGGATGATGAAGATGGGATGTCTTCTGGCGAAAGAGAAGCAATTACATTGAGGAGAGGTCAAGATAGAAACGTCTGATTCCTCTGATGACGAATTCAAATTCAACCATACTTTGTAGATACATGATGATGGGTAACTCTAGTAATGTTCTGCACAAGTTGATCAAGATAGTTGTCTCATGAGGTGAGTTTGTCAGCATCAGAACATGAAGATTTCCACGTCTTGTTCGATAGTGACTGGTTCTTCTGTCTGTATCTCACTTGAACGAGGGAGGCCTTGGAGGTGACATATTCCCTTGTCTTCAACCAAACCCCGAATCATCATCATCCATTGGTCATTACCGATCCGATGATCATCCGTCGCATTTCGCATTTCGCATTTCGGCTAAATGTCGCCGTATCACAACCCCAGAGCCCCTCGATCCTCCCCACAATCATGACCTCCAGAGATACGGAGAGGGAAGGATTTCATGACCATTGGCGGCGGCTGAATTCAATCAGAAAAGCATCAATCTTTCAACGGCAATTGACCTGGTTGACAGGCCGCCCCACGTTAGGCATCACCAAGACAGACAGATTCTCTCTATGCTTAGCTGTCCAACCTTGCTTGGATGGATGCTTGACCCCCATGCTTGATAATCCCCCATGGGCCTTAAGTACGTGTCACTGTACTCTCAATTCCCAAGCGAGTAGCCGGTTCCCACGTTTTTCATCTTTGTCGACCTCGTGGGTTGTACATTTGATAAGCTGCACGTGACGATTTGTGGGATTTCGTATATAAAGCAAGCATCGACGCCAGGTTTAGACTCTCACCCTCACTCTCCCTCTCCCTCTCACTCGGACCAGTCCATTTCTTTTCAACAGACCCAACATTTCATTATCACCATGGCGACCAACAAGACATACAAAGTTCTCACGCCCACCGACGTCGAACATTTCATGACGCACGGCTACGTCAAGATTCCAGGCTGTTTCACCAAAGAAGCATCCGATGAATGGACCAAAGATGTTTGGCTTCGTTTGGGAATGTCGCCGACGGATAAATCAACCTGGACTAGAGAGAGAATTAATATGCCTGAACATCGACGTCTGGCTGTCCCGGAGTTTTCTCCCAAGGCTTGGAATGCGATCTGTGATTTGGTCGGTGGTGAAGAAAGAGTGACGGATAAGAGCAAGACTTGGAGTGATTCTTTCATTGTGAATTTGGGGACGGAGGAAAATGAGGGAAAGGAGTTTAAGCCCAAGGAGTTGGATAATTGGCATGTTGATGGTAGGTAATACGAGGGATTCGATGATGGGTTAGAGAGGGTTATGAGGATGATGTGGGCTAACGTGGTTGTGTTTAGGGGATTTCTTCACGCATTTTCTCGACTCCCCTGAACAAGGTCTTCTCGTCATTCCGTTGTACACTGATATCATTCCCAATGGTGGTGGGACATGGGTTTGTACTGAAGGACCTGCAAAGATTGGGAAATGGCTGGTAAGTTCATGTTGTTGCGATGTTGGAGAGACATGTTACACTGACTCGTGCTAAACCTGGATACACTTAGTACGATCATCCACAGGGCGTAACTCCTCAGATGATCCCAGTCTCAGATCCCGAGCCCGAGTCTGAAGACCGCTTAGCCAAATTCTATGGAACTATTCAAACCTGTGACGATTCATCTTTCCACGAAATGACCGGACAGGTCGGCGATGTCATCCTCTTGCATCCCCTGATGTTGCATTCAGCATCCAAGAATGGTCGACGACATATTCGCATCATCACCAACCCCCCAGTCTCGTTGAAACAACCGTTTGAATTCGACCGGGCTGATCCTTCCGAATATTCGTTGGTGGAGCTCAAGACGATTCAGGACCTGGGTGGATTTGACAAGCTCAAAGGATGGAAGATCACAGGAGAAAGAAAACCGGTAATTCCAGAACGACTCAAGATGCAATTGAAGTTGATGGAAGATGAAGCACGCAGATTGAAGGAAAGTGGGGTGGAATATACTGATAGGACTCAGACTGAGGATCAATTCCGTGCAAAGATGGCTGGTACGGCTGTTGTTTGAGGAAGAGGATGGAGATTAGATTTGAAGATTCTTTCGCTATCAAGAATGCAGAAGTGTAGCTTACCATTGAGCAAGGAGTATATTAGTATCTCAAGACCTCATCGGAGTCACTCAATTTGATGTCACGTGAGTTCGACTTTCTCTACTGGTCGCTCCTTCTCACATCATCAACTCGCGCCTTCCGAAATCATCCCGCCGCAACAACGGAAAGAACGCCCGGGATCGGAGTCTCTGGGGCGTTCTTTCCCAAACTTTTGCTCGGTCTTTCGGGTTATGCTTCCCCATCCACTTCCATCCGCATCTCCGTCGACATCCCAGACTCACCCCTCGACCCCGTCTTTTCACCCACAGCTCAGCTTCCCACCTCATGCAGCATCCTAAGATTACCTGTACGGGTTGTAATCTCTGTCCCCACCATTTACCATTTACCATTTACCTTTCTGGTCTCACAAATCATTGATCGCCTCGCTCCAACTGATGTTTTAAAACACATGTGATTCTGATTCTCCATGACCAACACCATTGTTCGTACCACATCGACGGCCCTTTCAGAAGAGAGAAACTCTTCAGTCTCGGCCTCGGATGATGAAAATGAAAATCCAGACCAAGCTTCGGAAACAGACGGAAACACCACCAACAACAATAAGAAAAGAAAAAGAGCTTTGAAAATTTCGTATGTTTTCCACCATTAGTCCAACCCACTAGCTAGCATCTTGCTCATGTGCTCAAAGATGCGAATTATGTAAACAGAGAAAGGTCAAATGCGATCGAGTCGAACCCGCCTGTGGGTGGTGTTCGCGAAACAACAGACCATGTGTCTACAAAGAACGTCAAAAGCCTGGTCTTCGTGTCGGCTATGGACGTGAGCTCGAGGATAAGATCAATCGTCTGGAAGCTCTTCTTCAGCATATGGGTCGTCGTCTCGAGGATCATATCAGCATCCATGGCGACACTCCAACTCACGGTCCAGGTTCTGTTCGAATGACCTCACAAACGACTCCATATTCAAACTATGCTCGGTCTGATCCCCGGCCTTCCAATGCAAGTGTCGATACTCCACTATCCGAAACACGCTGGTCCAACCACAATGCCTACGAACGATTGCAATACCCGTCTCGTGCTCAAGATGCCATGTCCATTCGGTCTGTCGTGGATACGGGAAACCCTGATCTTCTCTCTCAAAGCGACAGAGCTTCCACTGCTTGGCCTGCAGTGTCAACCCCTACTTCTACCATGCCAGATTCAGAGCTTCCTCCATACGACCTCCTCTATACTTTGGTCGATTTGTACTTCAAGCACGTCAATCCATGGTCACCCATTCTCGATCGCAAGGCCACATTTGATGCATTTTTCGGCTCTCAGACAATGGCCGAGGCGGATCGCATTTTACTCCATGCAATAGTCGCAACCACTCTGAGATTTTCAAAGGATACGCGTCTCAACCCCGATCTCCGAAGTCAATTCTACAATATTTCCCGTCAGAAAATCATGCTCTATGCATTCGATCATGCTAATGTCAGGGCCCTTCAGGCTTTGGTCGTATTGGCTGTTGACGTCTTGGGCTCTTCGAATGGCCAACAAGGATGGAATCTCCTGGCTTTGATCGCTCGAAACATTGTCCAGCTAGGTCTCGACGTCGAGAAGAACTCATACCTCGAATCTGCAGCCTATCCTTCTGCCACACTTCTACAGGCCTCACAGCCAAAGTCTTGGATCGAAAGTGAAGAGAGAAGACGGTTATGCTGGATGACTTTTGTCTTGGACCGTTACGCGACAGTCGCCACTGCAGATGCTTTCACTCTCGATGAACGATTGATGGATCGGTGTCTCCCTTGTCGCTATGATCTCTTCTCTCGTAACGAACCGGTCGAGACGAGATGGCGACGTCCTATCGCTAAGCACGAAACCTTTGCCCAGACGGAGCTGGTCTTGAATCGCACCGAGAATCTCGGCAGCTTCTCTTACCATTGTGAAGTTTTGGGTATTCTCAGTCGAATTCATCGATTTCTCCATCAGCCACTCAACATCACCCAGCGCTCTGATATTCTTCGCTGGAGAGACACATACCGCGAACTCGACGGCGAGCTGAACACCTGGCTGCAAAATCTACCCGGAGAATATGGCAAGATCTCTCAACTTTGTCACTCTGACCCAGGAAGTCGAATTTCCAATTGGATCATGCTGCACGCAGCTTTTGTCACATCTGTTATTCGATTGCATTCATCTGCCGCATATCCGACCATCAAATCCAACGTATTTACGCCTTCATATCACGCCATCCAACGCTGTCTCGGTGCGGTTGAAAGCTTACGAGAGATTGCTCAGGATGTCCTCAATACCGGCATGTTAGCACTCCTGGGCCACCCGTTTGCCTTTTCCCTCTGGGTATCAGCTCGACTCTTGCTGGTTCATGCCGCAACAATGGAATGTGAAGTTGACCCCAAGATTTCATTTTTCATTTCCACTCTTCAACAAATGGGTCAACATTGGCAGGTCGCTAGAGATTATGCGCGGATCCTGAGTGATGTGGTCCAGGAGGCAAGCACCGGCACAGGAAGGAATCTGACGACGATGAGAAGGTGAGTCAAGCACTGTCAACAGATTTCGACATGAAGTGCCTCGATGGTACATCCCCTCCTCGTTAGACCATAACTAATCATCTTGACTAGAATCGCCTACGATCTTTGCCACCTCACCTCTCACCGACCCCGAACCACGCTCGAACCCATCTCCACCCATCCCTCCACTCAAAGTGAACTAGAATATCTTGAGATCTTTGACTTTTTCAACTACCCTCGCTTGAAGACCCTCTCCAGTGGTGCCACAACCACCAACAATGCCGACTTTGACGGATCTTCGACAATCACTTCAATCGGCGATTCCACCCCCACACATCTCCAGAACCTCAGCCAAGGTCAGGCACAATCGCTGAGAGCCACTCCAGTAGCAGTCTTTGTGCCCAGTGCAGAGTCAGATTGGCTGCTTTTCAAACCTCCCTATGAGTAGCTTTGAGGAATATTTTGATATGACAAAGGTGTGTTATGGTATGGAGGAGATGATATGTATCATGATTATGTTCCAAGGGAGGATCTATTGCTATATACCCCTAGGATGCAGATGGCGGTTGATGATGTAGTCGATGAGTACGCAATGGATCTAATGAATGGAGCTCCGAAACACTTCAAGACTTCGACTTGATGATAATGTTGAAAGCTTTTATCAACTATTTGCTGTTGACCTATATGCATTAAACCTCGCACAAGATATGATAGAGTATACAATTTTCAAACCAGATATGTCCCCGGTCCATCATATGAACAAACTCCAAAGCACCAGCTCATCATATCTCATTGGTATAAAACACAAACGCCAATTTTCCCCTACCTTGCCATCTGATGAATGTCAGCCCAGGCCAAATATCACGGCAAAGGCGCCTGTGCTTCATTCGCACTGTCCGACTTGATCTTCAGAGGCTTTGGACTCCCCGCCGACGACTTATCCGACCCATCCCTCGACACCAACAACCCCTTAGTCCTCCCAACATTCAACCCTTTCTCGACCTCCACCCGACTAATCTGCAATAACTCCCTCGGCAAACCCATCGACTCCAAAAACCTGACCGAATCCGTCCACTCAACCTCTTTCCTCTGTTTCGACCACTTCAACTCCTGGGCCATAATATCAATCACACGAGGCAAAGCCTGCAAGGCGGCCTGGGCGTTTAGAAAACTCAATCTCGTTCGTCGCGCCAATACGTCCACCGCCGTCTGCGCGTATTCACTACGTACAGCGAATCGCACTTCTCCGTCGACGAACGGATATAACGGTGAGAGACGCTGTCCTCGTAGTGGGAAAGGGGAGTTTTCAACGGGAGAGGATAGTGCAGCCACGTCCCATGCTCGGTCGCCGTAGTTGGTGGCAATGTGTTTCGCGACTTCGGTTTCAAGCCCGAATTGTTGGATTAGGTTGATGAATAAGGTGGTGGAATACCCGTGCGCGCCGAGGAGGCGGATATGGTGGGTTTGACAGGTTCCGTCGAGGAAGGGGGTGGTGGAGGTGGAGGTGGTGGAGGTGGTGTCGATGCCATTGACGCCGGATATGTCCGGTGCGTTGGAAATGGGTTTTGGTTCGAGTTTGAATACTTGAATGGCTTTGTCGACGGCATCTTCGGCCATTTGTCGATAAGTGGTCCATTTGCCGCCGGCGCATGTTACGAGACCGGAGGGGGAGACGTTGACGAGATGGCTGCGGACGAGGGATTCGGTGTTTTTGGAGTTTGGGTCGCGTACGAGGGGGCGGATGCCTGGAAGATGGTCAAAGTCAGTTTGTCTGTGTGGGAGGATAGGATATAGTTGGAGTGGCCGTCTTGAGAGACAGAGAGAGATATCATCCTTACCTGACCAAGCTGCCAAAATATCAGATCTTTGAACTTCAATATCCGGTGTCAAATATGTTCGGATCTCGTCGAGAATCCATTCAATGTCCTTTTCACCGGCAACTGGATTCTGTTCGATCGAACAAGGAGCATCCGTGGTTCCTGCAATCGTGTTTCCTTGCCAAGGGAGGAAGAAAATCACTCGACCATCGGATGTCGAAGGGTCGATCAGGCCCATATTTTGAGGACTGAGATATCCCGGTAACACGACATGGACACCCAGAGAAGGTGCGACGATTTCTTTCCTGGTCGGCTCGTCCATCTGTTCAATCGCATCGGCAAATGGACCTGTCGCGTTGATTATGCCTTTGGCCTTGATGGGAAACGTCTCTTTCCCGGCTTTGTCACCGTTCTTTTCTGCAATCAGATCACGCACTTGAGCACCAATCAGTTTCCCGTCGGCGTCTTTCTCCAGACTCGTGACTTCAAGGTGATTGACGGTCGTGGCGCCATAGAGGTGAGCGGTCATGGCCAGAGAAATGTTCATGCGCGAATCGTTATGCTGCCCATCATAGTACACCAATGCACCGATCAGATTATCCTTTCTCAACATGGGAAATGCATCGAGAGCTTTACTTCGCGGAAGGAAATACGAGCTCTCAATCCCTTCCGAACCGGCCAGGAGATCGTAGAATTTCGTACCCGCCCAGAAATATGGAGCTTGCCACCATTTCTGCAACGGCAACATAATCGGTAGCCATGATGAAAGATGAGGCGCCGTGTACAAGAAGCTTTTCCGCTCGTGGAGCGCCTCTCTCACGAGTTGGTATTGATTGTAATCGAGGTTCCACACGGCTTTTTCCAAATACCTCACACCGCCGTGAACCAGTTTTGTCGACTTGCTGCTCGTGCCACTGCTGAAGTCGTCTCTGTCCACCACAGCCACCTTGAGACCTCTGGTTGCTGCATCGAGAGCGATTCCCGTTCCCGTAGCTCCACCGCCAATGACGAGAAGATCGTACTCTTCCGTGGGTGACGATGCGGAGTTCTTCAATTTGGCGATTTGCTCGGCTCGAGATTGGATCTTCGGGAAATGAGGTGGGATGATGTGTCCATTTTCGTCTCGTCTGGGAGGTTTGGGTGCCATCGAGTCCGCTCCCGGCACATTTCTGGGTCTGTATGTGATGTACATGACGGCGCCGCCGGCACCTGCCAGACCGACACCGTAGGCGAGTGGCTTCCAGAGCCGGCGAGGAGAAAATCGAGAAGCCATATTTCGTGAAGTCTTGTAAAGGTGATGAGGAGGTTGGACAGACAAGAAGAACGTTGGCGGAAAGCCAACAGAGTCAGTTAATAGTAACTCAGAAACTCGACCAAAGTTCAGAAACCCAATTCAATGGTTCCTGATGGGAATGACGTCAGTTCGATGCCCTCGACCGAACCTTGACTCAAGTTCAAAAGAGTTTGTAAAGGATTTGTAGAGGTAGAACCAGAATGTCAAGTGGTCTGATTTCTACAAGACACAACTCACTGGATCACACAGTCATGTTATATCAACAGTCAAGAATGAAAGTCCACATTTGGTCAATAATGCAAGCAACAGATAACCGCCTGTCAAATGCCCACCCATCATGATTAACTTTTTATCTTCTCGGAGCATTTGCATGTCCGAACGCAACCTTCAATAGGAATAAACTGTCCACAATAAAGGACCACAAACCCCTCCTCCAGCATCGTATGCCATCTCTCGTAAGGATGAGTGTTTTGGCTGAGGAAGCAGATGAGTGAGCAATCAAAGAGCTTGATCCTTGGGAGAAGTCTTGAACGTTGGAGATCTACATGCATCTCGGTGGAATGATGCCGAGAGGATGGAGATCCTTGGCTTTCGGTCATATTTTACCGAGAAACCTCGACTTCGGTGTTGCTCGAGCCATATGCAAGTTGTTCTAAGGGTCTTTGTGGGTTTCTTCTAGTCGACTTCCATTTCGAGGAGCAATTTTACAAAGATCTTGTAATTACAATGGTCCGACAACTCGGGTGTTGAGGTCCATGTTGGCTGGCTGGTAGATGTGTATATACAGTATAGGTACCTACAGCCAACCACCAATGTGTCGATACTTGCTCCCACCAAAATTCAGCTCATGTGATCTTGATCACGATCACTCAGCAGCTTGCAAACCATTACTGTGGCTGGCTCTTCCTGATCTGTACTTTGAACAAGCCTTGAATTATAATATTTCTCTACGACACCCTGGAGAAGCTGGTTCGAGAATGATCATCTTTGCGATGGCCGCTGGGAGACCCTCATCTTATATAGTTCTCGCGCCCTAACTCGCCTTCTGATCGAGACAGACTACAAGAGCTTCCATTTATTGTGTATGCTAGGAAACTATCCCAAAATCCATGTCGATATTATCAACTATCATCTATGTGAACCCTCATCATCATATGGGTAGAATTGACACGTGATGTCCCATCCCATTCAAGAGCCGTAGCCCCATAGTTTCACACAGCATTCAAGACACTAGTCAAGCCTCAACCCTCCACCCTCGCTCTATTATTTTCCTCCGACGGTGGAGTGAAGGTTTATACATATGCCGACGAAGCCACATGCGGGGCACTTGGCAGTCGACATCATCTCAGGTTGCTGAAGATGCACTTCGGGGTCCAAATGCCCGGATTGCGCCTCCCGGTGCATCCGCCTTCTCCGCATTGTAGACGAGGGTTACATTTATTTTCTCTCTAGACTGTCGATGAACAGGTCGAGGTGCATGTCGTGTCAGATTCCCCGCGTCTACCTCCATGAGATGACCCTGGAGTTTTCCTCGCCTAATGCTGAAAGACCCTTGGAGTCCACTAGACCGAGGTCAGAAATGATCTGTCCGTTTGGCTTGTGGAGCACATTCACGTTCATATTCACCTCGCGCTGTTCGCGTGGGAAGGGTCTTTCCCCATGCTCGGGGTAATGCGAAGAAGGAGACCGAGACTGGTAAAAAAACGTCGAGTTCGGGGATCCAATCTAAACCATGCTAAACAATGTGCCACGCCCGCGTGAGTATGCGCGCCAGGTATACTCGTACCAGCCTTAATCCAAATGTGTATCCATCCGACCAGGTGTAATCAGACTACTTACTCTGCACCTGGCATCCTTGGAATTGGCACATGCAACAACACCCCCGCCATGTTTTATAAGTTGAGGTCCAACCCCTCTCTGGAGTTGCTCCAGATCACTTCGTCTTTCCCCATTGTCCTACCCCAGGTTCTCGTCCTTTGATCACTTGGTTCTCACTGAAAATACATCAAGCTTCACCATGGGCAGCACGTCAGAGGTCTTTGTTGGTTCAATAGACCAAGGAACGACGAGTTCCAGGTTCTTGATTTTCAATAAACAGGGTGAACCTGTTGCGTCACATCAGCTTGAATTTAAGCAAATCTACCCTCAACCGGGGTGCGTGAGCTCAAACATGTGGCGTTTGTGTATTGTATCTCGCTGACTTGTTTAGATGGCATGAGCATGACCCTCTAGAAATTGTGTCTTCGGTCGAGAAGTGTATCGATGGTGCCGTCGCCCAGTTCGAGACACAAGGCCACAATATCAACAGCATCAAGGCCATCGGTATCACGAATCAGCGTGAGACGACTGTACTATGGGACCAGCAAACTGGAGAGCCTTTGTACAATGCCATTGTGTGGACAGACACCAGAACTCAAAATATGATTCGAAAGATCAAACACAGACTCGGAGCCGACCTTTTGAATGAAATTTCCGGTCTTCCACTATCGACATATCCCTCAGTCGGAAAGTTGCTGTGGCTTCTGGAGAACGAACCAAAGGTGAAGACGGCTTACGACAAAGGAGTGCTTGCATTTGGTACCATTGATGCCTGGTTGGTCTACAAGCTAAATGGAGGTACGTATTGTTCTTTTCTACCTAAATGATTGGGGAAGGGGAAACTAACTCAGTACAGGCCCCAAGCGAAACATTTTCGTTTCCGACCCATCCAATGCTTCTCGAACATTATTCATGAACATCTCGACCTTACAATACGATGAGTCTCTCATCGACTTCTTCCGAATCGACCCAACCAAAGTTCATCTCCCCAAGATCGTCCACTCTTCCGACGCCACTGCGTATGGCTCCTTGACCACCACCGTTCTCAAAGGCATCCCCATCACTGGCGTTTTGGGCGATCAATCCGCTGCGCTTGTGGGTCAGAAAGGATTCACACCTGGTCTAGCCAAGAACACGTATGGAACTGGAAGTTTCATTCTGTACAATGTGGGAGACAAGCCAGTGATTTCGAAACATGGGTTGTTGACCACTGTGGCCTTTGACTTTGGCGGCTCCACCAAGCCTCAATATGCATTGGAAGGTAGCATTGCCGTCGCAGGATCCAGTGTCAAGTTCCTGGTCGACAATCTCGGCTTCATCGAGTCATCGAGTAAGATCAGCTCTCTTGCCGAGACGGTCGAAGATAATGGCGGCGTCACATTCGTCACTGCTTTCAGCGGTCTATTCGCACCATATTGGATCGATGACGCGAGAGGAACCCTCTTCGGTATCACTGCGTACACGCAGCGCGGACACATTGCCCGTGCAACTCTTGAAGCCACTTGTTTCCAGACAAAAGCTATCTTGGTGGCCATGGAGAAGGACAGCGGTCACAAACTCACCGAGTTGGCCGTCGATGGTGGAATGTGCAATTCAGATCTCACTATGCAGACCCAGTCGGACCTCATCAGTATCCCAGTGGTCCGTCCAGCTATGCGTGAGACGACTGCTTTGGGCGCTGCTATTGCTGCTGGTCTGGCCGTGGGTGTTTGGAATGATATCGACGAGCTAAAGCAGATCAATACCGAGGGTATGACTAAATTCAGCCCAAGCATCGGTCAAGATGCCGCCGAGACTCGTTTCGCTCGCTGGGAGAAGGCTGTTGAAATGAGTAAAGGCTGGGCCAACTGAGAGTTGGACAGATGGGCTGTTGAAATGCCCGGCTGGCGTTTGTCGTATGTGCAAGTAAATATATCCATTTCTTTAGGCCGTTGATGAAGCAAAAGTAAATTATACGCCCTTATAAGCACCAAATCTGATTGCCATAGCATGGACGACTCCCAATAGATCGTCGTATAGGTAACTTGTACATGGAGATTATTGGTGTCCTTGGACCAAATAGGGCTTCTGACAGGAGACCCTAATGAGTACCTAAATTCAGTATCCTGTCGTTAGCGCGGAGCCCATTCAAAATAATATCCCGACATTCTATCTCAACGAATACTTCCTACTTCCTACTTCCTCAAACCCCCCAACCCTTCCACACAACATGTCTTCCAAACTCCCAACATCAGCCCTATTAGTCCTCCTCTCCATCATCATCTACTCCCAATCACCAGTCCTACTACAACTCCTTGGCCAAGCCAACATCGACAAAACCAGACTCATCAAATGGTCCAACAGCAAACCCTTGAACAACCACGACTGCAAAGTCATGCACCAAGCAGATGCATGTGAGGACGTCAAGATCCATTATGCATCCAACACTGCATTTCTCGCCTGTGGAGATCCAATCGGCCGCACCAATTGGTATCCATGCGCAGGAGTCCGTCACCCGGAAAAACGAGCAGAAGCTTCGTTTCGTGAACAGTTGTTCAAATATGATATTAAAAGCGGGTTGACGACAAAGTTGGAGTTGGAGGGGTTTGATGGGGATTTCATCACGCATGGGATTGATGTTTATGAGTTTCCGGACGACTCTACGAAAGTAGGTTGACAAATTGGCTCCGCCGTGTGTCTTCAAAGAAGGCGGAAGAGGAAGAAGATGATGATGATTCACTCACTCACATACTAACTTCCTCCCGACTTACAGGTCCACATCTTCGCCGTCAATCACGGTCGAACAGGAGACTCGATCGAGATCTTTTCTCACAACCTAGGTTCCAATACAGCCAAACTGATCAAGAAAGTCACCCATCCAAATATCAAGACCGCCAATGGTGTCTCTGCAATGGGTCCTTTGTAAGATTCATACACTTACGTATGGAAATTCATATTGACATTATATGTTCCATGCAGCGACTTCTACATCACCAACGACCACTACTTTGCCCGTGGCCCGCTACGCGTTCTTGAAGAAACATATGGCCCTTTTACCTGGTCGACAAACGTCCAGTATTGTGACGCGAATAACCCTGTAAGTTTGTTGCCGATTTGATCTAATCTACAAATCTACAAGTTAACGAATCCGCGCTTCTAATCCAAGTTTTCTTATCGATCTAGGAAGTAATCTGTAAACAAGCAACCGGAACATTTCCTGGCGCCAACGGGATCAATTCATGGAATGATCGACTTTTCGTGGGAGATGCGAGAAATGGAACTGTGACGGTATTTCAAATCCAGGAGGATAGGAGTTTGACATGGTTAAGACAAATTGTGAGTTACGTTGATGTCCTTTATGTCCTTATGTCTGTATATTGTTGACTGACTAATTGGCGATTTTCTAATCTTCTAAATAGGACCTAGGAGCCGCAGCGGATAATATCAATATTCTACCTACGACCGGTGATCCCATTGTTGCAGGTAAGTACCTCAAGTCTTCATTGGAAAGTGCTTAGAAAACATGGGATATGAAATGGTGTAATTACTAGGAAATTGATTGATACATACTGACGATTCATTCTATCAAAAGTCTTTCCGACATTAGAAGATTTGCCTGCATATCTCGATAATGTGCGTTCACTGGGAAAGGACTTCCTTGTTCCTGCTGCAGCACTGCGACTTGATAGTTCTAGGGACTATACGCCGGAACTGATTTATTTTGACGACGGGTCAGTTGTCAGCTTTATGACTACGGGGGCGGTTGACCCGTATAATCGGCTGTTTATCGCTTCGAGCGTTTTGCAGTTTGGCGGGTTTGCGGTTTGTAAGTTACGGCCAGGAGCTGTTGTATAGAATAGAAATGATGATTCCATATGAGAAGGAATATGAAGTATTAAACGGTAGTCAGAGGTTTCTGGTGATACATATCTCACAAGATAAAGCAAGATGAACGAACATCAAGACGTACAACAATCGGATATATATATATATGCAAAGATCTTCAGCATTGTTATGGGTATCTCAGAAACGACAAATCATCCATATCCTAATCTCTCCCCAGAAGGGTAGAAACGACAAAGTATACCACCATCCCATCAGATGGTGACCACCCTCGTTCGAGTGTGAATACATACATGTACCTCCAGCAAATTTAGATCATTGCTCCCCAACAACAACGTTATCTTCAGCTCCAAAGTAACTCTGATCAATCTTCAAGATCCATTCCAGCTTCTGACTCTCACTTCTTGCTGCAAACAGAAAAGTGTTTTGTTCGCCATATACCGCAAATACATGTGCTAGGCCATGTAGTTCGCTACTTCCTGTTCTTCGGTGTCCACGTGCGCTCTCGTTCGATGATACTGAGCCGCTGCTTCCGAGGAGGCGTTTGAAATCAGGATCATGGTCGATTCGTGCGTGTGTCAAATTAATGGCGTTGATCGTGTCTCCATCAGGGACTGAGTTGATGTACAGATACGGAGGGCGAAGATCCACGAACCGTCGTTTCCACTGCATGCTCTGGCTGTGAGAAGCGTTGCCAAAGTCTTCAGACGGCATGAGTAAATGTCCCGATTTCAGTGATGTAGGGGATTTCTGAACATTTGAAACAGTAGCCAGATAGCGAACCTTGCGCTGTGAACTTTCTGGTCGTCGCACAGGACTTCGGTCAACGTCTCGAGTCGTCTTGTAGCCATCACCAAAGATCGGGTTCGACAATTCCACGCTCGGCTTTTGCCAGATTGCAAGGAATTTTCGTAACAGTTGTTCCTCCCTGGCATCGATGCTGGTGGGAGAAGCTGCGCGAGATCGTAGTTTGCTGACGCTGAGCCTCCTCAAGCCAAGAGCTGCCCTGGCTGACTCAATATCTTGAAGCTGTCGCCTCTTTCTTCGAGAAATGAGATAATCTTTGACGAGGGAAATACCCCTCGGATGCCAATTTCCCAACAACTCTTCCCCATTGATATAGTTCTTGGACGTGTCCAAGCGCCACAGATCTGCTGCTCGTCTGGCACTGATTGGACGAACCACAATTGAAAACAAACCGTCTGTGGAGTGAGTGATTCGAATCTGATTCCAGAACGATTTGAACATCGATTGTGGTCTGACATAAGATCTTGGCAACACTTGAAGTTGTTGCTCAATGGAAAAGGTCATCAGATGCTCCAATCGAGAAGACAAAACGTCCCAGCGTAAGACAATCTGAATTCTATTGTGCTCGTTGGTTGTTCGATCCAGCAACAAGGATTTGTGGAGGGAGGAATCCCATTGTCCAATGATGGTAATGTTGGAGGTCCCATCGGCGTTGTCCTTGATCATGGGTTCTTGTATCTGCTTCAACATAATCTCTGGTGTCACAGATCCTATGTCCGCGATACGTCCTGATGAATCAATCAGGTGGACTTCCCCAATCCGAAGTCCTTTTAAGTCATCCCATGGCAAACCTTCGGTAAGGCAATGTGTCAATGTGATGGACACACGGCGTTGAAGACCTTGATGGAGTTGAAAGGCGCCCTTGTCATCAGCGCTTGTTTGAAGCACTTCCACTGGCATGTATTGACCATTCTCTGCCAACTCTAGGATTTGAACCTTGGTAAAGACATCGTGTCGCTCGTCCACATTATACTCTGACTCGGGCAACCGTTGGATCTGGTGTTCTTCCGGCGTCTCATTCATTTCTCGCAACTCATCCCAGCTGACAAGTTTATCCAGATGTGTGGAGCTGACTTGTGCGAAAATGCTGATCTTGAGTATCGCCGACTTTCCGCCTGACCGGTCGACGCTCAGGTGGTGAATACTCTCGAATCGGATGACATTATCACCGAAGTCACCAATCGTTTGCGTGGTTGCGACGCTTTCGTCTTGAGTTCCCAACACCGCCATCTGAGCGTGCACTTGGGTTCCTTCGTGCTCAGAAAACCCTGCAAGATCTCGAATGATTGCATTAAACTTGATGACTGAAGGTGGGGACTCTGCCAAAGATGGCTCGAGTGACATTCTGACACGTCCGACTATCTGTCGCGTGGATGGTGAGCAGATGTCCACCGTGAAGTCTTGAACTCGGGTTTCGAAGACGGCTGTCAGTGGGATGTTCCCATCGCCAATCAACGAGAACAGCGGCTGCTCCGAATCACGAAAAGGATTGTCCATGCGAAAGTGCTGCATATACTCGGGCTGATCCTTGTAGGAATGCATTTGTCGCATCTTATTGACCCTTGTGCGCAACTTTTCCAACGACCAGAGATGGACACAGTTGAGTTGATTGTCAATCACTCGGGCTGCCAAACATGGCTTCGGCGCATTGGCAAGGGCATCGTCATCATCGATCGAGATGTCGTGAAGGATGAGGTCGTACGAGGAGCCACGTTCTTGACCGAGATCTAGAATTACAAATTGGAAACTCGTGTCCTGTTCCAGGAACTTGGTCATAATTTGTGCTTCTTTTAGGAGACTGGCGTTCTGCAGAATCAGTTCTGCTATGCGAATGTAGTTTCTCTGCTGCCATTTATCCACCACATTTCGAGCAATGGCAATTTCCGATCCAGTAAGAGGGAGATATCCCGCTGGTGTCCGAGCGGCTTCTCTTGTTTTTGCCGCCAGATCCATTTTCTTGATCTGCTGTTCGTATGATTGTTTCTGTTTTCTCAGCTCTTCCTGAAATTCGTCTTTTGCTTTCTCCAATTCTTGCTGCATTTGAGCGGCCTGGGCCTCTCGTTCAGCTTGCTTACTGGCTTCAGCAGCTTCGCGCTGCTCTTGGTCTGAGGGCTGTGGCTGTCCTTGTTTCGACATCTGTTCGAACTGTGCTGGCGTCAATGTCGCATCACCTTCTTGAGACCCGCCATGTAATGATGGAGTGTTTGGTAGAGTAAGGGCAGTATCCAGAGAGAATCCATCCATCGTGCCATTGGACATGTATTTGTCTCTGACAAGGAATGAGGAAAGGTCATCAGAGTCGTCATCGAGTTCGCTCAACCTATTTTCAGACCGTCCTCGACGCTCTTCCCGAGCCCGCTGAATGTTTTCGAAAAGACTATCCAGCTCCTCGTCGCTAAGTTTAGTGATCTTTTGATCAGCCCCAAGTAAAGCGTTGGCAGCTTCTCTTCTGGCGAACGACCAGTCCGAATCCCTGTTGCCGAGTCCCGGCGACTGAGCTCTGCTGGAATCGCCTTCAAATTCTGACCCGGCCGCACTCCAGGATCTTTCGTGCCCGGGCCTGAATGGTGTGGGCGAATTCAACTGGCTTGCTGTCACGGAATGCCTCAGCAGACTCCGTTCTGCTCGCTCGGCTTTGGCTTCAAGGGGATTATTAAAACGGAAGATATGAAAATCTCCCAAGATGATACGGTTCCCGCTTCGCAATCTCTTAGTCTTGTCCACGCGGACGCCGTTGACCATCACTGCAGCACCGTCGGCGGGAATAATGGTCACGACATTGTCAACATTCTCCAGCCTGCAGTGATTCTCCAGTATTTTGGATCCGTTCAATCTAATTTCTGATGCGACAGGAGCATCAACGTTGCCCACTGTGGTGACGCCAGGCTTCAAGTTGTAGACAAGGCATTCTGCAAGAAGAGGATCATCACTGAGGTTGACAAGATGTGGCATCTTCTTCGGTGTACTCAGGCCAACATTGCCTTTCTCGATGCTGATACCTAATTCTTCGAGGGCGGCTTCTCGTTCTTTGTGGATCTGTTCGGTGGTTGCAAGTTTTTCCTCCCACGTCTGGTTGAGATCTTTGTACAGCTTCTCACTTTGATTCAGCTGATCCATGATCTCGGCCTTGGAGACTTTCTTGACGGTACCATCGGCCTGCACCATGGAAACCCACTGTTTGTCAAGAGGGGTATCAGGTGGGTAGACCTCTTCTGCGACGCCAGGAGCCCCGCCACCTCCGAGTTGACTCCTGAGTTTGGCGAGTTCTTCTTTGAGTTCACGAATCATGCGTGCATTTGGATCTTCGTTGACAACAGCATGATTCTTGATTCTCTTGGCAGAGTCAGCATAGCGCAGGGTGCTCAACGTCTCCTCAAAATTGATGTCTGCAGGGGAAATGGCGGCAATCATTGCTGTCAAACTGTTGCCACCCAGGGAGTCTTTCAACAGCCAGGTCAGAACAGAGTCTCGATAGGGGACTTTGAGTCCCTTCTTTCCGGAAGAAAGATCAGCCAAAGACGCAATGACTCGACCCAAGGTTGAAAGAGATCGATTGATCTCGGCACCTTCTTTTAATCGAGCGCCTGTGGCACCTGTTGAAGTGGCTCTTTCGGAACCAGCCAGATCGACCAGAGATATTTTGGCAACTTTCTCGGTGTCCATGGAGGTTTCAACATCATGTCGTTTCTGGGTGAGGGTAAGGGTAAAGACAGCATGGGATCGACTGGATGTCTCGTTCATGTTGGTGGCAGCAACAGTTCTGGCCTTGTTGCCCTCGTCCATCAAATTCTCAATCTCTTGGAAAGACCGGACAGCAAGCTTGGCCAAATCTTCGACATAAGGTCCAGTGGATGGATGTTCTCTGACCCGCAAGTTGCCTTTGGTCGCAGGGTTTAACAAATCCCGAACACGTTCATTGTAAATCTCCAGATACGACACCTCGACCGTACAAGTGACATGAGGGTCGACTGATCGCACTTGATCAATCCTTTCGAACATATCACGACAGATGCGTGGAATCACACCGGCATCCTCTCCATACCCCATCATGCTGTATGATTTTCCAGAGCCCGTCTGACCATAGGCGAAGATACAATTGTTGTAGCCCTGAAAAGCGTTATCGAGAAGAGGGATACCGAGATCGCTATGGAGATTATCTTGACCGGCATAATTGGGGTCTGCCTTGTTGAAGGACCAGTACGACCTGTCGAATTTGAACACCTTTTGGGAATCACCTGCCCCCTTTCCTCCTTTTCTCGTTCGGTCTTCAGCGTCATTTGGAGGAACAAGGACGGTTTGTGCGCCTTGCATCTGAACAATGCATTTTGCATTGCGATCATTTTCGCGACTGTTGAAAGGCCGGACTCTGACCACAACTTTGATGTTGCCGCCTCCGCCACCGGCGTTCGCTCCGCCCGTCGGCGCCATATTTTATTGTGCCTGTGTTCAGGGAACTTGATATGGCTCTTTCATTTGAGTGAAGCGGCCACCTGAGTGGCTTGCTGGCGGAGTGGGGATGAAATAACGGTAATGGTTCTCGGGGGTTTGATCGAGACGGGTAAGGTTTGGGTTCCGCGTTGGGAGGTGAAGGAGTCGCGTCGCTGTTTCAAAGCCCAGGGATGCTGTTCGACAAACCGAGAAGTAAACTTGTTTGTTTTATCAATGTATATTCATCAAAATCGTCACAGTGTAATCGCAGGAATATACGTCAAATTAGGGAGATTGACAGGCAGATGACCTCGAGTTGGGAAGTTGTTGAATTGGCAAGGCTGCAATATCGCGCTAAGGCGGTCAACTAAACCCTAAATGGACGACAAGGCTGTGTGTCGCGCATCACCCTTGGTTTCCATGAGACTCACACGATGTCATCCCACGCCCACCTTTGCCACCCACCAGTCGTGGGAGCACGGGGAGTCCGTGAGCCGCAGATATTGAACGTACTCCACTTCGGACATTTCCATCCTGACCTCCACATGCGGGCATTGAATCAACAGTCTGTTGTTGACTTCTTGACAACAACAATCCCTACGAAGGTCATTCGAACACCACACACTACGGTGTAGGCACCCGGAGATCGACCCTCTGCTGGATTGTCATCATGAGATGCGCCTCGTCGTCATCTGCACATGTGCCCAGTGACACACCGGGAACGGAAACATAACACCTCTGACCTCAAGTCTCCAGCGAATATGGCCACGTTGTATCCGAAGGGCAAGCGCGCTGCAACCCAAAGAGGTGCATTTGTCGATCGAGTATGGCGATGCGACTGCGATCCCCGCCTTCCTGCAGAGAAATTCAAAGTCAAGAATGGGGGAAAGAATCATGGTAGATGGTGTAAGTTTCTCAGCAGTATTTGCGACTGCGACAGTACTGATGACCACTAGTCTATACCTGTCAAAAGCCTCAACACAAGCGATGCGGGTTCTTCCTCTGGTCCGACGACGCAAAGGTCCGCGAAGAGGCTGCAGTACTGAACAACTCTCGAACCGAGCCACAAGTGCAACCAAACAACATGCCTCAGACACCTCGAAAACCCCACCCAAATAGCCTTCCACCGACGCCTGTAACGAATCATAAGTCTGGACAAGCCCACAAAACACCCACTAAACCCAAGACCCCAATTCAGTCAGAAGACGATGACAGCTTTGACTGGTCTTCCAGCAATGATCAAGACCTTTTGAATGCCGAACGAGAAGTTCTCCTCGAACAACCTGTTTTCGAAACACCTCGCAAAGCAGCACGCACGCAGACCTTGACCTCACCTGGCAAGCGCAGACGTAGCGAGGTGTCTCCAGTTTTATCAACGCAAGATGGATGGCCCCTCAGTGATGATGTCTTCGCCACACCAACCACCTCATACAAGTCTTCGACCACTGGACTTCTCTCTCCAACAAACACACCTGCCAAATTGGCATCCCAACCAGACCGCCCTCAGCCGGAACCAGAGCCTTCAGTCTTGGCAACAGAAGCCCTGAGTATATTGCAAGGGAGTAACTTAAGTGCACAAGTGGAGAAAGACCTGGTGGAATTGCTCAATAGACACCACTTACGGACTCAAGGCATCATCAAAGGTCGTGATATTACTCGCGTAGCAGTCGCGGCCAAAGATGCCAGGATTGCAGAACTACAGGCTCGCATTGCTACCCTCGAAGCAGAACGAGAGACAAACCGTACCGTGATATCACTTTTGAAACACGACATGGCCACATCGCCCAAAAGACCACGGAATCCGACCCCATCTCGTCGATCAGTCGTGTGATGAGATCGATTGTGTTATCACACTATTTGAATCTTGTTCCTGAACTCGTGGCGGGGGTACCTGGGAAATGCACCCTTGGATTGGAGACAGCGAGCTGGAGAATTGATGCCATAGCCTTTAGAGACAGTGTTGAATACCCATGTTGAACAAATCCCAATCCCACGATTCCCACATGAAGTAACTGATTCCTGTGTACTGGTAGATTTACGAGAACCTGAGGGAGATACATACATAGAGTTGAAAAAGAAAAGAAAAAGAGGGGGCAACGCGAGAAGCATTCGAAGCTTTTACAGAGCCTTAGCCTTTGTATACGGCGGGTTTCCAATAAGTCAAGTCAAGTCAAGTCAAGTCACAAGGCTTCGTTCTCCTTTTTTTTAATTCTCTATCCATGCATGTCCCAATCTTGCCTCTCCACTCCCAGTTCACTCCTTCAAATCGCGACTCGGCTCGACTCGACTCGACTACAAGGTGAAGGAACGGCGAAAATAATAACAGAATAAAGCCGAACCCATCGAGGAAAAGCAATTGGAAGCACAAATCGAACCCAAGGAGAAAGAATAAAAAGAAACTACTTAAGTGTGGTTCTTGAGTTTTATTAATATCTAGTAGCGTCTCGATATCTCTATCGATATCGCTATCATCGCGCAATCGCTCGCTGAGCCACTACGAGAGTACGGAATACGCTACAGCCCTATCGCTAGGTATCTATTCATGGGTACATGTTGCGATGCTAAACCCCCGGGTGCAATCAAAAGAAATAAAAAGAAATCATCTGCTCCCGCCTTGAATCAAATAGTTCAGTCCTAGTCCAAGGTAGACACCCCACAGTAGGGAGTATTAGGGACTACTACTTACTAGGTAGGTATTTGGTCATTTATCTCTCTGGTGGTCTGAGCATCTGTCACTGTCACTGTCACTGTCACAATCACAATCAAGTCACGGTATTACATACATACAATACGCTGTATAAGGTGGTACCTATCCAATGATAATGATAATATGCAGGGACTTGCCATGTATCTTCTTATTAACTCAAATGGGGTTAGAGTCGTTTTTCGACATATTGACATCAAGGATGGCCAGCGCGGTGGGAAAGGAAATTCTTTGGCTCGTTGGTCAGATTTAGTGACTTTTGATTGTAAAAATATCTCTTGATCATCTCTATTCTGGTCCCATACCAAAAAACGTTGGGTTGCCAGTACAATGGGTCTTTGGTGAAGATATGCTTCAACGCTAATCAAAATTCACTCTTGTGGGATGTTTTGGCTTGGGTTCCACTTGAAGGCGAGTCCTCGAGGATCAGAGCGTAACGGTCAATCCATATTCTGTTATCGCAGATGGTGTGGCTAGGACTCTGCGACGGGCGATGTTGGAGAAGGTGCTCTCCCGCGCGATGACCTTATGGCTAGGCTTTGGACGCCCATGACCAAGTCTTCCATCGCCATAGACCCGATCTACCTTTAGTGGCCTCAGCGCATCCCTGCGCTTGCTGGTGAGCTTTATCAAGTCCTCCTCTACTTGTACTCGACTCCCTGGATGGCGGAGAGTCAAACAATCACCATCAGCACAGGAGGTCTGAAGTGGATCGTAGCCAGCTCCGGAGGTGGGTAGGTGCCATGTCCATTCGGATATGTGCACGTTGGCGAGGTTGAACTCCACTCCAGTTCACAGGAAGCGGTGTGTAGTCACTGCTGTTGTGGGCCTGCTGGTGCTTGGCAATCCTGTCCAAGAAGCTGACTCCGACAACACCTTCGAGCGGCACGTAGGGTCTGCCTTTCTTGTGCACAGTGGATGAGCGAGTGGCGACCAAGGTTGGCCAGAGAAAGGTGAAGATGGGTGTGTTTTTGGACTGTTTCGGGAGCAGAAAGTAGTCGTGGATTTAATCACATGGCAAATCATGTTTTGTAAGGTGAAAACTCGCTAAATTCGGGCAACCGATATTCATAAATTCGTCATGCGACCGATGTCGACATGTCAGATCAGATTCATAAGATGACGCATTTAGTTCCTCGTTTCTTGGTCGTGTCGGGGCGATAAGGTCGTTGATAGTCAGGATCATAATTAGCACGGACGCCAGGAGAAGGGCCATAGCCCGGCCCTTTGATGGGAAGATTCTGTTTGGGAGGCATTTGTCGTTGCCGGCGGAGTTGGCGAACAACGTCGAAAAACGCCTTTTCCACATTGATGCAATTCTTAGCCGAGGCTTCGACAAAGTCGCAACCCAGTTCCTTGGCCAAGGCCTGGCCTTCTTGTGCCGAAACCTCCCGTTCATGGTGTTGATCGTTTTTATTCCCGACAAGCATGACGGGTACAGGGCCGTTATAAGAAGGGCTGCCGTTCATTTGTGCGGGCAGGTAACTTGCACCGGTTGGGGAACCTGGATGACTCGATTCTTTGACCCTCTGGACTTGCTGATAAAACCTTTGTATCCTGTTAAAGGAATTGCGTGAGGTGATGCTGTAGACCAGGATAAAGCCTTCACCGTCTCGGATCCACTGATCTCGAAGTGCGGTATACTCCTCTTGGCCAGCGGTGTCGAGCACTTCCAGCATGCATGCCTGGTGATCAATCATGACCTGCTTCCTGTATGAGTCTTCGATGGTAGGATCGTATGTTTCGACAAAGTGGTTTAGACATAACTATAGCATCAAATCAGCGTCCGAACGGGCCGAGGGAGGCTTGAGGGATGCATACTTGAATTGTGAGGGCCGTCTTCCCCACGCCACCATCTCCCAGCACCACCAGCTTGTACAAAGTCATCTTCCCAGACGACATGGTGGCTGCTGTTTGCGTCAATGTGCCTTGAGCGAATTCAAAAGGTCGGACAGGTGTTGAGTGGACAATCAGCCAGTGCAAAAGATCATGCAAGTGGAAGACTGCGCAGGCTCAAGGTTTAAGACAAGGCGCCGGTATAATTGGGTTCACCGTGGACGGCCGATGACTTTAGCGGGACAGAGTTCAGAGTCTGGACCTGTCTCTGAACCCTAAGTTACGTGAGGCACCCACTGCAGGCGAGACAGAGGCTATGACCAAAAGACCCAACGGCAAAGGCTCCCACTGGACCACGCGGCAACCCGAATCTATTTCGTACCGACTCTGAGGGAGAGTGATTCGCGATGGGGGCTTATTTCGGGGGGCAATTGTCGTGTCGATCGAGACTTGGTTGGAGGAACGGACAATAATTCGAGAACGAGTGGAATTGAAGGAAAGGTGCAAGGGGACTTTTTTTGCTCTGGGGAAAAGCGCAGGCGCGGAGCAAAGAATCGAGGATGGAAGGATTGCACAGGCACAGGAACAGATGCAAGGCACTCAGTATGCTTGGGGGCCCGAGCCGATGTGTTGAACTTGCAGGGAGAATTGGACTCAGGGAATATTGGATAGAGTCAGACCTGCAGTAAGATCGACGAGAAGAGGAAGCGGTGGCCGGTGGGTGATGGATGTATTGGTTTCCAACTTTCAAGGGGATGGGATGGGGTGGATAGAGGCAGAGGAGGAGGACATTCCCGAGTTGGAGTCTTTTAGGCAGATGGGACACAATGGGAGCAAGGCCCGAGGGGCCGAGGGGGGACCCTGAGGCTAGTCGAGGGGTACGCCTGGGAACGGCCGCTGAGTGGTGAGTGATGAGTGGTGGGTTATTGGTGCTGAGGATCGATGGGCACCGATGGGCAACTACCAATCCCACTAGTTGGATAGTTGGATAGTTGGGCGGCTGGGTTGAATTAAACTACCGCAACTTAGTAGCCACCACCTCTCGGCACCACCCTAACGCAACTCTCTCCTCGTTGGTTAGGTGGGCAGTAGCTGCAATACGCACACCATGCCACACCTACGCATAGCAGCGGCATAGGCGCCCCTGGACAATCGCTGGGTCGATCAAGCACAGGTACCTCAACTTACCTAGGCAGTCAACTAGTATCCTTGGGGCCTAAAGTATTGTGTTAATGCCCTAGGTCCAATCTAGGCAGGTCGCCGGACTGGGATTGGAATTGCCATGAATGGACCTTTCCTCCAAACACTGGCACGACTGGCAACTCTGACCGCGGCCTTTTCAAGGCCATGCCATGCTATGCCATGCCACAAGAACATGTGCACCACCCGACATGGTCCATATCAACGATAAACAATCCATGGGGGGTGGCAATACTGTTGTCGTTCTTCCACCCTTGGCCCAACTGGGGACGGGGACAGCAAGCATGTATGGTTTTATTATTATATTGTAGCTTATGAAGAAGCGACCGACTGAACCTGGACCACGGGCCACCCGAGACGAACCCTCGGCCTTTTTTCTCCTCCGAATTGAGACGATCAGGGACACTGATTGTGTAATAAATGCCCGGGGTATTAAATGCACTCTCAGCATCAAAGACCAGGTTCAGTCGGTGATAGAGGATCGGTTGAGGTACGGCAGATTGACACACACCCGAGGAGTCAAAACTCCACGAAAATAAGCCGCTGTCCCTGTGCTTGATCAGTACCATTATTCTGTAGGTCATTCCAGTTTAGACCGGGTGGTGAGAAACCAGTTGTTTGTTTCTGCGACCTTGTGTGTACTCTCTCGTCCGAACCCATGGCGATAGAAGTCACCAGAAGGCCAAGGCCACCAGGGCACGGTTGATGAACAGCACTGCCAGTCTAGTAAAGTTGAGGGCGACGGGTCTCGGGCGGCAGCCTCCGCTGGTGGACTGTTTCTGTTTCGGTCGTAGGTGCGGATGGTGGGCCTTTGACTCTCGACACTTTACAGATCCCCGACATCAGGGTTTTGATGTCTTGTTACTCCAGGTCAGCGGTGGTACGGTGGCGCGGTAAATGGTGGCACCCGTAGCACGGGTAGTCAGTATCATCAGTCAATTGTGGCTCTGAAGACGGAGTCATGGACCTGGTATGGGGCAATGATCAGGAACGGCAGCACGGCAGCACGGCAGGCAGGAACCTGTCGAGGCAGGCACGAGGGTGGCACTTGGTAAGCGAGGATCCCCAGCATGAGACTACCTGCAACCTGGTACTACTTCCCTGCGTGCCTGTCTGGGATGCCCCTCGGCCACTGATGCGTACCTACCTTACCTAGGGACCTAAGGAACCTTAGGTACGAGTACTCGTATGCGTGTAGCGTATGCATCCTTTAGACAGCAGAACATCCAAGTCTCCCACCCACACTAGGTACTTACCCACGTTGGGACCTTCTCGATGAGGAAGAAATTGGCCCCCAAACGTTACGCACTCAGCACTGCAATTTCTTGGTTGCCCATCATAGCCTAATGACTCGGTGACAGCCTGCTAGGTGCTAGAGGCGAAGTATCTCAGTGCTGTGCATGTGTGGGCCATAGACTGTTGTTTACAAAGTAGTTCTTCGTATTTTTTTTCACTCTTTTTTTTCACTTTTACAATTCGAATAGTTGCAGCGTGGTTAGTAGGTAGTTTGTAGTTCGTGTCAGTTAGTGAGGCTTTGTTGATCAATTGCCCGTAGAGTACTCTTCAGACCGCCTGCAAATAATATGTCGAATCGGCCCCATCTTTGTACCTTAGCACCGAGCCTCCTTTGCTCCCCCACTGGACCACCGCTGAATTGCTTGCAGCCCAGAACCCCTTGCCAGTCAAACTACAGACTACTGTACGCAAACATTGTTAGCTGCATTCGTCTCGATAGATGCGGTTGTCTAGGCAGTGTCGACATCGCCCTTGCTCAAGAACACAAATAGTTTGACTACGCGTACTTACGGTCCCTAATGAACTAGTCATCATTTTGAGGACTCCGTAGTCTCTTTTCTTGTCCCGCCATTGTTGCTGTCCCCAAGAGAAAGAAAGGGACGAGGGGACAGGATGATGCTGGCGTTGGCGACTACAACTACGATGGCACTAGCAATCAACGAGGCCCTTCCCGCCACAGACTGAGTTGGAGCGACCACGGCGCTTTTCGGCATTCGCATTCAATTACGAGGCAGGCACGGGACGTCTAGCCAGGATGAAAGAATGTGTTCTCATCATATTCTCGCAGACAGATCGAGAACCCACGAATCCCAACAAATGATCAATAATGCTGCTACTTTCCCGTCACGCCCGTTCATTATCGATTGTGCCTCAATGTTTCATCGGAGAAACTTTGTTTTCGCCCTCTCCTGTCGATCAATCCTCGACGCATGGATTATCGGGAACCTTTTCCGTGAACAAAACGGAATAACGTGCCATGCCTCGCTTCCAAGCATCGGGAGGTCACATATCATAACATTACCATGGCACTTCCATCCTCAAGTGCCACATCTGTCGTATGCTTGACATTGACAGACGGTTATCAAGGTGAGAGTGATGTTACTGTCCCACTCGCTTACCATTCTCAATAATCACCACAAGGCTCATAGGATCCAGGGCAAGGATTGGCTAGAATTCCAAGAACCGACGGCAGTCAATTCCATCTACTCCCTGCCCCGCTACGCTTCCAAAGTTCCACGCCTCTCGAAATTGGCTCTGCAGCCTCGGTGCCTCTCCAACAACCCGCCGGCCATAGTTGCAACTGCAGGATCATCGACAGCACAGAAACGCTTGTCCCCAGCGGAGCTTGCATAACCAAGCATATTATGACCTCACGCCTACAGACACCGCCTTTTCCTGCGATTCCTCCAAAGCCCCTCTAATCAGCCAATCCTTCTCAAGGTTTCAAGCCTTTATCGAAGTTGAAGAAGAAATGCGCAATACCGACTTGCCATTGCTGACCGGGTCGTCACCAAAGCCTGCAATGCCCTTGACTCCAGCCTGATATGGTGTGTTTTTCTACTGCAAGACGGCGCCTTCCCTTACGGAGCAGTCGTGGCGGAGACCATCCAAGCCATCATGTCACGAGCAAGGTGTGAGAACCTAGACAAAGCTCCCAGTGAACAAGCACCTCGTAGAGTTTCAGAGGATTCGCACGCAATATGCAGTTGACTCATCACCTGCGATCATGAGACACTGATCCGAGGTAGAGAACCATTATCATGGCAAAAGGAAGCTCAGTCAAGGTCAAGCCAGAATAATCGCCCACAACAAGCCTAGATACTTACTATCTGGGTAACTGTTATGGTGCATGTCAACTTTGATGCACCGTCCTTGCGACCATTCAGATGGACCCAATCATACGTCAGTCTGGTAGGCTCACAAAAGCCGGCATGATGGTTCGACACCAGCCCCAACCAACCTCATCAGAATTGCCCTAAAATGATGACTCCAGACTCCAGAGACTACTGCTGGTCCCACCTCCCACGAGGCTTATCGGATTAGATAACTGAATTCGTTTAGGCATGGATTGGTCGACTCAAACTTGACACATGTCAACTCGCCATTATCCAACGTGCAAGGTGTTTTATCTCTATCTCGTCGACTTATCAACAGAATCCTCTGCTGGAGTCGGACAAGTGGGGGATCGCCTCCAACAAAGCGTGGGGAGATCAAGAAGTCTTCGTGCTGACGCCGTAGAATGACCACTCATCGGTCACCACCACATGCTAGACTCCCTCCCGCCTCCACAAGCATGAAAAGTTATCACTCTTCCCAATGATATAGAGTATGCCCATTTGTGCTGCCAGCACACAGTCCATTGGAACTCTCCGCCTTGCACGTACTCTAATGCTTGATTCAGCCCTTCCTTGGCTGCTCTCCACAGCTGAGGATGCATAGCGTGACTCTCACTATTGCCTGACATGCATCATGCTGCGAGGACGCTTCATAGGCGACGGCAGCCGTTAGATGCACCTGGTCCGAGTCTACAGCCATGACTATGAGTCTAGACAATCAATTCTCGCTTGGCCACCCTAAGTTGAGGACCATGAACTTAACAAAGCAATCGCTTGAACACCATTGGGTGGTAAAGCTAAAACAGCATGTAACGACAGTCAATATACTTATCTTCGCATAGCCTACGAATTCTCTTGCCCCGGGAGTCGAAGGTGAAGAAATCGCTGCTTCATCCGCCTTGCTTCTGTAAGCAGTCCCAGCGTGGGATTGACGACGGTGTCGCGTGCTCCTGAGATAAGTCTGACTTGATATGAGAAACGTAGGTCTCACCGAGACCCGTGATCGGCTGATGCTTGTTGCACCATGTGAGTGGGTTTAACCCATTTAACGCTGGATCGATCAGAACCGTCTGCTTGGATGGTAATGGTCTCAATGTGGCGTCGGTGTCGACATTCGGGTGACCATCGTTCCGCTAGACCCGCGCCACAGTGGCATTCAAAGAGATGCACCAGACATGTTGTTATGTGGCATCTTCATAATTGATCTAGAATCCTCTTTCAGCCCATTTCATGATCTTCACACTAGGAGATTCTCGACACCGGGAACCATCTAACCCCACAGATCAATCAAGAGATATTCTCTGCCATTACCTCTCCACATCAACGGTAACTTAGCAGCCGCTGTGACCACCGCAACTCGAATAAATTGAAGCCAACCACCCTGCATGGAGATGTTGCTGCAGATCGCATGTCCCGTTAGTCTTGCTGTTATTCGTTCAGAAGCGGTCTTGTTGCTCAGTATATGTGCTAAGATAAAGACCAAAAAAGAATGAAAAAATGACACCCAGAAAACAACAATGACGTCGTCTCTAGACATGATGCCTGGACCGAGCTTTGTGGCTCCATCTTTGGTTATTATTAGGGACACAAGTGAGCCTAGAATGGGGTTGCGGGCCATCCGTGCACGCCCGCAATGTCAATGAACCAATGGCCAGCGGCTGAGCGTCGAAAGGAATAGGTAAGCCTTGAGTGCCTGAATATCAGCCAGAAATAATGGCCAATCATCGACACACACACGGGCCTACCATTCGACACTGGCCACCCCCAAGCTGGATTTACGGGCACCGAAAAGTGCTCGAATGATGTGGACAGTCGGACGGTGAAAGGTGACCAAGGGCTTCCATGCGGTTGTCAATCACGTGTGGAAGCTTGGATCGCCCACAAAAGTTTACGCAGGCGTCATCCTAATCAATTCTCAGAGCTCACCGCAGCCGGTGAGGCTGGACAGGGTTTGTCATGAGTCGGTCCGTGTCTCAGAGACAACTGCGGGGGCGGAAATTCCAGTCGACTCTATGTCAGCATCAACCCAACGATCAACACCCAGCTGACCGAGCTGAGAACCACTGCAGACTTCTTACCTCTGCTCGGTCGGTGTGTTATTGTTTGCAATAAGGTTGTCGATAATCTGCTGTGTTTTTCTCTGTAACTCCTACGACCTGGAACGCACGTCCAACTCACTTGGGGAGTCACCTCGATTACTGAAACAGACCGAGCCCGTCTCGTATCCAGTTCTCAGGCCAGCCACCGACGAAGGCTCAAACCTCAATTTCCCCGTTCCTGTCTTGCAACTCGACTTCTTCTCGACTTCAACACTCCCACGATCTCCTCGCCACAGTATAGAGAGTCACAATATTCAACATGGGAGAATCAGTACGTACCACAGCCCAGTCCCTCATCGCCATCGTCTGCTGACACACTGCTACAGCAAGCTCAAGACTTGAACGGTGTTTCAGATGGTTCCTTTCGAAGGCCAGAGAGTGCCTTTCGTAACACCATCTCTTCTGAAGCAGGAGCCCAATATCCTCCAGAAAAGGACCGCTATGCTCTCTACGTCAACTATGGATGCCCTTGGGTATGGCTCATCCAGTCCCCGTCCCCCTTCCTTTGACAGTAATACCACAGCAAGCTAACATTTCTCTCTTTTCCAGGCACACCGTACCATCCTCGTCCGTGCCCTGAAGTCTCTCGAACCCGTCGTCGAACTCATCTGCACCGATATTGACATGGGCGACAATGGCTGGTTGTTTACAGGCAGAAATGGATCCTCTCGAGCCGACCCTCTATATGGCTTCACGAACATGCAACAACTGTACCTAAAAGCCGACCCCAACTTTGTGGGCCGTTACACGGTCCCAGTGTTATGGGATAAGAAGACACATACCATTGTGAACAACGAGTCCAGCGAGATCATCCGGATCCTGTACAGCGCATTCGACGACTTCCTCGAGCCAGACCAGCGTGAAATCAACAAACCCGGCGGAGGGTTCTATCCACCACACCTGCGGACGCAGATTGACGCCATGAACACGTGGGTATACGACACCATCAACAATGGGGTATACAAGTGCGGATTTGCCAAGACGCAAGAAGCATACGAAGAAAACCTCTACCCACTGTTCAAATCGCTCGACCGAATCGAAAGCCACCTATCCAACCCTGCGCATCAGCCATACCTATTTGGCGGGCAAATCACCGAAGCCGACATTCGGCTGTACACGACAATAGCGCGATTCGACGTAGCATACCACAACATCTTCAACTGCAACCTCAAAACCATCCGCCACGACTACCCACACATCTCCAAATGGTTGCGAAATCTGTACTGGGATGACAGCGACCGCACCAACCAGGGTGTGTTCAAGAAAACAACCTTTTTCGAACTCTACAAATGGGGCTACTTGAAGGCGAGACTACGGGCCCTTATCGGGAACACTGCGGCGGCATCTTTCCCACTGATCATCCCTCGTGGCCCACAGCCGGATATGCTTCCTTTGACAGATGAGGAAGAGGCGGAATTGATCCAAAGTACCACGCGCAAGCTCAATGGTTTGACGCTGGACTCGTCAGCAGCAGCAGCAACTGCCACCTCGCCTCACGCCAACCCTTTTTCGGCCGCCCCAGGAGGTGGCATGGGTGCTCTGTTTGGTGCGGACATTGATTCGCCTACCGCAGAGGAAACCGGCTCCGTTACTACTGGGATTGGCTCGACTGTTGCTAGTCCCTCGGCCAAGAGTAAGGTCGACGACGACGATGGAGAGACTGGGTTTGACGATAATGGTGAATTCCACCCTCGACGTCTCATTAAGCGGAGAACTACCTACAATGAAGAAAACGCAAAATGGTACAAGGCTGCCAAACGTGCGGAGAAGAAGTCGGGTGCTCCCAACATCCATCTCGCATTGTGATGTGATCTTGTGATGATTCTCTGAGACAACCTCGAGTGAATGATTGTAAAGTGGCTCATTGGAGGGTCGACTCGGTCTGTTGTTCCTTCCTGGTCAATGAGAAAAAGCGACAAGAAAAAGCTGTGTCCTCTTTGCTTGATGACCCTTTCTGATCTACTCTGCAGACGCTTGCCAGGCAAAGGGCAAATAGCAAGAGAGCAAGGAACAGGAAATCTTTGGTTACTCCCTCCCTCCCTCCCTCTCTCTCTCTCTCTCTCTCTCTCTCTCTCTCTCTCTCTCTCTCTCTCTCTCTCTCTCTCTCTCTCTCTCTTTAGGTAGCGTCCGAGTTGGGTGGCACGGAAATGTCATATAATGTAGTGGCGCCAGATCATGATTCCTGAAGGAGTCTATGAACAGCATCTGTTTCTGTATACAGAGTGGGATTCTATTGGGAGTTAACTTCTACATACCTACCTTGAATCCAGCTGCCATGTGACATATACATGTTATCCTTTGAGATTCAAAACACTTTCTCTCTCCCCCTCTCTCACTTCAACCCAAACCTCTTCGCAATCTCCAAGAATCCCACATCCCCATCATCCAAGTCGATCCACATATCAACCCAACCTTCCGCTTTCGCCTTTGCAGCCTCTTCTGGCGACCAAGACTCTTCTCGAAATCGATCGATATAAATCGTCTGATATCCAACCTCTCTCGCCGCCTTCAAATCACCCAGATGAGCCGCAATCAGGGCACATTCCTGAGGTTGACAGCCGAGTTTCTTAGCCGCGCCCAGATACACACTGGGGTGGGGTTTATAGGCGCCAAAATCCTCAGCGGAGATGATGTGTTTATAAGGCAAGGAGCCGTGAGATGCCAAGTCGGAGAGAAGACTAGTGTTACCGTTGCTCAGTGTGGCGGTCTCGAATTTTTGATTCAGGAGGCCGAGACCACGTGCTGAGTCGGACCATGGGTCGAGGAAATGCCAGATCAGACTGATTTTTTGGATTTCCTGGTCGGTCCATAGGCCGTCGAGGCCGTGGGAGCCGAGGATTTTGTTCAGTGCTTCAACGTGGTGTTGGTCGACGGTTTTGAAGTTCGAGCGGTCTTTGTTCGATGGGTCATAGGTGCGTGTGAATTCGTAGTATGAGGTGCGCCATACTTGCGCGATGTCGCCCCATGAGATGCTGTCGCATGCAGTTCGCACTGTGGATGGGATGGACCGTGTTGATGAGTTGAGGGCGTCTGCGGCGGCGGTTGTTAGATACCTCGTCACTGTCGATCGCCAGTCGACGACAGTGCCAAAGACGTCGGTGAGTAAGGCTTTCGGTGGGTTGCTGATCGACATGTTGATTTTAAAGCGAGAGTGTTTGGGCGATGCGTGGTTGGATATAGGTAGGTATTTTCGAGGTTCATGCACGACAAAGAACAACAGAAGATGATCTTATATAGAAACTCACCAAGTGATTGAAAAGACAGGAATGGATATGGAAATGGAAGTAAAGTGAGTCACAGTCACTCATTCACCTCGGAATATGTCGTCAATGACAGCACAGATGCCGGATGAGGGGTAATGAGACTTGGAGTTGGAGATTCAATGTCAGATCGAAGCCGTGATCATTGGACAACAACAGCCATGAGATGTCCGAATCCTGGAGAAAGCCTTGGCCGAAGGATATCGTGAAGTAAAAGGTGTACTGTTGTCAGTCAGAACAAAGTTCTTCCGCAGATATAACAGTGTAGGGATTGTAAAAGTCGCATGGTGGTGGAAGAATGCGGGCTTTTGCCAAGCGCGATGTAAATCGGATATTCATAAACCCGAAATCTGTGCGACTAACTTCGGATGGACGATCTTGGGGAAAGTGTAGCGGCACAAAGTGGCCCGCGGTGCGAGCGCATCTTGGAACTTCCTCGAGACATGAGGCACCTGGCACACGTGGTCGTTAGGAATGTGATGTATCTATCACTCATGATGATCATGATGGTGACAATATGAAACACATGGCTGGTCAAAGCACTGGCCAGGTAAATCACTGGACCAGGGCTGTTGTGACAATGATGGATGCACGTGCATGTCAATCATAATGATGGGATGATGGCGTCGTCCTGAAGGCGAATGATGTCTTTGAGACAGGTCATGGCAACATCTTAATTTGGCTGCCTCTTATTCCAAATGGCGATTTGGAAATGGAGTACCTTCTTTAGGATGTGTTCAACTAGGCTTTCGAGTTGGTCATAAATTCAGGACGAGGGACTAGAGGTTCAAGCAGGTTTATTAGCCGTTGAAGTCTTGCCAGGTCACCCAGGTGAAGGAGTCGGGGGCTATTGAGGGGAAGCCTGCAGACTCTGGGATCAGTTAACCTTGTGCATCGCCTGCTGGCTCTTTCCTGGTGTGCCTGGGCTTGCATCAACGGTATGACGGCCCCCTCGGCCTGACTCATTGTATTGAATAATAATAACAGCATGATCAAGGTCACCCTGCCTTGTAACATGATAGCGGTTGCCGAAATCGAGCACGCTCCATACAATCGTGGACTCGCTCGCTCGTGGTGATCATTATTGCGACTCTACGGACTACAGGATGAGGTGCTCATGGAGCTCTAGACCCTAGCTGCTACCGCTCGTAGCCAATTAGTCTTTCTTAGCCCAGGTTTTCAACACGCCCATCACAAACTAACAACAACCGAGAGTGCCATTACAGGCATTCTCTCAAACAGCGCACAAACCCATCTGATTCCCCGAAACAGACCCCAATATTCCCCCCACAACTTCTTGAAGATGTGCTTCATTCCGACTTGGATGTCCTGGTAAGAGCTTCTACGGGTATAAAATGTGCGACTAGCTGGTCCTGGCTCACGCACGGCCAGGATGTACTGTGTCCTCTGATTACAATCTGCAAAGGAATGCAAGTTGCCGCACACGGCTCAGCTGCACAAGAAATCCGATGCATGTACGTACACTCGATGCATGTACGTACACCCGATCAGAGATCTCCAGGTCAGCATGCAGGTAGTTCATGCTGGTTTGCCCTTCGGCTCCATATACCTTGTTCTTCACTCAGAGTGCTAACTTTCTGGAGAAAAGATGCAAACTCTGACTGCCACTCTTTGCGCAGTCGACAAGGTAGGTGGAAAATGAGCCAAGGTCATGTTGGATACCTAGGTACGTGGATTCTAAAAGCAGAGGTAATCGACCCATTGATCGATAGCTTGATTATTGGTCTAGAGGCATCCAAATTCCCCGACAGAAGGGCGGCGGTGGCTCCTCAAAGTGCGGAGCACAAATACCCAGGCACGGGCCCTTGGTTCCTGGTCACCGTGAGGGGCTCATGGAGCTTTGAAACAGCTTCCCTGTTCAACGAGCCTATTGGGGGAGGGGCTAGCCCCCTTGGCATGTCCCTTCACATCACTTTCCGGTCCGAGGCGGCCTCGGGAATCCCCTAATTCTAGGTAATCTCCAGCTTAGAGGCCGGCCTAAACTCTCGGTTATAGGCCGTTCTTGCTTAGGACCCACCATCCCCGTCAAGCCTCCAAAGCCCCATACCACACCAAATCCTCCAGTCAGAAATAGGCCTGTTGGTGCCTGTGCCCTCTCAAGATCACCCTTCGCACAGACTTTGACCCTCTTCAATTTTGACAGGTACTTGGATCTGAGTTTATATACGAAAGGATCAGCCATTTGAACCCTCTGAAATGCCACGAGGGAACAACGCGGCAAGAGTCAATTTTATTATTATGTACGTACTGTACACATAATTTGTGTTTTATTCGTACAGACGCAAGGGTTTGGTTCGCAGCTGTGTGTACAGATCATCACCCTGGTCAGTCGGGTCTTGAAACTGCCCGCCAAAGGAGAAGCTTGCAGATCGTTGCTAGTCGGTTGTAGTAGCAGTGCCAGGCACATACGCGACCCTTATCGAACAGGATTCCTCAACATCCTAGCAACTTAGCAAGCATTGCTGTTGGTTTTCTCTATCCGTACTGTTGATGCGGATGTCTGGGTAGTTAGAGGGCCGAATCAACAATGCCCACAGATCCATGTACTTCTGGAGCTCTTGCACCCTGCACTAGCCATAGTCAGTCTAGCAGTTTCCACTCACTCTTACGATCCTTGTCCACCATCACTTCACCTTGAACCCAGAGTGACCAGCTACTGCTGCTGCCCCTGAGACAATCACCATGCTTCCTCCATTCACTGTCTCATGCCCAATCACTCCCCAGCCCATCATGCATACACCTTGTCTGCCGATCAGCCTAAAACCCAATCCGAAATCTTCAATCCTTGCTACAGACACGCTTCCCTGCGGCCTACAACGGAGTACTGACCACGTCCACGACCCGTGGTTTTGGTCTTCAACGGTCCCTTCGACACTGTCACGCCTGTGTTGGAACATGTACGGCCAATCGATCCCTCTCACCACTGGTCGTGAAGACACCACCACCTAAACCTACGTATCAGCCTCATCCTCTCCCCTCCCATTGAGTCCCACACTCTTCCATGGCCCTCTTGGTCTCCACTGCTTCTCGCAGTCCCCGGTTCATATCCACCGCCGTTCTGAGTTTTCAAGGCTCTTCCTTACACGTCCGTCACTCTTCTGACGTCTCCTCCTCCTGACAACCGTTGACTGACGCCCTTTCCACCTACTTGTCTATCTTTCACCTGTCTGTTGTTTCGTTGAGGCGGCACGCTGCGCATCGACTTCATCGCATTCACCGACCTGCAGATATCTGAACAGTCACCTCCAAGTCAACCGGTTCTCTTCACGACATGGGCGGTGCATAGGCCTGACTCTTGGTCTGTGAGTCAACCTTGTTTCGCATCCTGACTGTCATTGCGCGGGAAGCAACTTGACTCAGTCATATCTGAGCATGAATCTATTTAGCCAGGTTGGACATTGAACCAACCGTGGCAAAGCTCTGGCCTCCAATGATGGAACAAGAATTCAACTATACTCTGCCGTCGCCCACCGACACTCCCTACCGCACTCCTTCAAGTTCTCAATCACTTCGTTCGCGGCGATACGACGACATGTCACCGTCGTCTACACCCCCTCCGATGCCAGAGGACAGGGATCGGGAACGGGCAAGCAAGCGAAGAAGTCAAGATTCTGACAACCCCGCGCTGGATGACACCATCTCACCGCTTGATCCTAGGAGATTTACTCCTACCCTCCATGCCTCTCTGGTGTCGGAAATCCTCTCCTTGAGGAGGGATCTGGAAAGCCGTACCGATGATATTGATAAACTGGAAATCAGTTTGCACAATGCACAAACCCAAAATGAACTCTTGAACAACAGCATTCTCCAGGCAAACAAGGAAAATCGTTCCATCAAAAGGCAAATGCAACTGCTAGAAGGTGGCACCCTTTCTGCGCTCACTGACCTTGCTAAAGAGCGAGATGAGGCTTTCAATGATGTTTCAGACCTTCGCAAACGCCTGGACCAAAGCCAGAGGAAGATGAAGAGCCAGGAAGAGGCTGTCGAGAGAATCCAAGCATCATGGGACAAAGACAGAGAGACCTGGCTTGCCGAACGGCGTGGTCTCGACACTAAAGTCCATATTGCAGAAGGCCGACTGAGAGTTGTGCTGAGTGAAGTTGCCAATTCCCACAACCAACATCAACACCAACCTCCCCCAGGCTCTCCTACCGAGCGAACATGCAACAGTCGAAACAGCATCATGGAGAGTCCGAGCAAGGCGTCCATTCTCACACGAAGAGGCCGCAGGCACAGCGCCAATTCGGTCAACAGTGAAGTCCATGGCGGCCGCGTGTCGGTTCTGAGCTTTCACAATGGTGTCTCAACCAACCTTGCAGATGAATTGGCCTTTGACGAGCTTGAAGAGGACATGGCACATGCAGATGAGCCTGAAGACGGTAGACTGTCGCCAGATGCCTTGCCTGAAGAACATGTCCGGTCAGCCTCAAGTCTCTCTATCAAAGCTCGAAAAGTCTTGGGACTACCTTTGGACTTTGGAGAGCCAGAGCGCAACGAAAGTCCAGACCGCGATCGGTACCGCTCAAGCGTGAGATATGTGGACACTGCGATCCAGTTCTCTCCACCCCCTTCACCATGGCCCGTCCTAGATTCCGACAAGAAAACCCATGGTCAACGGCCAACTGAGATTCAAACCGCAGCATCCAGGCAGGCTGCCGTGAGCCCTGGTCCAGAAAGCCCTGTCGAAGATGTTGATTTCCGGTGGTCGATGCAGCGACCTGTCATGGTTTCTTCTTCCTGTCAAACGGTAGAAGCTTTGCCCAGTCCTCCATTGACACCGGAGAAGCACGAAAGCGTGTTGGCCACCATTCCCGAGAGTATGCTAGAAATTAATGAGACCAGCACCGTCGGAACTCAGACCGACTTGGCTCCCCCTCTCATTGAGAAGATTGGCCACAAGCATACCGGCAGCGACGAAACTTTGGATTTGAGGGTACCCCTGATCGCAATCATACCGCCTGCTTCTCGACCTGCCACACCTGAAACTAATGTCGTGTTACCACCGAGAACCAGAAATGCAGCTATCCAAGTTATCGTTCAATCGCTTTCAGGATATTCGTCCGCTTCAGTGCAGACAGAGGAGATTCGTGTCGATAAAAGGGCAATTGTCCCACTCTCTGACATGCCACCAGCTCCCCTGTCGAACCTTTTCCGACCACCAATGTCATCCAGGGCTGTTCCACCCCCAATTGCGCGCGCAAAGACATCACCCATCAACTCCATGTTCAATTCAAGGCGCTCGCTCCCTGGGCCATCGAAGCAACCCCCCTTGAACGACACTGGACCTCTTGCAAAGGACTTTGCATCTAACGTGCCCCGGCCTGTTAGGGCTAGTAGCCTGTTTGCCGGCTTTGACAACGATGCTGAGAATCATGACGATATCTTTGATGAGGAATTGTTCCAAGATGACGACATATTCAGCCGGCCCACAGCCAAGTTTGTCCTCCGATCCGGCAGAATGGTGTCCCACGACCCTCTGGTGGAAGACGTTGGCCAAAGAACAGCGGCTAGTGCAGGCGAAGCCGCAGCCTTGGACAATCTTCGATTATCGGAAGACAATTTGCCACCAGAAATGAGATCTATTTTGTATCAATCGCGTATGCAACCGCGAGGGCCTCAGTCACGCCCCAACATCTCTTCGAAACTGAAACGCGTTCCTTCTACCAAAGGAGGCAACATGAGGCGCGCGGCCATGATATCCAGTGGCGCGGCAGCTCACCACTCCTCCCACTCGCAATCTACCACCGCCTCACATGACAGCACCAATCCTCCACCCTTCCCTGTTCCGTTGAGATACAGCTCCGCCAGGGTGGGCAAGTCCATCAGTGAAGGAGGAAGAAGCTCTCCGGGTAGCAGAGATGCTTCACCGACGAAGCGTCCACGGCACAAAGCCATGAAGCCATTTTTGCGAAAAGCGAGATCTGGGCCTGCCATATCACCCCATTCTCAATCCCGTCGCGCTCGCAGTCGTTCACCGCCCTCCGACCCTCGTGTTTCTATCGTGCCGGATATGCCCAGCTTTCAGATGCCTTCGACGGTCCCACTTTCATTCTTGTCCGAGCCCTACAGTCAACAGCAAGAAGCAAGTGCTCCTCGCCCGTCAGTGGCTACCGGTCCTAGCCGCAGAGGGACACATGCCAAGACCAATTCTGACACAGTTTCGATGCAACAAACTTCAGTGGTTGATTCGATTGCTCAGACCATGGTGGGCGAGTGGATGTATAAATATGTTAGAAGACGAAAGTCGTTCGGAGTGACGGACAAGGCAGACTGGGATGCGAACAAGAGCGTGGAAGAAATTTCTCAAAGCGTCACTAACAACGGAGTGCGACATAAGCGATGGGTGTGGCTGGCTCCGTACGAGAGAGCAGTCATGTGGAGTAGCCGACAGCCAACCTCAGGGACAGCATTGATGGGCAAAAGTGGGCGAAAATGTAAGTGCATGGACGATTTTGGACCCAGCAGGGATGGGGACTAACATGGAATACAGTGACAATCAAATCAGTGCTTGATGTGAAAGACGATAATCCTATGGCCAAAGGAACCATAACAGGGCCACAGTTTAATCGATCTATTCTTATCTTGACACCACAGCGCGCTCTCAAGTTCACTGCCACCTCGCAGGAACGACATTATGTCTGGTTGACCGCGCTGTCATTCTTGTCACATTCACCTCTCAATGTCAACGAGCTCACAGCTGTCCCTCCTCCGCCCCCACCGGACCACGAAAGCATTGCACCTACCGCGTCTCTTGCTGGCTCTTTCCGCCGCCGACCAATTCGTGATTCAATCCGAGTGGCAAAGAACGCAGTCAGGACAGGCACAGGATCTGGCAACAGATCTTTCACGACAGACGGGTCCCTTCCGGTGCAGGATTCGAGGCCACCAACACGAGATTTCTACGATCCTACAACGGATCCAGCGCTCCCACCCACGATTCCTCGACATGCTCGAAAGAGGAGCAACACAGCTCCTCGGGCACCCCCGAGCTCATTCCGAAGTTTTTCCGCCAAAGAGGCCACTCCCAGCTTGCCGGGCCCGGGATCGACGTACTCACACAGTATACAATCCACGGCGGTGTACTCTTCTGATCGAGGAGGATTTTATACTCCTAGTCTGGGGATGCAGAGCATCGTTAGTAGTAGAAGGGGCAGTGAAGCGAGTGCTTCGGGCAGACCACCACTGCCGTCGATCTTGCTTGACAACCAGGCAGCGACCATGAGAATGGACGCTTTTATTGAAGGAAAGCGATCGACATCATCAAGCAGACCTTCGTTCAACATGATGCGAGGTCAATCGAAAAGAAAAGACATGGGGTATTGGGGATTTGAGCAAGGTAGAGAGAGTATCAGTCCGGTAGACTCTCTTCTACACAGCGAAATGATGGCAGCATCCTCGACTAGAGGAAGCAATGAGTCGAGAGACCCATGGCGGGGATTCTGAGATTTCGTCGTTGGCACAATTTGAGCTTTGATTTGTACATGGCGCAACAGGAATGGATGCGGAGTCGAATTTTGGGCAAAGTTGGCAGACGACAGACTTACGATCGATGAGGGTAACGGATACCAGCGATTCTTCGATCGGATCGAACGGCGTCGGCAAAAGACGCTTTTTCGTCACCCGACACTGATTACGGCGTTTGTGATTGAAGGAACAGGATGGTGTTTTCCTGGTTCCGAGACAAGTTTCGGCGAGGATGGAAGGGGAAATCTGATAAACCAACCATTCTCTTTGAACTGGCACGGCTACAACAGAAAAAGACCACAGATGACGAAAGGTCTGGCCCGAGCCTGGGAGGAGTCTGCGATTGGTTATTTTACTGTACTGTGTATATATAATCTCTGGCCAGTTCATATACCCCATTTTGTTCTGTCAAGCAAATGAGACAGTTGAGCGATTGTACCAAAGCATGGGGGAGAATTTCTCATAGGTTGTTGAAGTTGTATATTCGTAAGGGATTCGATTCAGATGTACCTATTCATTTTCTTGATGTTTGTCTTGTTATTATCGGTAGTACCTAAACTGGACCTCACGATGTTCTAGACCACAACAACAACAATCAATCAATCTCCTCCCATTGTGATTCTTCTAGCGTCGTTGTTCAATCTATTCTTAGATAGTCCTGCGAGTGATCCAGACGACAGAAAGTTTCCTTCCTAAGCAGATAGATGATCTTGTCTCATAAATCAACCCACCAAGGATCGACTAATCTCCATCACCAGTACCTGGATATCTGGATATAGACAACAACTACTTTGATAGCTAGGGTGCTAGGCCGCGTGGTTGGTACCTACCTGGTACTCAGTACGTATGGACCACTAGACTACACCGTCAGGTCTTTTTTTGGACATATTTGATTGTATGCATGTATGTCTCTATTGTAGATACAGATTGTAATGATCTACAGCCAATATGCAATGCAAAACATGTGTACGGCATTCATATATGTGAAGGCACATATGTATGTAAATATCTATTGTGCTTATGCATATGTACTACTGTATGGCCTCCTCTGACCAATACTCAATCTCACTGTTCACCCACCCCATAGACCACGCCTGCTACCACAGCACATCAAAGCAATCTTGATTTTACAGTACTTGCATCAGTGAAGTCACTTTTACTGTACATACGGAGTATTTTGCGCCTGTGCTTGTTGTTTGTTCCTTACTATAATTAGAACGAAGCGGTTTCAGATTTAATTAGCGGGACGAACCAACCGAAAGTTGGAGTTGCGGCCGCGACGCTAAAAATACGAGTTACAGTATGTACGGAGCACGAAGTACTCGCGATCAGGACAGGGCAGAACAGGATTGTATGTATGGAGTAGGTAGTAGGTAGGGAAACCCTGGAACTACTCAGTAGAAACAAACAACGCAACAGAGGGCATCGCTCGTTGTTTCCGATATACAGTCCTACACTATATGTGCCCTACATCCAGATCCATGCGAACAATATACTTCTATTGCAATGCATCCCATCCCATCCCATTCTATACATACCTAGGTAATCATCATCATGAAAGAGACATATTTCCGGCTCAACAACACGCACACACCTACGCATTAATCCACGCTTGAATGATTGCAAAATTTGATATCTTCCCTTGCTGAAGTAAAGTCGATCGATCCTGTGACCTTGTTCTCGATCCGGCTACGCGATATTTATTATTGGTATGAATAGAGGGTCGTGTTTCCTGACAGGTACTTTTGATAGGATACGCCTGAATAGGCCAAGACGGGCACTTGATCGTTAAGGGAGATAGGTTTAGGATTACGCATCCTGAGAGGTAACTTTTGGTTCTCGGATGTTTTGTTCTGGTGTTTTTCTCTTCATTGCTTGATTTGCTTCGCTAGGTACTCTTGGTACTTATGGAGTACTCGGTTCCAGATGGCCATTGCTGCCTTGCTGTTAATTACGACCGCTGGTTGGGTGGGTTTCTCGTTGATGTCCTTTGACTGAACCGTTAACCGCACGTGCCCCTCGGCCCATCCTACCACTCACTAGGGGACCTAAATGTGGTTAGGTGCGCTTGCGCATACCTATACCAAGGACCTTAGGACTACGGAGTAAGTAGAGAGATGGATATCACGCCGACTGTGATGCCGACACCGACGCCGACGCCAACACCAACGTGGAGTGATTAGTTGACTGGACCGAATTTCGACACCCAGGTTCCAAAATCTACTGTACGTACCTACCTACTACTACTGTAGATCGTTCGTCCTTCACCGGTGCGGAAAAAAGCCATCAAACCTGATTGCTTCATCTTCCTTCTCGCCAGTCCGGGCCCCCCTTCCATAACCCCACACCCACACCTCCTCTCAACGACCCTGACCAGATCAGATTTGACCGAAATTGACTTGACCAACTCCAGACAAAGAGGGACGTCAAGATCTCAAAAGATCATCTCGTTGCTTGTCCTAACCACCGACTAGTGTATATTTCCGATCTTCTAAACACCCCACGGCTGCTATATATAGATGTCTCAAGCTCTTTAGCGGGCATCTTGTCGTCGTACGTTAGGACTTGGTTGGGTCTGGCATCTGGGGTCTATTTTTGCTTGACACGCAATCGGATTGTCTATTTTCAAGGTCTTCGACTTGGTTACCGCCAAAGAACTGGAGGCACGGTCAGAACCAAAGCCAAGGGTTGGTGGGTTTCATTTCATTTCATTGCCTTTCCTAAATGAGGGTCGAGAGTGACGGTCTGATACTTTGTGTATAAAAGGACATTGGATCCCGATCTTCGCTACAGAAAAGCCTGGCAGGTCGACTACCATCGTTTTGAATCTCTCGATCTCAATTCTATCAAACAACATCATCAAGTACTATACATTGGTTTCTATTGGATTCCTCATCCATCAACCTCAACGACCGACGTCCTCTCCCGTCCTCAAGATCAAATCAATGGCGCCTGTAACCATGGGTGGACTCTCAATGCCATCTCTATTACTGGCATTGAGCCTCCCCTTTGCCGCCATGGGCCAACAGGCCGAGGCCACAGTGACATCGCTGTTACAAGCTTCAGACCCGCATTTCGCTGCAACCGCCACCTTTCCCAGCGCCGTCTTAACCACCATCACGCTGATCGCCAGCACAGGAGATGTCAGTGACGTGCCAGGGGCTGATCCCACCGCCCCCATCATCACGTCCTACTACATCAATCCTGACTTCGACGCTATTTACAGCTCTGTTTCAGGTATTAGTACCACCTATATCGTCTTGCCGGACGGTTCGACCGTTATTCTCGAGGGTGGCAATGGAACTGGTGTGCTCGCTACGTCCACAGCAACTCCCTCGGTTGACGGAGTTTCAAGTGTTACTGCGACTCCCTCTGGCGGCTCAGTTATTCATGTGACTGCATCCGATGATGTCCCAACGTTTACTACCTCTCCGACGTCGACTCAGACAGGGACAGGTGTTGGTGCTCCACAAGGTGCCGGTGGTACGGAAACGACAAGCTCGATCGGAGCTGGGTTTACCGGTCAGGCAAATAAGGTGACTGGTTTGGGTACAGGAGTGGGATTTGTGGCAGGTCTTGTTGGTCTGTTGGGCGCTGTTATCTAGTCGTAACAGAGCGGAGACGTGGAGGAGGAGTAATAAGACTGTATAAAGAAGGATATGGGAGGGTGTATGGGGAGTGTATGAAGAAGTAGGAGGATAGGGGGGAAATTGCATTCGTCAAGGTCATGTATATGGCCTTTCATCACACTGTCAGATCTGCAGATCAGTTCATCGCGATACAACCCCAGCTGGAGAACTATTTTCAGCGAAGCCAAACAAGTATGTTGCGTTGGAGCTCGAAGTGGACACAATTTTTCTATTCGATAGCCGTTTTTTTTTTGGATGGACCTTCCAACATATACCTCTGCGCTACCGACTGGATCTCCTCTCCTCCATGTGTGTATGACAAACCTACAACTCATCGCCAACGGGGGCCGCGACTTTGAATAAGTTAAACAAGGCAGTCCATAGACCTCGAAGTCCTTTGGCAGCTCCAGCTACGGCCTCATCTGCCAGTTCTCCTGCCAATCCGTCTTCGTCGCCTTTGTCGCCAGGTACACAGGTGCGTTTAGTGTCGCCGACGGCTGCTGGATTGTTGGTCTTTTCGCCAATACGCGATCTGCGACATCCAGGTGGGCATTTGCCATTTTCGTTGAATTGCCAGGCAAATAGTGGGTCTGTCTCGTCGGCAAGGACATGAGGCACCATTCGTGTTTTGGTTGGCAGGCTAGAAGCCTTTTCAAATATTTGAGATGAGCTCAAAGAAATTTGTGGCCATGATTGCTTAACCAGAGTGTCGAGGGATGTGGCATAGACATAATCTTTAAAGCCAGCCCAGCGGATTGCTGTGGCACACTGATGGTGGAGGGATGGTTAGTACCTAGGCATGGGAGAAGAGAATGGGGAGGTTGCTTAGTCATGGGTTCGTACCATAGGGCATGCCTCGGCGGTTGTGTAGAGACTCAACCCTTGGAATGCACCAAGAGCTTCCCGCCCAACGAGATTGTATGGCTCAGATGTCAGGATGCGAGAGCAGTTGTTGATAGCAGCGATCTCACCTTGGAGGTTGTGGTCAGCTGAGTGGAAAAGGAGCATGAAGAAGATGTACCGTGTAGAGTGGGATTGCCATTCTGAATGATGGAATTGGCTCCAATGCAGATTAATTCTCCATGTTCAGAATTGGTGGTATCTGAGTGATTGACAATAGCTGATCCAAATGCCTCAAAAGGACATGGAGATCCGGTCAATTCGGCCAGGGCATCGACTGAGCGACGCATCCAGTGATTCCGAGATTCCACGGGGACTGTGTCGACGTCATCTTGAGCATGAACAAACCAGGGAATAGAGAAGAGGGCAAGGTAGGTGGGATTGAGATGCATGATGGAAGTGAACAGTGGATGGACGAAATAAAGTGATTAGATGATTCTTCTACAATGGTAAAGGAAGAAATCTTCAATTGTTGCTGTGGTTTAACATATTATGATATTAGATGAGATGCCTGTATCTTGTTGTTGTTGGTGTTGGTGGGGTGCCTGAACTTCGTCCCCAGCGACGACGTATGAGGCTTGGATTGTGGGCCAAAGCGTCAGAGGTTGACTTTGACTTTGTTCGAAAATGCGATTTGGCCGTGGAACCATAACAAACATGGTAGAGGAAAAGACAGACCGGTGTATGTAAATATTTATCTATTGAATGAAAGAAGTAGAAGAGGTCCTCGTCGTGCACCTTTGTTACCCAAGACATGTACTATCACTAAATTCCTAGGTGTCTTAGGCACCTAAAAGACACTCTTTCAGTTGGCACCCGCCCAGTTCTAGGTCGCTCCATGATTATTTAAGCCTTGATTGAACCCTTTTAGCCCCTCGGCCGTCTTGGCTCGGACATCTAGCCCGAGGCGGCCCTAAAAGATGACCTCCAGGGCCCGAAGTGGCTCCTCGGGCGGCAGGGTCTTGGGCCTGGTACGCATAAGTTGCCCCTCAACTCATTAAACCATCACCAGGTAATATTTTATTTTATTGACAAGAAACCATCAGCAACCAAGTTGCCAAACTCATCAGCATAAATCAGCATCTGACACTCTAGGAAAAGGCGGCGACTTCTTCAAGACGATCAACTCCCCTTCACATCAAGCTCTAGGCCGTCTTTCCAGCATCGCTTCTGCACTCCTCCATCGCCTCAATCTCAAAGTTGCACACTTGACCCGTGCTCACCGCTCTACATCAGTCAGGTCATCTGGTTTGGCAATTGCAGACGCCCTCTCCCCAGTCTCATCATCTTTGTTGCCATCTTCAATACATTTGATTTCCCAATGTTCTCATCCTCATCATGCTTGAGTCGAGACATCCGTTGACTGGCTGGCCACTCATCGCGAATTCAAAGCCTTATTTTTACCCAATCTAATTCAGCCATCCTGGCCCCTCTCCACCCCTCGGTCATATGACCATGGCCTTCTCTTCGTCCTCATCCGAAGACAACTTCAACCCTGCGAGATCCAATATCAGAGACCAGAGGTTCTCAGGCCTCAACAGCCCATCTGAGGCCTCCTCTCGTGGCAAAGGCCCTCCTAACCCGCAATTCGACATCATCTCCTGGTACCCAAAGTATCAAAGCTGTCAACGATACTTTCTCGATCATGCTCAACACGAACCCTTGGTACAAGCATTCGCCTCCTTCATCAACATCTTGTTGCCCTTTCAGAGACAACCTGCTCCCGTCTTCAGCTCGGTCGGATCCCGCAGTGGCAGGGCCAGACACGACAAAGACCCTGCCAGGGCACCCTCTTCTTCCGCCGACCTCGCTGCCGCCTCGGCGGTCTCCCTCATCCCATACCTTCGAAGACTCGTCGTCACAGGTATGGACGTTCCTCAAGTCCTGCACGGCTTTTTTGGAGACGACTGGAGAGCGGGTGTAGGTCCACAAAGAGAACAAGAACGCCGCAACTATCTCTTCGCTGCCAAGAGTGGGGGCTGGGACGCCGTCAAGAAAGACTATGATATGCTCCCCCTCGAAACTGTTCCATTCATGCGCCCTTTGTTTGATCCCACTGACGGCGAGCTAGATGCCGCCGAAAAGACCTGGAGCGAGTGGCTATGTCTGAAGAATTGGATGATTGGATCTCGAACACCTGACGCCACGTAAAAATCCCCACCGTGGAACATTTTTGGAGCAACAGTACGAGAAGCCCTTTGTAGGCTGAAATCACGACTCATGATCGTTCACATCAGTTTGTTAGCCCATAACTGGAATATGTTGGACATTGAAACGGGCACAGGCTTATGGTCAGATTAGTATAGATACGACAGCTCTCGTGTCATCGTATGAAGTTGGCCAATTTTTATCATGTAGAAAATCATATGTTAGCGCAGAGTTTGTACTATATATGAAGTTGCTCGTTGTTGAGAGAATCGCCACGACTCCCGCCAGAAAGTTCAATATCACGTGATACTGTCACCCAAGAGCCAACGGGCAAACAAGGCAACAACAACCAGTCCATCAACTTCATTAATCTCGATCACCAAGTCCCTCGTTCAAAGTCACAAGTCTCGACCTTCAATCATCAAACAAACAGCTTACTACCAACAACAATATCACATCGCCTTGAGAAGTGAACCTGTTGGCGGTGGTCAAGGCTGCAGTGTGGCAAAAGACTCAAATCGTCACGACCCACGACTCTCTTCTCCGTCCAAGCGTCGACCCTTCCATCCACTTATTGACTTCACTCCCTGTCTCTTATCGTTCTCAATGTACTCTTCATCTTCATCATTCAATCGGCGAATGAGAACTATGTAAATCGTCTCTCAACGTCTGTCATTACCTGCGCTTCATTGCCATGGGGAAATTGTTCGATGATCAGCCTTCTGTCTCTGAGCCCCCGGATCTCACCTAGTCCACAAGCACGACATGACATTGGATTGATTCCAGATCTCTGTCCCTTTCCCAACCAGCCTCGCTTGAAATCGATCTTTCCTAAACCTACATCGGCCACTTTGAAAACGCTTTTCATTTGCCATGGCTAATGACGCTGCCCGCGCTTTGATGAACCAAAGGCAACGTGCCACTGGAAAATCTGGTCAGTACACTTCTACTCCTCGACTGATCTAGGCGAAACTTCATAACTCCATGAGCCACTTTGAGTTCCAAAGTCTAATACTTGGACAGGTGGTACGAATCGCCTTGTTGGCTCTTCCTCGCAAAATGGCCTTCATTCCTCCACTGGCATTAGCCCGGTAGCCAAGGTTGCCAAACAACCACAACAACATGATCCACGAGCTCTTCTTGATCCCAAAGGTTCTCGGAAAGACAAGGGAATCTCCAAGACTAATCAATCCTCTCTCGGACCTCACACATCATCCGAAAATTCTCCTTTTGTCAGAAAACCCCCACCACCATCTCTTCCCCGAGAAGGAAGCGGTCCTCGCAACATGTTGGAAGGCCTTTACCAGGTCGAGCGCCGGACTGATTACCCACAGAAGAAAGTGAAACTGACCAAAAACGATGACACCGACTCCACCAAACCCTCCAAGGCGCAGTCTCGTCACCAAGGCTCTGGCGTTGTCGGCGATTATCTCAAACCTAACCCGGAAAATGATACCGATGCCACCAAGCTGAGTAGTCTCGTCGATCTCACCAACACCGATGATGAGGCCGAAGATGATGAAGTCCAAGTGGTGTCTTCTAACATTAACCAAGAGGTATGCTACGGCCGCTTTAACACCGTTGTCCACGCCTACCGTATTCCGAAACCGAAAGGTGAAGCTCTGTTCAGTCGAGATAACGAGTGGCCCGTGATGAAATGCAGCCTCGATCGCAAGCCTGGCACAAATTTCATCATCAAAGTCATCGATGCACATGGAACCGAATTTGGCAACGTCAGCCCAGATCTAGCTCAAGTTCTAGTTCCCGCCATGGATGGCTTACCCGGATTCCGTCTTCAAGCAAGGCTCACCAATCGTCGCAAGAAGCCAGACGAATGGCCTCACCAGCCCTGTTCTGAAACTATGCGCATGATTATGAATGTGTACGGAAGAAGGGGCGATGTAGAGAAACTGGGAAAGCACTTTGGCCAACACAATTTTTGGTTTTCTCCTCCAATAGCTCCGGAACCCGGTATTCCTATCGTCAACCCTCACGCCCACAAGAACGCCTCGCTTCCTCGAGCACGCCCTAATGATGCTGGGAGGATAGTACCAGAGAATAGAACTCTAGAAGAAGCCACGGAGGCTGTTTCAAAACTGTTCGACTCCTCCGCGCAGTCTGCCTCAGAAATCGCCGAAACAAATCCCCCATCTTCCGTCATCACTACGCCTTTATTGAGTCATCAGAAGCAAGCTCTGACCTTCATGTTGCAACACGAGAAACCTCGAACTTTTGGCAAAGAAGAATCCGAAAATTCGTCCTTGTGGCGGCAACGAAAACGTGCCAACGGTGCCACGGTCTACCGAGAGGTCGTGAGTGGTCTGACAGTCAGAGAAGAACCCGAACAAGTCCTTGGTGGCCTCCTGGCTGATGTGATGGGATTAGGAAAGACTCTAGAGGCGTTGAGTTTGATTGGAAGCACTTTAGATGAAGCCGAGCAGTTCGCTAGTCAAGCCTTCGAAAACACCGAGGATGAGGCTATGAGTGCTGTCGTTGCCAACACCAAAGCCACTCTTATCGTTTGTCCCACAAGCACGGTCAAGAATTGGGAAGACCAAATCTCTCAACACGTCCGCCCAGAAAGCATGAAGTTCTATGTCCATCACGGGTCAAACCGCGAGAAAGATGCATCTAGAATGAGTGTCTATGATATAGTCATCACGACTTACGGTGTTGTCACTTCGGAATTCTCAGGACGGGCTGCTAGTGGCAAGCCCCTCAGCCAACTGAACTGGTTTCGTATCATTCTCGACGAGGCACACACCATCCGCGAGCACAAAGCCATGCAGTCACAGGCCACTTACAGTCTCAATGCCCAGCGTCGGTGGTGTTTGACGGGTACTCCAATCCAGAACCGACTTGACGATCTCGGCTCTTTGACTCGATTTCTCCGCATGTATCCGTACGACACGCCGGCGAGGTTCAATCAATTCATCAGGGGTCCTACCCAATCGGATGATCCCTCTTTCTTAAAGATGTTGCGGGTGTTTGTGGACTCGTTCACGCTTCGTCGCCTCCGAGATCGCATCGACCTGCCGAAACGAGAGGACTATATCGATCTCCTCAAATTCTCACCGCAAGAGAGGAGGCTTCATGACTTTTTCAAAGAAATTGCACACGTGCGAATCCGGGAACTGGCTGATACCCAGGGCAAGAACAGCGGGGTTCAGCATCACGTGCTTCGAGGCATCATGACCTTGAGGCTGATCTGCGCACACGGCCGCGATCTGCTCAAGGAAAAAGATCTGGAGAGACTCAAAGGAATCAGTGCCACCGAGGCAATCGACCTCGACGAAGAAGACAAGCTCCCCACCATCACGAGAACAGCAGCCTATGAGTCTCTGAGCTTGATGGTAGAAGCGAGCCTTGACGAATGTCGTAATTGCCAGAAGAAGATCTGCAGCGACAATCCTCAGGCGGAGACTGATGACGATGATGCAGTACGATGCTACATCTTGCCGTGTTTCGATCTCGTCTGCGCCGATTGCTTTGATCCGGTCAAATCGGGCTTTGATGGTCTCGACAACACGACAGCGACCACTTGCGCGTTCTGCTCGGCCACCATATCCGCACAGTATGTTGGATTCAGCGGAGTAACTGCGCAGGACATCCGAGTGGCCCCGGCCGACACTATTGCAGACACAGATGCCAATGGCAATGACGGCGTCAATCCCACTGCTACAGCATATGCCGGGCCACATACCAAGACGAAAGCGCTTCTGCGTGACATTGCGCAGATGAACCAAGACAGCAAGCCTTTGGAGGATGCCGGTGAAGCTCCGATAAAATGTGTCGTCTTTTCCGAATTCACATCTCACCTCGACCTCATTGAGCGGGCGCTCAACGATCAAGGTCACAAATTTGTGCGCATTGACGGGCGGATGTCGCTCCCGAACCGTAAGAAGGCCCTCGATACATTGGCCAGCGACCCGAGCATCAAGATCCTGCTGGCGTCGATCAAAGCTGCTGGGCAAGGATTGAACCTGACTGCGGCATCGCGAGCATTCATCATGGAGCCCATGTGGAATCCAGCTGCCGAGGCACAGGCTGTGGACCGAATCTATCGGATCGGACAGAAACGCCCGGTGTTGGTCAAGCGTTATCACATGGATGAAAGTATCGAGCGCAAGATCTATGAGCTGCAGAAACGCAAGCAGCGACTGGCAGATGTGTCGATGAATCAAAATCACAAACAGCTGAGCAAGCAGGAAGTGAGGGAGAAGCATATGAAGGAGATCTTGGCGTTGTTCAGGTGAGATCTAGGATGATCAGACTTACTTGACTCTGGGGCTTTCTGGTGATATGTCTTGAACGATGGGTGGCATTATTGGCTTAGAACGACTTAACTCGTAGACATGTAAATCCAGAGCTGGGAGGACAGTAAGAATAGAAAAAATAACCTCTGGGTTTTAAGTATCTCGACGTTCTAAACATTGTAATCGAGTGAGTGGCCAGATTTTCAACACGGTACTATGTACCTAATCTGATGTACGGAGCACAACGTACCAATGGCAAGGCTGTGGCCAGCATCCAAGTTATTACATCACATTTCCATTTCTGTTGAGAAAGTTGCTGAGGCAAAAAACATGGGATTTTGGTGAAATGTGGATACAAAGACCACCGATAACCAAGGAAACCAACCGATTAGCGGGTGGCGGCCCCGGGGCGTGGGGCATCAGAACACTTGAGGCGTGGAATGTTGTCATCATATCTCCAGGCGGAATGGGGAATACTTCCGGAGCCTATCACAGCCCCTATTATCTCATGCATGCCTCTATCGCTTCCTCCAACGCCACCCATCGAACCAGCCTTTGACGTCTCCAGGCACCCACCAGACCGTTGGAGACAGTGGCCAAATCCTACCGCGAAACGAGTCCTTGGCTACCTACTGGATTGACAGGTACGACAAGCCACAATCCTGGCACCGACGAAACTTGCTGACCTCGCCAATGCAAGTTTCAGCGAGCCTAATACTCGTATCTGGATTGGAAGACTACATACTTAGACCTCTTCCCCGCTGTTTGGATAGAATCCTGATTTAAAGTAGTACCATGGAGTCGAGTGACTAGTACCTAGTTACATATGCGCAGTCTAGGTACTGACCAAGGAAGAGAGTGCCCGGAAAATTCAATTACAGTTCCCATCCTTGAACTCACCGTCTTACCTCTCGGACATTCCCAGCGGTGACAGATTGACAGCCAACCAGCACCTAAGATCCCCCCATCTCCCCCCTGGCACTTTCGGGCACTTGGGCCCCCGGGCCCCACGCGATGATGATTTAGTTTGTCTCTTGGTTGCAGCTACCCGCATGCCTATTCTTGCCCATCACCAGCCTTAACTTTACCTGCGAAAGCAAAAACCCGGTAGCACGACAACTGACAACGCTGATCCCAAGTTTTCTTCACCTGCACTTTCCATTTGCATTGACTTTCTCCTTCTATCTCTCCGATCCCTCTGTCCCTTGCATCGCAGCATCGAGTCTCTTATCCTCAGTCGATAGAGATCCAAGTGTCTGCTCCGTCTTTGTCTAGCTTGCTTCTCCTCTCAAAGACCCAGCCCATCGCATCTCATCCCCGCACTGACATGCGCTGAAAGACCCAAACCGGCCGACTCTAAACCTGTCCAGCATACATTCCCTTCTCCCTCCTCTCCTTGTCTCTGTCCGACTCAACTGTTCAAGATGGTTGTCGTTGATCATCATGAATATCTTTGTGAAGAGGAGAAACGTCTAAAAGAGGATCGAGAGCGCAAGAAGTATTGGAAGAAATGGGGTCCTTATGTCTCTGAAAGACAATGGGCTACTGTCCGTGAAGATTACTCGAGTGACGGAGACGCCTGGAGCCATTTCTCCCATGACCAGGCCCGTTCAAGAGCTTATCGATGGGGTGAAGATGGTATCGCTGGTGTCTCAGACACCCATGGAGTGCAGAACATTGCTTTTGCCTTTTGGAATGAAAAGGATGACTTCTTGAAAGAGAGACTCTTTGGTCTGAGCAATCCTCAAGGCAATCATGGTGAGAGTCTCAAAGAGGCTCATTTTCACCTCGATAACACTCCCACTCATTGTAAGTTTCCCCACCCTTGGCCTCTCCAGTGTTCACCAACTGACAAAGTTCTCAGCATACATGAAATACCTCTACAAACTCCCTCAAGGTCGCTTTCCTTACGAGCAATTGATCAAAGAAAATGCGACAAGAGGAAAAGAGGAGCGTGAATTCAACATCATTGATTCTGACGCCTTCAAAGATGATCGCTATTTTGACATCTTCATTGAAACTGCAAAGGAGACTGATGATCCAGAAGAACTGCTTTTTCGGGTCACTGCCTACAACCGGGGTCCAGAGCCTGCCCCGCTACATATCATCCCTCACGTCTGGTTCAGAAATACCTGGACCTGGGGACATGAGCCTGAAAAGCTGAAACCTTCCATCCGAATGGTAGGCCCAATGACGGCCCAAACAAAACATCACAAAGTCGGCACTCGTTTCTTCCAATTGTCTCCCTCGCCTGGCTGTGGCCCAGAGGCCGATGACGTTCATCCTCAATTGATGTTTACCGAAAATGATACCAACCACGAAAAGCTCTATGGCTCCAAGAGCAAGCAGCCTTATGTCAAGGATGCCTTCCATAGATGGATCGTTGACGAAGAAAAAGGAGCCATCAACCCCCGTTGCACCGGTACCAAAGCTGCTGCATGGTATGACTTTGGCCAAGGAGATGGCGTTCCACCAGGCGAATGTGCCGTTGTCAGATTTCGTCTTTCCAAAAAGTATGATGGCTACCTGAATGAGGAATTGCTCGATGATATCATGGAGCAAAGGCGCACAGAAGCCGACGAGTTTTACTACCGCATCAGCCCTCTTCCCATGTCAGATGACATCAGGAATATCCAGAGACAAGCTTTGTCCGGCATGCTTTGGTGCAAACAGCACTACTATTTCATTTGGGATCAGTGGGCGAATGGTGATCCCAATATGCCACCTCCTCCTCCTGAGCGGAAAAACGTTAGAAATGCTCACTGGAAGCACATGTATCTCGATGATATCTTGTCCATGCCAGATTCATGGGAATATCCCTTTTTCGCAGCATGGGATTCAGCTTTCCACTGCATTCCACTCGCCATGGTCGATCCTGAGTTTGCCAAAAAGCAACTCGACTTGTTCACCAGGGAGTGGTACATGCATCCCAACGGGCAATTACCTGCTTACGAGTGGAATTTTGGCGATGTCAACCCCCCTGTACATGCTTGGGCCGTCTTCCGAACCTTCAAGATTGAACGGAAGATGTATGGCAGACAAGATCTCGACTTTTTGGAGCGCGTATTTCAAAAGTTATTGCTCAACTTTACCTGGTGGGTCAATCGAAAGGACTTTGATGGGAAGAATGTTTTCGAGGGTGGCTTCCTTGGTCTCGACAACATCGGTCTCTTCAATCGTTCCGAGCCTCTTCCCACTGGTGGTGTGCTCGAGCAAGCCGACAGTACAGGATGGATGGCATTCTACTGTCTTTGCATGCTCAACATCTCCCTCGAACTTGCAAAGCATCGACGGACCTATGAAGATATTGCCTCAAAGTTCTTTGAGCATTTCATCCTCATCTCTGATGCCATGTCATTCCGGGCTGGAGGCGGTGAGAAATCTTTGTGGAACGATGAAGATGGTTTCTACTACGATGCTATCTCATGGGGCGGGCCATGGTCACAGCAAATGCCAGTTCGTTCTCTGGTTGGGTTGATTCCCCTCTACGCCGTGCTCACGCTGGAGCCCGAGCTTATCAACAAATTCCCCAATTTCAAACGTCGCATGGACTGGTTTATCGAGAATCGTCACGACGTGGCTGAGCGTAATATTGCTTCCATGCGCAAGAGAGGTAAAGACGAGCGACTCCTGCTATCACTTGTCAGCAAGGAACGTCTTGAGAAGATCTTGAAGCGTATGCTTGACGAGACCGAATTCCTCTCTGAACATGGCATTCGATCCCTGTCAAAGTATCACGAAGACCATCCTTACAGCATGGACGTCAATGGACAACAATTCAAGGTCAGCTACGTCCCCGGCGATAGTGACTCTGGACTCTTTGGAGGAAATTCCAATTGGCGTGGCCCGATCTGGATTGCAGTCAACTTCCTACTCGTTGAATCTCTACTTCGATTTTATATGTTCTATGGCACGAGTCTACAGATTGAATGCCCTACGGGTTCTGGTGACTACATGCATCTGGGACGTGTGGCCGAAGAGATTCAGCATCGCCTCCAACATTTGATGGTGAGGGACAACGATGGCCGTCGCGCCATCAATGCGGGCAATGATACTCTTGACTTTGATCCTCACTGGAAAGACTATCTGTGGTTCTTTGAGTTCTTCGATGGCGATACTGGTCGTGGACTTGGTGCAAGCCATCAGTGTGGCTGGACTGGCTTAATGGCCAAGATGATCCACGATACAGGTATCAATTGCAGACTACCTCAAACTCCACGAACCCCTGGCACTGCCGCAGCGCATTACTTTGACGACATTCTCAGCCGTGGACTTACCCGCAAAGGCTCGTATGCACCAAGCACACCTGGTCCCGAGGGTATGCGAACTCCAAAGATGAGAAGATCGTCCACCAGCAGATCCATTGGCCGCCGTCAATCTTATGTTTCTAGCGTCAACGGAGACCACAAGTCTGATGCTGATGGCAGTGAGGATGCCGATAGAGGATATTTCCCAGACATCCCTACCTCGACCTTATCCGATTCGGACGCATTCGGTCGCGAGGATGCGTTGGAGAAGGAGAGGAGAAAATCAGTGGCGGATAGTCATTACGAGAGGTACGTGACGGAACAACTCAGTCGCATCAAGACGGACGAAAGCGTTGCTGTGTACGAAGACGAGTTTGAGGCGCAACTGGATTAGCCAAAATAAATGTATAGGCGAGCACGTACTCATTTAATATACTTAATCGTACGCATCCAACTTAATCAGAGATGAGGTAATTGACTAGGCAAAGCTGTCCCAATCTAAAATTTTATGTACGATATGACTTGGGTTCTCTCGGACCAAAGTCAACGAAACTACACACACTTGAGTTCTCAGTTGGTCTCTGTGACCACTACCACTGCCACCACTAGCACTTCCTGATACACACTGCCCACCAGCCCACAAACCGATCAAGACACACCAACCACTCGATCTCTCTATTCCTCTCTTTGCACATTTATGGAAAAGGACCTATAGGCAGAATCTTTTCTTTTGTTCTCCAATATCGATCCACATTTTTCGCCTAGGGAGATGGAGATGGAGATGTAGATACCCGTATATCTATCTACACAGCATCGGTCAAGAGTTTATTGAGACGAGCAATCTTCTGCGAGACAGAAAGATCAATAGTCCGTTCTCCAACCTCAACGACCAAACCACCCAAAATCTCCGGGTTGACCACAGCCACAGTCTTGAGTTTCTTGCCCTGGCTATACTCGGATTTGGCGATGGCTTGTTCAATGCGTTGAAGAAGTTTGGGTTCGAGTTTCTAGAGAATAGAGAAGGGATTAGAATTAATAACACAAAACCAAAAGAAAGAAAGAAAAGAAAAGAAAAGAAAAGAAAAAGAGAATCAACCACATGTTGAAAATGACGAACAAGGGGGGGGGAAAGAAACCTACCGCAGCACTCGTAACAGTCAACTCCAACTCGCCCTTTTGAGCGGAAATCAAAGTTCCAAACTTTTCAGCCACACCCTCCAACAAACTGAGACGGTTGTTTTCAGCCAAAGCGGACAGAAGATTCTTGACTGTTCCGCTCTTATCGGCACCACCGGTGTGTTTCTCAAGCTCGGCGACGATTTGTGACTTGTCGCTGTCGGATAGTGTGGGTGCGGCAAGGATGGTTTGGAGTTTTGGATCGGATTTCAAGATGGATGAGAGAGAGGCGATTGCCTTGGCCGTGGGGTCGAGGTTGTTGGTCTTGGCGGCGGCGGTGTACTATTGAGAAGAAGAGAGGGTTAGTATATATAGGTAGGAAGAGAGGGGGGAGAGGAGGATGGAAGGAGGCAGTGGTGGTGGTGAGGAAGGAGGTTTGTGTAGCGCAGGGGTTGAGGGTTGGATTGGTTGGTTGGTCGGTTGGGGGATTCTTGAGGGGATCAAGAGCAAATAGAGATTCATGAGAGCTGGGAAAGACAAGAACCAAGTTCCTCGTCTCAAACAGCTGTCTCCGGATCATGCGAAGTGTATGAATATAGCTTCTTCACACCCTCTTCCCCAACCTCAACCCCAACCTTCAATCTCAACCCCTGCCCTCTCTTTCCTTCTAGCTCCCCAACACCCCCAAACCAACCTCCAAAGGAATTCTTGCACATCACGTACCAGAGCATTAGCATATGTTCCATCCAAGCCAAACAGAGCAACAGGAGGCTTCGAGTCGACCGCAGCGGCAGCGTAGGTTCGGATCGCCGTTCGAGGAGCTGTTTGGCGGGCGGCAGCGGCAAAGGCTGGCCGCATAAGCCTTGACGACATCATCTTGAAGGAGTCGATCTGTGCGATGGGTTGAGAAAGGGAGGAGGTGTGTGTGTGTCGAGGGGAGTGGAGAGTCGTGAGGGTTAACTCTCTCTTTTTCAATCGAGCTTCAGACACAGAGATCAGATTCGTGATGGGATGTCGGAGGTCTGCAAAGCTGCTTTGCTTGCTTGAAAATTGAGCTATGCTGTTTTGGGAAGCTAGTGCCAAGAATTTGGGTGGTGGATCTTCTCGCCTTTGGAGGCCAGGTCACGTTTTAGGGGTGGAGAATGGATGGAGATGGGATTATTGACAACAGTAATACATATATCACCATTCAAAATTCAACACTGTTGGTTATTTATTACAGAATCTCTTCTTCATCTATTTGAGGGTATCTGTGAGGAAGCTGATGAAGCTTCTCCCGAGTAGTCCGTTGAAGGACTTGACTCTATTGCATCATGCCAATCTGATGACCATCAGATTGAATGAAATCAACCACTGACTTTTGGTATTCCATCCCGTAGATTTATCATCACTTCGTTGAGACATGATTTTCTCCGCAGCCTACCCCGCAGTTATCGACGATATTCGACCGGTCAAATTTCTTCATGCGTTGAGCATTAGAAATAAGATCAGACAGATCTTTTCCTCCAAACGCCAAAAGATATGCAAAGACATAAGCAGTGACATACTGCTGTACACCGCTTAGTATCTGTAGATGTCGGACTTGTATGGTCCCTCGACTTCCAGTCCAAGGTACTCGGCTTGCACTGGGGTCAACTTGGTCAACTTGGCGTTGACGTGGTCCAGATGAAGCAGAGCGACCTGTTCATCCAAGATCTTGGGAAGAACATAGACACCGACTTCCTTCTTACCAGTCTTGCCAAACTCAATGTACTTCTGGCCAAAGGCTTCGTCCTCGGCCTTGTACAGGGCAATCTGAGCAAGAACTTGGTTGGAGAATGAGCAGGACATGACAAATGAAGAGTGGCCAGTGGCACATCCAAGGTTAACAAGACGACCTTCGGCGAGAAGGATGATATGTCGGCCGCTGGGCATGAGATATCGGTCAACCTGGGGCTTGATGTTCTGGACTTCCTTGGCATTCTTCTTGAGCCAAGCAACATCGATTTCAATATCGAAATGACCAATGTTGCAGACAATGGCATCGTTTCGCATGACCTCAAAGTGCTTTCCAACGAGAATATCTCTGCAACCAGTGGTGGTGACAAAGATTTGGCCGAGAGGAGCGGCCTCCTCCATGGTGACAACTCTGTAGCCTGAAACAGCAGCCTGGAGGGCATTGATAGGGTCCACCTCAGTGACAAGGACGGTGGCACCGAAGCCGTGAAGAGCCTGGGCACATCCCTTGCCAACATCACCGTAGCCAGCGACGACGGCAACCTTGCCAGCAATCATGACATCAGTGGCTCGCTTAATTCCGTCAATAAGAGATTCTCGGCATCCGTACAAGTTGTCAAACTTGGACTTTGTGACCGAGTCGTTGACGTTGATGGCGGGCACCAAAAGCTTCTTGTCCTTGAGCATGCGATACAGGTGGTGAACACCAGTGGTTGTCTCCTCAGAGACACCGTAGCAGCCCTTGAGCTGTTCGGGGTATTTGTTGTGGACGAGGGCAGTCAAGTCACCACCGTCATCGAGGATGAGGTTGAGGGTCTTTCCGGAGGGGAATGCCTTCAGTTGTTGCTCCAAACACCACTCGTATTCTTCTTCAGTCTCGCCCTTCCAGGCAAAGACGGGGACACCGGCGGCGGCAATGGCAGCGGCAGCATGGTCTTGGGTGGAGAAGATGTTGCAGGATGACCAGGTGACTTCAGCGCCGAGGGCGGTGAGGGTCTCGATGAGGACTGCGGTCTGGATGGTCATGTGAAGGCAGCCAGCGATTCTGGCACCGGCAAGAGGCTGATCGGCAGCATATTTTTCTCTGATGGCCATGAGACCTGGCATCTCAATCTCGGCGAGCTCAATCTCGCGACGACCGAAGGCGGCCAACGAGATGTCGGCCACCTTGAATTTTCCAGCAGGAGCAGCCATGGTGAAGAGGATGAGATGAGAAGGTGCTTGACGTGGAAACAAGGAGCAAGTGAAAAGGGCGAGTGAAAAGGATTGGGTGGGTAGAATAGGAGAGGTAATGAAGATGAGGACAAGGATGTGGAGTGGTAGGTAGGTAAGAAGTCAGTGTTGTCTTGTAGATAGCGGTCAATAATGGAACTTTTTTCTCAACATGTAACGGGGAGGCAGGAAAGCAACTGCGTCCAAAGTCGCCCCTCACTCCCCACATTGGCCACCTTCCTTGCGACTTGATTAGCTACGGTCAAGTAAAACTCGCCAGTGAAGAGAGGCAGAGGAACGGAAAAACTACTTGTCCGACTTCAAATGTCCAATCATGGCAGGGGCGGCTGCCGGGGTGGGAAATTTCCAGTGGCACAATGGCGGTTTTTTTTCCTCCGTCCGCATTCGACGAGGGACTTACAAGAGGCTACCAACGAGGGCCCGTTATGGGCAGTGTTGGGCAACTATGGGCGCTCGTTGGCTGCCCTTGCGCCTAGGAAAAGGGCAATTACTACCTGTTAGGTCCCCCGTTCCACCCATCATAAGCAATAATTAGGTAAGTATTCTGTCCATTGATCTGGCCTTCTGCGGCCCGTCACTACCGAGTCCAATCAAAAATCCACACGCATTGCAAGCCACACACTCTCACACTCTCTTTCAGCCATTGTCTTCCCCCACATGAAGCTAACATCCAGATCAATACGCCTTCTGGGGTTTAGGGCACATGTTGATGCAGGTACATCATCGTTTCTCTACACAAATGAAATCATGATCCATTCAAAAAGTGTTGAGCTGACTTTCAGCGCCTACTGTCCCCTCCTCAAGTCCCAGTCATGCACCGCCACGCAGCCGTCTGCTTGAAACCGCCCAGCTTCCAGAATGCCAACGAAGCGATCATTGATAAGCTATGCAGCTAATAGATACTGGATTGCCATACCGTTTGGGGATGCGCGATCCATTGATTGTCATGAATCTGCCTTCGTTCCGTCAGTGTCCTTTATATTCCCTCTTGTTGATTGTTGACCGCGATGACTCCTTTCGCACATATTTGGAGGCCAATATGGCGTGATCGCCTCATGCTTTGGCACAATATCCCACTCCCACCACCACAAAGACTTCCAAAATTCAATTCTAATATCACTGTCTCGCATTTCTATCTGATCTCTAAAGCTTCTCACCCTTCTCAATCTTTGATCGCGCTGTGACCATTAGCCTCCATCCCTCTCCCACGACCGAAAGCACCATGACTTCCATCCTTACCACCCCAAGTGTCATCCCAGACCGCCTTCCGCAAACAAACGCAATCATTGACAACAAAACTGCCACGGTCTCCACAGTAGAAGTGGAAAGTCCTTCTTCCAGTGGCGATGAGTCGAGCTCTTCCTCAGACTGGCTTGTCGTCTCGCCATACACCGACCGTGAACACCAATTAGATCTCCAGACCGTCGATACCCCATTCCGGCTTCTGGCACTGGCCTTGGTCAAACTCGAGGCTGCCACACCCGACTATGCCACAGTCAAGTACGAAGACGCTTTCAAATGGTCAGAAATCTTTGCAGAACTGAAGGAGCTGGCCAAGCAACATGGATATCGGTGGACTAAGCAGGACTTCTATGTCGTCGAGTTTCGATCCAAGCTGAAAACAAACATTGACCGGCCTTTGCTCTTTGCCCTTGACAAACAATCTCACGTCGAGGCAACTGCCAGCGGCGGACTTTTGAAGTATTGGTTTGGTGAGCCTGACTTGGAAAATCGGAACCTCGCAACTTGTAAGTCAATCCTTTACCCTTATTACTGGATCCTGCTAACCGTGACAGGCCTTTGGCGAAGCAAGCAAGACGCGATCAATGGGGGAAAGGGACCATGGCACAAACAAGCTCGAGCATGCATCCCCAAGATGTACGAGATAATTGATGTTCATGGCGTTCGGCTTACCGTTGAAGACAATATTGAGTCGTGGTCATTCTCGCCGTGGCCTCATAGACAGCCCTAGATTCTTGGGAGATGATTGTGCGGCGACACAAGACAAAGGGAGAAGCCAAGCGGATTGATTGTATTGCATAGCGTTCCGAGCATCATAGATGGAGTTTCTGGGAAGATGATGGCAGATGTTTCCATTCGGGTTCTCGTCGTTGGCGGAAAGGGAAGATGGGTCAATTCTATCAATTGATTGCAAAGCAAGTGAGCACATACACGTGACTTTTCATCCTGTCAGTCATGTGACCTATCAGATCTCATCTGCACGTGTCTGCCTGATTTGTTCGCTACGTATTCGGCTTTGACTCGACAGCCACACAGCACATCTGCCGCCGTGTAACTCTGACAGTGCTACTCGGCTGAACACACTCCAGGCATCCATCAGGTTTGATTGAGTTTTTTGAGTCATGATTAGTTCCCTTGGGCCTAGCTCCAAACCCTACCATTTAAGCACCTCAAAGCATCATTGAACTCCACAGTCACGGTGATGTCCAAAGGCCCAAAGGCGTCCTCCTGTATCTTCTCAATCCACCACCACGACCTTCCTCTGCCGTAGTTGCTATCATTGTTTCGACTTGTCACCAATAATCAATCTATAAGACTCTCTATTCTCTTGGCTGGAACAAATATGCATCTCTCATGCTCACTGAGGCCGCACTTGTTACCTTGTTCGAATTGCTAATCACTCGCCTACTGGATGGCTCCACATCAAGATCTGTGACTCTACAACATGTCCACGAGCAGCCACTAACTACACCAACTTCTATCAAATCAACGATCGAGGATTACAACTCTCATTTCCGAGGTCGCGGTGATGGCCCGCGAAAGTCAAGTTAAGATATACGGCAACAATCGGAGCGACGATTCACACGCGGCCGACGATCAATCTGTCCTCCAAAACAATGCACAGCTAGACCAAAACTCATCGTCCCAATCTCCCGAGGCCTTTGAGGATGACTTGGAAGCCTCTGGCAAGGAAAATGGAAGGCCAAGGCGCGTCAAGCGCGCCCGCGCCTGCATTGCTTGCAGAAACATGAAAATCCGATGTCTACCGGTGGAAGGACAGGATGCATGTAGCAGTTGTGCCAAGGTCAACAGGGAATGCATCATGCCAGGTCCTCCTCGAAAGCGCCAGAAAACCGTCCATAAAGTGGCCGAACTGGAGAAAAAGATCAATGCTCTCACAGAGGCATTACTTGCCAAAGGCCAACAGTCGGAGTCACCTTCTAATCTCTCACCTGTGAACCGCCAAACAACACGCTCGTTGTCAGACCCCTCAAAAGCCGAAGATACCCCTGTCACTTCAAACCCTATGGCCACCTACGATCGCAGGTTCATACAGCCTGCCTTTCCAAGCTACGAAGGCGACGCTGTACCCGAACAGGAGACCTTCTGCATGCCTCACACCATTGGCCAGCTCAAAGAAAACTACGTGGACGTGGTGGAACGAGGTGACTTAAGTATGGAAACCGCCACCGCCATGTTCTATCACTTCAAAGAGAAGATGTGCGCCACCTCTCCCATAGTGGTTATTCCGCCTCGCATGAGTGCGCAAGACCTCCGGGTACAGAAACCAACACTGTTTCTGACCATTTTGACAATTGCAAGCCCTGTCGTTCAACCTACAGCACAACCGGCCCTGTCCGTTGAATTAAATCGTCGACTGGCTGAGAAGGTCCTCTTCCACGGCGAAAAGTCACTGGATCTATGCCAGGCTCTTATCTTGAATTCTCAATACTACATCCGACCCAGAAATGCGCGTGATCTAGCCTTCAATCAATGTATTCATTCTGCAGTTTTGATGGGTCTGGAACTGGGCTTCGGAAGGAGGAAAAAGGGTGAACTAAGAGGCTCACTAGAAGACGCTTTGGAATCGAGGAGAACTTGGCTGGCATGCTATCTTGGTGCTGCAAGGTAACCACCTATGCGATCATGCGACTAGAATCGCAGGCTAACTTTCACGTTTGCAACAGCGTTACAGCCCTTCTTCGTCTCCCGAGTCTAGTGAGGTACACAATGCACCTCGAGGAATGCATGGCATTTATGAAGGACAACGGGTATCCAAACGCAAGCGACAAGTGGCTCTGCGCTATGGTCGGTCTACAACGACTCATGGAGGAGGCATCAGTTGCATTCAATGTAAGTCTGCAGAGCTTTACAGCATCTCCCAGTTTCGAAGGACATTCTGATAAAGTGTAATGTTTAGATGGACGACCCAACTGCAGACGTCAATTTTCTCGATCCCAGAATCCAGTACCAGCTGAAAGGCTTTGAGCGACAATTGGAGATATGGAAGAAGAATCTGGATGTTACGGTAGACAAGAGTATGCGAAAGAAACAATGCTTGCTCTCAATTTCTAACAAGCTCTACAGGATTGATTCGACATGTGGCCGCGTACACAAATGTGTACATCCATGAGATAGCTCTTCACCAGGAGCATAATGTCGATGACTTCCGACTCTCAGACACGGTGCCGGCTCAACCGAAAAATTCAGATGGTTTCACCGCCTCTCATATTGACGCTCTGTCGACCATCATGAGATCTACGCATGAACTTCTTGACATTTATCTTTCCCTGGAGATTGACTATGCCCGCTCAATCCCGAACCTGTACATCGTGTGGAACACATATGCCATGGTTGTGCTAATCAAACTACATTGGTTAATATATGCCCCTGACTCCAAGCTGGGCGCAATATACTCCCCCGAGCTCAAGGTCACTTTTTACTTGGACGCGATACTCACCAGGATGGCCCAACTTGCAGAAGGTGGGCAAGCTCCTTGTGCCGAAGCATTTGGATTTGTTTGGCAGAAGCTCAAAATGTGGCACATGCATCGGTCAGGGCAGTTCTCGGAAGACGAGCTGGATGTCGGGGATATCGAGGCCCGTCGTCGACAAGCCACGAATAACCTGTCTGGCCCTCTGATGCAAGTCATCGCCACGACCAAAGCAAATATTGCCACAGGCATCAATTCTGGCCCGAGACCAATGACCCCGGCTTTCCTGACTGGATACCCCCCGAATCAGAATTTCGATAGGGCAATTCCATCGTCCAACCTCAATGCGGCGTATGACGCAGCCACTTACGGGAATACAAACTGGGATCAGTTCAATTGGACGGCGGAAGAGTTGAATTTGTTCGATGTCAACATGACAAAGGACTCAGGATGGATGGGGTATCTACTGTGAAGAACTTGAGAGGAAGCAGTATCACATTTCGATCCAAACGTTGTGTTGCTCATCATATGCAAGATATCTGTTTCAAAAATGAACGGAATTTCCTCAACGCCAAACACGCTTCAAAACTCGATGACAGTGGGAAACAAAACCAACTCAACTCCAACCAATTACTCCTTCACCGAGGACTTTCCCACGGCGACTATCAAAGATGGAAACCGTTCTGCCGACGATCCCTTCGCCCCCAACACCGAGATTGAATCTCACACCACTGGAAGACGCGCCTGTGGCGGCATTGATCAAGAACGAGTGCAGAATTGGATTGGAACAGGCCTCGTCGTCGTCAGATTCGGAGTCAGAGTCTAAAAACGAGCACGGCGATAATGGTTGTCCAAATTTACTGAATCACCATATTAGCTTGATGCGGTGCAGGAGGAGGAGCTTGATGGCGACCATCGACTTACTGAATCCGCACCCTCAACATCATACCACCATCTGAATTACACAATTCACCACCATCCGGGCCACTACATTGCAGACTTGAGGAGGTTGCACCGGGAAGTCGGTTCGACAGTTGCAGACGACCCCGGAAGGTTGATGTTGGATTTGGATGGATGATGGCTATGAGATCGCCGGACTCTGGGGCTGCTGGTAGATGGGAGTCTCCACACATTGTTGAGGAAAAAGTCAAACTTGGGAAGATGTGTCCTTCAAAGGATGGTCACAGGACGGAGAGGGCTGTTGGGCGAAAAAGCGTGGAGATCTTATCACTGGATCTGAGGTTTGATATGCTCGCAAATAACAAATTATACGCAAGGCAAGGGGAGGACGGGGTAGTAGGTAGTTGACCTTGTAGATTTATCGATACCTACCATGTCCACGAGTGCGCATGTACGAATCTATATACCCATACCCAACTCGATCGTCGATCAGTTTCAAACCTATCTACGGAGTAGTGATTTACATATTATGCTCAACGGCCGCCACATACCAATCAAACTGAGGACCACGGCTGTGCAGCATGCGGCATGACCTCGACCGCACTAGTGTAAAACATGGAGAAAATGCATAAGGTACTCAATAACAACAATCAACCAATCTTGGCAATCGATAAATCCGCGACTCTGAACATGAGCACCAGTGTTTGCTCTGACTTAGTGACGACTGTAATCTGCCGCGCGAGCATGTTTTCTGGAGGAAGAGCATGTTTCGACTTGGTCAGAGGTCTGTGATGGTGGATGGCTACGCGTGGCTGGAGTGAGCAAGTTTCTTAAATTAAATCTTGCTTACGTATGGTAAACACGTGCAGTCACGTGGCAGCCGGATGTTTTTGAATAATAGGGCAAGTTTGCCGATTGGTTGGTAGACGACAACATCTGATCTCTTCTCATCTCATCTCATTCGATTCTCCAGTCTCACTGATCACTGATGAGTAGATACGTCCCTATTTTTTGCGTCGAGAATGTCCTTTTGATTCTCTAGACTAAAGACGGCGATGCCCCCTACTGGTCATTCATTATCCAAGCGGACCAACAATGTCGACCTCCAAAACTCCGGCTTTCATGCTGCTGCTGCTGCTGCGTCTCTGACTTTCCAAAACCCATGCATGGCCCTTTGTCAGCAACCAATAACAACTGCGCCGCCCATCTCCTCAGAGGTAAGGTAGATCAAAAACGGTGGCTGTCCTCTGCGGCATATCCAGTCCAGGCATCATAATCTACCCAGTCGCTGACCTCATTTTCATACCCTCTCCTAATGAACTCATCACCTGCTTCTGCATCGAACGTTCCGTGCTCATCTCCTCCAAAGACATCCATGTGTTCTGGGTCAAAGAGAGTTTCGTCCAGCTCCATGCCCTCCATGATCTCATAACTTGCAGGGTCTTCATAGTCTGGATGTTGATCTTGATCGTTATGCTCTCCATCTTCCTCGAGCGCGTTCATTTGATCGTTGAATGTTTGCAGGGATTCAGCAGTTTCGCTTGCGAGCCAGTCTTCGTGTGCGAGGTTCTCTAGTTCCGGAAATCCAAGTGCATTGGTGTTTTGTCTAGGTTCGTTCGCTTCGGTCCCTTCGTTCGCTTCATTCATTGACTGAATCAAAAGCTCGGGGTCGTAGTCAGGCTGCTGCTGCTGCTGCTGCTGCTGCTGCTGCTGCTGCTGCTGCGGCTGCGGCGGCGGCGGCGGCGTCTGCTCTTCGCCGATCTGGTTCAGTGTCTGCACCTGCGACTGCGATTGGCAATCTTCGCAATCCCGGTCATTGATCGCAACTTCAACTCTGACCCTCTTCACAACGTCATAATAGCTCAGATTCTGCTCAATTTGATGGACTGCCTCTTCGTGGCCACATCGGAAACAGTAGATCAAAACGGTTTCCCGCTCATGACCTGCATTTGGCCTCACATTAGCCAAATTCTGCGACGGCGGCATTGGGTAGGATGTCGAGCTCGAGCGCGGCCAGTTGGCGTTGTTGTTGTCCATCAGTCGCACGCACTGCTGTTGTTGGTGTGAATGAATTGGTACGTTGGTGGGCCGCGAAGTGCTCTGAGTTTTCGTGGTCGCGGGTGAGGTTAAACTATGGAAGTGTTTAGGCTGACACTCATATACCAAGTGAAATGCAAACGACTGACTCGTCCTCTGTCACCCTTTTCATTCTGCCTATGGTGACAGCGACTCAGGCAGAATCGATCACACAGTAACCGGTAGGTGTTTATTCACCCAAGGTGAGATGGATGACTCAATGAGAATTTTAGTGATACTGGAATTGTGCACTTTTCTTTCAATGACATTCAATATTGTTTGAGTGTGAGTGTGAGCCAGTCCACTCCATGAGTTCTATGGGTACTCCATGATTCCTTCTGAAGAATCGGAATCACACGGGAATTTCCTTCGGGTCTTGCCCCTCCCATTCAACGATGTCCAGCAGTATCGGCCAGAAGTCGACCAGAGGTTTGTACTGTTCCTGGAGCTGTGTTGTGCTGTGCTGGTACTGTATGCGCTTCCACCATTCTTTCCTCATGCACATCACATTTTGCTCAGTTTCCAACACTCAGGACTGACCTTCCAAGCATTTCTCACACGGTGCATAAAGAACCAGTGCATTGACATCATCCCCCTCCCATTCACCCACAAAACAGTGTGACCACGACAACTTACAGCCGCAGTCCTTGAAATTCAAGGCGAATGTGGGACATATGGGGATGTTGATAGATTCGGGGTCGCGGGCAGGTGGGAAGGGGATATCCAATTCTCTGTAGTCAAGTCATTGTCAGTTTATCATATTCGGTCAAATTCTTTCTTGAGACTGGACATGTTTGTTCACTTACCCAGTTTTGTTGGAGAAACAGAGTTGTTGCAAGCCCGCTTGGTTCGTTGAATTTGATTGATTTTCACTCATCGCGGCGGCGGCGAAATGTGAGGCTTTTCAGTGTGTGTGAGATAGGATGTATCAAATGATGGCGAGATGATAGTGAAACGATGGTGAAATGAAAGAGATTGGAACTCTGGTTCCTTTCTCACAAATTGTGGTTCTCGTCACAACCTTTCTTCCTCCTTCTCAATCCTAATCGTGGGCTTGGCTTGTTCGGTGCAGTGAAGTAGAAAGCCCAAGTTCAAGGGATAGTCACAACTAATAATACAGTTTCAGTTTCAGAAAATTCTTCACTCACATACTCATTCACGGTACTTGAGTTGTCCCATCCTGAAAAGCACGGTTGAAGAAAGCTGGTTGGAGAACATGTGCAATAAATGAGACAAAGACACAAAAAGGGGGTTGGGCTGGTATGGTCGAGGGTATGAGCAGAGATTGGAGTTGTTTAGTAGTGTCTTTCTTCATTGTCAATCTGGACTGATATTTCAAGACATGATTCTTTATTTCCTGAGACATTGCAACCAGCCCATCAGCCGGCTGGATGGCTCGATTCTTCATGAGAACTAAAGACCCTAGAAAGGAAGTTAGAGTGGAGAGATTGAGACTACTTGTCTATACCAATGGAGTTTCTTCAAGCTAAGTCATCTAACTACCGAAAATATGTCTAGATCTTGTCGTTCCTGAGTACTCAGGAGACCTTAATTTTGTGTTCCTGAACTCTCACCAACCTCCCCAACCTCCCCACCACCATCACCATCACCATCACCGCCCCTAGGACGATCACTCAGTCTCGCAGGTACAGCACGTCTCTGCTTACGCGGATGAGCAGCTTCCTCCCGCTTCTTTATACACGGAGCACATTCCCGCGGCCGAATCAGTCGCATCTTCTGATCATTATCACAATCCGGTAATTTACTGCATAGGCGGTCTTCCCTCTCGGTATGGCCGCAGGTACATCTATAGATGAGTTCTGTACACATTTTGAACTTGTTGCTGGATGTTCAGGAAGGTGGTGGATTGAAGATGTATATTGGAAGTATCGAATTTAGCGGCGGAGTGTGTGGGGGAGTTGGTGGTGGTGGACGACCAGGAGGAGTACCCGGTGGTGCTCGTGGTGGAGATGGTGGTGGTGAGGGATCTGGATATATTGAGGTGGGTGTTATCATATGAAGACCCAACGATGAGATGAACATAAGCGTTGATATGAAGGTAGATCTGGGTAAATTGAGGAGAGCAACTATCCTAGAGGAATTTATCTTATAGAAATATTCCTGGGTTGAATCATGTATTTGATTGAGTACCATATAAGTGAGCGAGTGAGTGACCAGAATACCTATCCCATGATCCATATTCCAACCGATCGCCCATATGAGAACAGCCGAGTGACACCGTGTATTGCTATCGAAATCCATCGGTGAGAGTGTCATTCATCCATGGGTGATATACGGGTTACTGGATTCGAGTCAGTTCAACAGACGACCCGTCATGATAAGGGGTTCTGTGTCTGGAGTGTCTGGGTCGAAATATCTATTTCTGGGGAAAAGGTATGTATAATCATGATAACGATGGATGATAGCTAGGCCACCACCATGACTCAGGGGATGTATCCTGACGTGTTGTCTGGTCTTATCCACGGCCAGATCCTCCAACATATCCATACATCTGACATAGTCGTATGGACACATGATATGGTACGAATGACTGATGGATATGAGCTTGCCGACACACTGACTGTTCGACCCCCATACCAAGAATCATTACTTCCACCCTCTATCTCTCCCTACCACGACATAGAACCATGGAACTTTCCAACTGACCATGTCCATATGTTCCTAGCATGGAACTATTCATGCTCCTCGGTTCTGATGACACGGTAGCAATTGACGCACCAGTTCCAGTCCATGCTGTACCAGATCTCGGGGACATGGTAATCGTGGGGCTCGTGACAAATGATCATGTCGATACAACACGCATGGCCGCAATGTCTGTAGACAACATAATAGTTGACGCAATCGCACATTTGGTTGGTGTTGTCTTCAAGTGGTAGCAGAATACTTTATTGCAGGCGATTGATCCAAGTTGAGGAGGATGTCAAGAAGAAGGTCAGATGCCTTTATAGTCGAGTCTATTTTATGGGCATGTCAACCTGACTTCCTGGATGATCTAGAGTGACTGACCGACCAGGAACAAAGAATGGCGATCAGGTATGGCGATCAAAGGTACCGCTCACAAAGATTAAAGGTCTTTGTTGAGCTAGGAAATTGCTGCGTCGATACCACAGGTCGCATTGTTGGACCAACTGGAACAGCTTTATGAGCGCGACGACGAGAATGTGTCTATAACTCGACGCCTTCTTTGTGTTTCACCCGGTCATGGAACAGAGACTTCAAGCAAAGTCGGACAGCCAATGACCTAGATGCCTTGTCCATCATCACGTCCCCACAACTTGACGGTGCGGTCATGGCCACTGCTGGCGATCCATTTTGAGTCTGTGCTAACATCAACACTCAGGACATTGCCTGAATGACCACTTAAACGTTTTGTCAAAGACCAGTCGTCCGCGGAGAAGACGTTCACATTCTTGTCAAAACCACTTGTGACGAAGAAAGTACCGGCCTTGCGCGGGTTGTATTCTTGTTTGACGCCGCTTGATTCGATCAAAGAAGAAGCAGTGGCATCAGCCCCTTTGAACCATCTCAAATCAGAGACGTTTCCGCTATGAGCACCAATGGAACCCACAGCTCGAACTTGTCGAATATCCCAGCACTTGACGAAGCCGTCGCCTGATCCAGAGAGGACTCGATAGCCGTCAACACCCCAGTCCAGGCTGAAAATCTCCTTGATATGGCCATCCAGAATCATGACGGTTCTTCCCGTTCTCAAATCCCAGATGCGTCCAATACTGTCAAAACCTCCACTTGCAAGTAATGACCCATCTGAATTGAAGCTGACAGTAAAGACTTGTCGAGAATGGCCTTCCTGTAGAAGCAATTCTGTGGTTGTTTCTACGTCCCATAGTCTCCAAGTTGTATCAAACGACGCGGATGCTAGATATTTGCCAGAAGGGTGGAATTCGACTCGGCATACACGATCAGTGTGGCCCTGAAGAGTCGAAATGGGAGTGTCTTGGTTCAAGTTCCAGAAATGAATGTCGCTTGCACCGCCCTGGCCTCCTGCACCACTGGCAATGTTGAGTGATTCGCTAGAGACGGTTGAGCCATCCAGGGTGGCACCAGGATACCACGCGATGCCTCCAACAATACCAGTGTGGCCTCTCAGGGTAGTCTTTTCGTTTAGTGTTGGAATTTCAAGCAATTTAATACCTCCGCCCCAATTACCAGCCGCGATGATCTCGTCATTGGGCGAGAATCGAGTAATGCTGACTGGACGTTCTCCGGCAATCTGAGTTCCGAAGAGCTCGAAGCCTTGTAGCTTCTCCTTAATTTCTTTCCGATGCTTGATATGCGTTCTCAAGGGTATTGAGGAGTCCTGTTTCTGGCGCTCGATCCTGTCTCGGGCTCTCGGTAACGAGTATTTTGCGATCTCTCGTCTGGCTTCAAGCAGTTGTGGTAGGCCTTCAGTATAGAACTCCTCTTCTTGGTCGGCCTGGTCTTCAGCATCTTGCATCTGCACATCTTGAACAGAGCCGTCTTGTGCTTCGGTTTCGTCTAGCATGAGCTGTCGCAGTCGATCTCTGCGGTCAGCCAAGTCCTCCCCGAAAAGTGTGATAGGTTGTCCCATCTCCCGCAACCGGCTTCGCACTCTTCCGTCATCGGTAGGGACTGCAATCTGAGCAAGACGGCGTTTTCGATCGAATTGGGAGAGAATGGCTGAGGCCTTTTCCGGCGCAACGCCAGCAGCACCTGAGGGCATGTCATAATTGCGATCGACGGCTAGACAGGGTCAATAATGGTCAAATACGGGCTTCGGGGCCGACTTACGGATATTGGCAAGATCGATGCCAGTCGAAGGATCCTGTTAAGGACCATATGGGTCAGTTGGGTGTTCAATAATGGCAGCGCTCTTGCTCTGAGACGACGACGGCGCCTTGAGGGAGATTTGTAAACAATGCATACACGGTGAAAGCTCAAACGCTAAATGGGATCTTACCTGGGCTTCGTCCTCGACGTACGCCCTGCGCGCAGGGTGCATCATCGTGACAGCAAGGACTTGTCAAGTTGGTTGTGGAGAGCAAGAGGATTGATTATGAAAGAGTAGAATCAGGCGATCGTCTTGTTGAAGTCATTTCGAGCCAAGGTGGACGTTCAAAGGGCAGAGTATGGTCTATCCATTTGGATCAACGGACTGTTGTAGGAAAGAGTTGAGAAAAGATGTGATATTGAAACAGCATCCAGGAACATGGAAATGTATATTTCTCCAAGTGAGGAGAGGGAAAGTCTGCATTGCCGCTCTAGGCTGAGACCCCGGCCGGATTAAAATTCCCTTTAGTACAGAGCTAGCGTGATGTTTTAGTGTGTTCTGACCTACTAACCTAGAACAGTAAGGACGCTTGGGGTTGCAGATCCGCCGCAACTTCAAGTTTATGGCAGTGACGATTGAACTTGCAGTCGTTCCTGCGCCCAACTTCAACTTCAACTTGAAGATTCACTCCTTGTCTTCATCTCGAACTTTTTTCTCACCACATACGCATTTAATACCTTCCAACAGTTCACCCACCCCCGCCATCTTCAGTCATCAACGCGTCTCCAGCCCGCATATCTGATATCATTCATACCCACGCTCAGCCATCTCACAGACTTCGATCGATCTGTCTCACATCCCAACAAATGCCGGTCATTCCTACCTTCAAGAACAGAATTAACAACACCAGCGACCTACGCCCATCTGCATTCTCTCAAGCCTGTCTGCTGTAGTTTCGTGATTGTTCTCGCCTTCGAGCCTCTTCACAGGGACGACCTGTCTGCCGCCATCAGTGTGGTCAGTGTGATCGTCACCAACTCCTTGGGATGGCAGCAACACCTTCAGCTGTGGGCATGATCCCCCAGCTTGAACAGGCCCGTAAACTTGCCCTAGGAGACCCTCAAGTGTACAACCAGGTTCTTCCCGGCATCTTGCCCATTATTGGTCCTGCTGCGCCCCTTGAAGTTCGTCGCTGGGGTGCCGACTTCCTCGCTGAAGCATTTGCCAGCCCAGCAATCTCTCTGGCTCAGAAAGATCAATTCTCAACCGAAGTCCTCCCCACCCTCAAGGCACTTCTCGAAAATCCATCCGAGGACATTGCTGTGGTAAAGAGTGCTGTGCAGGCATCAGCCAGTTTGTACCCTATCGTGTTTCGAAGAATGTACGTACAAGACCTGCCATGTCGCTCGTGGAATACAACCCTGGCCCATGAGAATCTAACATGCATATCCAGCATTAATCGACCCAACGAAACTGCCCTTTGGCAAGATATCAGTGCCATTAAACTTAACATCCTGAAGCGGATGGACTCTGCCCCTCCTGCCGTTCGAATTTGTTGTATCAAGTTTGTACAAAAGATCGTTCAGGTGGAAACGCCCGGTCTAATCGCAGATCCACGGGTGCGTATACCATTATCTTTCCCAGCCTTTCGGGTCACTGTACTGACTTCTATATAGAGGCCTGATCAGAATGAGACCTCCATCTCCCTTGTCCCCCGTAATCACCCTCTCCTTCAGCTACCCAACATTGAGGCCGAGGCATCTGCATTACTGGACCGACTCCTGAGTGTTTTCCAGGAAAACTCGACGTAGGACACTCCGTCTCTGATACATAATCCTCCGCTAATTTGTACAGTGACCCCATCGTTGTTGATGCCACACTCAACTGTCTCGCTATCCTAATCCGAAGCCGTCCTCCGATAGCATCTAAGATAATATCTGCTGTCATCAGCTACAACCCAATGAAACAAGGGAACTCCCCAATGACACCAAAAATCATGGTCATGATCAGGTCCATGGAAAGAACGACACGGGCGCTTTTGAGATGGGTTCTGAGAGCTGTGCCAAACCACCCTATGGAACAGAAGATCCAACAGTATCTCATGCGTTTGCAGCAATCTCGAAATGTCCTTTTCGCCGACACTACTGCACAGAAACGACCGGCGGAACCCACCGATGGCTACGACGATACTAAAAGACAGAAGCTCACAAGTGCTGCTCAGAGCTTCCCACCCATGCCACCTCCTCCCAATAGTTTCGCTCAGCTCTTCACCCTCACCGAAGATCCGAACGTGAAACAATTTGACGTCACACTTCTCCCTGCCGATAGCGTTAGCGATGTAACTGCGGTGCTCCTCCAGTATGTGGATGCAAGTGCGTTGGAGTTGGCCATTGAAGCAATCCGAGCTAGATATACCCACTTGCAGAAGGTGCAGCAGCCAACCCCAGTACCGGAATTTCCCATGGCCGGCCCAACAGGGATTGACGATGAAGATGATTATGATCCAGAGTTTGTGTCGGGTGGAGACAGCATCGTCGAGCCGACCACTGAGATGGCCCTGGAAAGCCTGGCCCAACCGGCGCTTGATCTTGGGCCATTTGAGCTTCCTAAACCACCACCACTCACCAGTGATCAAGTCGCCGTGGTATCTGACCAGAGTGTTGAACATCTCTATCAGATTGTGGCTACTCTAGATAATGCTGGCCAAATCAGCGCCAAGCAGAAATTGGGCTTGAATCGCCTGGCTGCAAGCACAAACGATCGAGATTCATGGATGACGATACTCGTGCGACTTGCCACGAGAGCGCCTGCAGGCCTCGAAGACTTGGTGGACAGTCTCATTGACGGTTCAGACGCGACCAAGTCGGCCAAAACGGAAGAACAAAAGCTCAGCGGCACAACACCTGCCGATCGGATTCGCCAAATGATATTCATGTACATCATGGATGATTTCCGTCCGCGTCTGAACCTTGCGATATCCTGGTTGACGGAAGAATGGTATGCAGACAAAGTGGCAGCTAAGGCACATCCGGAGTTGGGTCACCTACCACATTACTCTTATTGGGTGAAGCAAGTAATTGAACGATTACTTCCCTATCTCGACGCCAAAGACAAGAATCTTCTGATTCGATTTGTGTCTGAGATCCCGGCTATCGATCGTGAACTGTTGGACCGGATCAAAACTTTGGCACGAGATCCGGAACGAGTGAGCATGTGTATTTTATCGATGCAGTATCTGCTGATGCTCCGACCGCCTACACGAGAGGCGGTTCTTGACACGATGGAAAGCATTTGGAATGAAGGAGATGATCAGGCCAAGAAGGCCACGGCCAAAGTGCTTGGGAAATGGAGGCCTGGATTCCTCGAGAAGGCCGCAGAGGTCAAGGACGAAGGAGGCAGCGGAGTCAAGCTAGAGGCTGCGAAAGAGGTCACTCAGGCTGCGTGAAACTTGGTTGTCAGCCTCTGCATTGAAATGATGACAAGATCTGTAACAATATCGATTGAATATTATGCTAAGAAATAAATAGCATTGAATGTTCTTGAATCATGGTCATCCAAAAATCACAGCTCCTATTGCCATTGATTATCCGACAGCCGCATCAAGGGGCTTATGGGTTTTCTTCCAGAACATGAATCTGCTGGCCTTTGCACCGGACAATTGCGGTTCCAACGGTGGCGGGATGGGCTGAACCTTTCTTCTAGGGACATGTCTATCAAGTGGTTTATTTCGATCTGATCGACGGTGTTCAGGAATCTCGCCAATCTTTGTACTTGTCGACAAGAAGGTTGCCGTCGACGTGGGTCGAGAATGTGAACCTGAGGTTAACTTTCGAGGGACCACACGCATAGGATCCCGCAATGGCTGCTGTTCTTCGAAACAAGCAACAGACACAAGGAGCATACTCGGTTCTGGCTCGACTTCAGATTGCCATGGTGGCCCATCAGACAGAGAAGGATAAACGCCTGGAGAGATACGATCGTTGTTATGGTTATGTGGTTGATAGGCATCCACGTTGTCCTTTGGAGGTCTGGACTTTTTCCTCTTCTGGTCTCTCATCAGACTGATCTGCGAGATAGAATCCTGAGGCAATGCAGCAGAATCATTCGATCTCGACTTGTCATGATGACTGTCGACTTGCTGTGTAAGTCTTCTCGCCTCGGTGGCCGAAACAACTGACGATCCATTCTTGGACCGTACCTTGCCTCCATGGGCGAGAAGTGAAGATGGTAGAGGAGGGTGATGTTTCCTAGAAGACGACGATGACGACTGCTCTGCACCAGCTGCCCCTTCTTGTCGCTGCTGCTGCTGCTGCTGCTCATCCCGTTTACTCCTCTTCTGTCTCTTCGCTAACCCGTGATACCGCTCATCCCTCTCGCCCCTCGACACAACCGGCGGAATACCACCACCGCCACCTCTCATCAAACTCAACCTTGAATTCAATTGCCCTAAGGCCAACAACGTATCCAAAGCCGCACTCTCCGATAGATTATACAAACTTCTCCTCGAAGCCTCCCTAGCTTTAGAATCTCCTCGCCGATGCAAAGCATTATTGAGTAGATTGATTAAACCCGTATTGAGCACGAGAAGCGTATGTGCCAGACTGGAATGGGCGGGCCCATCACCCATTTCAAATGAAGGACCATGTGTTGCTCGACTTTGATCGTATAAATGTCGGATTTCAATTGGTCGTTCTGTTAGGGATCGGCGAAGCCATTCTTCCTCTTCGGATGGACGTGGTGGTCGGGCGCGTGAGGGACGTTGTTTTTTCTTGTTGCCTTTGAGGCGGTTGAATACGTCGATGCTGCTGGTGAAGGCGGCGAGGATGGATGCCACGATTGATGCGACGTCGATGGAGCCCATGTTGTCGGTTGGTATGGTGGGGTTGAACATAGGACAATCAATGTTAGATAGAACCACAGGATGTGAGACGGTATGGAGAAAATGCTGGCGATCATATAAGTGATCTATCAGATCGAGTCACATATGATCATCTCATCGAACCCATTAAGTCATACAGTAGTCCTCTTCCCTGTTATGAGGAGAGAGGTTGATGGGGGATAGATAGATAGCTAGCAACATGAAGGTACCGACCTATGTATGTACGTACATACATACTTTCACCAGTAGTAAAGCGACCCGCCCTTCCGTAACACATAGTAGGCGTACTCGAACTTCACATTCAGAGCTTCCCTCCCTATCGAGTGCATCAGACCTATCAATCCGAACACTGTACGCCCCAACTAAGCGACATGCAGAAGCCAAAAACCAAGCCCACGCAAGCCCCAAGGGAAGGACAGCATTTGAATGGTCAAAACTACCCCTTCACTTCCGGCAACTAAGGTAGGCATCCAGGCGAGTGGAGGCGCATGAGTCTCAAAAGTTCCAGGCGCTTGTAGCCCTCGGTTCTTTGGGTCGTGCAACCAATCTAATCCCTGGCGCGTTGAGGAGAGGGTACGAGAGTGCATGAGAGGGGAAGCGGAAAAGGCGTATTGTGAGGTTCTGCTGCGTGTTGAGGTGGACATACAGTACAGTATCACAATATGTGAATAATGTGAAATTGGGGGATTGTGGAAGATGACTGGTCATACACGAAGACAAGGCATTGATTGAGGCGTTGGGTTGCCTACTGGTTGAGACAAGGGGAATAAGGTACTCCGTACTGTGATGGTTTCAATGCGAGATCTGCTGGGCGTATGGACAAGGCAATGTGATCTCTATTTCAAGCCCAGTTTAAGCTTACTCTCCAGGGCACGATATGCCCCCTCGGCCCCTCCACCCCTCAGCCTTCCCTACTCCCCCATGATGATCCTTTGGATCCATACCTTAGGTAGGTAAGTAGCCAATTTAATCCTTACTGTACCTAAAAATGTACTCGACCCACCAGAAACGCCCGCGGGACCCTCGACCTACAGTACACCACCGCCTAAGTTTCCACATGAAAGACGACACCTCAATGAGGTCTATACTTTTTTTTTGACAAACATGCAGTCGATGACCTTGAACCACTGGACCTGTATCAGACACCACCTTCCTTCACCTCCCTTCCACCCTACTCTTCTCTACTCACCTCCACAATAAACAAATAAACAATGCCACCTCCCGTCGGACCCCAACTTCCTCCGGAACTACAAAAGCGCAAACGAGATCAAAATGACGACGGCTCAGACTCGGACTCAGATTCGAGTTCCGACTCAAGTACTGGTCCACAACCTCCTTCAGCAGCGCCAGCAGCAACAGCACAAAAACCACAATCTCCACCTCCGAAAAAATCTCGGGTCATTGGTCCTAGTCTCCCCTCTGCCTTTGCTGCTGCGACTTCTGTAGACGAACGACCGGTGTCACCAGCACATAATCATGAAGAAAACAAAGACAGTGATGACAGTGACGACAGTGACGACGACGATGATTTCGGCCCACAATTACCCTCCTCCTCCTCATCATCCTACCCCACTGGCGGCGGTGACCGTCACTCACAAACCCAGACCCCTCTAACGTCCACTATAAAACCCACACCCGCAAAACGAGATGAATGGATGACATTAGCGCCAGAAAGTGGCGATTGGTCGCAACGTGTCGATCCCACGAAACTCAAGAATCGGAAATTTCAGACAGGGCGCGGTGCAAAGGGACCCTCGTCGTCAGGTGCCAGTACGGGTGCGAGTGCAGATTCGTGGCATGAGACGGCGGAGGAGAAACTCGAGCGGTTGAGACGTGAGGCGATGGGGATTCATGATTCTGGTGCAAAGGGGAAGGGGAAGCGTGGCGATAAGGTGCATGGTCATGGTCATGGCGGTCAAGAGGATGAAGCTACGGCACGTCGTTTGCGCGAGTATAATGTATGTGATGTGTTTTGCGTTTCGGATAGGTGTTGCGATACATTTCACTGACGAATGCTTCGGCTGGTGTTTCTAGGACAAAGCTCGTGGTCCAGCTCTATACAATGCCCATCAGAAGAATCAAACCGAACTCGACGACGACCCCAGTGCTCGGGCTTTCGACAGAGAAAAGGACATTGCGGGTGGCTTGCAGTTGAATTCCACCCAGAGAAGAGACATGGTCAAAAAGGCTACGGATTTCTCCTCGCGCTTCAGCAGTGCCAGATACTTGTGACCTCTCGACATTGCCCCAACCATAGAGGTACAAGTTTGAGAATATGAGAACTCAACATTGTGCTCGTGGGTCTCGTGATAAAATTTCGAGGGCCTGCCACCGATTCAAGCCCGATGTATTATTAGAGTGGGCAAATACTGTCCCCAGCCAGTACCCTTATCCACCAACATCTGCTGATGTATATTCAGCACTTCGGTCGCAATTGTAATGGTCGTTGCTCACAGAGTCCCAAGTTCATACTCAGCTCACATTCACAGTAGGTCGGTAGGGGCCTAACTGCTCCACCTTGATACCCACCGATCCGGATAATCCTGCCCAAAGGCCACCGATTGTATGCCGCCAGAGTGCAATCGTCAAAATCCACCATCTCTTGTAATATCGTTGACACCGTCGACGGAGAAGAATCCCCCGACTGCGACAAGCCGCTGCAAAGCTCGTCGGATGGGAACGTGAACGTCAAGACAGCTTGTTTGGAAGTCTCATCGGTTACGAATGCTTCAATCGGACGGAGCAGGGTGGGTGACCCATAGTAGCTGACATGTCCATTTTCCGTCGCCCATGTCCGGCCTGAAACAATAGCTCGATCGGTTTCGATGCTAATGATTTTGCGTGCAAGATGATACGCCGTGCAGCTGGTCCAATTGTTTTCAAGCACCCGCAGATTTCTTAGCTGGCGCAACGCTGCTAGGCGCACTCCTGGAACTCGACACTTGGTCGCAGTGAAGAACAAGGGCGGTATGTAACCAGAATGATATTCCAAATTGTCCTGATCCGTGGATCTTTGCTGCTCCAAATCGCAAGACAATCTTAGCCCATCGCATGTGGCCACAATGTACCGGAATTCGGGTTCAAAATCAGCATAAACGGCTTCATCAAGGGCCTGTGAAGCTTTGAACATGATGGTGAGCATGGTATAATTGACTCGCAGTAGCCGCAGATACATCGGATCGCATTGTCGAGGATTTCTGAGCATCTTCTTCTCAAACATTTCAAAAGAAGCCTGCCAGCAGTTGAGAAGATCTTGGATCCGGGCCGCCGAGACTGGTACATGGGGTTTAAAGTCCTGATCTAGGAGACGGGCCACTTGATGAGCGATTCCCGTCAGTGAATGGTGAGCCATATAGAGGGCATCGAACTGTCCGAAGGCGGGAAGCTCCTCCTCGGCGACAAGACTATATGTCACTTCAGTTGGGCGAAGACTCAGAGGGATCATGCCGTAGGTCGGTGCTTTATGGATATAGCCTATGAACATGGGAGCAATGGCACGGATGACAAAATCAGACTCCTTGGTCGTTTTCGACGACTTGTTCGCGTGGGAGGCTGACCATTCGTTGATGATAGCAATGCCACTTTCGACATGATGCAAGGCCGAAGTGATATTGCCGCGAGCGATTTCGCAACAGGCGAACAAGAGGCACGCAAGGAGGACAGCATCGCATCGTGGATTGTTCAGAGTGCCTTGGAGAGCCGCTGTATAATGTTTTCGCCACACCGCGTTTGCGTGTATTGGCATTTTGGCAATACAGGATGTCTCACACAGTGAGGCTGTGGCAAGGAGTAGGCTGGTTACGGCAGGCTCAGCAATGCTGAGCTTGGGAAGGGTGTGTGTCCAGAAATAATATCCTTAACAAGATTGAGATTCACCACCAGGATTGAGGATGAGAGCGTGGAATCTTACCAAAATAACAAGAGAAAAGGGGCGCTCCTTTCTCAACCCAGTACTGAAACGACCGTTGGTCGTCACTATCGCCCAAAGCACTCAGCGGAGACAAAAGCCGAGGAACTTCGGTCTGGGTGACCACAGCTGATTTCTCATCTTGATCGGGGTTGGCTTTGTTGTTTGTGGCTGTTTTGCGAGAAACAAATAGCCATGTCTGTGGAGGCTGGTAACCTTCGCATTTTCGAAGCGAACTGGTACATTGTCGACAGGCTGGCTTTCCCTCATCGCATTTGATCCGACGTTTTCTATATAGACTATCAGTAGGCTGTTGGATCAATATGATCAAATGGGATCGCAATCGCACGTCGGCCGGCGAGAAAGGCCACAAGGTCAGGAGATTGAAGGGGGAAAACATACCGACATGTCATGCATCCTGTCTTGACTTTCTGATGAGGCCTTTTGGTCCGGCCAAGGCCCATTTTTGATAATTCAGCCGGTCTGTCTAAGGTGCTGCGCGACATACGGAGAATAAAATGATCGGTGGCAAGAAAAACTGGAAGGCTAAACCACGCAGGATGCTAATAAATAAGAAGCTGAGTAGTTGTAAGATAGAGATCAATGTACTGTAGTGTCGTCTTGGTTGTGAAAGATGATTGGGGCGGTAGGCGAGAGGTATCAGTCGTTGTCGAGGCCACTACCCTTGGAAGGGCACCAGCCTATGCAGACGGGATTTCGAGAAGGGCGGTCCAAGACAGACCAACCGCTTCAGCTGACGGCTGCTGACACAGCGAAGCCAGTTGTAAGCGGAGAGCAGGCACATGAACTTGTCCTTTCCCAGGGATCTCGATCAAGTCAGCAACGCCGCTTTTCGGTTGCTTTAATGGCAATAGATCTTGTCAAAATCGGGTGGGACTGGGGCCAGGTTCGATTGGACCAGGTCTGGTGAGATTGAGCGTGACCGAGGAACCATCTTCGATCACCTTTCGCTTTACCATATTGTCACATTGTTCATGTCCGCCGCTTGCCCGGCAGCCTATGAGGGGCATCCAAGAATGAGCATATGACGTTGACACCAGCTGCGATACATTGAGAACGCGAATCTTGACTCTGAAGGTCATCTGGTCAAACGGATCTGGAGAAGAGGCATCTGTTGATTGATGTTCCGTGGCACCACAGCTGAAAAGGCGGGACTATCCTCCGCTCTCGACAGGGTAAGAACCTGGACAGTAACTTGGCAAGAGAGGTACCCTGGGGCTCTGGACTCTGCTGGCGCGGGGCCAAGGGGCCAAAGGGTTGAGGTGCGTGAAGTGCGTGTAGAGCCCTCGGGCCACAGGGCTACCGCTGACATGTAACGATTTTCGAGAAACACCAGATGAAGGCCCAAGGGCCTATTAGGGCACGCAGGGGTAATGGTAGAGACGCAGACACGGTAGGCAACCCTGTAGGGATGTTCCATGCAGGCCAAGCGCACCACCTAAAAGGGAAGTTACAAGGGAGTAGTGTCAGTCCGGAGTACGGAGTAGGCACGGTAGGGCACCGGCTGACGCGTACCTTCCTACCCAAGGTGCCAACGAACCCTGGTGGTACTTCGTACCTGCCGAGAAGGCTGCAAGTGCGACCGTTGTAGGACTCGTATGTACTGTAAGCTCATCACTTGCAACTCTAAATCATTTTACAGTAGCATACAAGCATCCTAATCACGTTTGATGAAAGACAACTGATCTTTATGGTCAGCAGGTCTGACTAAAGGCTGAGCTTACGAAACTCGGGGCGAACTTCACAAAATAATTTAATAGCACGACGCTTGACAATACCATAAGACTTACGGAACTCGATGTCATCAGCCCTACGAGTGTGCATTCAGCCATAAAGAGATCCATTGACAGGCGAGCCTTCAGGCTTCGATGAGGGTTCTAGCTCGGCCTTTATTGGCCTAAAAGACACTACTAGGGGCAAGGCGGAATAATTGGGTCTCAGAGCCCCAAACCCAAAGCCCGAGGGGCCCAGTGGCGCCTTCAGCCTTTGTTCTGCCTCCTCACCTCCTGCCGTCAAGAGCCTTGTGCCTAAAGCCTTGTGCCCTGAAGCCTTGTGCCCTGGAGCCTCTTCTGATTCTTCCCCGGGTTTCACTGGACCAATCATTTTCCAGCTCCGTGTACCTGCACCGTGGTCTCACATTCTCCAAACCCTCATCGTGCCACTGTGTCGCAGACGTGGGTCAAAGCCACCTTCACCAATCCATCAATGCCACCGTGGTCAAATCCCACTGAATGACCTTCATGTTTACTCGCTGCCATCATCTTGTCCCATGACGTCCCTCAACTGATCACTCGGTTGATAGAGCAGCCTTCACCATGGCTCGCTCTCTAGACTCGATCATACTCACCCTCACCCTCATCTTCAACCTGTTTTTTCCTGTCCATGCAATCTACTCAAAGGACTCACCAGTGCTTCAGGTCAATGCCAGGACATACAATTCCCTGATTGCGCAATCAAACCATACATCTGTCAGTACTCCTCCTTCTCATCGCCACAACTGCTGACTTTGCTCCGAGATTGTCGAGTTTTATGCCCCTTGGTGCGGACACTGTCAAAATCTCAAACCTGCCTACGAGAAAGCCGCAAAGAACTTAGCCGGATATGCCAAAGTCGCCGCCATCGACTGCGATGAAGAAGCAAACAAGCCCTTTTGCGGTCAGATGGGTGTTCAGGGCTTCCCAACCTTGAAGATCGTCAAACCGGGTTCCAAGCCTGGCCGCCCCATCGTCGAAGATTACACCGGCCCTCGTGCTGCAAAAGCCATTGTCGAAGCTGTCAAGGACAAAATTCCAAATCATGTCAAGAAATTGCAGGATTCAGCCTTGGATTCCTGGCTCAAGGACGATGCCACCACGGCAAAGGCTGTTGTCTTCTCAGACAAACCAATCAGTCCTCTTGTCAAAAGCCTGGCCGTCGACTTTCTCGGCAATATTGCCTTTGCTCAGGTCAAAGACAAGGCATCGGCAAAGACCTATGGTGTTTCTGAATTCCCATCCATTCTACTCTTTCCCGCACCCGGCAAAGATGCGATTACCTATGATGGCGAAATCAACCGAGGCGGCCTATTGGCTTTCTTCGCTCCTATCGCTTCACCAAATCCCGATCCAGCCCCCAAGCCTCCCAAATCCTCGAAATCTGCAAAGTCGGCCAAATCATCCAAGAAAGCACAGGCCTCCTCATCGGCCTCTGCCCAATTTTCCCGAGCCTCCGAAGACCACAAATCTTCCGACTTTGAGGACTTTGTCGGCAGCTCAGCGACAATTGTTCTCGATGGCGATGGCAATATCCCCACCGATATCCCAATCTCAATCGTTGTTGATGGTGAGCAGAAGCCTGCCGTCGTTGCCCATGTCCCACAACCTCTTCCTACCTTGGCAACGTCGACCGAATTGAACAATGCCTGCCTAGCTCCAAAAAGTGGCAATTGTATTCTGGTTTTGCTTCCTGTGAAGCAAGACCCAGACGAGATTAGCATAACAGCGATGACAGCTTTGGCAGGATTTGCCGAGATTGTCGATAGAGCACACAAGCGCAAGGCCAATCTTCTCCCAATCTACGCTGTTCCAGGAGAAAATGAGGGCTCTTTGAAACTACGACAAGATCTTGACCTTAGCTCTGAGCATGGTTTGGAGATTGTTGCAATCAATACAAAACGTGGTTGGTGGCGCCATTATTCGGCCAAGGCCTATAACCTCTCAGACCTCGAAGGTTTTATCGACGCCATCAAACTAGGAGAAGGGTCAAAGAATAGTCTCCCACCGTCCTTCACGGCGCAAGAGCCAGAGCCAGAGCCAGAGCAGCCCGAACCTGAACTAGTACAGGAGGCCGATCCGTCGCCAGATCATGATGAACTTTAGCCTTTACTCCCTGTTTCGGTTGAATACATGTAGCCATCGAACCTCAGTGCTATTACTTTCCTGGAAAATGATAACGACTGATATGATGCCAAGATTAGGTGCGGCAGATCCATCTTCTTCTGCGAGTCATCCGATCTCAACTGTTTGCTCTATGACCAGACCATTTCTCTTCCACTCTTTTCCTTCACTCTTCTGAGTCAACCAATTGTCCACGCCTTTTCCAAGATCGATCTCATCTGGTCTCTCCCCTTCTCTATTTAGATCTTCCTATTTTCCTCTCCCTCTTCCTCACTCTCTTCGTCAGCCGTCAATCGATCCCTACCAAACCATCCCTCCTTCATCCTCTTCTCCCTCATCAACTGCTCTTTGATCTTCCGAGATGAGGAATGGCATGAAACATTGTTCAGACACACTTTGATAATCTGATACCGCATTTGCCTTTCCGGATCTCACTTCAAAACGTTATCCCCGCCATCGATGAGAGGGCTGCTAATTCTACACAGCATGAAATCTCTCTTGGTCGAACGCTTCTGATCTGGAGTCCACGATCTCACTGTTATGAGCAACCCTAACTCTCTGCCACCTATTCAAGATTCCGACAGGCGAACAAACCCTGAAAGACCAGCAACATGGCACTATCTGAGCTTGCCCCGATTACCGAGATCAGCCGATCGTCCGCCATCAGCCCGGGTGCACCTGAGCCCAATCTAACTCCTCAAACACCTCAACTGACCGAGGCCACAGCAAGCAATGCACCATCGCCTGTGCCAAATGGCCGGACCGATAACCTCGACATGAGTAACATCCCTCCTACAAATGTGAAGTCCTGCAAGGAAATTAGTGCGGACCTTCAAGCTGGCAAATACGAATTTCCTGTCAATAGAAACACACCAGCCCCTACAGCTCCCAATGCCCAGCTTCTTCACCTGTATCCCACCATGACGCCATATCAGCAAATGAGGTATCGTGCTGAATTCAATTTTGTCCCGATGTTGCCAAGCCCGGCATCAGATGCCAGAATCGTTATGATTCAGAATATGCGACAAATGGCCCTTCTCGGGGCGACAATCGAAGACGACCAACGACGAGCAAATTTCTGGGATCGGGTCTTCGACAACTACAAACAGATCTGGTGTGAAGCCCTGCGGCTTGGTTATGATCCTGGTCATGTATCTGAAGAGGAGCAAAAGCCTCGTGCCCGCACGATAAAGACGCCGATGAAGACTACAAAGAAAAAGGTCCATCCAGCTGCTGAACCAGTCTTTACTTCTGAAAAATTCAAAGATCTTCGTGGAAAATTCTACACCCTCCTTCCTATCACTGCTGGGGAATTCGAGGAAGCTTATATCACCACGGAGCAGGTGAAGGTCGCGATGGGTCAGAAGACCAGCGAGATCGCTGGCTTCCTCCAACGTGTTCATGACTTTCTTGGCAGGGAAGTGGAAATGCAGGATTGGAGTCGCGTGAAAGCGTCCACCTTCTTGAACCCAGGCGGAAGAGACTTGTTCTTTTTCGCTATCTACACGGCTCAACTTTACGTGGCTAGTCTCAAACAGCTCCATAAGTTCCAATCGTCATTCAGGACCGTGATTCAAGCGAAAAATGGTCAAAAGCGCATCGCAAATGACCAGGCCAGCCTGAATTTTCTTTTAGCCACCGCACTGGAGATCAATAACAGGACGCCATACCTACGTGATGCAAAGCAGTCCCGCGAAGAGGTAGTTGCATTGGGCAAAGAAACAGGACCACATGAAGTGGCGTCTCCAGCTCCAGGTTCACGGGTGAACCTTGACTATTATGAGCCACCACCAGTCAACAGGATCGGAAACGTTGCGACAGATACCTTGAATCAGCCAGACGCTAGTACCGCCTCTCTACCCAATAAGCGTTCTGCACAAGATGAGGACATCTCTCTCGCCTCTCCCAGCAAGAGACAGAAAGGCACAGACACCACAAGTGCAAGCCCTAAGGAGCAAGAACGAGCTCATCCGCACAAAGACTCATTAAGCCTCGAAGCAAGTGTCGGCTCACAGGATGCATCTGATCAATCATCACCGACGCAGACACTGATGACGGAGCCACTGGATGCAAAACAATCATACGTCAAGCAGTTCTTGACACCTCTGGCAAATGAACTACTCGCTGCGCGGAACCTCCCGCCCCTCAACCCATTGACACAATACTTTGATATCAAGAACACACTTGTTAACGCAGGCCTCCCTGTACTCGAGAGAAATAAGGTGGTTGAGCTCTACAACACTGGCGCTATGCACAGGTTTCAAGACCCTGCCTTGGTGCGAAAGATGCGAGAGGAACTGGCAGCTCATCCCAACGCGGTGACCCTGGCAGTGAATGCAAATTTTGACGCGGAGCGGCTGTCACATTACAATGTGCATTATTGCGAAGGTTTCCGATTCCGATTTACTGAAGAATCTACCATTGCGGAGCGCATTGCTGCCGATACAAATGGCCTTGTGAACATGTATGTTCAAGATCGGATCAACCATCCAGAGAAGTATATCCGTCAAAGACACGGATCGTATGAAGCTATTTCTTTGCCTATGCACCCAACAAAGAAAGATGTCGTCCACGGTATCTGGGACGACAAGGACGGTCAACCTTTGTTACAGGAGTATCCTTGGTTCTATCGCCCTAGAGATTATCTCCATATCAAGGGTAATTATGGAGTTCAGATCGTGCCAAAGCAGACCGATACCGGTGACGATGCCACCGCCACACAAAAGGAGAAGCAGGTCAGGTTCGCCCCTGGTCCTGACACAGACCTCAACATTCGGGACAAAGCCAACCCTACCATCCATCTTGGCATGCCTCCTCGTCACCAAGACCAAAACATGACGAACCCTGATTCAAAGTCAAAGTTGGGCACAACTCCACAAAAACCAACGCGCACGTCTCCTAAGGGTAAGTTGAAGCACTCTAGACCACGACAGGCATCCAGAATCAAAACGATAGGAGTATTCAAAAGACCAAACTCAACCCAACGTGAGCTTACCCTGAGCGGCCGTCCCCAGCGCACCGCGGCTGCCACTCACAAGGAATACATCGAATCACCGGATGCTCAGACAGAGGCCGATGACGATGAGTGGACACCTAGTGATGACGGTGATGACGACTAAATGACTTTTGAGCAATACCGCGGCGCGGCAAGCAAGAGCATTTTCAGTTTCCCGCGACACATCTCGGAACATTGAATAACCTACCTACCTACCTACCTACCTACCTACCTACCTACCTACCTACCTACCTACCTACCTACCTACCTATTCGCCAACTCAGTGAGCATCAAGAGAGCACCAATCACACCCGTGATGGATATCTGGGTAATTTTTCGATTTCAACCTTCAATTTTCAGGCATGGTTTCACAAGAAACGACAGACGAAACGATATGATATGATTTTACGAAAGGGGTTCGTCTTTTACGATGCGTTGCGCGATGCGCGATGATCATGATGAAATGATGGAAAGCAAAACTGGGCAACGGAGCGAATCTGCATTTCGGGGGGGGAAAGTTGGTTGATTTGGTTGGTGAATTGCGTGGTATTTTGTTTTCTGTTTTCTTTTTTTTTTTTGCTTTTTGCAGTTGAACTTCACAGTTCCTCAAAGCCGACTGGCTCGAAAAGCATTGAGAGATACCTAGCACCTAGCAGGCTAGTCAGGCGATTCTCACAGTCATATTTTGCATTGGAATTCATGGAGGTTACAGTAGTCAATCAGTCACTACGACGACTGACTGCCGTACTGGCTTCAAACCTAGTACTCATCTTGGACATGTCATCAAGAACCTTACCTCCAGATAGGAAGGTTGATCATTTCTTGAAATTGTACACATTGTTTCTACCTTTCTTCCTTTTCTGAAAGATCTATATATCACACGTGACTGATCCGTCAAGCTCGTAGGCTTTGTGCGAAAAGGATGTTCAATGTTCGTGTGTCGCGTTACACTTCATTTCAATTACAGAGTACGTAGTCCATGACTTTCCTACTTCCTTTTCTCCTTTTTCCCTGTGCCCACGCTGCTGCTGTGTCTGTCTTTCTTGGACTTTTTCTCTTTTCTCTTTCCGCCGACATTGTCACCTTCTGCCGAATCATCACCATTGGCGGCCGCTGCCTCTTCTGCGGCCTTTCGCTTCTTTTCCTTTTTATGAGCCGAGGGAACGCTGACGATTGCGCTGCCTCCTAAGGCAGCATCACGGACCTGCCGTTCGGCTTCCGCCCAAGCCTCGTCATCGTCATTCGCATTGGTCGAGGGTAAGATGGCATATCTAGACACATGCATGTTAGTGTTAACACGGAGATGGCTCAAATCGCTTGTCACTTACTTGTCGAGAGGGAGGGCATCAATGAGTGCCTTCTGTTTCTCTCGGATTGCTGGGTCAATGTCCATCTCGTCTTCTTCTAACCCAGCTACTTGAGCGGCTGGGACAGCGACTCTGCCTTGAATGCGAGGCTCAACAACTTGGTCAACTTTTCCATTGACGAATTCCTCGTTGTTCTTTTCGGGAATCTCCCCTTCGATTGCCTGACTTACAACCGCTCTCAAAGCTGTACTGACTTTCCTCATCACCTTAACAAACATTGCCAGTAGTTGGTTGTTGGGTAGATTGAGTTCCTTCTCTAAGTCGCTCATGTCTTTTCTCTGCAGTCCCACAGCAAGAAGAATGCTTTGTTGTACACCGGACAGTGCAACACTGCAGGGCGGCTGCTTCAGTCGACCAGTGAAGTAGAGCATGGCGATTGAGGGAAGGAGATCAAGTATTACATGATAATCAAGCATGTTGTTTGCATAACTGTCAAGACGTGCGAGGTCGAATGGCGAGAAGAGAGCGTCAATGTCAGACTTTGCAAGGGATGCAACAGTATCCGGAGTAGTGATATTGCTCCCGCGTGAAGCTGATTCCGAGATAGAAAGAGATTGGATAGAGGTGAAAGTGCGAAATTGGTAGGATAAAAGGGAAAGAAAGCGTTTGTGAAAGTCCTGTGCGTAGGCGCTAAGCCAGGATGAATCTGTGCTTCCACTGTTGGACAAGGGTCGAAGCATGACACATGAATGTTCACCTGTCAATTCGTTGGGTGTTTGCCGAAGATAGACTGGCGTGAAGGAGGCCCTCTTCCAGAATTTATGCAGTGGCTGGGTGAGGCCATATGATACGCCGATGTAATCAAGTCGATCAGGTTTACGCTCCGAAAGTTTGCTGAAGAGTGGTGGCATCTTGTTGATATCGCGGACATGGACGGTGTCATCAAGAAGATCGGACTTTTCCAGTTCAGCGTCGGTCACACGAGGCATGTGCTCCATTTCTTGGATTGTTGCATCCTCAGATTCTGACAAAGAGGCGAATTTTCCCTCGTAGAAATCTGTCAGGAGCTCGAGGGCACGGGAACCGTAGCCCATATTGAGATACTCGGGGTTCGTGGCGATTCGGACTACTCGGCTGCCTGACAGACCGGCAAATTCGGAATCTTGGAACTGTTGGCTAACAAGCCATGGAATTAGATCACCGCCTGCCCGTTGACCTCGAGAAAGACTGTTCATGACAGATTGCTTGCTGATGCGACCCTCGAGGGTGACCTGTAACACACACAATGGTTCTGGAAGTTTGGTCGCACCTTCTTGGATGGGAGGAATCAACACAAAGAGTTGATGTGCTGGAGCATCGGACATGAGTTGCAAGTCATTTGGCGAATTCTTGTAATGAGATGCGACGTACAATGCCATCATCTGTTGAAGGAACTTTTCAGAGACGGGGTGGAAAGAGAATAGAGTGTCGCGATTGACGTGAACCAATTCGCAGGTCGAGGGGTGAGGTGTACCCTGGGTGTTCATCCTTGCTTTGGGCAGCGTGGCATCGAGGCATAGAAGTTTATTCAACCATTTCTCCACTCCGTCACCGGGAGCATAACGAATGGGTTCGCTTAGGGTAATCTCCCTCAGTGACCGTCCACCGGTGTACATGTTTTGACCGTCTCTGGCAGCTTTGCCTGTGGATTTATCGGCGACCTCAACATTGTCTAGAGCGGCCTTGGCACCGGCTCTAGATTGTTCACGGAGCTGATGGATGAGCTTAAGGGACAAAGATCGTCCCGTGCCTTCGTATCCGTTGATGGTTGAAGCCATGAAGACAAGATAAGGACCCATCAGTTTCCGGACCAGAGGCAAAGGAATGGCAGCGGCTTCATCGATGACTACCAATTCGGCCTGTCCGAGGACGTGAGCATCTTGGGGTTGGATGTACTGGATGGTCTGTCTGTGCTGCCTGTGGATGTTGATACGGACCACAGCTTTGTTGTAGTCGGGGTTTGTCGATTGAAGGATGGTATAATCAGTGTGGTCCATATATTCTAGAGCGTCAAATCCTTTGATAACAAACTCAAAGAGCGTTTTGAGATTTTCTGGACTTGGGGAAGTGATGAAGATGTTGCTGTAACCGTGCGCGACAGCAGCAGCTACAGCAACACCGAGTGCGGCAGACTTGCCTCGACCACGGGCAGCGGTCAAAGTGACAGTGCTACGCAGAGTTTTCTCAGATATTGCGTCGACAAAAGTAAGGAGAGCTTTGGCCTGGTCGACTGTCTTGGCCAGGTTCAACAAGGGGCCAACCGGTTTGCTGTCCATGAGGCTGTCTTTAATTTCCTTGAGCTCTTTCTTGTTTGGAGGAAGAGATTCACTATCTGTGGTTGGTGGTGGAAGGGCCTGGACGTTTTTTCCACCCGAGATTGGAAGGACGTTTAATTCGTCGTCGACGACAAGACAGGATTCGCAGGAGCCCAGAGAGAGGATAAAGCGTTCATTGAATCGAGCAACAACATCGTCGTGGGCCTCAGTACGATATCTGGAGTGGACGTCCATGGACATGGTGTATAGTTGTTTCAGACTGTTCATGCCTTTCAAGAGCAGAAGAACCAGACCACCACCCTCGACGGTTTCAATGGTCCTCGCGAGAAGGTTGGGGGTGAGGGCTTCAAAGTCTTGCAGTATACACATGCCGTAAGTATTTCCCAGAATCTTTTCCGTCTCCTTGTAGTAGACGTAACGGATGTTGTGGAGGGTGACGAAGAGTTCGAAAGGATCTTCGGTATTGGCATCTCGAATACCTCTTTTAATTTCCTTTTTAATTTTGGTCTCTCGCTTTTTGCGATGACTGGTGAAACCTAAGAGATCTTTCTTGTAGGCCCACAGCACCGATTTATTCTGTTTGATGTCGACACTGGACATAATGTAGTGGAGGTGGACGATGACATCTTTTGCGCGGTCTCCAACAACCACCATGAAGGTCCGCTTCTTTTCCTGGATTCCATTTCGAATGAGGGCAGGGATTCGAGAGTCGATTGCTTTGCGAGGCATGATGAAGAGACCCGGCCACCCTCCGCCTCAGTCTATGTGTGTTATTGGGAAAGAGTGGTCCAAGCCGTGGTCATTGGAATAGACCCTGTCTACCATGAAAAAAAGTAAACGACTGCGCAGACTCCAAAAAAAAAGTCGTCGGCGCACCTGCCTTGTGGGGTAATGTCAAAATGAGGAGAAGCAGGAAGGAGACACCGATGATTGGGGAAGTGCACATGCCCATAATTCGAGAAATCGACGAGGTTGCCGCTACTTGACCCAAGCTTTCCCATTCAAAGTCAAACTGTCAGCCGCGTGGCTTCTTGGGCAATTACGCCGCATATGACATTAGCATAGGGCAGGCACAATTGCCGTTGGGCAAGTCCAGTCCATCTTCAGCCTTGTCAATCCAGCACGGGCAACCTCACACTTTCAACTTCTCAACTCCTTACAGAAAGACTTTGTCCAACTCGAGCATACCACCACTCTGCTAGGCTAGAGGGTAGCTCGCTCCATACCTCTGTGTCACCGAACATTCCATGCATAACAAAGATCTACAATTTCGACACGAGTCTCTTCGTTCCTGATTTCTCGCAGCCAGTCACTCAGACTGCAACCACCCTGTCTGTTCGGTCATGATGTTGACGGACACTCTGGACCAGTTCACAATAGAACAAGACATCTATCACATCAACGAATAGACTCGCGCCTCGCTACCTCCACCAAAGCCGCGGTGTCACCAACATGGGTGCCCTCGACACTTTGTGTTGTTGGTAACAGCCCCCTCCCCTTCCCCTTTGCGCATTCACACCTCTTCAATAACGTTTCCACTAACCTTGAGCAGGATTTCTATTCTGACTGCTGCTGCTCTAACAGCATTGGTACCCAAATCTACAGCACATGGTATGCCACCTATGAACCCTCTTGCTCCTCATCACACCTCCCGCAGGCCCCTAACTCCTCTCAGATAGACCAATCCATATTCTGGTCGTGGCCTCGCTAGCCTGCGCATTTGCTCTTCCAACCATCCACCGGCTACTGCCAAATCTTTTCCGTCCATCCAGGTTCAAGCAAAAAGGAGGCTACAACTCAATACCCCTCGCATCCGTTGGAAACTTCAAAGCATCCACCACCTTTGACTCCGACACGACTTCAACGACTCAGAATCCCAAGGCTGCAAAGGTCCGCATAACCGTCCTCGCTGCTTTGGCCGCAGTACTCTCACTGCGCTTAGAAGTGTACCGGCGCATCACAAAGGCCACCGAGTGTACCATCACAAGTGTCGAGGTCTTCTTACCTTTCCTCCTCGCAGCCTACGACGCGCTCCGATCACAGAAGAACGTGGCTCTAGATCGCGACTCCGGCCCAGACGCAACCATCTACCAGTCTCTTCGACACAACGTGGCCTCGTCGGTCGTTGCTCCAAGGTTTCGATATTTGCTACCTGTCTTCTTGATCTGCTGTGGCTGTTATCTGGTCCAGAGTCTGTGGGCTTCCTTAAATTCGACATACATCTGCCCCATCACCACCGGAGAACAGCACAGCATCCCTGCCTTGCAGCTGCTCGCCCTTTTCCTCGATGTTGCAGCAACCATCATCGCTTATGAAACCTCACCAAATTCCGATGGCACGCACCTCTCTCCAAGACGTTACATGGTTCTCTGGAGCTCTGCTTTTCTATCCACCTCGGTAATATGGCTCATCGTCGGATGCATCCTCTACGTTTTCAAGCCGGAGTTACGCACATGGTTGTTTTTGATCTTTCCGCCAATAGACGTTAGCACCATCCTGGCAGCTGGATTACATACCTTTTTATTCTGCATACTTATCATCTCGACATTACACAGTGTAAGTACGCCCGCAAATTACCTTTGATCCCGCGTCACTCACCACATGCACTTCTAGGTCATCGTGTATGGCCTGCTAGACATGTATATCCACTTGACTCTTGCCATAATCATGGTCCCAGTGAGCGAATTCATCTGGTCTCATAAATATCCGTTTCCTCCTACCTCAAAGACCACTTCCACGATAGCCTTTGCTCTAGCATACCTAGGCTGGTACTTTCACCGTCATATCCAACAGTCTTTGGGCGAAAAGGAGCCTTTGCGTCGCTCCAGATTTCTCCTCGCATCCGTCGCGCTCTTCCTGCTGCTACTACCGACCTGGCGCGTCCAGGACTTCATTCACTATCACCCCATCGACATGCTGATATACGACGCTCAAATTTGCCATAACAAATATCTCCAATCAGTCGGCAACACCACCTCTCTCGAGGAGACAGTAGCCCGGTACCAGAAGAGGTACAATCGACTCCCTCCTCCAGGCTTCGACCTCTGGTTCGAATACGCCAAGAAGAGATCGGCCTTCATTGTGGATGAATTTGACCAGATTCACCAGGATCTTGAACCCTTTTGGAAGATTCCTCCGCATGTCCTCCGAAAAGACACTTGGATAATGGTCTCTAACCCATGGAATGAAATCTCTGGCATTTCAATACGACAAGGACAGGCATCCGTGCTACCAAATGTCCTACCCACTCACAAATGGATGCTTGACGGGGTGGCCGTCCTCATCAACAAATTTGCAGAGCATCTCCCCGACATGGATCTTGCTTTTAATCTGAACGATGAGGCTAGAGTCGCCGTTCCGTATGGCGACCTCGAAGCACCCCATCAGAAGAATCAGCCACCCGTGGAGACAGCACCCAATTATTGGTACCCTGTTGCTAAAGATCCAATCGGGGATACTGTCTTCAAAGACATGTCATTTCGAAACACCTTTCGCGAATTCGGCTCTGTCGGATGCCCGCCCTCCTCGTATGCGAGAAGTCACCCGCATATCTCATCGAGATCTCACATCTGCCATGAATGCACTGCGCCACACTCTCTAGGACAATTTCTTGCCAATTGGACAGGTGCTGCCGACATCTGCCACCAACCAGATCTTGCATATTTGAATGGGTTTTACCTTAGTCCAGCGGCTTTCAAGACCTCGCATCAACTAATGCCGGTATTTTCCCAGTCAAAACCACATGGCTACAACGATATTTTGTATCCTTCTGCTTGGAACTATATGGACAAGGTCAAATATTCTCCGAGCGCGGATACGGGAAAGCCGGGCGAACCGGATTTCAAACCAGGGTACCCAGATGTCCCTTTCAAGGACAAACAAAATGTTCTGTTCTGGCGTGGCGCGACGTCGGAGGGAGTTTCTTCGGGCGACCATTCTTGGAGAGGCATGACTCGCCAACGCCTGGTACACATGGCAAACAATCTCACTACATCGGCCCATGATTACATCACTATTCTCCTCCCACACTTTGACGACTATAAAAAGTACAAATATGTCACACTTCCAGGAACATCCCCTCAGACTCTAGGGTTGAAGACAGATATCGCGATTGTGGATCGCATTGCTCGATGTGGCGGAATAGGTCTCTATGACTGTACCGATCAAGAAAAAGAGTTTGGACTGGTCGGGCCATCAAACTTTCAGGCTCATTGGCAGTACAAGTTCCTCTTTGATCTCGATGGAGCAGGTTTCAGTGGTCGGTTCCTGGCATTCCTCGAGTCTCATTCCCTACCCTTCAAGACGGCTCTGTTTCGAGAATGGTACGACTCACGAATCAGGGCGTGGCATCATTTTGTGCCCCAAGACCCGCGACTACATGGTGTATGGAGCACACTTGCGTACTTTGCTGGTGTTAATGGGACGTTGTATGGCGACAAAATCTGGTGGAAGGCACACGAAGCGGAGGCGGAGCGGATCGCCGAGCAGGGACGTGACTGGGTCAACAAGGCCATACGAAAAGAGGACATGGAAATTTACTTTTTCAGGCTATTGCTCGAGTGGGCTAGGATAACCAACGATTCGCGAGACAAGTTGGGCTTCACCGCCTAACTGTAGTCTGAACCTGTGTATTAAGCAGGAAAGGCCAATTTTGGGGACGCAAGCCCCTGTACCATATATCCTGCTAGTCAGGAACACGTTTGTTGCGAGGGATATGTATATACTTTTATTCTCCCTGATGAAATAATGTTGTTGGACGAGTTGGCATGACGCTTCAAGCGTGGTTAGTCATGAAAGGTGTTTGTGGTCTCAGGACAATTGCCAGCGTCCATGGCTACATCAATAATTGATTGCATGTTATAAAATTCACCATCACCTCGTTCCGACAAAATACAGCCAAGAAGTTGTTCCCAGACAAAACAAACACCTCCAAAAACGCATTACAGTCATCGATCTTCGTTCTTCAGATGCGGTGTGACACCTGACCTATCTCGCTTGCACAGCATGTGCACCTTCCCCAGCATGAGACGGCCCTCCAGTTAGATTAGCCACGAATTCTTGATATCTAAACACATCACCACCCCGCTTGGGAACAGGCGTATTCAAGCCTCGAACGCCAGCAATGCCAATGACATTCTTACCCAGAATCCGTCGGCCCGTGAACCCTTCCATGGCGCGCTCGACCTCTCTCACGCTCAACGGACGTACCCCAGCATCTGGTGCGGTTTTGAGAACGGCGGATTTCAAATCGTCAATATCAATTTGACCGCTGTCATCGTCATCGAAGGCGGAGAAGGCGTTCAAGAGCTCTTGCTGTGGAGATAAGTTGACGAGGAGATTGGCGAGTTGAGTGAGGTATTGGGGCAGTGAGAGTTGGGAAGGTTGGCCCGGAGGAAAGAATTGAGAGAGGTCGGACTCATGGAGACCGAGAGATTGTAGTGTTTCATTGACTGATTCTGCATCAATAGATCCATTGCTACTGCCGTCTAGAACGGAGAAGGATTCTCGGAGGTTGTGGAGGAGTGCAGGAGGAAGTTTCGATAGAGCATCGTTTTGTGAAAAACCTGAAGAAATACTCCGTCGCGGGGCGGTTGAGGATAGTGACGGGTTGAGGCTAGCTGTTACGTTGTTGTTGTTAAGAGAAGAGTATTTGGATGATGTGGATGTGGCGGTGGTGTTGTTGTTGCTGGTAGCAGTGGGAAGCCGTCGAGTTGTTGGGGACGGCGGAGGCTCTGTTTGAGCCCTAGAGTGTCTTGGTGGCGGGTGCATGGAATTTGTTGTTCGTGAGGGAGTTGATATGACATCGTCATCGTCTTCATCCTCCGACACAGTATAAGACTGTTTGAGTTTGGAAGGGGAAGTCATCGGCGATGCTCCACTGCGGTTTGTGGGAGGTGTACTGGGTCGATGGTTTATGGAGGTGGGAGATCCTGGAGATGCAGCACGGCGGAAGGGAGAGGATCGAGGTGAGTTAAACGTCGACTTGTAGGACGCCTTTGTATATGGAAGATGGATATGTCAGTTCGAGGCACAGACCAAGCAAACAAGGTGCTCGGGAGAGACAGGCTTACCATTTTGTGGATCTTGACGGAACAATGTTGTTTATGGTGTCAAGATGCAGATGAAAAATGTGGGCGATCAATGGAGTTGACAATATGATGGGGACAACGTCCATTAGTCGATGATATCGTCGTATTAAGAGTTCTGGTGGGTATGAGATATTCGAGATTATGCGCAGGCTGGATTGAGTGGTGTACGGTGTGGTTTGGCCGTCGTCATTCTATCAACAAAGTCGTTGTCAGGAGTGATGTGATCCTCCGGAGGCAGAGATAATCCGGGTCCGATGATGGACGGGACGAGGCGGCTGAGGGGACACGTGAGGGGCGAGACGCGCCCCGTGGCGCCTTGAAGACGTGTCTCTAATGGGCGAAGAATCCCGCTTAATGGCCTGGGCCGAGGTCGCAGCCGTGCCTAACGCCCATTCAGGCGTTAGTGTGCATACTAACATGAGGTCAAAAAGCCCTAAAGCGTTTGCACTTCTGTAATTCAGGGGTAGACCGGGGGATCCATGTAAAAAGGCCATTCCCCCACTGGCAGTCTCGCACATTGCCAAACTGGACTTTGCAAAGAACGGGACGGAGGAAGAATGCCGCAAAGAATGACTGACTGGTTTTAGTTGGTGGAAGTGGAAGTTGGGGATTCATGTTGGACTTTTCGAGACGGATAAAATCATTCATGTACAAGGTCACGCCCTCGTCAGTTGTGTCGAAATACTAGTTCTGAATTCCTTCCGTAATTTTGTCTCTAAGTCTTGTGGGTGTCTTTCTTTTACCTGACGCCCACCCTCCCATCTCTAGGGCGGCGTGCCTGGGTACCACTGTACCAGTACTTGGTACAGTCCTAGACAAGTCCCACAGATACGCACCGTCTGTGACGTTGCTTACTACTGTCAATCAACTATTTTCACTGGACGGTTGATCTGCGTTAAGCGGATTGTGGACACGACGACGATACCGCTGTCACCATCTGTCGGCGCAGCTGTGTGCCTCGTACCACCCAACGATACCCCACGACCCTGTCCTCCAGTGCCTCTAGGTGCCACTTGACACCTGGTGGAGAGAAGTCAAAACTCGGGAAGCCTGCGAAAGCGTACCAAAATTGCCTAGGGGCCCCCTCCCAACCCAAAGTGTCACAGGCACCCACCGACCGCCAAAATGGCCGAGGGTTTGGCAGCCCAGTATCTGCAAGTGCGCAGCATGCAACGGCACATGCAAGAAACTAAAAAGAAAGAACTTGACTTGCAACGTAAAAAGGCAAAAGAGCAGGAAGAAGAAGCACAGCGACTCAAACTAAAATTGTCCCTATCCAACGAATCCGTCACCAGTTCAGAGATAGAACGGGCTATTAATCTGAGACCATCGACTTCTGGCACTCAGGAGTCTGTCTACTGGAGGCCAACCACCTCTTCAACTCAAGCCTCTATCAATTGGAGACCATCCACCTCTGTCACCCAAGCCTCGAGTCGAAGACCCATGCCTGAAGCCATCGCATATCGTGCTCATACTGACCATGGTCATCATGGACGGCCAGGCTCCATCTCCTCCCATTCAGGCTCTCAGAAGTCCTCCATATCCCATCAGCCCTCCCATTATAAAGTCTCATCGCAGAGCTCTCTAGCACCTCCATCCCCTCGAGGATCCAACTCTTCCTCCGGACGTATTTCCACCGTCTTTGAAGATGCGCCCTTCCGACCTACAAAGCGAGTCCGAGCGCAGTATCCTCTCCACTCGAGCGAGCCTCATGTCGAATACATCCTCGTGGCCTCCTTTGATATCGACCGCGGTCCGATCATGGAACACCAATTCCCCGGCGCGATCAGCCCTGACGAAAACATGCTTGCAGAACTGATGTTACCGGATCAGACACATCTTCGACAGCAAGATTGGACCATGTTTTTCCTTCACAAGGATGCCGGGTCCAGCGAGGAGGAAGCGGCCGAAAGATTAGCAAACAAACAGGCAAGAGCGCGCAGAAGGCGTGCCAGAGCATCAGGAGATTCTCGAAGCACAGAAAGTGACAGCATGGACAATGACAGTAGCAGTGACGAGAGCGACACCGGGTCGATAAATAATCCCCCTTTAATGTACGTGCTTAATCTGGTCAACACCAAGCAGGACAGTACAGCCAAGAGAGGTGCGGTCGTCAAAGCCATGGCCATTTGCACCAGGCACTCTTTTCTGCATATCTACAAGCCTCTCTTACTGTTGGCTCTGGAGGACTATTTCAAATCACCGATCCCGGACACGTTGGAGTTGCTCTACAACGCACTCAATGCCATGGACTTGTCACTGTTGCCCAAGCTGTCTCATTTGGAGCGCCATATTTTACAAGCAAGCGATGCTAAAGACATGTTTATTGAAAAGTTTGAGCAGATGATCGCTCAACGTTTGGCGGACGAGAGCCAGAGAAGAAGTCTGGAGGCACCAGATTCACCGACCCGAACTGAACCGAAATACGTCGTGCCTCGTGATACGCACGAGTTTGAATCCAAGATTGTGTACAACGGCATTCCCATTCCGGTCAAGATCCCAACCGCGTTGTCGCCCGAGACCGTGGGTGATTTTTCTCTGATCAGGCTGGTACAAACATTCGGCAATCCGCACATATCACAACCTCAACCTTTTGCTCTCCACCCTCATCTGACCACATCTGGTGCTTTCACGCACCCCATCATTGTACTCATCAACGCCATGCTGACGGAGAAAAGAGTGATTTTTCTCGGTCACAATCAACCAGCAGGGACAGTGGCTGAGGCGGTTCTTGCTGCATGTGCCCTTGTTTCTGGTGGCGTCCTGAGAGGCTTCACCCGTCACGCATTCCCCTACACTGACCTGACCAAAATTGACGAACTTCTCAAAGTTCCTGGTTTTATTGCAGGGGTGACCAACCCTGCGTTTTCGTATCATCCCGAGTGGTGGGATGTTCTGTGTGATCTTCCTTCCGGGAGAATCAAGATATCCTCATGTATCGAACCAGCGCCCGCTACGGAAGGGTCTACGTACTTTCAACAGCATCTCCATTCCAAGGATACGAGCGGAGGCGACGCCACTGGAGATACCTTATTCATGGATGAAATTAGCAGAGGGATTGCATCGCGCCACGGAGAGTCCATCATTCGAGCCAAGTTCCAGGCATACATCACCAAGTTTACCCGGATTGCGGCGGCCTTTGAAGAAACAGTGTACGGAGCAACCAGCTTAATCTCCATCCCTCCAACCGAAGTGGAAAAGGCGGAAACACCTACCACAGTGGCAGGGTTCGATCGACCAATGTCTCTCAAGACATCGAGTCAGAACTTGAAGGGGCACGGCTATGTGTGGCCGAGTGAAGAAGCCAAAATGCGAGAGCTGGCCGCTTCGGCGGCGAGGATCGAGGGCTGGCGTAATACCAGGTCATATTATTCGTTCATCTCGGACTTGGCGGCGCATTCGTTGGAAGCAGACTTGCCTCCCTCGCCCGGACACATCACAGCCATCCCACCGGCGAAGCCCTACGTCGACTTGTATCATTCTCTGGCCAAGCTGAAAACGCTTCGATTGACACCAAACGAAGCGGGCGCGATCTACCTTGCACTTGAAGCATATTGTACAGATTATGATACGATTTTGGAGTTGCTAGAGCTGATGCCAGTGTCGGAAGCCGGACTGTTTTACATTGGCCTGGGTTTGTGGCACGAGGACGCTCAAGTGCGGCTTGCAGTGGCCACTTTGTTAGATAGCATCAAAAAGCACCCGGCGGGGAGAATCTTCTTTAGCCGTCTAGGAGGATGGGCAAACATGGGCTTCAAAAGAGCTATTCAGGAAAGAAACGCCCGCCGGCGGGCTCACCAGCATGAGAGTGATGGCTCGATGGATGCTACGACGTCGAATGGGGATGGTCGGAGGAGTTGAGTAGGGGGTGTTGCAATCTTGGATACCTTGGGTTTGAAATGGACAGAGGTTGCACTGGGTAATATGGTAGGTCGATGTGAACGGCTATGAATTCATGAAAGATACTGGTCAACATGATGGGATTGACTGACTGGACGGTCACTGACGGTGGCGACGGGGGCATGTGCTGCCTCTTACGACTGTCGAGAGCTGTGGGCGGCATCTAGACAATTTTGATCCATCAAGCGCATGATTCCAATGGGAGCATTGTAATTAATCCAATATAATGGAGATTTGGTATTGCAATCTCTACAGTCAGCGAGTCGAAGCATGAGGCGAGTTGGTAACCAGCACCGACAAGGTGTAGGGCAATCATCACATTTTCAACACCAGCCAATCAGTTGCCAAGTTAGGCAGGGTGCAAGTCAGGCCAGACAAGACCAGATTGTCTTTGGACGATGGATTTGCGTTGGATAAGAGAATGTGTAATAAGTACCTGCTTAGTATTAGCGATAGTCTAGAGGTTCACATACTCATGCACATAAGCAGGTTATTCTCACTTTTGTGCACTTGTGTGGATGATGTGCGCAACTTGAGATTATGCTCAGTAATAATAATAAAAGAAGGCTTGAGTGTCGAAGTGAACATCGTAAACCTTGACTTGGTCGTGCTTGGCCGTGCTTGGCCGTACTTGCCCAAAATTAGCCCCTTCGACCCCTCGGCCCCTCGCCCATAACTGCCCTGTCCCCTGACTCGGTTGCGCCTGCACTATTGAATCTATTGAACCTTGGCACCGCCGACAAATTTGTTCATCGAGAATTCAGAATCGTCGCCCGTCGCCCGTCGCCCGTCGCCCGTCGCCTGCGATTTTGTCTTGTGTGTCTTGTCTGTCCTTTTTGGGGCCTCAATTCCTGGCCCCCGGTCCCAATCTGACTCAACTCTGTACGCGAGATCATCTTCTATCCTCGTCTACCCATATTGATGCACTATTCGTGGTCGCCTGCACAACACCCAGAAATGGATTTCCGATATGGAGAATGCAGTGGCTAACAGAGAATTCCCTAGATCCTACAAGGCGACATACGAGTACTCGTATGCACATGTCCATGAATCCACAACGTCCCTCCTCAATCCAGGCCGATGGTCAGTGCCTGTCCAAATTCAAAAGACCCTCTTATCGGGCCCTCCCGCTGGTACCTGACCGATCTCGTGGCTTTGACCGCGGAGCATTTTATTTCCCCTCGAAGCTTGACTTGGAACTGACAGCTCATGTCATTGATCGGCAGAGATTGAGCACATCACCGACGTTTTTGAACCACGTCAAAAGGGTTCAATTCCAGCCCGTTGATTGACAGAATGCCTTGAAATTTGCCATCGTATTTGCACCTCATGTTCATAATTCCCAGACCTTTCGATGGCCTAGACGCCATAAGAACGCCACAAGCGTGCAACCACCTCCCTTTGGCGGGCAGCTTAACCTCTTCTAGCTGACGTTACCATCTTTAATCTTCTAGTTTTTCCCTCGAGCGCCAGGTGGAGTCTCCTTTCAAGCTCTAACCTCCATTCTCGCTTCATTGTTTGGTCTTTGACCCTGGTGCCTTGACACCAACTGGCCTCAAGGCTACTCGCTGTGCTCAGCATTTAGGCTGTTGCGCCATGCATGGATTCATGGTTCGCAAGATGCTTTGGGAACAAAGAAAGACCTCCCGCTTTGGGCGCCTGTTCCCAAACTCTCAGGCCTTTTGAGAGCAACTTCAGCACACGTCCGTGTCTTTTGACTTTGTTCATCTTTCCAAATTCTCTCTACCTCACACACATCATAGACTCATCTACGACACTTCCTGTGTACAGTGCATCCCACGCGTTGCACTGTAGCAGTCCAAAGCTCGGGTCAAACACTTCCGTTGCTAAGCCTCCTTCTTTGAGACCATCCCCGCCTAAAAAAAGAACCAAGGATACTCGGCAGATCAACAGGATCAGCGTCTAGGGTCTAGCACGTGGATGCAAATCCCCTGAGCGACCGAGTCTGGGCTATTCACGATCGACACTGAAATAACCAAATAAGGTCTCGCTATCTGGCTCCATCTAGACCTGATCTTCTCGTCCCTCTTCCATTCGCCTTGGATGCAGCGATCAACTCGACAAGTGGCCCTCGTCTCGTTCACCTGAGCGCCGTATCAGGTGCTTTGCTCTGAGTCTCGACTCATGAGCGTCCATTCGTTTGAAAATTGCGCCCGAATACCACCACAATCGTTTTGAATTCGGAGCTAGCCGTTCACCTCATTCCACCATGGCTCACCAAACAACAATATCAGGAGCCCGATCGTTGCCACATCGTGTGTCCCGATCACACTCGTCGACTATAATACTCTCTCTAATGATAATACTTGTGTGGCTGGCTACGAGCACAGCCGCTTTCGACATGACGTTCAACTCACGGGAAAACGAGTCGGAGTTTTTCCAAGAGCTGGCGCAAAGAGGCGAAATTCACGTCGATCGACGTATGCCCTCACCAATGCCAACACCATTTCTCCAACCACGACAAGATGTTGTTCCTGTCGACATTTCCGAATCACAAACGGCCTCCGACGTAGCCGAGACAACGACACGAGCCTCGGCCGCCACGTCAGATCGTCCTGAGACCTCTTCAGCAGATCAGTCATCCTCAATCCCTCCAACAACCACATCTGGTTCGTCCTCGCGGCCTTCAACCACAACAGTCATGACCGCACTTCCATCAGCATTCGACACATCATTAGGGAGTAACTTTACCAACCCATCCTGTCCCAAATTCTTCTCCACATTCCTCGCCAACGCAACATTCCAGTCATGCATTCCAGTCTCATTGTTCCTTCAAAACTCGTATTCCTTCATCCGAGTTGAACGGGATGAGAGCCTTTTGGAACAGACCCTCGACGCCGCATGCAAGGCACCTCTGGCCATCTGCCAACCATTACTAGCTGGCATTGCTAGAGACCTAATTGATAGTCGCAACTGCGGGTCGGATTTCAGCCGACAGAATCCGTTGGTGATGCAGGCATATAATGGACTAATTGCCTATGAGCCAGTGTACCGAGCAACTTGTCTCAAGAACACAGTCACAGGGACGTATTGCTTCACTGAAGCCATTCTCAATTCAACCAACCCTACCGAGTTCTACCCCTACTACACAGCCATTGGCATGAGTCTTCCTGCCACAATCCAACCCTCCTGTACCGAGTGTCTTCGGAATGTCATGGAGGTATTTGCTAGCTATGCCGAGGACGCAACTCAGCCCTTGGCCAAGACGTATCTCCCATGCGCCAATCAGGTGACGGCCCACTGTGGTGCGGACTTCGCCAGGACTGATGTTCAGGTGGGCTCGCTTATGGCGCAGAACAAAGCGTCGCCGTCAGGAGTGTCGATATCGATGATGGCATTTGTAGCCGCTATATCCCTGTACATGGGCCTTGTATAGTATTGGCGGCAAAGCTTGGAAAATTGAAAGAATATGAAACCTATCTTCATTGGAGAGGATATTTACGAAAGAGTTGGCATCTCAGCATGGCGTTGGAGGAAAAGCCTTGATGATTGATCAAATGAATATAAAGGCATTGGATATAATTGATCAGTACATATGAATACAGAATATTATTCGGTGTTTGATACTATTGTCACCCAGCATCCCGTCCTGTGATACTACATTGTTGACATCTATGGATGTTGACGGCAAAGATCTACCCGTGACACTCCAATGCTGTACTACGGAGTAGTCGGTTGATGACACAGCCAGTACATTTCAAGCATGTGTTTAATCTGTGTAACATGGGAATACATGTATGTGTTCAAGGCGGCAATACGCATTCATCCTCGTCGCAGGGGATATTGGGCACGATTTGCAAGAGACATTCATCAAGTTGGGTTTGACTACCTCCATGTCCTTAGTCATGTCTGCTTCTGCCTCACCTCGATCACATGTACACAGTAAATGAGATGAACCACCAGGGTCTAATTGTGACATTAGGTCTTCCTAACCAAAAACATCTCACATTCTTCAGTGCACCTTTTCCCATCATCTTCCTGAATCGACATCGCGTGCCATCAATTTCATCGGAGAGATTGAACATCTCGGGGTCTAGCCTTTTGTAAGTGTTGCATCCAGTATACCCATGCTCCTTAATCCAGTATGCCACACGAGGCTGCATACCGTGCACTACTAGGTCACTGACTGATTGACCATCCCACAGACTACGTACGGTATATCGCCATCGTCGATCGCTGAGCTGAGCTGAGCCGAGTATATGGCTCCATACATTCCACCTCATCTCCGTCGAGGAAGTCAAGCTGATTCGGAGGCATCGGTGACGACAACGACGACGACACCATCGTTCCCATCATTCCCAAACCCCACATTCAAGGCCAGCAAATCCACCTCCGCCGACCAAGTGTTAATACATTCTCTACGAGAAATCGAGTATCACTACTGGCCTGACGAGACCCTCCGAGAAGAGAACCCCAAACACCATTCTGCCACGCTACACAATTCACAAGACAATCCGTTTGGACTCAGTCATATCGTCATGTTCAAAGATGCCCATCCACAATTCGCTGACCATGGTATCATCTACGTGAAAACCAATTTGAATCTCTTACCCAAGATGTCCAAGGGATGTAATAATGATCATGTCGACGACAACAACGGCGCCCCCGATGCTGCTCCCGCTCCCTCATCCACCACCCCTCCCATCGCAGTATTCACTCAATACACCGACCCTTACAACCGAAACTTCTACCGAGCCTCCTCCGCCAACTATCGCCGATGTTTCCGTTTCACCGGCTACTACAAAATCACACAGATCGAATACTTCGAACCACACTCAGATGAATTAATTCATATGCTAGATCGAAAATTCACCCGTACCGATCGATATGGACATATTCAATCTCAAAGAAGTAAAGAGAATTGGGAATTGAGTATGGCGAAACGCTGGGCGGCGGTGAAATTGGAGAGGGATTGGAAGGGAGAGAAGAGATGGAAGAGGCCGGATGTTAAGAGGGTGGAGAGGGAGGGTGAGAATGAGGATAACGAGGGAAAATCGGTTAATGAGTTGTTGAGGGAGTTGAGGATGAGAGATCAGACATGAATTTTCATGACGATGATGATGATGAGAGATGGTAGAAGAAGGGGGTTAGAAATTGTCTGATGTATGATGTCTGATGAAAGGATATGTCCCCTAAGAGACTGGTAATGGATTCTTCTAGAGGTGACGGATTAAAGATCATAGCCAGGTACTTGTATGAGTATCAAGTACCACTGTGAGCTCTTCCGATCGTCTGTGTGCTCTGAAAAAGCTGTAAAAGCTGTAAACTTGATTAATACTCCTCCTTCATGCTATACCCATGTTTGTTGAACTCGAGTGACCGATGATGATGATGATGATGATAGAGACTTTGAAAATGCAATTGCGAAAGCAAAATACGACCATGCAAAAGAACCCAAACCGCTGAGGCCACTGATCACTGATCACTGATTGAACCATCCCTTCGTATACCAACCCCATTAGCAAGTAGTCCATAATGCTCGACTCCCCCTTCCATCCATTCATCTGAACGAGATGAGATCATCATGAAATCCTGGTTCTGTAGAACTCTGCCAGCTGTGTGTTGTGTGAAAGACGCTGATGATGTAGAAACTATTCCCTCCCCCCCCCCATCTCATCTTCCCCTTTCCCTCCATCACATCACCTCCTCCTACTCCCCGACCTCATACTCCTCCCTCTCGAACTATTCACACTAACCTGACTGATACTATCCTCCGGCCTAACCTCCCTCGCCGTAACACCCAACCCCTCCATTTCCTTCTTCTTACTCAACACACTCTCCGTGCCCACCTCTGCAAAGTCACGATACGCCGTCCCTCTGCCCTGTTTACTTAAATTCCGACTCGTCAAACGCCCGATAATAGTTCTCGGCGCCGCAACCTGTCCTATCCCACCACTATGACCATGTTGATGCTGATTGTATTGTTGATGTTGAAGAGCCGAGACAAAAGACCCCGATTCCGATCCCGCACCTCCAGCCCAAGTCGCTGCTCGAGATGGTGGTAGGGTATACATATTCGGCTCTCTGCTGACGTTACTTTCACCCGAACCACGAGCGACGACATGGGAGGAATGACCACTGTGGTTGCTATGATGATGGTGTGAATGTTTCGAACTGGATCGACTCATTGCGCGGGACCCGGCTTTCGATGAAGATCGAACGTGACTTGAATCCGTGGTTCGGACCGTCACGTGTAAAACCGTCTTTGCCTCTTCTTCACCGTCATCCCATTCGTCTTTTCGACTTCTTCGAGATCGTTCGCTGTGCCGACTTTGACTTCTGGCGCGTGAAGTTGTGGATTTACCGTGATCACCGGCTTCGTCTTTATTTCGTCCCGTCACACTACTCAGAACGCGGCTGATGCTTTCGGATCGGAGTTTGATCCCGCTGCTGCGACTGCTGGATCGTTTGGAAATTTGTGTATCTGCGGTGGTGAGCACAGTTGGAGCGCGGTAACTGGTCGGTGGTGGTTCGATGGCTTTAGTGGTGCTTTTCTTGCTCTGGCGACTGGCTTTGGATGAAACGGTGGAGACGATTTCGAGATCGCGTGGACCAGGGCCGAATCCTGAGTCGACGCTCTTTTTGCGTGATATGTGGGTTGATGCCGGGGCTTTGATGGTTGATGCGATATCTGAAGGCGGAGCAGGAGGGTCGTTGTCCTGCATGGTGATTAGCCGTGGTGCGTCGTATTGGCTTTGTACCGCGTAGGTGTATGTCGTGGGCGCCGGCTCGATTGCTTGATAAGTTGTCACCACTGGGAAATGAACGGCTGATGCACATACCGCAGATGAATACTCTGGTCTCAATATATCTGGTGAAGTGAAGCTGCGATCCATAGGAGCAGGTTGTATTGGATTAGCATTCGGTGGTGGATCTGGTGCATTGTTCTCTTTGGATCGGTTGCTGAAGGCGTATTGCAAAGCAGCTCCAGCAGCAACTCCAATCAATGTACCCACGATTGCTCCGCCAGCGGCATGGTCGGCGTTGATGCTGGAGAGTACACCTGTGGCTGCAGGAGCGGAATTCGCCGAGGCAAGGCCGGGTCGAACGGTGTTGACGAGATCCAGAGCCAGGGTTGCGGCATTTCGAGCTTCACTGATCAGACTATCCAGAACAGCAGGCTGTGCTGGGGTCGCTGGGGCTGTCATTGCGGGTGCAGCTGCAACTGAGGGTGCTGGCGCTGGTGCTGCAGCAGCCGAAACACAGGATCCTGGAGCCACAGACTTGACTTGAGATGCAACGGCAGTCCTCGCTTGAGAGACGACAGTTGGAGCTTTGACAGAAGCTACCGTCTTTGCTTGGGAGACAACCGTAGGAGATTTGACCGAAACCACCGTCTTTGCCCTTGAGACAGTAGTAGGGGCTTTGTGACTGGGCGTAGCACTCGCTCGAGACACAGTGCTCTTGCCATCAGACTTGTCGACCAAGGCAGGACGATAAACAGCCTCTATAGAATTACCATCGAAATCGATCACAGCGGCCGAGTAATATCCCAGAGCATCCCTTTGTGCTGGTTCTCCATGAATCTTTCCACCCGCCTTGAGGGCGGCGAGGAAAAAATCTTGGACATTGGAACGGGAAGAGGCCGGGAATGCCACGTGGGCAGCACCAGCAGGTACACCGGGGATTTCTTGTGTGATCCAGAAATCAGCTGGTGCAGTGGGATGTCTCTCTGGACCGAAGCCGATAGTTTGGTCTTGTCGTGCTCGAAAGGAATAGCCTAGGGGTTGTAGGGCGGAGAGGAAGAAAGACGTCGAGGTTGGGAGATGGCTGACGGTGAGAGTGATAGATGCAGGCATCGGACGAGAAGGGTAGTGGGATGTGGGATGTAGGGAGTAGAGAAGGTTGTGGATGGGTAGGGTAGGTAGGGTAGGTATGTAATTGACAGACAAGATGGAGTAACTTCTGTAAGGGAAACGATGGGTAGAATAAAGGAGGAGGGCCTTTTATCCGGAGGAACAGGTGAGTTGTACACCACGAGGATAGAACGAGTGGACAAACATCGATTAATCAATCAATGAACAACAGGTCGAGTGAGACTTGCAGACAGTGAGTGGCAGCAGCGAAGACCCAACGTGGTGGGAAGGCAAAGCAAAGCAAACTTGATCCTCTTCCAAAGCATCGATTCGCTTACTCTTAGCATGAAGACACATAGATTCGCCACAATAAAACAACAGGCCTGAAGGTCATGTATTGGATACCTGGCTGGGTAGATGCGGCATTTGCAACAGACACCAGAGAGTGATGTGACTCCAACCAAGTACATGGTGATGGTACAAAAGAGGATCCTACCTACAGAAGCCAGCCCACTTGCCCAGTGTTTAGGTAGTGATTGAATTGAACGGTGCATACTGTAAGGTAATGAATGAGTGGGCTTGCGGTGAGTGTGTGTGGATGTGTTCAGGTGTGCCTGACCAGGTCAACCGAAACCGACCGAGCACACTACGGAAGAATTCAAATTGGGTGGTGGTCGTGCATGAATGAGTTCGACAACGAAGCGGCGGAAGGTGAGTGAGGCGTGATGGGGACTCCAGTGCATGTCGATGGCGGCGAGTAAGAAGACGAGAGGTTGATGGGGCGAAACAGACATGACAAGGGAAAATCAAAAGGCGAGGGTACATAGCACCAGTTGGATCTTGTACCTTGAGTCGGAGCGATGAAGAAAAAGCCCAGACCGAACTTGTACAACATTGGGACACGTGTGCTATTGCTGGAGTTGGTGCTGATGCTGATGCGACGAATGATATTGAAGATTCGGTAGAGAATCAACGCCCAACTGTCTCAAGTTCTTGGGCGAACGACGGCGGATCCGCCTATGCAATGCAGAGTCCTTTTAAAATCGCTTCGCTTTGCTAGCATTATACAGTTCATCCATCGTTCATCCACCATAGATGTTGTTTGGGTTTGATGAAGAGATCAAATGTCAAGGACTATGGTTCTAAGCCGAGTAAATCGACCATAGTAATCTTTTACTCGTGTTCATTAGGCTTCATTCCTCGGGTTCGTCTCATCATATCTGATCTGATCCCAGGTACCACGTCTGCCTCTGGTCTGACTGATCTGGCCGCATGTTTCAACACACATCCAGCACTTCTGTCGATGGACTCCACAACACCTTTCTCCTTTCAACACCAAAACCCAGAACTCCCGGCCCCCTTTCACTGTTTTGTTTAAATCGAGACTTTTCTTTCCTTCATCATAATTTTGTTTGACCTTGAAATCACCCAACCAACTCTGCTGTTGATTTCACTCTCGTCCTCGTTCCTCGGATTAAAATATTGATGTAGGGCATGGTTGACATGCACACTACGCGAAACGGAACCATTTCCTTGAGGCGGAAAGGTTTGTTCGCATTGAGGTTTTCCATATGTTGAACCACAGTTATGTCTTGTTGTGAAAACAAACGCACGTTCCAACTTTTGTCCATTCCTCAACACGAAGCACCCTTTCGTGCCAGTTGATAAACCAGAGACGTCGAACCCGGCTTGATCCTCTCCAACAATGACAAACAGGCTTAGATGTTGTGATCTGGCCTGGTGCCGCCGAAGAAGGACAAAGTACCGATACGGCGTGGTCGCTTTGGGGATTGGTTTTCGATTCACGACCGAGAGATGATGAGAAAAATAACAAACATGATTCAAGTCTCTGTGTGTGGATGCAACCACGACAGCAGATCGATCAATCAAGCAAACAAAAGTTGGGCATACCTCAGATGATGTTCCAAGCGTCTTCGCACGCGTGGCAGAATTTGCTGCAGGTGACACTGGCGCTCAGACTGTAATTGCTGATGGAAATAGATTCGTCTTTGAAGGCGTCGGCAAAGTCGTCTTTCCCTTTCGCCATGGCCCCGACAAACACGCAAATGCTTTCGTTTCCCCCAAGCGTCTCGACGTAATCTCGTACCCGCACCACATCGGCGTCGAAACTGAGCGTCACCTTACGGCAATTAGGTGGGAGATGGTCGGTGATGGGATTCTTGATGACTTTGAGCAACTTCTCTTGTGAATTGACCGACCTAATGGACAATTTATGGAGCAATTGCACCATGAGACCAGCGAAGCGCTTGAAGGTTCGAGGGATTCGGACGGTTGGGCTGACTTCGACCAAAACCCCTTTTGCGGTGTGGATGTAAATCTGAAGACGGCCGGCTTTGTTGATGGGCGAGTCGAGTAAGGTGAGTAAACACTAGACGTTGAAGTCAGCTTGTCCATGGCATAGAACATTGCAGAGGATTCATAGCCACCTGATGAGTAATATCCGGTCTGGCATCGCTGATGTCGCGTCCCATCTTGCGCATCACACCAATATGTTCGTCACTGTTCAACAACGAGTATTTGTCCTCCTTGCCACCGGCCTTCGATCCGCTGTGGGCTGCGCGGTAGGTCTCCAGACTAGCATTGGACAAAACCACAATCAATCTCTTAGTATCTTTATCACTAGCTGCAATCGGTACATGCTGTTCGGCGACTAGGCGAGGAAGTTCGGGAGGAGGAAGAGATTGTGTTCCTGCAAAGGGTAAGTTTAGGAAAGCCATGGTGTTGAGTACTTTGCGAGACTGTTCAAAAGTCGAGACTAGGCCCCAAAAATCAATTTTCAAAAGGCACATTGCACATACTTGGACGCTTCCTCTTCATAGAAGTGGTTTCAGCCATGGTGAATGTCGTGTTGGTCGGTGAGATCTCAGATCTGATTGTGAATGTGCCAAGATGAAGCACGTGGTTGGTTCGTAGACGAGGAAAGAACGAGGTGAATTTGTTGTCCAAAGATCAAGGTTGAAAAAAATTAAGCGACAGTGGAGGTGTCACACATCACACTCGTCAAGTAGGACCAGCAGCTCGTTGACAGAGTCAGAGCACAAAGTAATGTCGTTGAATCGATACAATCTCCAACAAAGTAAATACAGGTCTTTTCGAGATGTAGGTAGAAAAATGAGTTCAGGTTTTCAACCACAATGACTCCGACATCCGAGAGCGCGAGGGTGGCACGCACATATTTCATGTTATTTCATGTTGGGTGTGACCGACGCCGACAGGGAAGGAGGGGCCCGAGGGTCCCATGAAATTGGGGGTTCATTGGGGGGCCGAGGGGGCATTATTTCGAAGGTTCCGGCACGCCAGGCCTCTTTTCATTTGCACTTGACCCAGATTGGTTTAGGTCGATATCTTGACTCGTCCGGTCCACAATTCTTCACCGACCTCACCCGTGCTTTTTTTGCTCATTTTGCTGTGAGTGAGAGACTAGAATGACTGAGCCGAATGATCTGATCTTTTGAAGTTATACAAACCAACAAGTCAGTGCCCTTCGCTTCGCTTCCAAGCGAAGACAAGGCTGTGGAGATAGTCGTGGACATCAATACACGAAACTCACCGCTCCCTTGCCCAGTAAGGGTACTGATCATCTGACTTCTACTGTATGTCCTGACAATACATCCCTACCTTAATCACCGCCTTTTATCCATGCGCTGTACTTCCAAAGCCCATGAAAATAGGACAAACACGCTAGAATGGGCTACTTCAAACTTCACCGCGATATAGGATTTTATTGACTTGTGATATGTCCTGCATCAGTAGTTGTAGGAGTAGTAACACTGCCCAGAACCACCGTCAACGTGACCTCATTTTGCATACGCCAAATCCCTTCCTCCCATCCAAGCAATGTCCAGAAGGATGTGATGTGGGTGGTTGCTACAACAACAAAGGGAATTCTCGCTCCCACCCTTCCCGCTTTTTCAGATCAAGCCCTCACCCACCAAGCAAGTCCCCAAGCCCTCAGCCCCCAAGCCTCGCAAGAATATCAAACATTGAATCCATGCAAAGCAATCTACATATGAAAAAAAGTCAAGACTTGTTCTCTGTAGAGATAGTCGATGCTCTCCGTCATCGCGGCGTCAAATGTCATGTGTGTGTGGGGTTCTCATTCGATTCAACTGCGACTGCGCTCTCAATCTTAAGTTGCTCCAAGAGCGCCCATATCACGAATAACACCGAAAAAGTCAAACTCCCTCTTCAAAACACCAATTGCATGGCCGGTTCAAGGCTGGCAAATCCCATCGCTCAATCTTCAGGTCTGTAATAGAATGCGGTGTGCGTGTGCGTTGGTGGGAGACATTCCAGAGAAACCAACTTGACCTCACCGCTCCGATTCGACATGTGCATCCAACGACTTGAACACTGTTTCTCCCAAGGGCGACTGAGGTTTGATCAGATCACTAGCTATCCGCGGCGGTTTCTCAAACTGGCGATCCAACACATGATCTGGAATGTCGTCATCGTCCGGTCCAACCCGTATTTTCGAGCTAGATTCCACATCGACTGCTCCCGGCGGCAGTGGACTGGTTGTGCTAGTATCGTCTCCAAAGTCGGTTGCGGTTCCAATCGTCGATGGAGACACCTTCCGTACGGCAGGAATCGAAGAGAGCGGACTTGGAGATGCCGCGATTACTTCGTCCTGAGTCCAGCCTTCCGTCTTCTCATTCATCGTGTCATCCTTTGCACTCGAGTCCCCGCCCTCTCCTGCCTCCTGAACAACTGGAAGGAGAGCATTGCTTCGACTTTCCTCCGTCGTTCGGAGTGTTCGATCGGGCTTTTCTTCTTCGCTTCCACTTCTTCCTTTCTCCGGCGGCGTCGCTTTGTCGGCTTGCTTTTGTGCTTTTCTCATCGTCTTCTCCACATCTGGACTCATCACTGGAGATAGTGCGTTAGACTCGCCGTCTCGGCCACCCCCGCTCGAGCTCGCTTGGGCTGGATCGTTGCTGGGCACAGATGTGGTCTGCTCGCCGTGTCGACCGCTCTCCTCTGTCTTTCGTCGCTCCGCTTCCTCCTGCGTCATGGTGACTCCGGTAACGAAGTTCAGGAATCGATCTCCATACGCTTGTGGTGGGATGGGCGATATCTGTGTTCTTGGTGCCGACAGTCCTTTCCAGAAATGTTCGATGCGTTTGATGATTCCATACTGTAAAATGAATTAGCCAACACCACGCCAGCTCCCACCATCATCCCCGCGACTTACATGAGTCAAACAGTCAATCAGGCCGAGATAGTAGATTGTTTCACCACCTCGGCCGTCTTCGTGAGAAGCTCGAATCCCACCGTCAAAGCTGTAGAACACTCGGTCACGTCTTTCATCCCCTGAGGACAGCTCCGACGGCATTTTGGCACTGGTCATGCCCATTGCGATAGGCTTCTCCTTTTTCAGTGTCAGTCTTAGTTCTCGAGCCTTCTTGGCGTTTTCCAGCCGTGATGGAGTTCTAATCAACATCGTTCCGCGGTCGTCAGTCTCTTGTTCACCTCCTGGCTGGAACACCTTGAGCGTCGTTTCCCGGAGATTCTCCTCGTTTCCCTTCTCCAGATCATGCATTCCCACCAGTAAAGAATAGTCCATGATGTGCAGCCTTTGCAGCAATGCCACATCTCGCTTCAACTGGTCTAGGAAAATCTGGCGGATATGCGCCTCAAATTCAAGATGTAAATCTCGCCTGAGCCAATTCAAGTCTTTGAGGGTCGCTCGGGGGTTGGCGGCGAGGTCTTCCTCCTTGAAGTCTCGGCCGACCGTTGAGCCTTTCAGATCAAATGTCTGATGGATATCTCGATGAGGCGGAAATAGGTTGTTCATGACCACAAAATGAATCTTCCGACCATAGGGTATCTTGACCCTGTGTAGTCCGTAGAATTGGGAGATGAGAGTGTTTGGATTTTCCAACACATGATGATAATACTCCCTCAAAATCCTCCTCATCAATTTGTGTTCGGCGTGGTGAATGGTCTTGATGATGTACTTGTAATCGCGAGAAAAGTAGAAGAAAGAGCCCGATTTCCCAGGACTGCCGAGTTCTGACAGAATGTACTTGCTGGTCAGACTGACGAGATAATCCGCGGGGTCCAGACCAAAGATGGCTCGCAGGTGTCGGAATACCCAAGGGCTGTAGTCCTTGAACTTGAAGTCGTACTTGGCACTCGGCGTCAATTCATTCCCGGTGATATCGAAGCTGAATTTGTGCCTGGCGTCGAAATCGGCGTCGGTCAACTCTCGATCCATCTTGGCATTGGTCCTCGATACAGTAAAGCGAATACCGGTCAACATGTTGTAAGCCGTAACCCAGTTGACATGACCTTCTTCCACTTTTTTGCCCACGATAACACGGTCTTCGTCTTCCTCTTCCCTCCGTTTGCGTCGGCTCGCCCTTTTCTGTTTGATCAACTCTGTCCAACGTGCAGCATCCTCGTCCGGAACAACCTCGTCGAGATGAACATCTGATTGCATGGAACGTGTTGTCCTCCGCACTAGTCCTAATGAAGCTCTTCGATGTCGTGCAATGCTGGAATCAAAATGATCACGAGTGGGCGAGAAGCGACCGGAAGCAGACAGAGCCTCCTCTGAAGGTCCACCAGAAAACGAAAAGTCGCGGGAGTTTCTAGCAACCGAGAGACTCGATTTGGGAACCTGAAGGGTATGACGGTGGGTGAGTTTGGGACTTTCGGTCGGCGGCGCAAGGTCCGGAATACTGCCTAACGATGCACCTGCGCCGGCTGATAGAACAGAAGGCGACGCGATACGAGGAAACGACTGGGAATGGGCTCGGCCGGTTTGAGGGGACAAGGTAATCCCCTGTATCGCGGCGGAATCTGGGACGGTGGAGGCTGTGGCCATGTGGGAAGTGTCGAGCTCTTCCTTTGTAGGTGGCATATCTGTCTTGAGTTTGGCCAACTCAGGCGTCGGGCCACTGGACGGTTGAGCGACAGCGCCATTGGGGCGTTCTGGAGAGGCGCTCTCTACGCTCGACAATTTGCTCATGCCATCGAGGGAGTTGGGGCTCCTTGAAAGATTCTCTACACCTTTCGCGGCGACGCTCGAGGAAGAGTGTGTACTACCAGCTTTTGAATGAGCTCGGTCTCGCGAGGGTCTGGGGATGCCGTTGGGCATGCCATTGGTCAAGGAGTTGTGACTGTTGTTTCGGAAGTTCTTGAAGTGATCGCGCCGGTGTTCGGGGAGACCAGTCTCGACGTCGGTACCATTAGTATACGTAAAGACGCCACTGATGGTCTTGTCATGGGACTTGCGAGGGAGGCCGTCGAAAGAGGAATTGGCGCTATTGGAGACGAGGGAGAGAGGTGGCTCGGCGGCCACGGATGGCATCTCAGGATTTGTGTTGGGGTTTTAGGGAGTGGTTGCGGACAGTGGCATCAGTTGTGCAGTCATCGCAGACAGAGGTGTGCAGAGGGCATCTCTCGAGAAGGAGATTCGGTGCTTGAACGAGTACCAAGGCTTTGAAGGGTGGTGATAACGGATGAGGGTGTTAGGAGAGATGTTTGTTCAAGGTAGAGATGCCTGGTGAGATACTGGATGACAACGCGGATACGGGTGCTGTGACAGATATGGAAGGGAAGGAATTCTTGGGTTCGACAATCGGATCAGGTCTTGGGTAATGGGCCGAAGAAAAGGTACCAAGCTAGAGTTGTGAGTACATGTACGTAGTGAGTGGGCGGTTATTGAGTAAGTTGTAGAGTTGATTGACAGCGACAGCGGCTGTGGTAGCATCAGTACGGAGTAGTACCTGGTGGTTGGAACAGGTATTGATTTAGCCGGCAGGTAAGACGTCGCCAAGAAACTCCGTTGCCTGTGACCCTGAGTCCCGGTTTGATTAGGCTGGGGCGGTGCCTGGAAAATAAGGGCGCAGGCGGTGGATTGCCGGTGAGTCGGCGTGCAACCTGCCAGCGGAAGCAGGGGCAGAGGGGCCGAGAGCCAAACATAACTTCAGTTATAACGTGGCACCTAAAGTTCGTCGGCAGCCGGGTACGGGTCTCTACTGTACATATCTCCCTATAAGCTACCTAGGTAGGTACCTATTATTGCTGTAGATACAACTGTTCATGACAGGATCTGTCTGTGTTAAACCCTATATCTAAATATGTATTGCCCATCACGTCCTAAGCAGGACACATTTACAATCTATCCATCCCCACATCTAGTCACGATTGACGCGACTGAACAAGCCACAGACGGGACTGCATTGATTCAGCCAGGTTTCACTCATTCCATTCGAGTGACGATGGGGTGTTTGTTCAGCGAGTATCACGCAACCCAATTGACCTCTTCTTCGATCTTTCCGTGTAATGCCTTGGTCTCGACAGGACTGGGTAACTCAATCAACCTTGGTGACTATGACTTGAATAATCCCAACAAACGAATGCTAAGAAACATGGGCGAACCATTGGCAATCATTTATTTCCAGACGCAAAACCTGATCTTTGCACCCTGTGCTTGCCCCCAGTGAGCGCCAACGGCGCCTCATCTTTGGTCTAAGTTAAAAGTCTGGGTCTTAAAGATGGGCTACGTGGCTACGTAAGCAACATGTACTTATGGGAGCACCAAAGCATCCATTTCCTGGTTTCAAGCTTCGACACAAAACCTGGCCTTGGCAGTGTTTATTTATTATTAGGCGCCGCCTGTGTCCATCCCGAAGGCATGGATACCTAGGCAGTTAGGCCGTACGAAGCACTTTTTTCACAAATTGTCATAACCAAGGCCCATTCCTGCATCTGCAAACTCTACAAGAGATATTTGGCAAGCTTTGGCTCGATGTCAAGTACTAGCCTCTAACTGACTAGGTGGTTAAGCTAAAGGTAATCAATCCATAATGTTGGTATCTTGTTTTGGTGTTGGCCCAATCTCGGTACTTTGCACACCGATTACGAGGCCCCGAGGCCCCGAGGCGCCACTCCAGCCTGCCAATTTGGGTATGGGTAGTCCCTAAAAAATCGAGATTTCAGGTCCACTGGCTTGATTTCCGGACGGGAAACCACAGCCACTGCCGCGATCTTCCACTAGCCTTTGTCAACCAGATATGGACAGCTATCTTTAGTGAGTACTGCCATAGTTATATGATGGTCCTTTTGACTTTGACAGTGTATTTCCTGGAGATCCATTGCGATGTAAATGCAATCACGCCAGATATTCTCTTCTCTCGGGAAACAGCCCAGGCAAGCGTTTATTCAATGTTGGTCCTTCAAGCTGACTGTGCACCCTGGCGAGTGTCCAGACCCTGAACTTGGGTATCAGGTGGTGGGCCTTGACCTTGAGCATGTCGTAATGATGCATGACCAGAAGCCACAAATCTTCCCAATTAAGTCAACATCGGCTTCACATGGTTGCCACAAGAGTCTTCTCCTCCGTAGGTGGTGAAACCCGGGTGCGTGTTCCTAAAGACCTTGAGTACCTGTACTCATGGCCCCTATCATTCATCCGCCGGACCACGTCCATTGGACGAAGTCAAATGCGGGTTGGGATAGTAGTATGCCGTCAAAGCAATGATAATGTAAACAATCTACATTCAAGGTTAGTCTTGTTCATTCCACATCGGTACATTGACGGCGTTACATACCACCAGCAAAGCCCCTTCAAGATAGTTGGAAGATCCATCCCTCAAGAAGTTGCCCACGACCAAGATCGAAAGGACAAGAAGCACAACCATGAAGATCTCAAAGTTCAGGTCCATTGGCTTGTCTAAGCCCCATCCAACGATGACCACCAAAGGGGCGTTGAAAAGAGCCGTCTGAATCGAAGGGCCCAAACAGTGATATAGTGCGAAGTTCTGCTGATATTAGATTTGTTTTTGACGGTGTATTCAGACACTCACAATCTGATTGTCATATGCTTCGTCAACTGTCGTGATGTGCTCTGCTGCCTTTTCCACTAGTGGCACAAGAATCAAACCCAGGAAAAAGTCTGGCACACCATGCTCCACCACATACTCGATTTCCTCGACCAGAAATACTGCCATGAGTGAGACAAAGACCAAGGCAATTAGGATTGCGAGCAGAGCTTCGGCTAGGGTCACTTTTGGCCTTTCTAGGTCTGCGTCTCTGTCGCGATCTGCCAACTCGTCATTGTTCCATACTTCATTGAAGATGTTATCATGAGAGACGCAGTTGTAGACCATGAACAAGATGAATGCCACAATCAGAATAATGGCAACGCCATGACTGATGTTGAGGGTATCACGCCGCAGTTGGTCCTCTGTATAACCTTCACCTTGAGCGACCGTGGTGCCGATCAAGGAAGAAAAGAAGGCACTAGGGATCATGAGGGCAAAGGCGGCGACAAGAATCAATCCTGACCCAACTTCACTGATAATGGGGTGGAACTTTTGTTCTTTGTGTCGCATTCCTCCTACCAAGAAGCAGAATCCGAGGCATAACAAGAGATTTGTCAGGATGGAACCCAGTATTGCCGCCTGAATCACGGCGATCTTACTCCCGTGCCCAATTTCCCCTGTACCGTTGTCTTTGGCAATCAAGACCATGAAGAGGATGATCTCGACGACCGAGCTTAGGCATGTCTCGAGGACGGCGCCTGCGACGCGAGGAAGCTTCCTAGCGAATTCTTGGCCGGCGAATCCCAGAAGGTTGGCACATGGCACCATGGCTATGTAACTGATGGCAAAGGTCCAGAGATGGTGACTTCCATGGACGAAATGCAAGGCAATCGCTGCAGGAACAAAGGGCCAGAGGACGTTGACGGCCATCGAGGCTCGACAAGAAGACTTCATGATGATCTTTAAGCACTGCATAGGGTGTATACCTTTTCGACCGCTTTCTCCATCAGGGTGGATATGAGGTGTGACCCTGTGACCGTTATGGTTGTGGCGAGGAAGAAGGGAGGTTTGATTTTGAGAAGGACGGGATGAGCCAGGAAGGTCGTCGACGCTGTTTGGTTTTTCACCAACGGCATTATCAGAAGGCGGGGGATCGACCGAGGCAGGTTTTGGTTTCCGATTGAAAAGGCCCAGGTTGAGCAAGGACGTTCTAGACATGATTGTGATTGTATCGAGAGAACGACTGAACGAGGTGCGGACCAAATACTGTTGAGAAGGAAAGAGTAGTTGTTCTCAAGGAAGAGACATTGAAGGGTGCGTCACAAAACTTGAACAGTCATAGATCAGGCGAGGAGGCCATCACGATAAATGACTGTGAGAGATAGTAAAGAGAGAGAATGACAGTCATATGAGTGAAAAGGTAGAGAGAGGACTGGGAAGAAGAGTAGGAGTGCAAGTCAACCAAGGCGAACGATCAGAGTCATTAAAGACAGAAGGAAGGTGCAACACTGGCCGAATTCGAGGCCGATTCTGAACGACAACAAGACAAACGGAGGAAACCAATGAGTAACATGGTACAATGAAACCAGCAAAGATCAAGAATTTCGAGTTTGATACTTGGTCGACCCTGGCACCAATTGCCTTAGTCCCTGAGATGTTGTTGGACCTTGGGAGGTTGCACAAGCAGAACGTAATCTTTAGTTTGGTGAACAAGTCGAGAAAACCTACCTAGAACCACTCTTTCAGACTTTATCTAAGCCCAGCTGCTATGCATGACCCGAGGAATCAGCCACTAGATTGTAGAGCATAGTCACAGGTGAGGCTGGACCGTATTGGAGGAAGACATCAGAAATATGTAACTTAGGTACCTAGCGTAGCCACATGCATCTCAATTCAAGGAAATATAAAATTATCCAAGAATCCCGGGTTGATCGCCTTGGCCTGATCAAGCTTTCAACCTACCTGAGCATCTCTAATTCCCCTACTTCCTAGTCACTACTATAAGACAACTGCAATTGCTTGTCATGTATCCATTCGAACTAGATTTGATCGGAGAAGAGAAAAGATTGTCGGTATTCCAACCCATGATGGTCTAGCCTTAAAATGACGCAATAATACATGTCTACAAAAGACTTTGGGCAATATTCACTTCCATCTTTGCCTTGGCTGTTCCAGGTTCCCTGAATTTCCTCCCACCATTTTTGTCATTGATGACATTTTCAATATCATCGCTCAAACCGATTCATCTCAAACATGATCACAATTCTCCGTGTGCAGGGTATCACTTATCATCATCCATCCACCCACCCTTCTTTCCCAACACAAAACAAGTAACAGTCGCTGCCTATTTGGGCTGGTCACTCATCACAGTCCACTTCCAACCAGGAACTCCGCCTGGTTGAGGTGTTTGTACACCCATAAAGACCTCTCCAGCATTCCCATCGTTCGACCCAGTAGTTGAGTTGGTAGATAGGGTCGGCATCGTCTGTTGCGATTCCATTTTGGACATGTCGACCGGTCCTCCCATCGTAGGCCCATAATTATAGAAATTCGACAGGTTAGTGCTATATGAGCTTTCCGTTCCCGTGGAGGACGGTTGTGCAAACAGATTGCTGTTGGGCGAATTGCTCCCCCACAGGTTCGCCGCCGGATCCAGCGACAAATTAGATGGCTGCATATATTGATCCCATGCCTCCTGTGCAGCTGTTAGTATTGATACCATTTCAAGGAAGAACGAGCTCATAGAAGTTGCTAATCACTTACCCAGTCTAGGTTCATCGACTGACCTCCGTCCACCATGGAGCTGTTGAACAATGCACTTGGGAATGGGCTTGGTGCACCATAGGCCCCGGTATTGAAGTCAGGCATGGCACCCGGGGTCATGCCTGTGGATTTGCCATCCCATTGAGTCCCTGGTAAGGGTGATTGTGATTGTGACTGTGATATCCCTCCGCCAACTGCTGCGTTGCTTCCCACCGATCCGGCTTGCAACATACCCAAGGTCATCGCTGCGGTTTGCTCGTCATTATTTGACCCTTGGTTCTCTTGACCTGGCCCAGCAAGCTGCACGTGGGTAGGGTTGTTGGGTGACAGGGGCGGTCGGACATGGAACAGCAATACATTCAACAACTCGCTCGCCTTGTATGCCTCCATGCTCAGATCCCGATTGGCGTTCCAGATGTCCCGACTCTCTTCGAGGGCGCGTACCAAGTCATCTCGACTGTACGAAAGCCCAGGCGTGTACACGTTCGCATCAGACACGTTACTACCCTGACTAACACTTGTGCCACTAACAGAAGTGCTGGGGGTGCTCACATCAGCCTCGGTGCGTTCTCGGTGATTGTACAGGTCCATCATGACGATGGTGGCCGCGAGGAGGTAGTCATGCGCCGTCAACGAATTCACATGCTCCCGCATACTTCGAAAGCGTCCGCGCTGTCGACTCTGCTGGTGTTGGATGGACTGGAAACTTAAAAGCTGCATTGCCGAATCGAGGCACGTCCTCCGTGAGTGGGTATACCGGTTTCCATTCCGGGCTGCCCGCATGAATCGTCGGTGAAGTACACACTGCGACTTGTGATAAATGGTGGCTAGACTGAACCGTGCCATGATCAGTGAAATCGGTGCTAGTGTCTGCTCGGACATAGGTCGAAGCTTTAAATGCTCGGGAATACTGTCATAGATGTCACGCAATCCTTTATCGATCTTGATGATCTCATCATAGCCTTTTCGATTGATTCCGTTGATTTCTTCCAATACTCGTCCAAAGCCAAAAGAGAGCCGCCCCTTGGCAATCATGTACGAGATTGGAGTGGATTCCGTAGGCGGTCGAGCTGGGGGTAACGCAGTCGAATCTTCATCAAACTCGTCATCATAGATGTTTCGAGGGAGCTCGGTGTCCGAATCGCCAATCCGTATCATGGGTGTTAGAGCCACCTGGGCCGAGAAGAGGAGGTCGGCACTACGGACAAAGGTCCAAATCCGTCGTCGCATTTCACCCTGGAAGGGCGTCAAATTTGGGAACAATTTGGCGTCTCGATGATAACCCATCCGCATTGCCAGACGAGCGATCATGCCGACCAAGACCCAAACACTTGCCTCGGCGTCTCTGTTGGAGGTGTACTCTGCGTGGAGGTGAAAGATCAAAGCCTCGATGATGTGGTTGTGTGGCTTGGTATAATCTGCTGTGATCAGACAATGGGCCATTTGTGTTCTGAAGTTGACCGCCATATCATGGCACTTGCCGCGGAATTCAGGCGGTTCGTCCCCTTCTCGACCGTATGACAACATGGCCAAGCGCATCATGGAAAACAGCATTGCGATCCATACAATAGAAGTGCTCGAAGGATCAACCCAATGCTGATTGTACTGCCGTTGGAAACTGGGACCGTGTAAAATGTGCGTTGCAGGATCAAAGGTGTTGAAATAGCGACCGATGAGGATATCGGACATGTACCTAGAAGGTATCTGAGCCACGATCTCGGATCTTTGTGGCGGGACAGATGAGCCAAACAGGAGAGCTGGGCCAGAGCCGGCATCGGTTCCCATGGATTTCCTCGCGTTTTCCACCTTTTCAATCTGTTCTTCATACTCCTTTTTATGAGCCACAAAGTAATTCTTGACCTCACCGATTTCACTGAGCAAGGCAGCCCAGTGAGCTTCGCCGACATAAAAGGTCTTTTGCTTTTCCGAGTCCACCTTCAGAATGCCAAAGCTTTTGGTCACCCCATCGGTCTCGCTTTCGTCTTCTCTGTCGCCATTATCGTCACTCATCTGAGATTCATCCATATCTCTATCGTTGTCTGCATCGAGGCCATGCTCATGTGACTCGCTTTCACCCGTACTGGGACCGGTAGAAGCTAAGGCACTCACGGCTGCTGCTGCACTGACAGGGGTAGAGCCACTCGTCATCAAGGACAGCACCAAGCCTTCTAACCGGTCGATGCGATTTTGCATGTCATCTGGGGCGGTGGGCGCGGCATTTTGGCTGTGATTGCCCTTTTTCCGCGTTGAGGGAGCGGCATATGTGCACGAAGCACTGTCCCCTCGTTTTGTGCAGTTGTCGCACGGCGCTTGTCGATTACATTTCAACTTGCGATGTCTGCATGGTGCGCATGACAATGGGATTCGGTTTCTCTTGCGCACGACTCTGAAGTCGGGCGATGCGCCTGAATTCGACGTCCCGGCAGAGGGAGGAGTGGGCGTCATAGTGGCCCGACGTTGGATGTTTGGAGGTGGAGTTGAAGGTGGTTGGAAGGAAGTCGAGGTCGCGAAGGCTCGTGGGTGGGGATGTTACCAATTCTAGGCGAGTGGCGCAACACAGTTGATGCCTGGCTTGGGAAAACACAGGATGAGATCGAGTGCCTCTGCACAAGTCGGAAAGTAGCGGAGTTGGAGAAGAGCTGCGCAGTTTGTCTGTTGGTCGCGATCGAGTCCAGCAGAGAGGGAGAAATATGACGCTTCGACACAAAATGGCAGCCTACTGAAAGGCCTTAGAGTACTCAGCAATCTCCAAAGGAGCCCGGACTTAAGGCTTATCGGCACGCTTTCTCGCGGAGGGGGAGGCAGGTGGGAGGATTTCAGGTCGCGGACCCGTGAGGTGCAGGGTTCTTACTGAAAACGAAGAGGAGAGGGTTGGGACACTGGAGTGACCGAAGTCGAGGGTGAGGAGGAAGAAATAGAGTAGATGAGAAGATGTTTGGGTCATATGGAGGGGAGGACAGAATCACGCTGGGTGTGGAGCGACTCTAGCCCGTGTTTGTGTGGATGGTGCAGGATGTGAGGCGCCTACCCACGCAGTTTTCTTAGCCTGATGCTGAATAACCATCATCAGGGTATCAGGGTCACCTTTTGATTGTGGTTGTTCTACCAAGATACCTACCTAAGGTACCTACGAGATCCTACGGGCGATCCTACGGGCACCATGCCATCCTTCCAAGCTTTCCCGCGGGCGGCGTCTGAGCTCCCAGGCCTCCTTGCAGGCTGCAGCTGCCTCTGTACTCCAGAGCTTGGCTATGGCTTAGAGGTGAGTGCGATTGGCCCGTTGCTCGGCCCTTGCTCCAGGTGTGCCTTCCAAGTCGTCATTATTGGGGATCATCCAACTAATAAACTCGTCGCCTGGCCTTTATCAGTTGATTGGTGTCGGCTGACTCCATCTGCGGAGTGACCGATGGTTCAATCGAGAAGTTGCAAGGCCTAAAGGTTTGACCGCGAACATCTCGCTCGGCCCTAGAAGCTGAGCCGAACTGTACCTAGATAGATCATGTCGATAGGTGCCTGCCTAGGTACCGCCTGTGTCAGTAGGCTTCGACACCCAAGCCATGCCAGGACTGAGAATTCCTCCACCTTGACAACTTCCGCGCCTTCCAAACTCGACCAGCCGGGCGGCCACTCGAATTTCTGTTGTTGACTATAGCCTTGGAAGTCCTGTGTACTCAGTATGTTATCGTGGGTACATACAACCCTCCTAAGTTTTGAGCTGTAATCGCAAGCTGCGCCGCAATTGAATCACTTTACTCTGTGAGGAATGCATTAAATAGGCTACAGAGATTGCGTACCATGCTGCATGCCAATACACATCCGCCGGCTCCTGCCTCCTACGACCAGGGATAGTTCCAATAAATCTCGTGATAAGGCTCTCTGGCATGGCCCTTTTCGTCTGTAAAGAAGAGCCAAATAGGGCTGGGAACCCTTGGACCCCTCGATAGCAGCGATTTTAGCGATTATCACTATGACTCACTTCTCTGGTTTGATGGCTGAGAACCAACCAACGACAAACCTCCCGGCGTCACAATTGGCCCTTGGATTTGATGGGTGGCCTTAAGTCCGAGGCCCTGAACCTAAAAAAATAAAAGTCCCTCTCACTCCCAAACGGCCACCAACGTCATTGACAAAACAAACTCAGATATCTTGGTACCTATACTCCGTAGTACAATGGACAGAGACTCGGTGGCGCTGCCATGACTTCTAGCTTGGTGTTGGTTGACATTCATGGCATTTTGCCCTCCTGTTTGTACTCTATCATGGATTGTACTACCACTAGCTTAAGAAAGGAGGATCGTTCATCATAATTCAATTTTGATATCCGCAATGATTCCACCTCACCGGATTCTCGTCAAAGTCGGCTTCCAGGAGATTCGTGAGTACACACAACCGTCATTGCTATGCTGGTGGATGTGAACGAGACACAACAATACAACTCACCATACTGTGTTCCTCTCAAAAGTCCCAAAACCCACCCTTTTTGGCCGTTTTGCCATTGGTGTCGGTCGTGACGTCTCCCATGCTCCAGTGACTCTCCAGCCCCTTTTTCACTGGCCCCTGCTTCGCCTGCTTCAGGTCTTGCTCGGTGGGCTGATCATCCACTTCCCAATGTGAATCCATCATTTGGACTGCTTTCTTGTGGCCGTGCGCAGCGTGATTGTTTTCGTTACCCGTTCTCTCCATCGAGGGGGATTCATCTGACGTTCCCCAGTGTCTTTCAAAGTCGTTCTTGCGACCTTGATTGTTGGTGATGGTAGCAAGAGGCGCTTTTGACTCGCCTCGGGCACTGTCTTCCTCATCATACAGGTTGTTGGTGTACAATCCCTGACGGTCGCCTGCCGAACTAGTTGGACGACCACTCATGCGGGCTGGCGCTGGAGTGTCTGTATCCTTGAATTCAAAGTGCGGGTCGGCATCCTTTCGAGGCTTGGGCACAACATGTCGCTCAATCGGTGTGCCGTCATCCTTCAGCTCAAAATGTGTCTCGTTGTCACGACGGGGTCTTGCAGCAGCCTTTTGTCCAGGTGTTTCCGGATTGCTGGCCGGGTTCGTGAGGCTGAAATGAACCACATCTTGACCTCGAACTCTTTGACCAACCTTGGCTGGTGTATAGAAGTCTTGGAACTCCCACTGCGGCGCATGTTTTGTTGTCTTGGGTCGAAGAGGGACATTCTCTGAGGCTTGCCCAACAGGCTCGTGGTGTTGCATGGGATCGTCTTCATTCTCGTCGCCAATGTCAAAGTGATTGTATTTGGCTGGGTTCGATTTGTAACCCACAGCCTTAGGTTCGTCGGGGTCGTCCGCAAACAATCGCGAAGGCGCAAATTTCTGGTTGCTACGACCTTTGGGTGGGAGGACAGGGACGATCGGAACCTTCTTGGGCGATCCGGGCTCATGGTCTTCGTGGCCAGCAGCAAAAAGTTCGTTCATTTCGCGGGCGGGGGGCTTCGCAGATGCACGCGGTGCCACAACGTTCGAACCGCTTTGATTGGAGTTTTCGTCAATGGGCTTGGGAGCGAACAGATCCAAGCTAGCATGAGGGTCTCTGATATGTTTCTTGCTTGGAGATGTGGTTCGAGACGAGGATATGTTGCCACTCTCCGCTCGGCCGCGATTAGGACCAGAGGATTCAGTGTTGTTCACGGGTGCTGCCCGGACGTTGGACTTGATGAGTCGGATCTGGTCTTGACCATCGACCAAAGGCCAGTTTCTCCCTCGTGAACCGATGACATCTGTTTGCTTGAGTAGTGAACCTTGGTCCCAGAAGATACGAATTCCTGAGATCTTCTGGTCGGCGGTAAATTGGACGAAATGTGTCTGCACGCATGGTCAGTTGGTTCAAGCATCTCGAGTGTTGCGGCCTGGCTTACAGTGGGGATTGTGGCTATTTTGTCGACAACAAAGTTTTCCAAACCAGGCAGGTATGCTCCTCCTCCGGAGATGAATTCCAACACGGTTTCGACTTCAATGGCAAGCGCGTCATGTCCTTCTACTGCCGAGATGACTTTGGCACTTTTGGTCTTGACAATCTTCTTATCCTGGGTCTCGAGGTGACGAATTATGCCAGCGGGCTCATCATATGACTTCAATGTTGTGACGTAGTGTAGGGATGCATTATCCGAGAGGCTGATCGGGTTGGGATTCTCGAGAAAGCGCTGGTAGATGGTCTTGAGACTCATCTTGACGGTCGCAGTCAAGGCTGCGTTGACGCGTGAGGGTCAGTTGGGCTATGTGGTGGGATCGAGAAGGGTCAGATATCGGTACTCCGCAAACGTTGGCAAGAGAACGCGTCTGGGACAAGACTGGGTCGAAGGAGGCACAACTGTTGGGTGACCTTATTAAGCGTGTTTGTTCGTCAATCAAGTGGTGGAGGTTTGTTTACGTTTTCTGAAGAAGGGCGGAGACGGAAGGAGGGCAAAACATATGACGATTTTCAGGCAGTTGCAACGTGGATTTGTAAAGTGCAAAGTGCAAAGTTTGGAGACGAGAGGGATCAGACTTTCATTGATGTACGGAGTACTGGAAGGAGGGAAGACACATTGTTTGTTTTCTAACAAGGCCATAGATTGGCCGTCATGTCATGCGGTGCTCGGCAGTCACCCTGCAGAGTGCAGAGTGCAGACTGACTGCATGGCTCTCATGGTGCAGAGATCCAAAAGTGGATGAGGATGCAGCCCAGAGTCATGGGGACACGTTACAGGTCAACAGCGCGGGCGCGGTCACCTTCAAAACACGTTGCCCCGCCATCTGCTTCCCGAACCCGCCTAGCCTGCGTTTCAGAGTTTGATCCCCCCCTGTAAGCAAAGTGAGGCTAGGTTGATGAAGGCCGTCCAAAAGAGCCTCCCCGATTTGCGACTGTGCAAATGGTTCCCTGGGCTAGAGGAGAGGACCGATCCTTGGTAAATGGAGCAGTCTCAAATCTATGGCGTGCATGATGATCATCAGCACCCACGCCAGAGAGCCGACCCCCCGCGCCTCCAAATCAACCAGAAAGTGTTCGTTTCATCATATTCATCAGGGAATGTGCCTGTTTCATAGTCTCTTCCCCTGTCGCCCCATGGTTGAGACGATTCGAACAATCTCATTGCGCGATGCGCAATTTAGTAACATCGTTCTTGGTGCCCACTGTGTAGTTACTCTCAAATTCCCGCCTCTGGTGATGATTCCAAGGGTCGTTCAATTGAAATTTCAGTCTGTCACCAGTGTAATGGAGTATGCTTGGCGATGAAGAATATGCGCAAGCATGTGGGAGATTCCTGTAGGCAGAGATGGTCCAACGATCACAAGAAACGGAATTCGATACCATCACAAATCCGAATCAATAGGCGCTGCTGTCATATCAGCGGCCAGTCGAACGACTTCATGTAAAAAGATCAGGCGACCTACCCAAACCAGGCGGCAGACATCTTGCCAATTGCATAGATGTTGCCCACATCACTCCGCAGACCAATGACCTGAACTCTGACGGCCGAGCCTTTTTCGATAATGTCTCCTTCCTTGTTGCTGTACGAAGGCGGAGTGGCATCTGGATTGTGCTTCATACCTGGTGGGAGATGCTGGGCGAGGTTAACATTGATGCCCTCGAAAATCCATCGCCAGCTTCAACTTACCATGGCGGAAACAAAGATGGTGAGAGGACCGGCTTCGCAAAAGACACCCTGAGGTTTGATGTTGTTCACCGCGCAATCGAGCTAGACTTAGAGTCAGTCTGGATGTACGTCTTGCAAGCACGGACAAGGCTCACCGTCTCGCCCTTGAAAGGTTTCCAAAGAATTGCCCGATACAAGATGGTGAATTGCGCATCCCCCGAACCTGGTCGAACGCGGCCAGGGGAGATGTTGTAAATGTCCATGATACACACAATGTAATATTCTCCATTGCAGCTGCCCTCCAGGTCGGAGTAGAGTTGGTCTTTTAATCTTTCGTGAACATTGTTACCGAAGAAGGAAGGGTGAATACTAATCTCCCTCTCCAGATAGCGCAGGAAGAACATGGTGAGCGTTGGTAGCTATCAATGAACCCTGTCTGGATGATGATTCCACCTCTTTGGCCTTTAATTCATTCTCCCTCAAGATTTGTGTGAGGATCTGGTGTTTCGCGGATTTGGACTGGCGCTGTTTTGCTTGGCGTAACGAGATCTCTGGTAGATTTGGATGGTGCGCAAGACGCTGTAAGGGTCGAAGAATTTATGAGGGATAGTGCTGCTAGGTGTTAGTCGTGAGAGTGGTGTGCAAGCCGACAAAGGAACGTGGTGTCGCAGAAGGCGAAGAATATCAACGCACCCACGATACCATGCGCTGTGTACTGAAAGAGTTCTCCGTAGTTCTTACTAGGTCGATTGTAGGCCCCGAAAGCGCAACGACCTGATATGGGTTAGCCTCGAATGCTTGCCATGCCTGGAGCCCACCACAGTGACACTGCCGTGACTGCCCAAATGCCCGAGGTCCAAGGACCCGGGGCGTTGGACACAGCCTATCAACCCCTCCCACCATGCCACGATGCCGCTCCTGGTTACTGGCGAACAACAGCATAATTAATGCAAGTCGTCTTGTTGGTCCTTATTATTCTCGCAGTTGTCACATGGGATGACATTGCATGGTAAGACAACAGACGCCCGAGTCTTCCCACGCACTTCAATTCCTTCCACAGACCCTGGACCCGGAGAAAAAGAAGGCGGAGGTGTACCCTCCACGATCCTCGTGACAATCCAACCCCATCAGAAGCATCCGTTGATCTGACGTTGCAGTTTCCCTCTTTCGAGTGCTCTGCTCATGCCACATTTTGTGCTCTAATTTATGTTCATCCCCCTACCTGCGCATCCTTCGAACAGGACTACCTTATTGCAACTTCTATACTCATTCTTCTTCCTCGAATGTCCAATCAATACTGGTTCACATTTGTGACGTTGATACCACAGACATGGCTCTGAATCTGGAGAGCCAACTGCGCTTTGTGAGTCGCCTAGGCAGTGATAAGCCTTGATCTTGTACATGTACTGACGTCTATCCAGTATGGCGCATATCATCACGACACTGTATGTGACTCTTCGAATCCTGACAAGTCTATCCTGCTAATCTTCGCTCAGACCAATATTGCCATTCATATTATTGGAGTTCCAACCATCCTCTGGACTACGTTTGTTTTGGTGCGCATCCATTAGTCTTGACAATGGCGCCTGGGCTAATGACACTCAAGTTCTCCAACAGTCCAACGTTAATCCCTCTGCCAGAAGCCGTTACGATCCCTTACCTTGATCTGAATGCCGGAACGATATTCTGCCTACTGTACTGTTCCTTATACGTTTTATTGGAGCCAGTCGCTGGGACTGCGCTCTCAATCCTTCTGCTTGCAGGCACTGCGTACGGGAAGTACCTGGTCACCATCTATGGTATGACCGCGAACTACTATGCCGCGGGGGGCTTCGTCGTGTCCTGGATTGCTCAATTTATTGGCCACGGCGTATTTGAGGGTCGTGCTCCTGCTCTACTCGACAACATCTTTCAAGCCTTCTTCCTCGCCCCTCTCTTTGTCTGGCTCGAAATCTTGTTTGCTCTGGGGTACAGGCCTGAGCTGAAAACCCGTATGGAAAAGCTGGTGGCTCAGGATATTGCCAAATACCAAAAATCCAAGGCCGAGGCTGTCAATGGCACAGCCAATGGAAAAGCTCTCAATGGCCATGCGAAACAATCATGAGGGCGCTACATCCGAGGCGCACCAAAGAATATTGACGAACGCTGCCTTCCATACTCTCGATCATGTTGGCATCGAAATCATTCCACAGGGATCTCCAGGTGGCAATCAATCGATTTGTGTTACCTATCACTCCACTACCGGGTGATATGGTCATGGGTTCCATCTCGTGACTTATAGGTTACGAAGAACTTGGAAAATTGTACACTGGTACACCGAATGAAGTGAGCTTTGTGCTTCGGGCATACTCATCATCATCAGTCTAGTAGTCAGAATTCTCAGCGGGAACTTGTTGCCAGTGTGGCGCTGAGGACTATACCATCACCTCGCATATGAGACGGAGCTGGACCACGGAATATCTTGAAAGCAAGACAAGGCGACCGACCATACAAGTCACGGCGCAGCAGCAGATAACACTCCCAAGCTTCTGGAATTTCCCGTACGATCCCCTGGACTAGCACTACATCTTTCGCTCAGATCAACAAACGTGGGCCTATCTAGTCTATCATAGGGCTATGCTTCAAGTGTATTAGGAAGAATCGGTCAAAGATTATGCAACCACTTTGAGTCCGACGTCCGCAATGCGAATTCCTGCCCGTAAACGAGGACCTTGCGTCCCTCATTCCCTCCCCAGTTGGCCACCATAATCCGGCCATTTGCCCATCTGCGGTGTTAAAAATCAATGTGTTGATATCCCTTCGTCGCAGGTTGATCGTTTCATCGACTCACTTAGCCTTGCGTACCAACGTTCACCATCGACAATCCATATCCACGAAGGGCAACAGCTTGCAGGATTTCAGATTGAAGTTCTCGGCCACCATTAATCCTGTTTCACTTATCCAGATCTCTAACCATAGCACAAATTCCATTGCACTGCCAGTGCATTTGCCTCTGTCCATGGGAGAGAACATGGCCACGAATGCTGTATCCGACAGTTGGAATTTGAGACGGCCCCCAATCCAGCACTTCTACTTTGCTTTAATTCAAAAGTCCATTTCCCTGTCAGATCTTGACATATGTGCGTCCCACAGATCCTAGATTACGGCAATCGACGTTAGTACGCATGGACTGGATCAATCAACAGATGGGTGGACGTACCCAGTTGACAAAGCCTGGACTGTTGAGTGCTGCCACTAGACCTTCGCCACCAGAGATTGGACTGACAACTGTCTGAGGAATAGAGTTTCCCTGGCCGAAGGACTGTGGTCCGTTGGAGATGGTGGTTTCGAAGAAATCATCCACTGAGGGCACAACAGTCAGCCTGTGAGTATAGACAAAGCAACAAGAGGTGAACATACCTAACTGCGGAAGCGGCACATCATGCTGTCTCTTTGGGAAATATTTGTCCAACATGACTCCAAGAATGTTCGATGCCTGCATGGCCTCTTTGGAACTCTTGCTGGAATCGTCCCATGAAAGACGTGTGTTCTGTAGAGCCATGATCATCTCATCCCGGCTATAGTGCAGCGGCATGTGGCTGCCTGTGAGATTGAGCTGGTCCACTTGTTCATCCGAACGAGAGTTGAGTTCAAGACAGACAATCATGGACGCCAACAAGAAATCGTGTCTTTCAAGAGATGAAATGAACCACTTATCACGAAAGAGTCGCCCACCCACCTGGACCTGTTCGAAAATCCGGGCCTGATGTCTAAGAAGTGCCATTGCCGCTTCGACGCATACCAATCTCGAGTATGTATAATCGGAATTGGCGAATGCCTCGGTCATATGGTGCCGGTGCAGTACACAGCGCGCCTTCTGATAGAGCAATTCGAGGTTGTATCTCCGCATCAACAGCCGCGGCGATACGGTGATAGCGTCTTCTGGATTGGATATTCGAAGATGGTTGGGTAGCGACTGGTGAGCCAAGTTCAATTTTTTGTCCAAGGCCATGACCTCCTGAAAGGTTGCCACCTTGGTCGACGAAACTTGATTAAAAATTGCTCTGAAGGCCGAAGCCAATCTGCCCTTGACAATGGTGTATATGATCGGGGTGGACTCCGTCTCCGGCCGTGATTGTGGCAGCTCAGTGGCATGAGGGTCTAAATCTTCATCGAACAAATTTCGCGGTGACTGGGTATCGCAGTGCGACTCCTGAATGATCAGAGGCAGTCCCAATTGGCAAGAAGTCAGCATGTCACCCTGCAACATCATGGCCCATATACGCCGTCTCATTTCGGCCTGGAAAGGGGATATTCCAGGATAATGTTGCGCATCTCGATGGTAACCCATTCTCATTGCCAGTCGAATCGCGACGCCGGTCAAGACCCATATCCCCACCTGAGCATCAGGTTGGCGCACGAACTCATTCTGAATGTTGATTAAAACCGCCTCGATGGTGAAGGTGCTCGGGCTTGTGGAGTAATTTGACATGATCAAACACTCGGTGGACCGTTTGTGGAAAGTTTGCGTGACCTGTGCAGGATGGCCAAAGCCAGATGGCAAGTCTTCTTGCGACCGAAGGTATAAAAATGCTCCGATGGACAAGATACCGAACAGAAGAGCTAGCCATGGTAGCGAAACATCGGTCGGGTCGAGCCAGAACTGGTTATACTGCAGGGTTCAATCAGCACGTGACGTCGGTCCAGAATGGATGATGTCTTCATACATGTTGCTGGAAGCTCGGGGCGTGAAACATGGCTAACATCTGTCAGTCGTCGTTGCACACGGGTCGAGGGGACGTTTAGTACCGGTGGCAGGCTCTCCCATCAAGAAGAAGCGAGCCACGAGGTTATCACAAATCCCTCTTGATGGGATATCTGCTAGGACATCTTCAAGATCAGGAAGAGGTCCCACACATCGAAGGAGCAGTGGTCCCGACGGTTCGATCGATGCTGGCGGATTGGGGGATTCGTGAAAGCCATCTTCTTCGAGATTCTCACGAACGAGAGCAATCTGGAACAGAAGGAGAAGAAACCAATGTCAGCAGAGTCCAAAGAAGACACACATACCAATGCAGCAACGATAGGATATCAACCCACTTCATTACAGATTGCCGCCCAATGGACCGCCGAAACATAAACCGTCTGGTTACTGTTATTCGTGACCATTCGACCAGGCAAAACCCCCTGACTGTCTTCAGCTGACGGACTGTTGGAACCATGTGGACCGGAAGTTCCCTGTGAAGGATTCCCCAGGGAACCTTTACTACTGTCATCAACACTGTCGGCATCTGAAGTCTTTCGCTGGTCGGCGATCATGCCAACCAACTGCTCCAGACGAATCAAACGAGCGTCGAGATGATCATTTCCACCACCTCGGCGCTGAATCCCTGCAGCCCGTCTCTGTGACCCTGTCGCATATACGCAACTGACTTTGCGCGAAACGCAATTGCTGCATGGTTCGGTGCGGTCGCATCTCAATCTATTTCCACAGTCATTAGTATTAGTAGTAGGGAATCTAGTCCAATTCCCGGATAGCGTATCTTCATTAGTAGGAGAGGGCAATAATAAGATCAACTCACTTTCTTTGCCGACAAGAAGCGCATGATACCACGCTACGAATTCCTTGTGTCATTTTGATTGGACAAATATAGTAAGATAAGTCTTTGAAGTATTATTAAGAGAAAGATTTTCCCTGTCGGCACACCACCTGATCGGGTCCGTTCGTTTATGCGTACCTAGGCATGCATAGGTACCAAGGGATCGAATTGAGGGACGAGTAGAAGACCAGGGACCAGGACCAGAAAGGGCGGGAACTTGAACAGAGATTTCCACTATTGCATAAAAGTTGACAAGATGTCAAGAAGAAAGAGAATATACAATTAGTTTAGGTACTTGGGATACAGTATTGGCAAAACTGGTTGGTACAGTAGCAGCAGTTGGTACCGAAAGTGGGCTCTCAGAAGTACATTCATTCAAATGATGTTGAAACTCGAGGGGACATGATGAATTAGGCTGCCGCCAATAACAATGATCGTCAGCCTCTGAAAGACTCCAACCAAATGGATCGGGACTCTCTGGTCTTGGCCAACTTAGGTAGTACTTTTGGGAGAAGCTCAGATTGTCATGAGAGTGTTTTACCGTCTTGTCTAGAAGTGACTAGGTATTTAACCTTTTAACTATGCACTGCTACGGTAAGCCCAGGGACGTCTGTGGTCTTATTCGCGATCTGGGCGGATGCCATTCATTCTTGGCTCGTTGACAACTAAGTAATGTGGCTGAAGATGCTGATCACTCGTCTATTCGAATCATAGTCTTTTCCGCTCGCAGAGGACTATCGAGATAGATGCAAAGATCAATCTGGTGATACACTAGCTAAATGATTCAGAAGGAAATAAGACTCTGCTTTCCAAAATACGTAATCATTCTTCCTTGTTGGCCGATTCAAAATCCGGCCCACTAACGAACTCCATATCCATAAAATAGAACGGGTATCGAACAAAATGAATGAATAATGAAATCACACGCTAATTTTCAGATCGCAGATCAGATCGCTAGAGTGTGAATATCTGATAGCTTGTCCCAACTCCCGATCCAGAGGTACCATAACCATGCCATTCCCATGCCTGTGACCCCTTGGTGAATCATTCGACTTGGAAACTACCAATTGAGTTCGAAGCCATTGAATTTCAGCTGAGTGTTTGCCAACTCCCACAATTTTCTCATGGCTTCTGGGTTGTTCAACCATTTATCGGCTCTGTGGTCTAGTTTAGCGATAGGTGAATAGAACCAGCCCGGGTTTTTCGCCGCTTGAGGACTCGTCGCACAGAACAAAGATGTCAAAGCCCCGTCATGGACACTCATGGGTGATGTGATCATCATACCAAACTTGGTCAACGCACCGAACCACGACGCACTAGCACCAGCTGTTTGAAGATTCGTCCTGATCACCCCTGGGTGCAGGGAGTAGGCCGTGATGCCTTGGTCTTGGTATCGGTCGTTGAGGGCTTTCGCAGCTATGATGCTGGCTTGTTTGCAGTGGCTGTAGCGTTTCCTGTTCTGGTCAGTCGCAGGCGCATGCGCTTGGGAGTGGGAGTATTACACTAATGCCAAACCGCCAGTCAAGTCTGACAAATTTGGATCGGCATAGTTGATGGTCTTGGGGCCCAAGTGGAAAGCCATATCGCTCGAGACATTGACGATTCTAACGCGGTCCTTGACGCTTGGGTTCTGTGCAGCGGTGGATTTGAGGAGAGGGATAAGACCGAGTGTCAGGGCGTGGTGTCCGAGGAAACAGGTCTGCCACTGCGCCTCGTAGCCATCTTTGGTCAGTTCGTAAGGTGTTGCCATGATCTATACATCGAATTCTTAGCGACCTGTTACTTGAATTGGAGTTGGAGAAGAGTGCTGCTTACCCCTGCATTATTGAGCAGAATATCCAATCTGTTTTCCTTCTGCAAGAAATCCGATACCGTCGTCTTAATGCTTTGGAGGTCTTGTAGATCCAGTTTGAGGAATCGAACGTCCACCTTATCAGGTCCTGCTTCTAGCTTTTTGATGGCTGACTGGACTCGACTTTCCGAGCGCGCTGCGATGTAGACACGGGCTCCTCGACGAGCTAGCTGAGTAGTCGTTTCAAATCCGATGCCCGAATTCCCTATCGATGCGTCAGCTGGTAGTCCCATGGCTTCCAGAGTGCAATCAACTAACCCCCAGTGACGATAATCACATAACCATCGAGGCGTGGGATCTCAGAGACCGAGAATTTTGCTGTTTTAGTCATTGTCACTTGGCGCGCTGTGTGTGTCGTTGTAGTAGAGTTTGGTTCGAAAGAGGACGAGCTTGTCGATTTGCTTGAATATGTCTGAAGAATCCATCATCGAGCACAAATGCAATGCGAGATACTTAAACCATTGCTGCGATGCAAGTATCCAAAGTACAGAGCTGTGGGGCCGTCCCCAAGGCTGAAGTAGCGGACCAATCAGAGGCCGTCCGTGGCACGTCCGCGGAAAGTTGCAATTAAATCCGTTGTGCGGCCTTTGCACAAGGACCTCCTACGGTCGCAGCCTGCAATAGGCATGCATAGCTTGCCTCTTAGGACAAAGCTATGACCAGTAGTATCCAATACTATTTTGCCTCAACTTTGCAGAGACTATTCCGGCACCAGAACTACCATACTCTTAGCTCCGTATCCCGGACAGGGACAGATTGTCCATCGTGGCTGAAGAGACTTCTAGGAGGGAGCGACTGGAAACGGGTGGTCGGCCACGGACATCGTGCTCCGTGGCTCTATGATCTCCGTCCACGGTTGTCTGCTAGTTGCCGAAGGCCACAACTGTGCAAGACTTGTCAGGCAACGCACCTGTGTCGGAGCTTGCCAGCTGTCCATGGATGCACAGTCACAATCGTTGAGGACTACTAAGAATCATCATAGAAAGAGGTGTACACCAGGCCGACGATGTCACAAGTCATGAGTGGTTCTTGATGTCAAGTCAAGCATTCGGTTAAGTCCCAGCAGCAATCAAGAAAAGAGTCATCTGTGGGCTGTGGGATTACCTACTCGTAGACACCATAGGGCAATCACGATGTCTTCCACCGATATTAATTGCCATGGAAGGTTTGAGTCCGCGGCGCGACGGAGACAAGATGTACTTGTTGATCACGTGATATGGTTGCCAAGCTCTCCGCTCCTGCTTCCTCAAGCGATCGTTGTTGATACTTGGTAATTTTTAGGAAAGAACAACATAGTCGTTAGTACAACATGTGGCTGTCTCAGTCGACGCAACCGACGATATCAGGTGCAATTCGAGACATGCAATAGTTGAAGCGATTATCAATCATGACGTGCGTTGGTTTTCCCGTGCGCAAGATCATTTTTCGGGAAATTCTTGAATTAAAGGGCATTGACAACTTCGAGGCGCCTGACGAAGATGAGCCTGTCGCATGAGCGAAGTGATGCCTTTGCAGATATAATCTCCCTGAACGTGTCCCCTGAAGGGAGTCTACCGCTGACCGAAGATGCACTTCGTAACGCGACTGTCGCCCTCGAATCTTCAACGCGAGCCTACAAACAACGGACAGAGGCCCTTCAGTCTCAGCTAGCAGCCCTAAGAGAATCTTCAAGCGTGTCAGATGCCATTCAGCAGACTTCTACCACCCATGCGTCTTACTTGGGCCAAAGACAAGCAGCTCAGATCCAGCATATCACGTTCGCAGTGAGTAAGTAGGCCGAATCATTTAGCAGCGACTGATATTACCAGAACGAGCAGCTGTTCGACACGCTCAGAACTGAGCTCCAGCTTGAACAAGACAATGTTGAAAAGCATGTCAAAGCTGCCCACTTGGACATCCCAGCCAGACTGGCCTCTGATGATCAAAGTCTGCAAGGCCTCAATGACATTACACTAAAGTCATCCAGCTCGCCTCTTGATGTTGAACATACTAGAACGAGGATTGCTGAGCTCAGTTCGGCCCTACACTTCTACCAAGTCCAGACTGTCAAAGATCTTCTCGACCTCACCTACCTCCAGTGTGTCATCAGGTCCCCAGAGGAGAGATCCGAGGCGAACCCAGCTTCTGAGACCTCACGTCAAGTTCAGGACGATCTCGGATCTTTATACTCGGAAATTGATGATGTTGTGGCTATGACGGTAAGGCAGGAGCATGGCAATCCGACTGAGAAGTCACTACAAGCAATGATTGGTCTTCGCAAGAAACAGGACCACATCAGATCTACAAAGGTGTGGGGGGAGCCGTCCTCTCTTGACGACCCTTACTGACTATAGCTCCAGATTCATTCAGAACTGTTGTTGCTCACACAGCGCATGGAACGAGTTGCGACTGACCTGGGGAATCTCGAGTCTCGGCGACATGTCCTCAATGATTTTGACCTGAGATTGAAAGGACTCGAGCCTGAGCACCAGGCTTTCCCCAAGACACCGCTACGAAGTACTAGCACGGAAGCAGTCTCTATCGACTCTCTAGCTATGAATGCAGTTTTAAATCGCCTCGGCATACCGGCAAATAGAGACACTTCATTGGAACACCTCCGCCGCCAAATCCAGGATCTATCAACAAAGCTGCAAGATCGATCAACCATGCAGATTTTGCAAGTCTTGAGTCAATCCCGCGAGGCTGTGTCAAGCAGAGCAAGTCATATACAGAGAGTTGGGAATGCTTTGGCCCATGACAAGTTGAACATGAGCGAGGTCGGCAATCTGGAATCCGCCATCGTGGAAGCGAGAGCAGAATTGGGTGCCTTGCCACGAAGCAATTGAATTGTGGTCTAGCCCTATCTAGATTGGTAAACAAGAAAGTCGTTGATCAAGAAGAGCAACAGAACATCGCAAAAGCTAGGACGAAAGCCAATAAAGGCGAAAGTGTCGTGATGACATTGACCGAACCCCGGCAGATGTATCTGTTCTAAGACGGTCTATGTACATATATTGCAGATGTACCAAACTGTACATGTAAGCGTCTCTTGTGTAGCAAGTCAGTCCCCTGACATGACCACCGACCACGGCGCCAATCTTTGAAGATTGCATCCGCCAACGCCATTGCCATTCACCATGTCAACCAATCGTGTCCACCAAGGAGAAAGATATGGTTCAGTCAGCGACAGCCATGCCACACGAGGACTTGCGAGTCTCTGGCCTTTGACTATCCAACCAACAAGCTCACAGTTCTCTATAGTTTGGCCTTGTCTCCAACCTCGCCAATCTTCAGCTTGGCGCCATATTTCTTCAACACTGACTCGTTGTGATACTATCAAATATACCGCGATTAGTTCTCCGAGAAGCGGAACAAAGGGTGAACTGCTCCCAAACCTACCTTCCAGAATTGTTTGCTCGCATCTTTGCCAGCGACTCTCTTGAGGATCTTGGCTCCACCAGGATGTTCATCAACAAAGTTGGTGACATCGTAAACTGTGCCGTCGACGATCAGGTACATCTCCTTCGCCTTCTGATCGTGCTTGGCCACATCGGCAGCGGTAAATGTCTTCGACATGGTGGAGGAGTCTGGTTTATATGGTTGAATAGGGATAGGGTAGGTAGGTTCCGATCGATGCGGTGCGCCACCCAACAGACGGGCTGGATGGGGATCGGTAGGTCTGTGAAACGAGGTGAAATCTAAGCCGCGGTAGGGAGAGGTTTTAGTGGCGATGTAGGGTTAAATGAGGCTTGACGTTGTGATCGCGATGATACAGAAGATAGATTCACAAGAGACTGATCACAGGAATAAAAATAACAGATGGAAACAGATCATGACACCGTCTGGGGTTGTTGGAGTTGTTGTAATTAATCACTTGGGAAAGTACCGAGGTCCGTCAATGTCCCTCTCCTGCTCGGCGGAGAGTTCTTAGCAGAGAATAACTCGAGTGCCGGTCAGCCGAGTTTATGGTGACTTGATTGGCGGCCTTTGTCCTCAACCAGCGAATGAATTTTTGTCGGTCGCTTGGTCCGAATCGCCCGATCATTTCACCTAGGCATGTTATATACTCACGATTTATTGATGATGATCCATTGTCTTTTGTTGGGCGACCCTGGTCCTTTTGATGCAGCGAGGCGGTGGCGTGAGGGAGCGGTTTGCATAACCGACTCTGGAATGCAAAAAGCCCGCGGATATGTTGTGATCAGCCGTAGACTCATACGGGGGATCATTCGAAATGGGAACCCAAACCACAAACGCAACCCCACCGCCCCCACATGCATACATACTACGGAGTATGTCCGTGTCAGTGTCCTGCGTGCCTTCCTGATATTAAAACTGAGGTCATGGCTACGTCACTCACGTGCCCCTGGTGGCTAACTCCAAGCACAACGGCGCTTGAAATTGAATCCCTCAACGTCAAGATCAATCATCAACATTGAACAGAGCAAAAACACCTTCTGGCCAATAAGCCGTTCCCAGCAGTCAAGATGGCACCCAATAGCTTTTCCCTATCTTCGCGCATTCCCTTGGCTAATGGGCTGTCCATTCCAAGGATCCATCTTGGGGTGTATCTGATGACAGGAAAGGAGGCCCGGTCCGCAGTGCAGCATGCTCTCCAAGCTGGTTATCGAGCCTGCGATTCCGCCCAAATGTATCGCAACGAGGCAGAGTGTGGCCAAGCCATTCTGGAATTTCTCAATGACAAATCGGTAAACACAAGTGGCCTAACGCGGGAGGACATCTTCTTCACCTCCAAGCTAGCAACTAATTCGACATATGCAACGGCGAGAAAGTCCATCAGCCAGTCGGTCAAGAAAAGTGGGCTCGGCTATATTGATCTCTTCCTTCTACACAGTCCATATGGTGGAAAGCAAGCGAGACTCGACAGCTGGAGAGCCCTCGAGGATGCCATCGCCGATGGGGAAGTCAAGATCGGTGGCGTCAGCAACTATGGAGTCAAACATTTGGAAGAACTCATCGCCTCGAAACCCCGCATTCTGCCCGCCGTAAACCAAATTGAGGTGCATCCGTTCAACACCAGAACCAACATCACCTCCTTTTGCCAAGAGCATGGAATTCTGGTAGAGGCTTACGCCCCATTGGCAAGGGCTCTACGAATGAAGCACCCTATCATTTCGGGGCTTGCCAAAAAGTACAATTGCACACCGGCGCAGTTGATGATTCGATGGAGCTTACAGCATGGGTATATACCTTTGCCAAAGAGTGTTTCCAAGGAACGCATCCGGGCCAATGGCGAGGTGTCGCACTTTGCAATAGACGAGCAAGATATGCAAAGGATGGATGATCTGGATGAATACCTGGTGACAGACTGGGACCCTGTTGATACAGACTAAGTCTGACCTCGTTCTGCAAATGGTTTGCAGCCCTCGTTGAACCAAGAAATTTGTCGACTTCCCTGCTACCAAACTTGTCATACAGCCGATTGCATGGCCAAGCGGACTTGACCCCGCAGAATGCATTAATGCGTAAGTCTTTCAGATGTCGATAGACCATGGTATGGCGATCAACTTCACATGGAGGCCAAAAGCGAATCATATTGGGACAAAACACTTACTGGTTCCGGCGATTGAAGTGAAGCAATGACAACAGGAAACGCCCGTCTTTTAGGATCTTGTGCGTACCTTGGCGCCGTTTCTGGAGGCACAAAAAGCGATGAGTATAGAGCCAAACCACGATATTCTTCTTCGGGGACCACTTATTCTATACTAGCCTTTTGGCCTGCCGTAGTGCCGATGTGCCTGCCAACAATTAAAACACCTATTCCACACTACTAAGGATTGTGTGGATCTCATGCAGCTGTGTTTATGATGCCATCAATCATTTGTGGAATGCGAGCTTTAAATCCACTCGGATGAACGTTGGATTGGCCATTGATCAACCCGACCTAAAACAGACTAAGCCTGGTGAGTCAAACACCAGTCATCATGTGGACAGATGGATACGCACGATACAGTGCATGAGAGCCCCCGGTTTTTCGCCATCGTCGGTTCCAGACTCCGGAAGATCGTCCAAGCGCTAGAGTGTTGCTCCTGGCCACAATGGGATATTTCCAGTTCAATCACTGTTCATGACGTCCAAAAGCAAATGGATTTCGTATTCAGATACTGCCCAAACTGCGTATCAAGTATGTATTCGAGGCAATCTTTCTGTTCTACGCTATTTCGATGCCCTGCCGGAAAGCCGATCCATTCGGGAGGCATGTCTAGCGTCTTTGCCAACTCAACAACGCTGCCCAAGTTCACGGGGATTTTCTCCTGCTATTTGTGCAAGAGTTGGGCGTGATCATGGGCGGAGTATGTGGTCCAATCTCTAGCTGTCACTTTCGTAACATGCTGACCGTACCGTTACAGAGATCGAGTTACGTGCGATACACTGGTTACAACCGACTGCCGGGGACGTGAGAATCAGCCCGGGTCTTCTCTGGCGCTCTGGAACTTAAGCTGGTCGCTACATGACCTGCACTAGTCATGGCCGGTATCACTTCGAGGAGTTATCGTGAACGAATCAATGTCCGCATCGTGGCTGGGGACGGAGGGGAGTCACGATACAGCCGTGTTCAGCAGTGGCAAGCAATGGCTGACTCATTCACCTTGTTATCCATGGCAACCCCCACCTTGTACCACTCTGTACGAGGCCGATCTCATGAGGGTACTATGTAAGCACACTCTATGTGATAGAGTGACGTTATGTCACGACCACACCGATCGATGATGCCGAACCACAGGACAATCCCACCGCAACTTGAATGGCCAGATCCACAGTTGTGCAGGTTTTAGGTGCTTCAACGGTTTAACCCCCAAATAACCGGTACCGCTGACTCGCTTTTTGGGTAAGCAGAGGCAACGTGCGTATGGGACATGGCACTTTATGAGAAAAGTACCCCATGCTGCACGCCATGCCAAAGACGAACCCCAACCTGCAAATGGACACAAATTGAGCCTGCCCCGAGTCCAGGGTGGGCTGATCACCCCTTTGTGTACATCACAACCCGTCCCATTGAGACCTGTCCTACCCAAGAACATTTCCCAGCTTCATGGGGTTCTTAAGCGGTGTCTCCTGGCCGTCCTCCAGACCGCTATACCCTGTCATTGCAAGTTGAGTGGACGGGCAACATCTAGGCCGGAGGCGTCCGCCGAGGGACATTTTAAACTCCATTCTGCGCATTCTAAGATAGGCAGGTGTATCTTGCCCATTTGAACGCCTGTGGCATCTTGTCAATCTGCTCACCACTTCACCCAATGATAATACCCATTTTCATACAATTTCAAGCATGGTGGAAAGCGATATTTGAACTGCCGATCTCCACGTGACATCACGTGGCCTGCTTCCCTTTGAACATTCTTGAAATAGTAGTTACTTAACTAGGGATCCCGATCACAAGCTTCTGACAAGCCGCGTGGATACACTATCGAATGCCGAGTCGGCATGCTGCCAGGCTGGCTAAAAGACTATCTGTCGAGTAATAGATCTTTCCGTAGTACGTACAGACTACAGTAGTCACAGTACTATAACGGGATCAAATCTAATCCTAGTTATCGGACCCCTTCCGCCGCTCAAAGCCAGATTTGCGACCGCGCATTGTTGAATTGGACAAGGTAATTTGGCTACAGGATTAGGACCTGATTTCGTAGACTACCAAGGGGCACCAAGTGCTTATTTGAAGCGTATTTAGGTGTAAATGGGTGCTTTAGCCTGGTGGCCGAAGGGTCCCACGGGCTTCCCCACGCGAAGATGCCCACCCGGAGGGGCACCTTGGCAGATACTCGCCCGCCCATTGACATAACTATAGGGCATGATGTGATCCATCATGATCTTTTCAAAAGTACCAATCTATACGACTTTATCACCAGCTTCTTTCACTACTGGGTACTTCCTACATTTACGCACGGAGTGAGTGGTCCGTTAGCCTCGCATCTTACCTCCTCGGCTTCGGGTGATTTGGGCTCTAGCTGCTTGAATCGAAACGTTTGAGAGTTGACTGTAATTTACACTCGCAGTCACATCATTCCTGGATCGACAAGACTTTACGGAGTAGTTACAGATTCCCCCGACTTGGAGGTGCGATCACCCCGTCCACGTCCACTCCTCCCCCGTTGCTCTCCTCGCCCTTCCTTACAACCACAACTCCATTCCGTCTTGGCCACCGACTTCCAACCTGCACCTCATCCACCATCCACCCATTCAACGCTCACCCGCTAGTAACATTCAACTTACAGTTGCTCCCAACACCACTCGATTCTTCGCAGGGACTTGGGCCAACAGCCCCTCCCCCAGAATCTGCGTCCCATAACCTCTCATCGCACCTGCATAACGAAATCAACTGGCTGGGCCATCTAACGCCTGGCATCTCTCCACTACCGTGTTTTCCTCGCCCTGCCTACCTATCTACCCGTCCTCCTACCCGCTTGCCACTGTGATTTCAAATACTCTGCGAAGCGTCTTTCGATACTCAAAACCACTGATTCCTTACACGCTCTGAAATCCACGACAGCCACTGGTCCAACTGTCCCCCGTGTCCTGAGATCATGTTTGCAGACCGTGGCGACTGAATCGCCTCGACAATCCCCGATTTGCAACCGCCCACGCAGACGAGACCAACCTCCTTCGCCCCACCACCCTTGAACATCCGGCCGAGTGCCAGTCCCCAGACAAGGGCTCCTGGTGACAACGTCAAGATAGCCCCTTGCCACCTCAATCATTGTGCACGTGTGTCGCCGCTTGTCGAAACGAAATACCAGGCAACGGCTGCAAGCCTCTCAACACACTGTCTCCTTATCAGTCACTTGAATAACGGCCACAAATAACAGGTGGAGAAAGGATATAAGTACACCTAGAATAATCAAACACTCGCCCTTTTCCTGACGAGGCGCGACATGGACTTTTCATACTTCACGTCGGCTCCTCAGCCGTATCAGTTTTTTGGCATGCAACATGCGCCCAACTCGACCCAGGCGCAACCAGTTGACGACTTCAGACACACTCCCTCCACGGTGAGTACACCCAAGGTCATTTCTGCGCGGTAGCCTGACCAGAACCCGGTTACAGGATCAGTATGACGCTGCATTTGCCGCCTTTCAACAGAGCTTCCACTATGATCCCTCCACTTTTCTCGCACAACCCCACCATGTCCCCGGCCAGTCCCCTCCTTCTATTACTCGACAAGGATCCATGATATCGGCACCTGATGTCGACATGAACGGACTCACTGCCCCCAGCCAAGATATGACACCTGAAGAACCCCGTGTCACGAGAAGCAGTAGCGAAGAAAAGGATAATCTAACCCCACAACAAAGCCGCAGAAAGGCCCAGAATCGAGCAGCGTAAGTCTTGAGAAAAAGTCTCTGTCCCTGCCATCTCTAATCCAATTGCTGTGTTTTAGACAACGGGCTTTTCGAGAGCGCAAGGAGAAACATGTCAAAGAACTCGAGGCCCAACTCACCAGCCTCCAGAACCAATCTCTCACCCTTAACGGCGAGAATGAGCGTCTACGGAGAGAGTTGGCCAAAGTTGCGACTGAAAACGAAATACTGCGTGCGACATCTGGCTCCGCTTCCAACGGCCCGACACCCTTCATGGAGGAGCCTGACGAATTAGTCGGCCCGCTTGGCTTTGCCCCGACCGATCGTCACTCCAAGGATCGTTCACCGTCCAACAGTGCAACATCTAGTCAGGGACTCGGCTCAAAGTATGCGCATTTCGGCACGCTCAGACAACCCCCAATCGACGACGAAACCGGTGAACCTATCATGGGATCTGGAGCAACTTGGGACTACATTCAAGCCCATGAACTGTTTCGTAAAGGTCTCGTTGATGTTGGCGATGTTTGCGAACGCCTCAAGAAGATGGCACGCTGTGATGGCCAGGGACCCATCTTTCTTGAGAGAGATGTGCGTATTGCCATATCAGAAAGTGCCGTTGCTGGTGGGCGAGACGAGCTCATATGACACAATGAAGCCTTGTCGTTCCGGTGACAAAGTGTACAGTGTCGAAGTCGACTCTCGAAAGACTCAACTTGCTACTTCAGCGTCGGTGTTTACAGGAGCAAACTTTTGCATACATTGGTTAAGCCATTTCTGACGAGCATCTCTCCAGCAATTGGTGATGCGGGATCGAATCTGCATCCTGCGCATTTGATCTATCAATGACAGAAATCGTTTCCCGCCAACGCCCAAGTCGGACCATGCGGTGCAGCTTGACAATGGTCTACTGTTCAACTTGGTGGCCATGTGATAGCCTTGTTCACTATCTATGCGAGGATTACCTTGATTGCGCAGCGGTTATTTGCGGGTCCAGAACAAGCGTGTCACGACGCCTTACGGTTCGCATCAGGCCACCGGACCCATTGTCTCCGCCAGCGGTTCTCGACAAAACATGTGATATGGCCTGTCTCGACCGGCCCCCCACTGTTCACATGCATTCAGATCGTCCCCAAACCGATCACTGATCACTACCCCTCCTCTCCTGCACCAGAACGGAGATCATGATCGTTTGTGAGCACTCGCTGGTGCTTACAGCGTGCTTAGTCAGCACCAGCCTGCTCAAGGCGAAGTCTTTGGTGGAAGCCATCTTAAAGCCATGATCCGTTAGCGGTCTATGGAAGAATGTGCCGACGATCACATCTCAACTTCCAAACTCATGCAAGGGTGCGAGTGGATGGGCGGCATTAAGTCTTGTGCTTCCGAAAGCAAGATTCTTCGAAAGCTGTCTGGGCTGTGTGGAATAGGAACAGATCTTTTCGACCAGCGGGTGCGGCAGTCCTGTTCTCGAAGAGGTCGCTGCGTTGGGCCAATGCTAGGCCATCTGGAGAGTCGTTCATGTATCACGGCTAATCCCAATCATCGTCATCTTCTTCATCCCTTCTTCCTTTCTTGTTCGTGCTTCGTAAGTCTTCGTCGCTGTCTTTGCGTTTTAGTCGAACATCGTTCTCTTTAACGGCTCCCACGTCGACCAGTAAACGTTCAAGATCGTACAACTTTGTCCGAACACCGTTGAGTTGAGCAAGGGTAACCAACTGGCGCTTAATGTCTCCATCCTTATAGACGAGAATCGTCGGTGTATTCCGCTCAGGATACCCCTCGATACAGAGATCAGCCCTCATTTCGCCAAATTTTACTTCACCGAACTTGACAGCCATCTGACGCCACAGTTCAGACAGAACTCGAGACTCGACATTAGTGCCCAGACTCGACGTCAAATTAACCAGAACAAACGCCTTTGAACTCTCCTCGGTCACTTCTCGAGCATACTCGGGTTTCTGCAGAGGGAAAACTTGACCATAGACATCCTTTTTGCGAAGATCCGCGAGCTCGGCCATACGACGTTGACGATACTGTGCGAGAAAGGCTTCGTCCTCTTCATCCTCGAGTTCGGCCAACTCATCCAGATCCTTGTCCTCGAGGCGATTCTCGTGCGCTCGATGGACGGCTTCGATTAGTGCTTCCTGGATGATTGGCTCTGGGTCAGGTGCCTTTTCTGGGATGATGCCATGTTTCCTGAGGATGTCGTTCCTGAGGATGGGGTTAGATTCATACGGGGTTTATATGATCATAAGAGGGCTGGAGAATTCTGTGGCCTACCATTCTGTATCGGCATCTGGGTTATCAATTGGGACATTTACTGGCATGTCCATTTTGAACTGCTTCCTCGGGTCAAGTCTTGTCGCTCAGATTGTGAATATCGAAGTTGCAAGGCAGCAATGTTCTGTAGTGGATTTGATATTCCGACCCAAGACCGCTCTAGCCACAGATGTGTGGCGTGGCTTGGTATGAAAGTCAAAATGTGTGGCGTAACCGAGTTACTTACGTTGCTTCATTGGCGTTACACGTGATAATTCACGCCCCGTGACATTTGAAGGAAAGCGAGTCTTACATGTACAGGATAGGGGTCGCGGGAAAAAGCGCGTGTCAGATTGTAATAGTTGAAATATGGTCAAATATACTCGTGATCGCTCCATAATCACATTGTAATGCAAAGGTCAAGGTGCCGGTCATCGACGTTCTTAGGGGTTTGCACGATCTGTGAATTGATCATGGAAGGAAGCAATCTAGGCGATGATTAGGGGCATTAGGGCTGACTCTAGGTAACTCGTGGCGGGGTTCTTAGGGAGTTGGTCTACCTGGAGGGTCCCTGTAAACGCGTGGTGTCACCCCAACCAAATAATTATCGGGGACTTCAGCTGGACGCGGCTATCGGTGAGCAGGGGCCGGATTTATTATTGCATCTTGGCAAAGAAGACACCGTTGACTGTGTCAACTTGCACTTTTGGTAGACGACCCCAAATACATACCACGTCTTCCTCAAGGATTGTCACGTTGAGTCGCAACCATTCATTCCAATCTCACGAGACACATCTGTTCGACTGCTCTCTTGTCTCAATGGTCTCCGCGCTATGATCCTGCGGTAGTCCTGCAAACATCTTCACCCTAATTACTTGTGCCCGACTGGCATCCTCGTCCCCTCGACATCCCTGAACATCTCACCACCAACCGCGACCATTGCCAGCCGGATCATCGAGATTACAACATGAGTTACGCAAAGAAAGACGAGGATGCCGAACCCTCTGGGTTCAAGCTGGACAGGACCTCTGTTTTCCAAGATGGTATTCCCGCCCGCTTCTCCAGAGGCTTCTCCTTTCCCTCCGAGATACTGACCGTGTCCCAGCTCGACTCTTCAATTCCTCCCCTATATCTCCTCGAAGATGTCGGATCCTCCTCACCAAGCTCGCCATTCTCCTCTTCACCGGCGAGAAATTCCCGACTAATGAAGCCACCACCCTCTTCTTCGGTATTTCCAAACTCTTCCAGAACAAAGACCCCTCACTACGCCAGATGGTCTACCTCATCCTCAAAGAGCTCGCCCATACTGCCGAAGATGTTATCATGTCAACCAGTATCATCATGAAGGATATGACTGTGGGAAGCGAGATTGTATACAAGGCCAATTCGATTCGCGCTCTTTGCAGGATCATTGATGCCACAACCGTGCAGGGCATCGAACGTCTGATCAAGACCGCCATTGTGGACAAATCCCCTGCGGTCTCCTCGGCTGCTCTGGTCTCATCCTACCACCTGCTCCCCATCGCAAGAGATGCGGTCAAGCGATGGCAAAGCGAAACGCAGGAGGCTGCCTCCTCGTCAAAATCAGGAGGCGGCTTTCTCAGCTTCTCCACCAGTTCTCAACACTCCCTCGCCGCATCGGGCACAAACTACATGAATCAGTACCATGCCATTGGCCTATTGTACCAGATCAGATCGCACGACAGGATGGCCCTCGTGAAGATGGTCCAGCAATATGGAGCTGCCGGTGCGGTCAAGAGCCCTGCTGGTGTGATGATGTTGGTCCGCCTCGCAGCCAAACTTGCCGAAGAAGACCCTAACCTCCGGCAACCCATGGTCACAATGCTCGACACCTGGTTGCGCCATAAGAGCGAAATGGTGAACTTCGAAGCTGCAAAGGCCATCTGCAACCTTCGCGATGTCACTGACGCCGAAGCTGCACTAGCGATCCGTGCTCTGCAGCCATTCCTCACCTCTCCAAGGGCTGTTACCAAGTTTGCCGCTATCCGAATCCTGCATACATTTGCTTCCTTCAAGCCGCAAGCGGTACACACCGTAAATCCGGACATTGAGCCCTTGATTTCCAACAGCAACCGGTCCATCGCCACTTTTGCCATCACCACCCTCCTCAAAACAGGCAACGAAGGCAGTGTTGATCGACTGATGAAACAGATCTCAAGCTTCATGGCCGAAATCACGGACGAATTCAAGATCACCATCGTCGAGGCCATCAGGACACTGTGCATGAAGTTCCCAAGTAAACAAGCCGGCATGCTGACTTTCTTGAGTGGCATTCTCAGAGACGAAGGTGGCTACGAGTTCAAGCGTGCCGTCGTCGAGAGCATGTTTGACCTTATCAAGTTTGTTCCTGGAAGTAAAGAGGAAACACTGTCTCACCTTTGCGAGTTCATCGAGGATTGTGAATTCACCAAGTTGGCAGTTCGCATCCTCCACTTGATTGGCGTCGAGGGCCCAAAGACACCCCAGCCTACGAAATATATCCGATATATCTACAATCGTGTCGTCCTCGAGAACGCACTCGTTCGAGCTGCTGCCGTGACGGCCCTCTCCAAATTCGGCGTGGGTCAGAAAGACCCCGAAGTCAAGAAGAGTGTCGAGGTCTTGTTGACCAGGTGTTTGGACGATACGGACGACGAAGTTCGAGATCGAGCCGCACTGAATTTGCGACTGATGCAAGAAGAGGATGAAGTTGCCGAGCGATTCATCAAGAATGATTCCATGTTTAACCTTTCTACGTTTGAACACAAGCTTGTCATGTATGTGACTTCGGAGGATAAGTCCGTTTTCGCTACAGCCTTCGATATCAAGACTGTTCCCGTCGTTTCACAGGAGCAAGCTTTGGCAGAGGAAAGGACGAAGAAGCTCACAACAGCAACGCCAACCCTCAAAGCGCCGTCGACAGGACTCGCAAAACCAAAGACAAACGGCCTCAGCGATTCTCCATCAGCTCCAATGGTTGCACAAAAATATACTCAAATCTTTTCGAGGATACCGGAGCTCGCGGCCTATGGACAAGTTCTCAGGTCCAGCACAGTGGTGGAGCTTACAGAAAGCGAGACCGAATACGTCGTTTCTGCCGTCAAGCACATCTTCCAAGAACATGTCGTCATCCAGTACGATATCAAAAACACACTGGATCAAACAGTGCTCGAGAATGTTACGGTCATGGCCTCGCCATCTGAAGACGAGGAGGCTTTCTTAGAGGAAGAATTTATCATCCCAGCTCCCGCACTTAAAACCAACGAGCCAGGTGTTGTTTACGTTGCGTTCAAGAAGCTGGATGGCGAACAACCATTCCCCATCACTACCTTTAGCAACGTCTTGAAATTCACCAGCAAAGAAGTAGACCCCACAACAGGCGAACCTGAAGAGAGCGGCTACGAAGATGAATACGAGGTTGAGAATCTGGAGCTTACAGGAGCGGATTACGTTGTCCCGGCCTATGGTAGCAGTTTCGACCATGTCTGGGAAGGCACGGGAGCCAATGGCGAGGAAGCAAGCGAAACGCTGCAATTGGCAACAATCAAGAGTCTAGCTGGTAAGTTGTCATGGGTTGTGATCCAGATGGATGTGTTGTCTTCTCAAACAATGCTAATGTTATAACACAGATGCCACGGAACAAATCTCCAAGACCTTATCTCTCCAACCCCTCGAGGGCACAGATGTTGTTCTCTCAAACACGACACACACCCTCAAGCTGTACGGCAAGTCTGTCACCGGCGGCCGGGTGGCAGCACTGGTCAAGATGGTCTTTTCTGCCCGTACAGGCGTCACTGTCAAGGTGTCGGTGCGGTCAGATGAGGCTGGCCTGGCGGCCGCCGTCGTTGGTGCTTTGGCCTAGGAGGTTCACTGTCCGTTCAGTATTGTATCTAGAGCACGTCGTCGTGCAGGACACTGCAGCGTCGGCGGCATCGGCATCAACAATACATCCGACAGAGATTCTCCCGTCATTGCCGTGTCCGTCGCTATCATGCAGCAGGAGACATATGGAGAAAGCAAGCGAACTAAACACGTCCGGTGGATTGACCGCTGCGCCATCAGTGACGAACGGTGACGACAATTTAGAATGAAAAGTGAGAGTCGGGGTTGGTGACCACGGTCATGGTCATGGTCAAGTCCCATGAATGGGTGACAATTCATGTTCGACACACATTTGTATGACAGAGTGCAGAGTACAGGTGATTGAGTGGAGATTTTTGAAATGAAATGAAACAACGGCGCTCGAGGAACCAACCGCAACCGCATAGTCTAACGCCATTGCTAGCGAAAACAAAAAGATTGTTCCCAATAACGTGATGAAAAATGATTTGACTGATTTGATTTAATTTGCTGGCTGTCATGGCCATTGAGAATTTGTGTCGCATATCATTCATTCCAACCCAGTAGGCTAGGCCATGAGATCTCTAGAGGTATGTATGTATGGTAGGATTTAAATGCTCTAGGAGAGAGGTCACGGCTGTCAAATGTGCCATTGTGGACAGAGGATAAACCTCATATGGAGATTGATCATGTCGGTGACTCTTTTATGGGCTCGACTATGAATCATCCTCCTTCATCCCATAGTACATTCAAGCTCACAGCTACCAGTCAGCATGGCCCAGAAGATTGAAATACATTGTTAGTGGTCATCTTATGCCGATCTTGTTGTAGATCGATCTAATCAATCATCTTCCTGGACGTTGGCGAGATCGCAACCCTTGCCTCAATAATGTGGGATGCATTCAAAACAAGGTTCCAGGAAGAGGCCGACACGTGATGCGACTTGGACGGTGCTGTGTTGCTTGTGACGTGTGTAGAGACTAGGCAGTTTTGGTGAACATGAACATGAACAGGCTCGTATCGCTAGAGCGACCAAGTAGTCGGCGAAAAGGGCTGTTACACCAGATCCCTTCCCTTCTTTTGGACCAAAGAGGCAGTCGTAAGTCGACCCACACGCACTTTCTCAAGGCTTCTTCTTTGAACGAGATTTCTTCGCACTTTGTGGAGGAGGAGCTCCCGCAGCGGCAGCCATGGTCGTTGTAGCCGCATCCGAGCCCGACGAAAAAGCAGATGCGCCAAATGTAACAATATCGGCATCTGAGATAGCCGGGGTATTGGTATCGGCATCGGCATTTGTTAGCGATGGCAACTTGCCCTCACTTTGAGCCACCTTGAGAACATCAATATTCTTGGTCAACCATGCCTGAAACTCCTTCTTCTGCAAGTATCCCTGAATGCTGAACCATTCGGTGAAGGAGGTCGAGACTTCTTTATCCTCCCATTTCTTGCCTGATGGTGCTTCATATGTGATTTTCAGTTTGTATATCGATGAATGTTTCTTGGCTGAGGACTTTATTGTCAACTATTACAGGTTTGGGAATTTTGATTAGTTTGTCTGGTTCTCGTGTTGTAGTAGAAGTATAGAGTTACAGTGCTGTACATACCTTTTGTCCCCCTTCTCTAGTCCCCACGAATATCGTCCCCGCTTCGACGGCCCATATCCAGTATGTCAAGGCCGAGTTGAGGAGGAAATATGCTATACAGGCAGGTGCGGTGTATGGTTTTGTTGCATCCCATCCGAGTTTGTAGTCCGCGTAGAACAAAGCGCCGGCAATGGCGACGGCAGTGTAGCCTAAAGCGAGGCGTATATTGGTGGTTTTATGTTGTTGCGTAAAGGTGTATGGTTTGGGTAATGAGGTTAAGAAAGGAGCCACGGCGTCATCGGTTGCGTTTTTGAGGTCTGTGAAGGGAGGATGAAATGGGTTAGTTTGCACGTTTCTTTGGTTTGGCTTATGGGTAGTTTGTCTCATGGAATGGAGAGGGTGCGACGAACCGTTGGTCGCATATAGAGCGACTTTTTGGGGAGGGGAGGACATGTTGGAGGGAGGGAGAGTGGTAGAGAGGTTGTTTAAGTATTTTCTGGATGCAAAGGAAGGAGTATATTGTCTCAACAATGGGTGCACCTTGTGCTTTGGATTAGGATGAGGTGGGTGACTTCATTTCCAGTCGACGTAGTTAGGTAGTTAGTTGGATCGGTGGTCGCGTAACTCTTTTGGACAGAATGTCAATTTGGCGTCGCTCATAATCCGGGGAATTTCTTGGCATAGCAAAGGGTGTAAAACTAACCCCGATCTCACGTACTACTCACCCGGACCTCGCTGCTTTCATAAAGGAGCTCACCCTCCCTCCCTCACCCTCACTTACCCTCTCATCACCACCGTCTCCAGATTGGTCCTAGACTCCATTACTGGCGTTTAATCAGTGCCAATAATGGGGCTTGTCATGGAGCCATTGGTCTTGACCTCAGTCAATGATAACCGTTCTCATTCTATCCTAGGAGCCTTCCTGGATAAAGGACTAACCACAAACGCACAGCTTAAGACAACGCAGAAAAGAGTACCAAGCTTACTAGTTGCTCTTACATTTTAAACACAATCGACATGGGGTGCCTCCTTGCACGCATCACGAGAGTTATACCTAAGAGCTATTCGTCCTGTACTCAGTTACGGGGTGTTGGCGCGTTCCCAGTGACTAAGGAAGCCAAAACGTTGAGAAGACACCACAGGCAATTCAAGGAAGATCTCTTCGAATAATTACAGGGGCATATCAGGCGACAGCGACCGAGGCCCTTGAGATAGAGACCTACACGAAACCACTGGGCCTCTTTATTGAGAGGAACGTATACTTAGAACTTAGTAGAGAAGTTACACAAGGCCAAGGAGAGAATTTCAAATCACTAGAAAGACGTCTAGCATACCGCACAAGGGGAAGAAGAGGAAGATCAAGACAACTCCTTACTCTCACCTTCGAAACGGCCCTAGACAACCGAGGACAAAAGGGGATGTACCTTCCTACAGTATCGGGAACCTCGAACACAGAGGCCTCAAAAGAATGGAAATGATATAAAAAGGCCCTTGGGGCGTAGTACGCTATAAAGTGGCGGAAAAGATGGCTCCAACGGGACAAAGGAAGGGTAACCGCAAGGTATCGACCCTATGAAACACAAAAAGCACTGAGTATCTACAAGGGGAGAGCGAAGCCAATCACCTCAATTCTCATACTACTCAGAACTGGGACAATAGGACTCAGGGCCTTACTTCATAGCATGAAGGTACCAGATATCCACGACTCGGAATGTAACTGTACACTACAGGAGGAAACGGTTCAATACTTCCTCCTAGCATGTACCCAGTGGGAGAGAGAAAGAGAGTCTCTAGGACCCTTTAGAAACAAAGGCCTGAAGAAATCCTGGGGTCAAGAGAGGGCTGTAGAAGGGCGACAGATTCTGTTCTACTGATCAAAAGACTGGAGCAATTCCAGGCAGCAGAACAGCAAGGGAACATAGGGTTACCTTGAGAGCATTTCTTTTGTGCTATTATTCTTTGAGGTGAGGATGGAGAAAGTGGTTAGCTAGTTTACACCTACATAGGCCGGACACACGGTCTGCATTTGATATAAGAATACATTTATCTATATACATGCAACAGCAACAGAAACATTGATCCAATCCTGATCTGCTGAGAAATGAGAGTGAAAGGCTTATAAATCGATAAGTTGCTCGGTCGGTCGGCCAGGTTAAGGATCTTCTGTCTGACAACCCAGTTACTCAACACTGGGCAAAAAGCGCTACTCCCATGCATCGATGTACAGTAGATGTGGTAACTGCGAGCCTCGGAGATTCAGGCAGTCTTCGCCGAAGCAGGGCAGAGAGCGATGAATCTGTCACAGCCTACATCGACTCCATTGCCAGTCAAGCACAGTGATCATATGGAAACAGCCGGCCTCTGGTCAGCCAGAAACGAAGCGGCTCAACATCTCTAGTGCTTGGAGAAGTCGGCAGTGTCCAGCAGTACAGGATACGTTTTATGCAGGGATAACTGATGGTGTCGATCCGGTTCTGGGCCCCTCACGCTCCCATGTGCGAAAGCGTGACCATCCAAATCCGAAAATTGGCGTGATTTCAGCCTGTCTGCAAGCTTCAAACTCTGAATTCTTTGAGCCTGGTGGCTTATACAATGCAAGCAAACTATCCCAACCTGATAAACTCCTTGCATTAGTCAAAAGACCTCGACACCTAAATCACTGGGGTAACTCCGTAAAGGGGCATTACGATTTCTTTTTGTACGGAGGTAGGGTGGAGACAGTCCGCATATCATGGAGAGATGCCTAAACCACATTCGATCCACTGCCGCTACTACACTGAATGCCAATTGGCGGAGCAGCAGTGTCCGTGCTGGTTGTAATTCGTATTCAAAGCTACCCCAGGTCTAGGCTATGAAGATTCAATCCGGGGAGCGGAGGGGAACGTACTTTGTCTCGAGTCTATAAGCTGGACACTATTTCTCCAGCCTCGATGGATTAATCTCATGTTCTTATTCCCTCAAAAATAAGCACGAGTACGACATTTTCCTTACTTACTTTGAGCGTTCGAAAAAGGAAAAAAAATCATTAACAGAGATGGTAGCCCCATCTGAAGCTATCCATGCCTCGGGGCCTAAGGACGATTACCAATTGAATGAGGTTGCTAGGTCTGCTGAGATTCAGGAGCCAGTCCCTCTTGGAGACGAGAAGGTTTCAGGAGATCATGTTGAAAGTATCAATGCACCTGTTTGGGACAACGAGGATGAAGAGCCCGAGTTACATATGCGAACCTGGGTTGCCCTTGCAGCCATGGTCGTCCTGCAGTTTGTGATGCTGTTGGCGCTTCAGGGCCCCCCAGCAGTGGTAAGTGCTACAAATTCTACTCCGGCCGATCCCCGATTGTATCAGATCAACTGACCTTGGTACGCTATGCGTATAGCTCTCATATATTGGAACGAGTCTTGATAACACCACGGAACAATCATGGATCAGTACTGCGTTGACCCTGGTCCAGGCGGTCCTGGCACCTATCATCGCTTCGATCTCGGACACATTCCAAGCTCGTAAAGCAATTCTCATTGGGGCTTGTACTCTGTCCTTCGTCGGGTGTGCCGTTGCCCCGGGTTCGAATGACCTCTATCGTTTGATTGGGGCACAGATCATGATCGGGTTCGGCTTTGCGGCTGCTCCTCTAGGATTTGCGATCCCTAGTGAGATTGTTCCACGCCGATGGAGACCACGTAAGTCTAAATACTTTCGACCGTTTTGAATCTTGTCCAGCTGCTAATAGAATTGCACAATAGTCAGCCAAGGAGCGGTTAACATGGCTGGATCTCTGGGTGCTGTCGTCGGTCCTATTACAATCGGCGCCCTTACACGCAGAAACCCGATTGATGGCTGGCGTACGTTTTACGTAGGGAATCCTTGTTATCTTCTATCGTCTTTTAAATGTGTGAAACACTAGTCTGACTATATATCTTCTAGTGGATTCAAATGGGGCTTTGGGGCTTCGCCATTATCGGTATTTTTCTGGGATACCGCCCCCCAAAACGACACACACGCTTTGATCACCTTACCTTCGCTCAAAAGCTCGGCCGTACCGACTTTATTGGCAGCGGCTTTCTTGCCTCTGGGCTGACGCTGCTCATAACTGGTCTGACGATTGGTGGCAACCAGTTCCCCTGGGCTAATGCACGTGTCGTGGTCCTCCTGGTTCTCGGAGCGGTTCTGTTGGTGGGCTTTGGCCTATGGGAGTGGAAGGGTACTGATTCAGGCATCTTCCACCATGACTTCTTCCGTGGCGACCGAGATATGGCACGGTCATTTGCTCTGTGCCTGTTCTTGATGTTCCTGGAGGGAGTCGTTTTCTTCGCATACTTGGTCTTTTACCCTGTTCTGTAAGTCTTGTTATCTATTCCGGACGCGATTGAAAGATAAACTAACTCATCTCTAGTACGGCAGCCTTATACGAGACCGACCCTCTTCTTGTAGTGCTCCGTACACAACCTAACTATATGGGTGGTGTTCTCAGTGCCCTAGTCTGGGGTTACCTCAGTACCAGATTCCGAACGATTCGCGAACTACTGAGCATTGGCTTTCTAATGGTGACCGGCGCTATGATCGGCCTCGCAACTCTGCAGCCAGATACCGGCAACGTTGCAATTGGGATGGCTTGTCTATCCGGTATTGGATCTGCTTCTCCTTTAATTCTTATCATTACGGCGGTCCAACTGTCCACTCCTCCCCATCTGATTGCCACAGCGACTGGTGTGACAACGTCTGTCAGGTCCATTGGAGCAACAATGTTTACCGCCGTCTATTCTGCCGCGCTACAAACTAGGACTGCAGAAAAAATTCCCGCTTACGTCGCCAAAGCAGCTGCAGAGGCTGGACTGACTCCGGCTTCGATTCCTGCTTTTATTAAAGCGATAGCTTCAGGAAACCCAGCAGCATTGGCAGAGGTTCCGGGAGTCTCTCCGACAATTATTGGTCTAGGTGTGGCAGCCTTCAAACAGGCCTTCGCCGACTCGATCAGGGTCGTCTACATCATCGCCGCTCCCTTTAGCATGTTGGCAGCTATTTGTAGCTTGGGTTTGGCCAGTTACCGCAGAACAATGAACTACAAGGTGGACGCTCCAGTGGAAGACCTTCACGCACATCATCGAGATGTTGAACACAAGTAGAACTTTGGGGGGTGGGGGATAGAAATGCTTGGTGTTAGCTGTGTTCAAAGTCACCAAATTCTCCTCTCCTTAGAGAGTAAAACACACTTCGAATGATGTCCAAATGAATCATGCGGCTTTTCAACTTCAGCACCAAATGACCAAATGACCTCCCAGAGGACAGCCGAATATTCTGTCGTACCAGACCATCGTTTAATTCCTCTCTTGCAGAACCAGCAGGTGTGAAGTATTCTGCTCAAAACAGGTTCGTTGAATTCCTGAGGCCTGGCTAGATTTTTATTCATGGTGCATATGCAACGTAGAATTATTGATGAATTCTCTCCAGAAGAGAAGATAGTCGGTAAAGGAGAGGGCGCGTAGACTTTGTGAAAGGTCTTGAGCTTGGTCAAATTCCCAATTCTATATAAACAGCTATCTACGTCCAGAACGCAGCTGTAGATTTCGAAGATCAGCTGATGGTCGTCATTGAACTGTATTGATCACGATACATGACTTGATGTACAAGTGGCAATCATACTTGACTCTAGATGAAAGGGCTTAGCATCTGCCGACTTTTGTGCTAGAATGTCACGAGTTGTGCAAAGGAACATCCGACGGGGATGCCGATGGGAAAATTTTAGCCTTTGACCCCGACATGCGGTGCGGTGGCGGAGTACTCCACAACTCAGATACCTGGGCCTGGGGCAAACGACATTCCTACTACTGTCAAGCCTCAAGATTCCCAGACTGGCCTGTTTGGTTGAAATTTGAATCTTTATATGCCCCGAGAAAGTACGAGCCAGGTACCACACACCAACCCCACCACCACCACCATCACCACCACAACCGCCGCGCAATTATCCATCATTCAGTTGTACCCAAAATGGCAAATAACTATCCTGTCATTGTTGTGGGTGCTGGCCCAGTCGGGCTCCTCACAGCGTTGAAACTTGCTCGCCAGCAGATCAAAGTAGCAGTTTTGGATCAATCCCCTTCTACCAACGACTCTCCACGGGCTATTCTTTATGGATTGCCTGCTGTCAAAGTACTTCACCAAGCAGGTGTAGCGGATGAGCTCCGTGCTGCCGGCTACACGCCCACCCGAGTGTCGTGGCGCAAACTTGGTGGTGAGATTATGGCCAGGCTCGATATAACATACCCCGAAAAAGTCCAGGATCGAACACTCGTCTTGCCTGTGGGTGAGTTGACCTCAATTCTGTACCAATCTGTGTTGAAGGAGCCCACTGCAACTGTGCTGTTCAATCACAAAATTACCAGCATTAAACAATCGAACGACAAGGCTGTCCTCAATGTCACTGTTGGTGAGGCTGGAAATACTGTAGATAATGATCGACAGGCTATATTCGAGGCAGACTACGTGGTTGCTTGTGATGGAGCTAGTAGTATTATTCGCAAGAGTCTTTTTCAAAATGAATTTCCCGGCATGACATGGGAGAAGCCATTGATTGCTACCAATGTATGATTTTCCCCAATTGCCCGCAGCCTGATGATGCCAGGCCACATGGGCATCTCCCGTTGGCAACATACTTGTCTACTTGCTATTCTCACATGCTACACTGGGCTGACCATTCTTTAGCTACGGTTTCATTTCGACCTGAACAGCCTTGACTATGACGATGCCAACTTTATCCATCATCCGGAGCATGGTCATCTCCTGGCCCGAATCGACAAGACAGATCTCTGGCGAGTGGCTTATGTGGACGAACCGAACTTGAGCCCCGAAGAATACAGGGCTCGTCTCCCAGAGAAAATGAAAATCATGCTGCCTGGAAATCCAGACCCTGATCAGTACACAGTAGTGGCAATGAATCCCTATCGCGTTCATCAGCGGTTGGCCCCGTCATTTCGAGTTGGTCGTTTCCTGCTCGCTGGAGACGCGGCGCACTGTAAGTACTCTCCTATTCCCACCGCGGTATCTTGACCACCCGCTCCTCGTCCCCGGGGCTTGTGGTGGCGACCATTATCTCCAAGCTCCGTTCCTACAGCCACATCCGTTTAGTTCTCACTCAGTCTTCTCTATTCAGTGAACAGCCCTTTTGGCGGATTAGGTCTTACCACCGGCATTGTGGATGCGGGTGCTGTCAGCGACTGCGTTGGGGCAGTGCTTTCCGGAAAAGCGGACGAGACCATTTTGGACAAATACAACGAGATTCGACGCGACCTCTTCATCAATGAATCGGACAAGTGGAGCCGAATAAACTATCTCCGAGTGACAGACCCCGATCCAGAAACGCTTCTCGAGCGAGATCGCTTCCTCCAAACTATGAACGCTGTAAAGGGCGATCCAGCAATGATCGAAAAACTGAAAGAGATAGAAATGGCCATATATCACGACTTCACCGCGTATTACAAGCAAGCCTCAGAATGAGAATATGGAGACTGCCCTGCTGCTGTGCGTGCTGGACTTTAGAGTCTCTAAACAGATGCTTTCAAGGGCAAAGCGATTTCATCTGAACAGCGCTTGAGGTGGCTGTTCCCACACTCCGCCGCGACATTTAGGGGTTTATGGATCACTGTTTGCCGCCAGATAGGGATACAAGCCACCCACCCTGATCATAGCATCCATAGCAAATGCAGATAACATTCTATGTCGTGTTTAAGCGGCAGAAACAGCTCAGAGTATGTGCCTGATAGTTTGACCAATGACGTGTGACGGGAGAAAGCAACGTCAGGGAGACACAATCCTTGCGCACATTGATAACGGCGATGTTACTCGGGCGCCGGTCGGCGACAGTGACAAAAAGATCCACACTCGTGGTAGTAAATATGAGCTCAAACAACTGGGAGATGTAGTAGGGAACTGAGCGTCTTCGTCATCTGCGAGGATCTCACAATGCGATGTAGGAGATATTGACGTATCTACGACATTGAGGCGTACCAATGAAAGCCTATCATACTCCTTCTTCCAGAAGCCTAAGTGAATTTCACTACCTGGGAAACAGAGGTAGTCGCCTACTTTGTGCACTGCTTGTGTTCATATGCCACAATGGAGATCATCATACAGAAAGTCAAAAGAAGTTACTGCGACTTGCTCCGAAGTCTGCCTAGCACAGGTCGTGAGTTAACTCGGTCTATGATATCAACAAAGACTGCCAGTCCAGTTTGAAAGCTTGTTGAAAATCTTGTCATCGTGGCTTTGAATTCCTGCTCCTGGCGACTAAATATTTGTTCAACCCCAGGGTTGCTGTTTTAAGCACTGACCTGTCATCTTTGGTCTATGGTATGCTGTTGCTTTTCTCCAGTGCCCATGAAGCTTTTCTTTGGCTATGCCTTCAAACTTGAACGAACTTCCTCAGCTAAAGCATCTACATCAGGTTGTACTATAGGCCTCCCTGCCCATGTTGCAATTTCACTGACCACGTCCACCATTGCCTTGACCGCCGAGGTGCTGTTTCCTGCTCCCATGGTAGCCTTGAGATGACTTCTCGTCTGGCGTGTAGCTCCCAATGCTGTAATGGCAGTAGCTACAATGAAGTGGGTGTGAGGAAGATCAAAAACATTGTCGCTAGCAGCAGCTAGCAGATAGCCCCATGTGAATGCCGTAGATCCATTGTCTGGGAAAGAATGAGTATTAGAATAGAGACAGATGTATTGGCCCACTTACAAAGCTCAGCAAAAAATTTCGAGAACGGATCCATGATCTCTGAATTTCCAGCAGTCTTGTAAATGATTTTCCGTATGTCGTTGCCTTTGCGGATATTATCCTCGTCGATAGTTCCCTTTCTGAACTTTTGGAGCGTGGCATACTCCTCACCCTTCCGCTTGATCACCCCAATCATGCCAAAAGCGCCAGGAATCAAGGCAGGCATCCCCACAAATGGATATATGCAGGCCATGCCCTCTCTGAGCTTAAGAAACACCGCTTGTGATTCCTCTGGAGTCGACTGCTTGGTGACATCGTCGAAATACTTTCCCACGACATCAGCTCTGCCCAACGCAGAGCAAGCAGCCATCTGTTGCACAGAGATTGTCAGCCAGAAAGCCATACCAAGTTACTCATTTTGCCTCTTACAATGATCGCATGACTGACTGGCTTGAGCTCCGGCGCGTCTTCACAGAGCCGTTTGTTCAGAGCCAAGAACACCTCAGCATTGTATAGCTTGTCACCAGGTTTGAGATTAGTGGTGACATATTTTTCGTCCCATGATTGCATGAACTCATCCTTAGACCAGTCCGCCATTTTTTCACTCTTAGACACGGTCCTCCAAGCTGGAAGTGAGAAACAAGTTGCATGATTGTCTGCTTCCTTGCACACGGGATAACATGACTTGAATACCTCATCACGTGATGGTTCTGGTGAGGTCGGCTCCACGGCACCGGACACCCCCAGTCCTGCCCGATGAGTTCGGCCTAGACCTTTCTGACTACTGGTGAGGTGAATACAACGGTCAGATCATTGTTTGATTATTTATCGTTACCTGTTCGTCAACTGGATGTTACCAGTGACACCATGAACAGACAGCACCCTCCACAATGGGCTCTGTTGAGACGCACTCCTCTGACACGCTCAAAGCGGCTTCAGCTCAATACCGAGAATACGTCCCCGACCCTGATCACCCCAGAGTGAAAGGCATCACCAGCTCGGATAGTTACAAATGGACCAATAAACGACTTGCAGACCCGTGGTTCCGGGATTGGGTCGACAGCTGGGAACGAAAGTATAACGAACCATTCAAAGGCATCACAACAGACGGCAACGTCCGTCAAGGTCTTTTTCACCTTGACAGTTCCAACGAGGACTCAATTGAGCCAGCCACGAAGACAATGGTGGATGCAGCCCAAGATCTGTTGGCGATCGCAACACCCGAACAGCGCAAGTCGATCCAGCACGGTCTCGAAGCTCCTGAGTGGCGAGGATGGAGCAATCCGGAAATCGTCTTCAAGAAACACGGCCTCCGCCTGGAAGAGGTGTCGGAGGAGCTCGTGAAGGCTACGCATAAATTGTTACAAGCCAGCCTTTCTCCAGAAGGCTATGTCAAAGCTCGTGGGTGCATGAAAGTGAATGGGTTTTTGGGAAAAATAGTCAACGGACCCAAAGTTTTGAACGAAAACTCCTACTTTGTATCTGTCTTTGGCAATCCATCGCCATTTGAACCGTGGGGCTGGCAACTATTCGGGCACCATCTTTGTATGAACTGCTTAGTGGTAGGAGGCCAGCAAGTGATATCTCCCGTGTTCATGGGTGCGGAGCCAAACATTGTCGATGAAGGGTTCGATTCTGGATTGACCCTCTTCACCGAGCAGGAAGCCCTGGCAATGTCTCTGATGGCAGCTTTGCCGGAGAGCATTCGAGAGTCAGTTCTCATATCGCCTAGTATGGACGGCAGCTCCATCCCGGCGTGGCGATTCCACCGCGCCGATCAGCGACATCTTGGAGGTGCATTCCAAGACAATCGTGTGATCCCATACGAGGGTGCGCAGGTTTCGACGTTTCCCCGTCCACAGCAAGATCAGGTATACGAGCTCATCCGGATCAGCCTCAACTATCTTCCTGAGCGGGCTTTGAAGGCAAGGATGGATGAGATTTTCCATCACTGGTCCGAAACTTACTTTGCCTGGATTGGACAACACGGTCGCGGTGACGCTTTCTATTACAAGATCCAATCCCCAGTGGTGATGTTGGAGTTTGACCATCACTCTGGGGTATTCTTGGCCAACAAGCAGGCAGAGCCGTTCCACATCCATACCCTAGTGAGGACACCTAACGGGAATGATTATGGCAAGGAGCTTGTGCGTCAATTTAGACAACGCCAAAGCCGGTAGCAGTGTCGGCCACCACAGGTAACGCGTATTTCCGGATTCTCTCTCAGCGAAACATTTGCTCAGCGCCATATCCAGATGAAGTATTCGTGGTCAGGCGCGTTTTGGATCGAAGTTCTACTAGCAAGCATCGTGAGGCCTATCGGAGTTTCATCTCTATAGCTCCTATACGCAAACAACCAAAAATGATTTTCGCTTGCCCAAAGTTAAATTTCAAATTTGTCGCCGTAATTCTTCGCGAAATGGGCTCACGTCGCACAGTATGAGTTCTACGTAATTGTCGGAGCCGTGGTATTGTGATTCAACGTTGCTTTGGCAATCCTAGACGCTTTCAAATTAGCGTCGCGCCTCAGACCGTCTTAGCAATGGTCATGTCCTGCGTCAATAATCACACTAAGTAGGCTGACACTGTTCCCAAAAGCATAGGCTCAGTGCAGGGAGATCACGTGGCTTTGAATGCTATGGCAGTTGCTCCACTCGGCGCGTTGAAGGAGTCCTCCGTTTATGAGTTATACGCAGGACAAAGCACCGGCAACTGTAGCGAAGTGGCGACTGGAAGCAAGGATCTAATGTCAGAGACATGACTTTAGCCTCTTGTTCTGTTCTTGCGAGAACAGCAGACATGTACAGCACGGGCGGTCACTAGTTGGTTGCCTGTGGTCAGTCTAGGACGGCTCCTGGGGTAGTCCGACATTGGTTCATGTCCGGGGCAGACGCTTTTGCCACCATTCCGCTTATCCCCGCAAAATCATGAGTAATGCTGTCGGCAGATATACTCCGTACTGAGTGGAGTTTAAATTAAGCATGGCGCAAAACTCCAACGACAAGATTCACCGTGTTTGATCTCCTGATATGCTCCGTGTCTCTGGACACGAGTATTGTTATGATTCCTTGACGCTGTTTCGCCAAACCTTCGTTCCGCCTCTTCTCACTGGTACTAAGAGCACTCAAGAGCATCCGGCAAGAAGGCGGCATCATGGCCATAACGAATAACTCGTTCTCCACGAGCTTCGTGCAGTTGATCAGGGAAGCAGCATGGTGGCAACATTTAGGGGTGGTCACCGCTGCTGGAGGTTTGCTGGTAAGGAAAAAAGACGGCGTCCAATTTCAAGATCTACTCTCACAGCTTGGTTGACTGACCACGGATTTATTGCCATATCTAGGTGATACTCTGGTTCTACTACCAGGCCTGTCTCTCACCACTCAGCAAGTTCCCAGGCCCATTTTGGGCGAGGACAACGCCATTCTGGCTCATGGCCGCGACTCGGCGTGAGACCCGGTCTGCGGAAGTTCTAAAGCTTCATCGCGAACACGGCGATTTTGTCCGCCTCGCCTTCAACCACATCTCGGTGGACAGTCCTGACGCGCTGGACGCCATCTACTCACACAAAGCACGTTTTGCCAAGGGCCCATATTACGATGCCTTTATGCAGGGTCCTCTAAATGTGTTCAATACTCGCGACTTCCGGCAGCATTCGAAACGGAAGAGGATCCTCCAGCCAGCCTTTTCAGAAAGTTCACTGGCTCGCTTTGAGCCTGAAATGGACAGAATCTTGATGCAGTGGAAACGGGAGCTGACACGCCGTGCGACAGCTGATGGCGTTCAGCTTAACATTGCACTCTGGGGTAAGTTTCCGTCTTTGTTCCCGTCATTCTGAGAGGTTGAAAAATGACACAACGATGCTGATTGCTCTGATTTTTCGCTACTTCTAGTTACCCTACTTGCCTTTGATTCGATAGGAAGCTTCTCATTCGGCTTACCCGGTGGCTTCGGATTCTGCGAAAGGGGTGTTGACCACCTGAATTTGGGTCACGCCATCAGCAGCCGGGCCTCCATTTTCAATGCTCTCGGGACTGTCCCAGGGTGGATGAGACCCTTGATGGCTTACTTGCCCTTCGATAACTACTACCGCTCTCTGGGTCCGATCAAGTTCAAGCTGTCTGGCTTTGCGCAGGACGCTTTGAAACAGCGAAGCATGAATGATGGTGACAAGCGAGATGTGGTGAGCTTCCTTTCAGGGTCAAAAGACCCCGAGACAGGGCAGACCGTCCCAGACGATATAGTCCTCACCGAGGCTACTGGATTCATCGCCGCCGGCAGTCACTCGACCGCTGTCACCATGACGCTTCTGCTAGACACGGTTGCACGTGATGTGAAGGTGCGGCGCCGGCTTCAAGCAGAACTCGATGCCGCGTTTCCTGGAAAATTGCCAGAGGACTGGATTCCATCACGACGCTTGGCATCTGAGCTTCCCTATTTCATGGCAACTATTCGTGAGTCACAGCGCGTATTTCCGACATCCTCAACGGGATTGGAACGCGTGATCCCTGAAGGTGGCAGAACAATATGTGGCGAGTATTTGCCTGAGGGGGTACGGAAAAACCATTCCATCTTCCACCATCAATGTCAATGATGCTAATCTCTAACCACGAACTAGACACTGGTCAGCTCGCCGCTCAACTGCGCGCTCAAAGACCCACGCGTCTTCAGCGACCCCGACCGCTTTGATCCTGAGCGATGGCTCGGCGCTAACAGCAAAGACTTATTGGCACATTTTCATCCGTTTTCCCTCGGTCCACGAGTTTGCCTCGGACGCGCGTAAGAAGCCTCCTTCGAGAATTTACATCATATTGTCTAACGTTGGTTTTGGAACAGGTTTGCCATGTTTGAGATGGTGAAGACTCTCGCCTTATTTATTAGATTGTTCGAGTTTGAGAATGCCTCGCCCGAACCTACACCATACACTGAAGGCTTCTTTGTAAACGTAGAAGATTGTGAAGTCCTCATCAGACTGCGGGAATGAATTAATGATAGGCTTAAGGACGGGGAGAGGACGGTCTTCGGATTGGCACTCTGCATCAAATCTGTCACAGTTTGAGGATAGAACGATGGCTTAAGCGCCGACAGTCGCAAATACTAAACCACTGGAAGCAATAATGTCCTCAGCATCGTACTGATTTTATGCTACAGACGGGAACTGCTGGCGCGGCCATTTAGTGACCTACTGCCATGTTCATGCTGTATCGAGGAGATGCTCACTCTTGCTTAAGAGGGCTTGGCCATCCGAATTTTGGCTACTGCCTCCAGCCTACGGAGACAACCTTCTGTGAAACGGCACATTCTTGGTCCAGGTTCCAATGCTTCAATGCAAACCTGGAGCACCCCGGCTGTATCAGATAAGGAAACAAGATTGCCCACTCGATTCCTCAGATACGGCCGTCCACTGTGTGTACGAAGGTAGTCGCTTATTAAACGGTCTCGATAGTTGGTAGTGTTGAGCACGATCTCGGGTGCATGCTGTTGAGACATGTGTTGCTCGTCACCGCCACCGCCCGAAGCTCCATAGGCCCACATTGTGATGGCAACCCGGTAGATTGCTGCAGCCCACCAATTAGGGCGTAACTTTTTGTCTATATCGGCTGTAAGAGAGAGGACTTGACCACAGTGTACCAAGATGGGCTCTGGTCCTCTGAGCCAGCGAGATACGTTGTTGGCAGCAGAAAGGTGGCCCTCTCCTCTCGCGATGGCTTCCAGGCTGGTTAACGAGGTCAGCAGGTTTAAAAAGACTAAGTGATAGAGTATCATGGTAGATTTCATCAGCGCCACAGATCGAACTCCTTCCGGCTGCACGCTTTCGGCAAGATCCATCCATCGGTGCAAGAGGCGCTCAAGCTCCTCAGCACGCAAGGAGGACGATGTTTGCAGCAATGGGAGGGGGAAAGTCGGGTTGTCATTTTCGGATCCGAATAATGCCCAGAATTGACGCAACTCGACAACCAGTAATTGTAAGGGATATAGTAGCAGTCGAAGATGGGATGGGTGTATGACGGTTGCGGTTGCGCCCGCGCGAGTGGCCGATAACCGCACGAGAAGATCGCGTAGAGTCGGCTGAGGGCCTTCGAGCATGGCTGCTGCAGCCTCAACTGAGCTGATTCCAAGTTCACCTAGACGCTCCATCCATTTAGCAGCACAAGGAGCTAGCCACAGCTTCTCATCACAAGGTAGAAGGACGTTCAGATCAGACAAGGCCAGACACAGAGGGGCATCGTAGAAGAGGCTGATCTCTTGGTCTGCGATGATCCAGCAGTATGTAAGCCTGCAGGAGTAGTATTAGAGCAGTCAAGGACACTCAGATACAATATCAATGGTACGGGAACTCACCTTATGGCTGTCTCGCGATCTACCCACGCTCGCCACAGAGCGTCAAGATCTAGAGTATGGCAGGGAAGATGAGTTGAGAAAGCAGGAGGGGAGCTGAAGAAGTTGGCTTGGCGCATGGTCTATTCATACCGTTAGAAAACCGGGTATTATGATGGTGATTCGGCTGAAGTCTGATAGTTTGATATTGACAAGAGAGATCTTACCGCAAGATATAGATTCTTTTGACCTACAACAAGATTCATGTAAGTCGACCAGCCGCTGAAAGCGCCACCTATGGAGAATAAGAAAGCACATTGAAGATTGAGACTGCTCTTGTAGGCAGCGCTGTCGTTTGCAAAAATGTCGGCAAGGGCATGCCGACAAATCTCAAACAGTGCGCGGGAAAACCGGCGGGCTTTTGGGGACGGATCCAGCATAGAACCCGAAGCAATCATCAAGAGTAACAACAACGTTGCGCCTCTTTCATTGCTACTGGTTGCCAGGCTGTTGGGGTTGAGAGTTAACGTGGGTATCATGGGGTAAAACGGATCGTACGAGGCCAGGAAAACGTCGAGCCACCGGTGAATATAGTTCTTGTGCGGGAGGAACAGATATAGATCGGGCGTGCGCTTCGCGGAGTTCGCGCTTCCGCGTAGCGGCTGTGTCTTCATCTTAACTCCGTAGGCCTCGAGGGTAATACTGAGGAAGTTCTGTATCACCACAAGCATCCACTCTCTGGTGGTTTCGGTTAGCGGCACATGTGTGATGAGTTCGAATTGCTGAAAGGTTTGAGAGCGGAACTGATCGATGGACTGACTCCATAAGACAGCGTCGTTGTAGCTACTGTCCAAGTCGAAGATATCGGACGCGTCACTCGGGGTCGTTACAGTTTTGGAGTGTGGGATGCATTTGCCCATTGTCCACTGCTCCATAACTAAACGAATATCAGCTGCAAACCTTTCCGAATATGATCCCGGGTGCGCTTACGATCTGGATCGGACATGGTGGAAGTCTCATAGGAGACCATTGGACTTGTCATCCCCTGGAACTCGGCCATAGGAGACATGAAATTCAGGTCGAGGGCGAATAGATTCACATCATCCGGGGATCCATTTCCGTTCCCAACACCAAGGTTGTGATCAACGGGGAGCACCAGTTCGCCGTTATCCACAGCAGTACCTGCTGTTGTATTTGGGTAGAGGTTCTGCATACCACCATTTGAAATATCATTGGCTCGTCTCAACGTTTGGGAGGGAGTATCAGGGAGGGGCGTCTCGATACGGAGCATCCAGTCCCAGCCGCCATTCACAGCCAAGTCTGCGTACGTGTCAACTCCAGCAGGCTGAAGAGACAGGAAAGAAGCGGAAGGATTGATGGGTACTGCCCCTGCTGCTGCTGATGGACTTCTGTGGAGCGCCGTTGGTAGATCTTGCAACACTCCCGTAGTCAACGCGGAATTTTGAGGGCTCTTGGCTGATTCACCTCCGCCACCATTTTGGGGCAATGAGCTATTCTGCTGATAGCTGTCGAACGGGGTGGCAGATACGTTATCGGACTGGAGTGAGTCTCGTGCATTCTCGGACTCTGCGGGGGAAACATGTACTAGATCCTGCGGCGCATCGCTCTCATTGTCGCCTGAACCTTGGCGAGGAGATGGCTGAACGAGACGATTGGGGTCCGAATACGTCACCCTGGCGTTTCTTCGAAGTCGAGTTTCGCAAGTCAAGCCTTTGGCCTTGCACCGGCCACATGGTTGTTTGTGGTCACATCGGGTCTTGCTTTTGGCACAGTTGGTGCACGCCACCGTAATCTGCTGGTTATTGGGCACGTAGTTGCTGTGGTCAGAAAGAACTCTCGGGTTGATCAAGTCCTTGACAGAGTAGACTTCTTTCTCTGTGTGGGACAGGTAGTGCTTCTGTAGGAGATCCCTATGCCGCAGGCGTCAGAAAGGTCTCTACATAGTTTTGGCCCACAGCATGAGCCCGGCTCCCTGCTTCAAACGTCGATGGGAACCAAGAAAGACCTACGAGCGAGTGAAAGAACCATGACATATCAAGCATTTGTACGGCCTTACTTTTGTGTCTGCAAAAGGCGCCTTGATGTCAGCGTGCCGCATCACTCCAGTTTGCAGGACAGTGTCAAAGACCTACGAGTGCGGACATGGCGCTCAAGATGCTCATTGCGCGCGAACTCCCGGCCACAGTAAGTACAGAATGCCATGCTGTCTGCTACCCAATGGCTGGGGCTTAGTGGTTGGTGTGTGTTTGGCGTGTTTGCTGCGTTGTTGATGTTCAAAGCAAAATCACTGGCAGCAACGATGAGATTGAAGGCTAAGGTGAGCAGAAGGGAGGTTGAGTTGTCCCACCAGGCCTACCAACCAACTTGACTACTTAACTTTAGCAGGGCCGAGGACCCCAGTTCTCCACGCCCACATTTCGGGACTGCATAAAACTGCCTTAACGAAGCATGTCCATGCTTTCACAGAGCTAGTCCTAAATAGTCAGTGGTTCGTTCCATGTGATCAGCATTCTCTGTTTTCATAATTAGTCTTCAATTTCTGAGAATAAGGTGCTCGCAGCCCATCATCCACCAGATGTGTAAAGTGAATCTCGAGAAATCCCATGGCTTGCATCGATCTAGGGGGGGCTGATGGAGCACTTGGTATCTAAATCACTGATATGAGGTTGGATGCGTTTTTCTAGTTCCCAATTGTGGTCGCGAGGGTATCAGGCGTTCCTGGCGATGACCAACATTTTGCTATGTAAGTAGTATTTCCAATAAAACTAGACGAATCTTGCACCTTAACTGGTCTAAAAAATTACATATCAATCTCTGCAGAGATCTCCTCGCACTGACAACAAAACTATTAAGTTTACCTGTGAGAATGTACCGTGCAAAACAATGTGGCGAGTAGCTGGACCACTGAAACCTCCAGAGGCGAAACCACGAAGCACCGACGGAACTACCCCACCCAAAGTCCGAAGTGGAGATTTAGCGGTGCCGATGTGCATCGGTTTACTGTTGCCTTTGGAGGGACCACCTGGTAACACCAGTGGCGATCTTCAAGTTTTACTGTCGTCTGGGCGCCCGAAGCAATGCGTTTTCTGTCGCTGCTCATGTCACAAAAGCCCAAGGGGCTGCGCTAGCGAGAGAATCTGGGCCTCGTAAGCCTGGTGGGAGGAATGAATGGTCTGCCCTTCGAAGTAGAGCTAGGCGCTGTGGGCTGCGATCTAAAGGAAAGACTAATCCGTGGCGATTTAGCGTGACATCTCTCTGTGTCTCCAGTGTCTCGGGCAAAGCATGATCAACTCTCCCCATCTTTCCTGTATCTAGACGTATCAAAAGCTTCAAAGTCATCTGATCATGGCGGCACCTGCTATTACAGAGTTTCATAGCCAATCGCAATGGAGACAAACCACCTTTTTCGTGTATCTCTCGGTCCTCTGTAACTTTCTGTTTACCAACTTTCTCAATGTCAGGCTTCGCAACACTAGCGCTTATACCCTGCTCAACGCAGGTTCAATCTACCGTGCCCTCTAGACTCCCCGGATTCGGGTTGCCTGCGGAGTACTCCCGAAGGCTCGAGCCTCAGACTTTGTTAAGTTGGCTCCCGTAGTTCTCCAAGCAGGAACCCAAAAGCCGGAACATTCTTGACGGTCAACACAAGCGCAACTCGACGATTCAAAGGGCTAGTTAGGGACTCTCCATCTAGACTAGATCATGTAATCTGATCTCAGTATCACCCTTCAGACAGCGTTTTCGACAAGACCTTTGCCGTTTTGAAAACCGACTTTGCCTCGTCGCTTCCAGTAATTCAAAACACCATTGCCTGAAGTGCCTTCTTCATCACCATGGGCGATGCTGGTTCGACCGCGACCCAAACACCTGAGGTCAGAGATGTTGTCCCAGTGCTTGTCATCGGCGCCGGTCCCGCCGGGCTGTTAATGTCGCATATCTTGAATCGACAGGGAGGTAAGTAAAACATCCAGAGCTCAGATCCACTCCTTACGACCTGGACTTTGTTGACAACTATCTTGTAGTTAAATCGTTGATTGTGGAGAAGTATACCACACGACTCACTGCGCCCAAAGCGCATGCCATTGGCCCTCGATCTTTTGACATCCTCAAACAGTCTGGCATAGACATTCCCCGACTTAGAGCCGCCGGGACGAAGCGAGACGAGAGCCGATGGGTGTCATTGGTGACCAGTATGGCTGGCGCTGAGCTGCAGAAATACCCTTACGAACGCATGGATGTCGACGTTTTGGATGCAACCCCGGAAATGTTCCACAATATCTCCCAGCCTGTCACGGAAAGTCATATCGCTGAACAGCTACAAGGGGTCGTCGAGATCCGCAAAGGTCATCAATTCATTTCATGTGTCAATGACGATGAGGGAGTCACCACTGTTGTGAAGAACCGCAGCACAGGCGAGTACTATGCTGTTCGTTCGAAATACTTGATAGCCTGCGACGGTGCCAGAAGCATGGTGCGGGAGAACGTGGGCATTGAGAATCATCAAGAGAGCTCTATAGAGACTCTGATGACTATCGAATTGACTATCGATGTCCGTCCCATCGTGAACGACCGGAGACGAATGTTGTACATCCTGTTAAACCCCGACCTGAGTGGTTCTCTAATCGGTTACGATCTGGGATCCAAGATTGTCCTTACAACCAAGGTCAATCAAGCCGTTATGCCTATCGAAAAGTGGAATGTAGACTTCTGCAAGCAGTTGGTGGATGCAGCTCTAGGGACTTCTGTCCCTTACACCGTCGACAGCTTCCGCCCCTGGATTCTTGGGCGGAAGGTGGCAAAGGCCTACAGCAAGGGGCGTACCTTTCTTGCTGGTGATGCCGCTCACTCTTTCCCCCCGAGTGCAGGTATTGGCTTGAATACGGGTCTCGCCGACGTTCATAATCTGGCCCTGAAGATTGCAGCAGTCGAAAATGGGTGGGCGAAGCCGAGTACCTTGGAATCCTATGGCGCTGAACGACGTCCTGTTGCCGATGTCAATTCGCATCGCAGTTACTGCAACAGCCAGCGAATCCACAGCATGATCAGCCAGCTAGGCCTCACCGAAACCGACAAGACAAAGGCCCGGCGGCTCTTTGAACAGGCCTTAACTGATGTATCACAAAGAGAAAACCTACAAAAGGTCATGGACGAGTTGGCCAATAACTTTGACAACGTGAGTCATAAGCAACATCAAATCCATCGCCTATGTCCCCTATCTAATCATTCATTCAATAATCTAGCTCGAACTTCATATTGGCTTCGTCTATGGCGATCCTGTCTATCCGGAGAATCCATCGAACTACCTGCCAAAATATGTCCCTGGCGCCCGCCTTCCTCACCACTGGATTCGGGAGCTGAATGATGAGCTTATGAAGAATGTTGCTCCCGTAGATCTAACGCATATCAGTGAGCTTGCGGATGAAGAAAAGGCCCTACGACGATATTCTACGCTTGACCTATGTGCTCCCAGTGGGCTGACACTAATTGTCAACAATAGCAAGGGCCAGGAGGAACGGGTGAACGCGATCAAGGGCTTGTTCGCGTCTACGTTTACCCCCACCACCGCACCTCCCTTGGTGGCCGTCACTCTGGAAAAGGATTTCGAGCTTGTCTTTCCTGAAAAGGCCCAGGAATTCCTGCACAACTTCAAACTTGGCCCTGACCAACAAGGTGGTGTCTTGATACGACCTGATCAACATATCTTACTGGTTTTGGATGAAGGCACGACCGCTGAAAATGTCGTGAATGCTGTCAAGTGCTTTGTGGGAGACGAATAGGACTCAATGATTAATGAGCTTTGATTGGTAACGGGACGAGGAAACCACTTTGTCCGCGACAAAATTTCCAGGAAGGAGCCATCACTATTGGATCAATCTCAAGCGCTGTTGAGAGGCGGCCATCTGGTTAAACATAAACGAGGCTTTAGAACAATTATCATACATCTTAGTGGAGACCAGGCTCTCAATTATCTTTTTTCTCTGAGTTCCTCAAAATCAGATGGGCCAAGTACCTCAACCGAAGGTCTGATCATAATTGAAGCTAGGTAGTTATACCTATCGACCGTACAATACAGTAATTACACTTTCTCTCCACTAGCCAAGTGCCTGATCAACATCTTTAACAAAGAGCGGAGAGTTTTTGATTCGGACTCTCCACCCTTTCCGGGGTTTACTGAAACCCTTCTTGAAGGCCAACACCTTCTGCAGTCCCCCGGAGAATTCCCTTCAGGCTACCATGGTCTGAAAGGTAGTCATGCCTGCAGCCGCGGCCCGTGTAAGAGATCCACCAAGCCATTGTAGAGAGCATATATGTTGAGCTGGTCTTTTGTTCAGTCCTCCAGGGAAACCCCTACGCCGAGGTGTCAAACCATTAGCTCTACAGTACCTTCACAGTCGTCTGCACAAACGATGGCTTCGCCAAGCGCCTACTATATGCGCAATCAAGCCCTCAAGGCTGCAATGAGGTCCCCTAACCCACCACCGCTTGCTCCCACCAGGGAAGTAGTTGCGTCACACTGTCAGAATTTGGGAATTCCCGTCACATATGAGGAATTACCAGATTGCGAGGGGGCTGGAATCCACTGGATAGGAGATCGGTCACCAAAGACAGTTATGCTGTACATACATGGTACGAGTGCTAGAGCTTGCTTTCCCCTGATTCCAGCCTCTAAGCTGCAGAAAAGGCTGACGGTAACCATTCTTAAGGTGGGGGACTGCAATTGCCAGCTCTTCCAGGCCATGTAGAGTTCGCCGTCCAGACGCAGCGTCTAATGAATAGTGAAGGCAAGTCATTTGCGCTGGCGTTTCTCGAGTATGGTAAGTTTAGGCCCAAGATTGCCCAAAGATCATCCAAACGACATCTGATTTGGACTCACAGGACTCACACCACAACACAAATATCCTGTTCAGCAAATTCATGCCATCAATGCTGTGAACTATCTTTTGTCATCAGGTCGTGAGGCTTCAGAGGTGAGAAATCCCCGAAAAGCGAAGGCGAAGCTCTAGTGACCTCTCCAGCCATGGAATACTGATGTTGAAATACAAATAGATCGTCATTGCCGGAGATTCAGCCGGGGGAGCTTTGGCCATTTCCATCCTCGCAGCATCTCTTCATCAATTCCCTGGCGTTCCGTCTCTTGAATTGACTTCCCCTCTTAAAGGAGTGATTTTGATATGCCCGATGGTCACATTTTCCACGAGCGCTCCGTCGTATAAGCGCAATGCCGACAATGACTGGGTAATTCCGGAGGCAGGAGCCGCGTTCGTCGATGCTCTTGCTGCTCCTCCTGCTGGCAGCATGCTGTCTGAACCATTGAGGGGAGCTGCAAAAGACTGGGCAGGGGCTCCTGTCAAGTCCATCCTCTCGCTCGCAGGAGGCTACGAATGCTTCTTGGACGACATTGAAGCGTTTGTAAAAGTGTTGGAGGAAGCAGGATTGAATGTTAAAAAAGTCGTCTGTCCCGAGCAAGGTCACATCGAGTGTATTCTCGATGCCCAGACTAAGCTGGAGCCCCGTTCAATGACCACCGCTATTTGGGATTGGCTGAGGGAGACATTGTAGATGGTTCCAACTAGCTTGAGGAGACAGCTATAGATAAAACCATCTTTTGCTATTTTTTTTATGACATAGCTGTGACTGCATCTAGATATCTGAGAAGTAAATTGGGAGTCCAATTCGGGAGAAACCCTTGAGTTGTTACATCGTAGAAGCTCTAAATGTCAGGCCATAGTGAAGCAACTATATCCACACCAATCTTGAACTACAACGAGGTACTCACTCGTCGGTTTAGCACGAACTGGCCATTACTTTGCTGCGGGTTTTTCGCTACTCGAGATTGAGTTTTGACAGGGTTGTGCCCTTGGTGCTCCTAGAACTCAGTCATGATAACCTTTGCCTTATGCACTCATCCAGCCTCGTCGTACAGCCCCCTCTTCCTTCAGGCCGAATTGTAGTATCGCGGGTCTGTGTTCTCAGATGAGGGTGCGTTTCTCAAACGAGGACAAGTCTCCCACAAGTCGCACAGGCTAGACTAACTGCTATGTTAAAAATGATCAAAGCCGTGGTCTAGACTATATGCGACTGCGGCACAAAATGGAGCCAAACTTCTGGACCCCAGATCCCTGTCCGGCCATCCATCTCCCACACCGAAGCAGTGAAATAGTCGCGCAATTCAATGACGTTATGTTCTTTTCCGCTGGGGATCACTGATCTGAAGTGCCGTAACACGGCGGAGAGGTAATACTTAAGCTCCGTATACCCAAGGTTTTGACCCGGACAGCTGCGTGAGCCAGAGCCAAATGGAATCCAGTTCCGCTTCATGGCGTCAGTAGCGTCCATCCATCGAGATGGATCGAATCTTGTCGGGTCCGGATAAATATCTGGTCTCATGTGCTGATCCCACGCCGCAGTGGAAGCGATCACACCAGCGGGAACCTTTAAACCGTTCACCATGATGGGCGAAGGTAGATGTCGGTACAACGGACCTGGAACAATAGGCCACAATCTCATGGTTTCCATGACGACGCAATCGAGGTACTTGAGGCCAAGAGAGTTCTTCATGTTGATCTGGTTGGGATCTGGAAAAGCCTCGAAGAGCTCAGCTCGAAGTCGGTCTTGGACATGACTGTGACGAGCCAACAGCCAAAATGCGATGGTCGCCGTGTTAGATGTAGTCGACGACCCGGCCGCCATGGCCTCGACCATGTAGGCCGGGATATGGGAGTGGGGGACTCGTTGGGCCGGATCCTTTTCTCCCATAGACAACAGCATAGACAGGACGTCTCGAGAATGTGATTTTTTCTCACCAGCCTCCCATTTATCGAGGGCATTGCGAGCATAACTGTCAAGGTCGTACGCCTCTTCTCGCATCTTTTTCAGCTTCGAAGAACCAAAGGTTCGAATCCAAAGCTCAAACCCAGGGATGAACCCTTTCAGGCCCATAAACTTGCTAAAGCTGTGAAACTTTCTCACGAGCTCCGAATTTTGATCTCCCATATTCGAGAGGAGATGATGCTGCTCCCCCCAGAGAATGTCAGCGACAGTATCGAGGGTCAGAAGCCGAAGCCAAAGAATACCATCGAATGCTGACTGCTCTTGTTGGGCGCGCTCGTACAGGATTTGGCTGAAGCTGTTGATATGCGACTCCATCACATCGGCTAAACTTTCCAGGTTCCTGGCCTGGAAGCATTGGAGCAAGTTGGCTCTCGTGCGTAATGCGGCGCTGTGTTCGAGAGTGCCTAGGATCAATTCGATTCCTTTGTATCTGCCTGAGCCCTTGTAGAACGATGATTTAAGGGCATCACGATTGTAAATAGTCCTCATAGAGGCATCATCGTTGCAGTGGATTTGGTTCGGAGCAATCACGACAATGGGCCCATACTGGCAGAGGAGTTCGTGCGCATACTTGGACCGCCTCGCCCTCAAAGTCGCCAGATGGAGTGGAATAGGAGTAACCCGTGACCAGAATGGCCCAGGGATGTGGCGTACTGGTGAAAACAGGTACGCGTAGATGATCTGCAAGTTGGGCGTGACATTAGTGGTTGGTCTGACAAAACATCCCCCGGTCATCGGAGTGTCAGCCCAGGGATGCTATCACTTACCGAGCAAGAAAGGCTGAGGATGAGGAAGATCAGAGGCAAAGCCAAAGCCTGTACAGCCAATCTCCAGTCCATTTGGAGTCTAAAGATATGAGACGCCATCCGTGTCGATGCGGGTCATAAGGCTGGAGACCTTCGATAACTGAACAATGTAGGACATCAACACCTGTGCATAAGGGTTGGTAACATCTCCCGGCCTTCTGTACACTATAGAAGCCTTACCTTTAGCTACAGATAGATAGGCTTCCCCCTTAGCATCGTGGAAGCCCAAGTAACTCATTCACCTCAAGTATCTGACAAACAATTATTGTGGTGTTCAATCATGTTATATTGTATACCGGACAAAAACCCCACCAAATTCCCGTGAAGGGTCAGTTCCTGTTAGGCAACCAAAACCCCTGCGGTTTGCCTTTTCACGCTCCTGCTAGTAGCATGCGATATACTACTTACGATTTGGGCTTTGCGGACCTGGCTTTATTGGCCAGTTATATCCACATCAGAAAACTCCTTGCGAATTGGCTCGTGAAAGGAACTTAAGTCGTTTCTAGATGTTTACACGCGAGCCTGTAGCGGGTAAAGAATTATCGGGACAGCATCCAGGCTTAAAACTGCCGCTCTTGGAGACTTCCGACAGAGACTTCCGACAGCCACTTCCAACTACGAGATACGAGACTTTGTCGAATCAGGTGACCGCAACACTTTGAATTTGAATTCGTCATTTTGTGTACCAATGACAAGTTGATGAGTCGAGTTTGGGCATGATCAGAAAGCCTAAAGATGTCAGCTACGAAGTAGTGCGAACGAGCGTTTGCACTGGCAAACATATCTCGTCGTCGGGGATAAATAAGCCCCTGTCTAATTTCGCTCGCAAGAACAAGTCTGAGATTATGTCTTCCTTGGAGTTCAGGGTTCCTGGTGCGCAGCCTTTTTTGAAGTCTGCTATTTAGTGTGATTTAGATGTGCGAGAAGCAAACCGTGCAAGTGCATGGAATAGCATTAGTCAACTCAACGTCCTCTGGAAAATGACATTGCTCGTTGATTGAGTAGTATGAATCCCCGCGGATGGCCTCGGCCCCACTGAGACGAGCCTCGACCTTACGGATCCCCACCACCGGCATACATCTTCGGGATTCCTTGTTGACACTAGCAATGAGAGAGTTTCATCAGGAAGAATGGGAAACTCGGCGCCGGTCATACTTATTGTGAACGGTCACTACACAAGAAAATGACTCCAAGCTTATAAAATTTCTGTAAGCAACTGGATCAGCTGTCCTGCTCTGCACCGCCCTTTCGAAATCAAAGTATCGTATTAAAATGTCAGAAAAGAGAGGCATCTGGGTCGGCCCAGACAACACCCTATCCTTCAGGAGCTTCCAGGAGGAATATAAGCCCGTAGGAGGACAAGCACTGATCAAGGTCGAATTCTCGGGTGTCAATCCTGCCGACCTCAAGCATGGAATGCATTTTGGACTCAATGACAATATCTGTGGATATGAGGTTTGCGGTACTGTGATTGAGAGAGGACCTACTTCTGTGTTCCAGGTTGGGGATGTGATATTCGGCATGAATTCCACAAACAAGATCAAACCTCACTCCAATGGTGGGCACCAGAACTTCGCCATTGCTGAGGAGGGCCACATGTGGCTTCCTGTCCCTGACGGCTTGCCACACGCCGATGCAGCGGTATTGCCAACCATGGTCCGCACAGCAGCAGATGGCCTCTTCAATGTATTCAAGATTCCTTTCATTTCCTCTGATGGGCCAGCGACGGCTGATGGAACTGGAGCGATTGTTGTCTGGGGAGGCGCTAGCGCTGTCGGTGTTGCTACTATCCAGCTCGCCAAAGCAGCTGGTGTCTCTCCTATTTTTACCACAGCTTCGACCAAGAACCATGAGGCGCTGATTAAACTAGGGGCCACCAAATGCTTCGATTACCGCAATCCAACTGTGGTTGAGGAGATGCAAAGCGCTATTGACGAGTCGAAGATTCCCCTCAAGTACGTTCTTGATACTGTAGTCACTCGTGGTCCTGACTCGACAACGTCAAAGATTGAAGCCCTCAAGTCAACTCAGGAGGTCAAGTATGCAAGTGTGCTACCTGTATTTGGGAACCCGAATTGGACCATGGTCGTGGCAGCCCGAGCTTTCGATTTCCCCTCTCCAGGGGGCTTTGCTAAGGCTCAACCAGAGAGTGACGTGGTTCTTCAAGATGCAACTAAATGGGCGGCGCTGAACTACAACAAGGGCTTCGTGATTCCCAACATCAGAGTAATCACAAATGGTGATGCTGCCATTGAAGCTATCCAGTCGTCAGCGGATGGCAAGATCAGCTTTGAAAAATTAGCCCTGCAGCATCCACTCCAAGGGAACCCTATGAGCGTCTAAGCACGAATCCTGCGAGATGCGAACAACTCCCGATGCATTCCGCAGTGGCTAGGTTGACTCGCCACTGTTACAGTCTAAGTGAGAAACACCATACTGCAGACCCCAATCACGAATCGACGAAGCCAGGAAGGAATGAAAATTGCACGCTCATCATCGATTCAGTTCATTGAGTAACTGCCAGAACCCTCCCAAAGCTGGTAGCACATGCGGTTCTTCACCCTCGCATCGGGTCATTTGGTTCGGAATCCCAAGAACATTAAATAGATGAATGACTTGAGTGATTTGATGGTCATTAAACAAGGTCTTGAAGTCGCACTTGCTGTCGAATCGATGATGAATAAATGATCACCTAGGTAACTTTGTCTAGTCGAAAAACTCAGATGCTCAATTGGCAATTGCGATAATATTGGTGTACCATCGGAGAAAGGAGCCGTTCGTTGGGTCAGTCCATGCTAATGCTTCCATAGAATATTAGTGTCTGATCCGCACATCCGGACAGAGAGGGATATATGAATTCTGGCTGACCACCGTGAGATTCTGATCTTCAAGATCATTGAACACCCTGACCCAAGTCGTAGAACCCTCCCTCAGGTATAGCGGGGGACCGGGGCTCATGCCATTGAAAACGACTGAATACCTGTGCTGACAGTTGGTGGTAAGGTTAACCGCCGTGGCGACCAAGATGTAATCTGGACCCTGCCCAGGATCAGGCGCATTGGCGGTGACGCTGCTAAATATGCCAACAGGCTGAAAGAACCAGAGGCAGCAGCTTGACTAGCATCGTGGCAGAAGAGGATATGAATGCAATTTCAGCCGTGGGACAAGAAACCCCCAGAGACAGAAGGTACTTGTATACTTCACAGGCACCGATTTCCGACATGGGATCCTGATTTATACACCTCTCGTCCTGATACGCAAGAGAGGATCAGCACCAGGATCCTCAGGGCTTGTAAGATCAACGGTCACCATCAGCAGTATTCACGTGGTTTACATTCGTACAGCGTATTAAAAGACTTCTTGGGCGCCGTAGCCTTGCGTAAAAAGAACAAATAAATCTGCCGTAATATTATGCTCCACCGTATATCTAGTGCCAAGTCTCAAGGCCGCAATTCCAACCTCGATGACCATCCAAGTTTGAAGGTCGATATATGTCCAAGTCGATATCGCCCAACAGTACTCCCTCTCACCCATACCACCACTCTAGCTCGCTAGAGTCCGTGTTCCATCATGGCGGTCCAAGGAACGGAGCAGGTGATCGTTCGAGATCCAGCATTATTGTGCGCAAATGCCTTCACCGGTTCCAAACCAGAATATCTACTGACCATTCATTTGACAGCTACTGGATTCTCCTGCCCATCACAATTGTGATGATCCTCACTGGCGTCCTTCGACACTACGCCACAGTCCTCCTCGCCAGTCCCCCTAAACCACCCGCCACCCCCGCTGACGCACGCGAACGATCCGCCGTCGTCCGAGGGGCTACCTTACGGACCAACTTCCCCGTCCTTTCAGAATCCTCCTGCAATGCCCGGAAAGAATATCTCATCGACGGATACAAAAAGGGAACCTTCCTAAAAGGCGGGCCCGAATCCAAGGGCCAATCCGCGCCGAATCCCATGTCCGACCCGGCCGCAATGGAAGGCATGATGGGCATGATGAAGGGAAATATGGCCATGATGATCCCCCAAACACTCATCATGTCGTGGATCAATGCCTTTTTCGCCGGATTCGTCATTCTCAAGCTTCCATTCCCACTGACTATCCGCTTCAAATCCATGTTACAATCTGGTGTCATGACTCGAGATCTCGATGTGAGATGGGTGTCTAGTCTGTCGTGGTACTTTTTGTGTCTTTTTGGCCTTCAGAGTGTCTTTATCTTCATTCTTGGGAAAGAGAACTCGGCAAGTCAATTGTCTCAGCAAATGGCCCAAGCAAATCCTACGGCAAATGCGAATCCTTTTGGTCCCGGTCAGGATCCAGATAAGCTGTTTCAAGCTGAGGCTGAGAATCTCGAAGTGCTGGAACACTGGTCCGTCTTGGATGGTGCAGAGGATCGGTTGTTGAGGATATATGGTATTTGAGGCAGTCGGTGTGTTTTGTATACTCGCCTGATGGCGGTACTCATTCAATAATCAGGACCTGTGGGGATGGTGTCTGGCTGTCATCCTGCTCGATTCTCCTTTATCAGGGCAATGCTTTTTTTACATTGGTGAATCGATCCATGGCGGTCTCATGGGCAAATTTGTGGGTGGACGTGGAGAATGTCGCATCCTCTTCTCCCGGTCAATCTGCAATTTGCTCGATTGTGGTCGACGAGCTTACAGCAGAGACTCCACCACGACAGAGATCATTGATCATGGAGCGAGGTCGTCCCGGACATGACATTGGTCAAGGAGCCAGGCGTAATGGCGAACAGTGTGCCATGACGACACCTCCACGTCTGCAAGGAGCAGCTTCTCAGCTTCCGCCTCCTCGGGGTCCATGTATAGAAGGAATATAATGAAATAGAAGGTTAGCACAGACGGAGGCGACGCTACATATAGTGCTGCAAGGAAGACATATGATACCTTGTCCTTTGTTCACAAAAGCATACTTAAGTATCGTCCGTTCCTCTAGTCTTCGTTCCACACTTTCTGGCACTACGTCTGACTTACGGAAAGTGGAATGAAATCCAAATACTCCCTTCTCTATGTACCTCAGGTACTTAATCAAACAGCATGTCCACCATCTGGAGGATTTGATTGCTTGCAGAACTCGCTAAATTCGATCCCGATTCTAATCTACTTTGACGCCACGTTGTGCAATGATCTGAGTAAGAAAAGAGGAGCCCATTTCACAATGTCTTGTTCAAAGCATCGGCCAAAGCATCGACTTCTTTGTCTTTCTTTTGCGTCACGGGTTCGTTTTCTGCGAGGTCATCATCTTTGACGAGTTTCTCTCGGACTTGATCATCCTCGTCTTCATCTTCTCCTTCTCCTTCTCCTTCTTCCTCTTCTTCTTCGTCGCTGTCTTCACCTTCCAATTCATCAAGTTCATCAAGACCCCAATGATCGTCAGCGTCGTCCTCAGAACCTTTCTCGTCCTTTCGTTCGCCGAGTAATTCTGCGAGTGCTTCGATAGAGGGGTCTTCTTCTTCGAATTTATTGCCGTTGAGTTCAATACGACGCAGTTCTGGCAATCCATCCTTGACTGCCTGAAGGAGAGCTTTCACGCCCGCAGGGTTGATATCGTTGAATTGTAATCTCAGAACTTCGGCCTTAGGGTTCTTGCCCTTGGCTAGGGCTTCAAATACTTTGATCGATCCTCTGGCTCCTAGCAAATCGTCACCTACTCCAAGTTCTTTCAGCCCGGCCCAGCCAGGGACTGCGGCCGCGAGCGCCTGGGCTCCCTTCAGTGTGAAAGTATTGTCTTGGAGGTCAAAGACCTCAAGTTTCTCGCATTTGGCCAACCCGTGCGAGATGAGATGTGAGATTCCTTCCGGTCGGATACCATTCTGCGTCATCTTGACGCTCTTGATGCCGGATTTATGCGCCTCGTATGCTGTGGCCCAGGCGGCCATGGATCCATTCTCCAATCGATTGCGTCCGCACACAATACTCTCGAGATCCGGAACATCCTTGCCTTCTTTCCGGGCTTCAGCTTTGCGAGCGGCGAGTGTAGTGAGTGCCTCGGCGATGGATGTCCCTGCGATAGGACCCATGCCATTGTTATTGAGAATCAGGTGTTTCAGAGGCGTATGTTTTGAGAGGAAGTCCACCAAGGGGTCTTTGGTGTTGAGGCCAAAGGCATTGTCGCTAAGGTCTATCGTGTGGAGGTTAGGACATGACAGTAGCGCCGTGAGCAGTGATGAAAGTGCAGGTGGAATCTCTTCGAGGAGTCTAGATGTGAAGATATCGTGGAGGTCGGCGCTCTGGAGAGTGGTCTTTGAGGAGAGAATTGGTGCTAGTGCTTCGCATGCGGAAACTCCTAGAGTGTTTCCTGAGAGGTCAATGTGTGTTACGGTGGAGGATTCGATCAGAGGTTCGATATGCGACGATAGGTGTTCTTTGGTATCGAGTTTGAGGCCTTTGTTGGCGAGGGAAAAAGTGGTTGCCGCCATCGCTTGCTTGCACCGGACGGTTGGCTTAGATGGTTGCGGTCGGTCTTGTTGCCCCCGGTATTTTGGCTTTCCAGGTACGGTTGGGTTCCGAATAGATCTTGCCCGAGTCTCTGGGTATGGTACAAGGTCTTGGAGGGGCGGCGAATTATACGATTATGATTATGAGCACAACCACTACTCAAGGACTGCGGGCAATACCAAAACAAAAGGAGGATGCCCCTCCTAGGCTTGGCATCTACGGTGAAGTATGGTCAAAACAAACGGTGGGGCAGGAAGTCTCCTCTTGCAGTTTATCGTATTGCGTGAAAGGGGTAGCGTGTCATCGTCGCATATGGATATCGAACATGCTACTCGTGTCGTTGAAAGATAAGGTATGGTCCAAGTGTCAGATATCTGAGTGAAACAATGAATAGATTCTTAACGCGCGTTGGTATCTCACATTTCCTTGGGTCGGTCTGGTATAATTGGTCTCTCCTTGTTTGGAATGGTTTGTCACTCCTCTGATGACCAAACTCCCCTGTTCGCCATTCCTGAGTGCGCTTGCTCCGTGCTCAATTCCTACAATGAAACATTGCCTCGATTTCTGGCCGTGGCAATCGAAGTAAACGCACAAGGTTGTACTTGGGATTTTCTGCAGTGATCCCTCTGCTCATGATGCTCACAAACAAGTCCGCAGATTCTACAGCTCTATCAGACTCTCCTCCACTGCGATGGGTTTTGGCTGCTGTGCCGGTTGCTGATATGACTGGTTGTAGGCCGGGGCATGTTGCGGGGCCGGGGGGAATGCGTCTTGAGTGTAAGTTGGGTAGGAGTATTGTTGTGGTGGTGGCTGCTGTGACTGTGGTGGCTGCGATGCGTATTGTGATTGTGGTGGCTGCGAGTATGTACTTTGTTGGGGATGTTGTTGATATGGTTGAGAGTGTGGAGGCTGTTGCTGAGTCTCATAAGGGGTTTGGTTTGGTGCAGATTCCTGCCGTTGCTGATTATATGGCGTTGGCGTTTGTTGCGGGTCAGGAGGCTGGATAGCCGGATAAACCGATGGTTGTTGAGATGGCTGAGGTGGATATGCGGCCTGTTGAGGCGGAGCTTGATGATATTGCTGAGGTGAGGGTTCTGCTGGCTGATTATATTGACCTGCCTGTTGACTAGGCGGTTGAGCAAATTGTTGATAGGGTGAGGCTGGGGCATCCTGCTTCTGGCTCGAATATGAATATGATCGTTGCGGAGGGGGATAGGAGGTTTGTTGTGGTGGAGGAGGGTAGGACTCGACAGGCGCCGTATTAAAGTAATAGTTCTCTGCACCAGCAGGAGCCTGGCTCAAGGATGCGGGCGGACCACCAGCAAGCGAAGGATACATGCCCTGGGGTTGATGCATTGAAGGCGATGGAAGACCGTAGCCAGCATAAGCTGGATTCCTCTGGTTGTAGGTGTTGTTGAGACGTTCTTCCAGCATGCGATCATAATAACGGACGACGGTTGACAGCTTTGCATGCAAGTCCAGTAGGGCGTCATTTTTGGACATGGTCTCGCCGAGAGTTCTCGCCAATTTGGGTCTCAACTTGCCGATGCTCTCATAGAGCTCTTGAATCTGCGGCTCACGGAGGATTGTCCCAGGAGGTTGGTGCTGCAATCGATCGACCAAGGTGGAGAACAAGTTGATGTTTTCAGCTTCCACAATCGACAGCTCATAATCATTCTTGGGCATGACAAATGGTTGGGTGGAAGCAGAGCCATCGGTAGCTGATTTCTTCATAGACGCCGCATGTTTTTTAGCCTGTTCCTCAGCTTCCTTCAAAGAGAGGGCTATGGCAGCCTTCAAATCGGGGTCATCCTCCTCTTCATTTGAGATGCCGTTTGTCTTGACTGGATCCTTCTTCGGTTGGGACTGGGGAACATAACCTGAGCCTGAAGATCCCTTGGCCTCTTCTAGACTCATCTCGAGTGCCTTTTTCAGGTCTTGATCAAAACTGCTACTCTCGATGCGGGCACTGCGAGGCTGCATTGTGGACGGCTTTGATGCGAACGAGACACGACGGTCTGTACCCCCACTGCCAGCTTTTTTGTTCAACTTGTCGTAACATCCGTCATCGACGCGGACGGGCTGCATGATTCCTAGATGAGGAAGGGGAATGGATTTGGAAGAACATTGTTGATCGAAGACGTTGCCACAATTCCTGCAGTGATGTTTTCGATTTGTAAAGGTGAAGGCGGTCCTACACCGCATACAAACATCAGAGTCCGTCCATTCTGGCGGGGCACTGCTGTCGAGCATGCTTGTAGATAACTCAACCTTTGGGGGGAATTGGAATCCTTCTTTCTGCAGATTTTTGTAGACTTCGTTGATATAAGACAAGTCGTATCGACCTTGGGTGGCACTGGCCCAGGTCTGAATCAGATCGAGGATCTTCTGTTTGACGTCTTCGTTGACTGCAGCGGTGCCGTAGGCTTTGAGGAGAGAGACGAGATTGTCAAGGAATTCGCGAGAGGCGATCTCAGTCAAGAAGTGTGAACCGCCGTTCTTGACACAAGTATCAGTGAGTTTGAGAGCGGACAGCTGGACATTGGGATTCTTGTTGCCTATCCGCTTCTTCAGAGATCTCATGGCATCTTTAGGCTGCACTGTTTTGGAACGGATGAGATCGGAGATTTCGAGAGAGGTGGCAATATCCTCGAGACTGGAGGATGTTGCCTTTTCGATCTGCTCGTCGAGAGCAGTGGTGCCGGAGGTAAACCAGCCCGCCATGTTGAAGAAGGCAACGGCTAGGATCGTGAAACCACGGGTGGATGGTGAGGGGACGATGGATCTGACGCTTCCTTCAGAGGGCGACAGAAAGGGATGCACAATCAGGAGCTGATCAAAGTGTTCATCGAGGTCTCTGTGAGAATGAATTAATGCTTGTCAACAAGATCAAGACGATGGGTGATGATGTGGGAGAGTTGAATGTAGGTTCGATGTTTGATTGTATGCAAGATGCGCCTCACTGGGGGCTGGCGTAGTAAGTTGGTCCGTTGCCTGAAACATTGATATCATAGCACGCAGCATATGCCTAGGAACCACGGAACTTAGTCAGCCTTGCCACTCATGTTTCACCGTATGACAACATGTTAGTGATACGGCGCAACTGAGAGACGCTACGTGCTAGGCACCGCACCAGTCACGAGTAGCCTATATCATACTCATATCAGACCTTAGGTACCTATAGTCCCACCTACTAGGTATCGTTTTACCCGTGTCAATAGCTACCTAGGTAACTACTTCCCCGAATTACCCCCTAGACTCATGTAAGCCTCTTCTTGGGTTACTCCATCACTTTGAATGTCACTCGTTACGAGAGAGCAGCGTTGCATAACTCTATTTCTCCAAATCACAAATAGCTAGGTACCTAGGTAGCATGGATATAATACTCAACTGTCCGCACTTGAATGAACGCTTCAAGCCGAGTTCTAGTCTTCTTCCTTCTTAAGTAATGATATTCTAACAACATGACTACTAATCCAAATGCGTCCAAAATCCATCCCAATAACCTCTTGACCAGGGTCAAAGAGGGCCGCATCTGCACAGTCTGTCTACCTGAAACTCGAGGATACTACTCTTCCACATTGGAGTCACTAATGGTTGGAGTTCTTAGGCTTTCGGTATCAAAATTATCCCCACAGGAGAGATTGTCCATATAGCCAAAAGCGCAGGCTATGATTCTCTGTTCATTGACCTGGAGCATACTACTCTCACCTTGAAGGATGCCGGTCAACTCTGCATCACCGGATTGTCTGCAGGAGTTACCCCTTTCGTGAGGGTTCCTCACCAGTGTGGAAGTGGGTTCATCCAGAGAGTACTTGACGCTGGAGCAATGGGCGTAATTATCCCCCACATCCATGGGGTTGGTACGTTCATCACCAGCATCTCTTTTAACTGCAGATGCAGAGGTTGACATCTCTGAAGAGGACGCGAAACAGGTGATACAAACGTCAAAATATCCACCAATCGGCAAACGGTCCCTGACCGCGGGCTTACCTCAATTCAATTATATGCCCCTGTCTGCTACGGTGACTGCCCCTCAACTGAATGAGTCGGGCTCAACCGTCTTCCTGATGATTGAAACGGTTGATGCTTTGGAGGCGGTTGATGACATTGCAGCTTTGCCCGGTTGTGACGTCCTTCTAGTTGGCTCCAATGATCTTGCCACAGAGATTGGCATTACGGGTGACTTTGACCATCCCAAGTTCATGCAGTCTCTAGTAAAGGTGGCTGAAGCAGCTAGAAGGCACCAGAAGATCTTTGCAATAGCCGGTCTGTACCATCGACCAGACTTGATGGATAAAGTTGTGAATGACCTTGGTGCTAGGTGGGTGGTTGGAGGGCAGGATGTAGGGCTGCTCGTCAATGCTACTCGCCAGAACAATCAAGCCTTGAAAGCTATACAGAGAGTCTGAATATAATAAAACGAGGGAGGTGGTTTGGAAATAATTTCTTGAGGAATTAGTTGCAGGATAGGTCTGGCACTTGACCGTAGCGATATACGGTAGACCAATTCCCCATAGACACAAATGCGGGATGCCCACAGGACCGACTGTGGAACTGCGGACTGCGGATTGCGGCCTGCGGATCTTCCCAAGTCGTTCTTAACGGGGGTTCCTCTGCTGAGCATGCATGGCGCCACCATCGAGTCCTCCCTACCTAGGTAACATTGCTCTCTCCTACGACCCTCACCGCTGTCGTCAGCCTGTGGTATATCATCCTTGTCTGGGATTCGTATTGAGTTACTTTTAGCCGCAGTCCAGACAGACCTTACATCTGATGTCAGTTCTGTACCTCTAATTCACATTCAAACCCCCAACTCATTACTCGTACAGTCACACCCTACCCTCGAAACCAACTTCGACCTTGTACGTTTGTTCTCTGTTGGCTCCATTTAGCCGCCCGGACAGTCTTTGGACTTTACCAATACATCATTTGGTGGCCAAACTCCCCCGGAAGACGCTCAAGCGCCAAACCTCCCACGCCACGCAAGGAAGTCTCGTCGAAACTGCCTGGACCACCAGCAGACTCTTTGTCGGAGTCGTGTACGCCATGACATTTCGGTAATCAGGTCTTTCTATTGCCATGGCGGCATATGACACTTCTTCCTCCTTCCCTGGCCATTCTACCACCACAACCACCACCAGTCGAGGAGGATGGGCTGACCCCAGAGGGAATGGCATCACTCCTTCGCCCTCCTCCACACCAGGCTCTAGCTCCTCAGAAAGAGTGTATCCACACATCAAAGACATCGTTCGAGATGCGACCACAAGATCATCCTCCGATGATTCGCTAATTAAGTACCTATCTGAGGTAGAGAACTGCATCGTAACTGCCAGAACTTCCGCCGACTTTCGACGCCCTGATCTTGCCTACAAGAATTACCTGCGCGCTTATGAGATTGCCGTCAACTACATTCCGAAACACCGAGACTATGGTTTCATGTCAGACAATAACAGGAACTGGGCCCAAAAGTATAGGGTTGCTAGACACCAGTTGAACGACCTGGATGCGCAGATGCTTCAAGTCAAGGCCGCTATCGAGTCCAACAATGTCCTTCACGGAACACAACCGCAAGGCCAACAACCACTTCAGAGGAAGCCTGTCTACGCTTCCTCCTTTGGTGTTCCCGATGTTTCCGCTGCAACGAAAAATGGGCAGCCTCCTCCCACTGCCCCTCATGCTGATCAAAATCCATTGTCGCGGACTTCATCCGACTTGCCTCCGGCGCTGAGAATCGAACGTGCGCGCCCCTCGAGCAAACCCAAGCCAGAATCACTGCAAGGCCGACCCATTGGCGATGCCACTAGTGACTTGAGCCAGCGTTTTGCACGACTTAGATCTTCTGGACACGGTCATGACCATGCAGGATCTTTGTCAATGCCAGACCCCAGTGATTTCCAATCAAGCACGACTACTAATCCAAGGCCTCAATCATACCACCCTCAATCGCGTAATCTGTACAGCAGCCCCCCGAGTCAACGAGTTAATGGGCCACGAGACATGCCTACGACGCCAGAAGGCCCATCAGTTCCACCAAAAGTACCCCTCGCCACTTCAATGGCTATGCCCAAACCTCCAAGTCCTACATACAGTCCGATAAGCACGACCGCGGGAGCATTTCATACAAACAGTACCAGACTCTCCGCAGAAGGCGGTCGACCTCCTACCGAGAGGAAAAATACATATTACAATCAGTCAGCAACTTCATCCACAACATCAATCCATCTTCAGAAAACCCGTGACGATATTCTATCCCCTTATCGACCTACCACCCCCAACGGCGTCAACTCAGCCATCGTCACAAAGAGCAGTTCCAGCGAAATTCCCCACCGGACATCAGTTGACGCTCCAACTCTGCACGATTACATGAAACGATATAATGTATTGCTCGTCGATGTTAGAGAGCGTCTCATGTTCGACGATGGTCATATCATGTCCAGTTCTGTGATATGTATCGAGCCCATCTCGCTCAAAGAGGGTGTCTCCGCTGAAGAGCTGGAGGAAAGATTGGTTTTGGCTCCTGATACAGAGCAGGCTCTGTTCTCTCGACGAAACGAGTTCGACATCATCATTTATTACGATCAAGATACCACTGATGTGTCATACCTGAAAGGCCCGCCGACCATGACGAAAGCACCTGCCTTGCGAGCTCTTTACGATACCCTGTACGAATTCAATGACACAAAGCCACTGAAAGATGGCCGCCCCCCTGCCCTGTTGTCAGGTGGAATCGATGCCTGGGCCGATTACATGGGCGCTCAGTCGCTTGCACGATCCAGAACTGCAGCTATGTTAGGTACCACCCAGCAACGACGAGCCTTGGGACCAGGTCGGCCGGTTGCTCGACAAAGGCTGGTCAGCGCCAATACACGATATGACGTCCGGAATAGACGACTTCGAGACCATAAGTTCCTAGACGAGAGTGAACAAGAGGCGTGGCGGAAAAAGGCCATGCAAGAAGAAGTTGCCCCCACAGGCAAGCATGAAACAGGGAGCGACGAGGAGTCTCAAGCGGCAGATGAAGAGCCTCCTCCGCCATCGCCATTTGTACAGGACTACGAGACCTTTCTGCGCCGTTTCCCATCTATCCACCAGCAGCAATCCATGACAATGCCTGCACGAAGACCACTTCCATCCCATCCAGCAGCATATCTACCTTCAGCTGCTCCTGCCTTTCCACCAGTCCCTGCACGACCCCCGCCTGCCATTCCTCGACCAAGTTATTCCGGACAATCAGATATCAACGCTCCTCAGCCAGCTCTCGCCCGTGTTACCTCGGCTTCCCGACCTCCACTTTACTCGTCCGCTACGTTTTTGCGTAGCAAGAAGCTGCCTCGCACGGGATTGACCAATTTTGGGGTGACATGTTACATGAATTCAACCCTGCAGTGTCTTTCTGCCACGACTCCATTGTCTCAGTTCTTTTTTGACCGAGCATATGAAGGGTACGTACAGCAGAATTGGAAGGGGAGTAACGGCATCATGCCCAAGATCTATGCAAATGTGGTTCAGTCGGTATGGAACGATGATGTTGATGTAATCAAGCCTTCTACATTCCGCAATTTCTGCGGGCGGATGAATCGCGAGTGGGCCATAGACCGACAGCAAGATGCCAAAGAATTCTTCGATTTCCTTGTGGACTGTCTCCATGAAGATCTGAATGTTCATTGGGAAAATACCCCTCTTCGGCCGCTGACCACGGCCGAGGAAATGCAAAGGGAACGAATGGACATTGCACGAGCCAGCCCTATCGAATGGAAGCGATATGAGCATCGAGACTACAGCTATATGTCGTCATTGTTCGCAGGACAGCATGCGTCGAGACTGAGGTGTCTGACCTGCAAACGAACGTCAACGACCTATGAGGCATTCTACAGTATCAGTATCGAAATACCAAGAACAGGCACCGGCCACATTTACGACTGCTTGAACTCGTATTGTCGAGAAGAGAAGCTGTCAGAGCTATGGAGGTGTCCATACTGCAAGTGTGAACGAGAAGCTACCAAGCAGATCATCCTCACACGCCTACCACAATTCCTCGTCATCCACTTCAAACGCTTTGCAGCATCCAAGCACGAGAAGGCCAAGAAAATCCATACTCAAATTGAGTTCCCCCTTTACGGTCTGACCATGGACGACTTTGTCATTCCACGACCCCCACCGATTCCTAATCAGGATGGCAAGTTGGATTTGGCAACCACAGCCCCTTATAGCTACGATGCCTACGGAGTCTTGAGACATATAGGAAACAGTGGCGACGGAGGACATTATACCAGTCTTGTCAAGGACCAAGGACGAGGCTGTTGGCGCAAGTTTGATGATGAACGACATGTGGATTTCGATCCCACCAAGCTGAGCACGAGAGACCGACTACAGAACTCGGAGGCATATATTGTCTTCTACCAACGATCACAAGCGAGATAGCGAAATTAACAATCCCAACAAGTCTTTGTCAAATGAAGGAAATGATTTGGAAGCGGTCTTGTTGGTGAAGTCCCAGCAGCCGCGGATGCATCCCATCATGTGGGTTTTGATTTCTGACCGCAAGCGCAAGCGTGCAAGTAGAAGTTTGCCTTTTTTTTATGAAGCATTCACTAGTACATTATATGAGATGGGGAATTAAACTATTTATATATTCTGCCTGCATGATGCATCAAGTGAGGTTAAACGAAACTCGGTTTGCCATCCGGTACGCTTCGATGGCGTCCATCCCATACGTCGACGACAAGACTTTTGACACTTTTTGACTTCTTTTTGATACCCCTACTGCACATCAAATCCTATATTGCTTTTAAGTTGTTTTCATCTTTGACCGGTTCATCTTCGTCCGATCGGTCGGCACGCACAATGGCTTCCACCACAATGAAATACGGCTTGCTATGCCTGGACTGGATAGCAACCCGAGCCGCAGTGTGCCTCCGTACCCCTTTCATACTCCGTACATTCTGTAACTCAAAATCAATCAAGACTCCAAAACACCATGTGGCCAGGCATGATGATGTCGACGATCTTTGTCGATCGATCGGGGCTCCGTAGTTTTTCCGTAGCGCTGTTCAGTCTTCGGGTTCTTGAAATGAATACCTACCACCTCGTGGGTGCTATGAGTCACAAGCCAGTCGGGGAGGCTCTAGGCAGAGGAAGTGTGCGAAACCTAAAACCAAAAAGAGTTGTTCCGTAAACACTGAAGCCAGTCACATTATTCAACCAGATTCAGGTGTCGCAGAAGTCTGAGATGTCTTGGGAAGTATAACTCGCACCGCCTGGTGACTTTTTAACTCTTGAAACATGCTCTCCCAGCGATAGTTGTTCATCTATCTCTCCCCTTGCCGAGTAAACTTCCCACAAGCAACACTTCAACGCATAAATACAACACATCGATTTAACAGAGACATTTTCTCACATTGTTTACTATCTCATCATCCACCGAAACTTGCGACCCAACGGCCAACAATGATTTCAACGCAAGGCAGTTCGCAAAGCTTTCGAATCGCTCAGCAAGAGAGAGCGTCCGGCAGGTTCCGCCGCATAGGACAAGGCTTTTGCGGCTCTGTTTGGGCCGCGGAAAATGGTACGGTAGCCATGAAAAGAGAGGATGGCGGACCTGGCCGCTCTCTCGCCAATGACTTCAAGATGCATCAATTGGTTCTCGAGATGGCCTTGATAATGAATACTGAGGTGTGTGTACCACGGTGGCCTATGTTCTTTAGCCATGATCATAGCTGGTGGGATTTTCAACTCAGTCGATTCCCACCGCTCTACACTCCCTGCAACGTTCTCTGTTCGGAACGCATACCACCACTATCATCAGAGATAAGGAACCGCATTATTGACAGATTCTGTCCATCTGCGTCAATAGCTATTATCAAGGGCAACGATGCCGATCGAGATTGTTTGGTCCGTCTATACCTTGGCAGACGAAAAATTCAGAACGAAGCACGTAGAGGTCCGACTTTCTTCTCCCTACGTAATTACCCTCTGCACCTCAACCAAGCAGAGGACCTTGGGCTTCCCATACATCTATATGCCCAAGAAATGGCAGAGATGCTCGCCATAATGCACTGGGCAGCTAAAATCGACGCCAACGATGTCGAATTCGTCCTGGGCGGCGTCCGAATGCCTACCGACAAGACGTGTCGCCAATACGAACACAGCTTTCTGGGCACACATTCGCTATGGATCCTCGACTTCGACTGCTGTAAGCCCATCAGCCTGGATGACAGCGGTATCGAGCAGGCGGCGAGGGCTTTTTTGCGAAACGACCCTTATTTCCCACGTCCGACACAGAAAGAACATCCCTCGGACCATACTCTCTGGGCGGAATTCTCATCTTACTATCTCGAACAAAGCCGCAGGGTCATTGCCGTTTTCAATGATTGTCCCCTCGACATGCCGAACAGGTTCATCGCCAGGGTCATTCAGCTGCACCAAAAAGGCACACGGCCATGACCTCCCGGGAGTCATTCTACCCCGCTTCAGAGTACAACTGTCTCATCCTCATAGTTTCATAGCACAGTCATACAGTACTTCAATTTATCCACCTTTTCTAATTCACAGTGTCAAAAGTCTCGTCAGTCGAAGGGAAAGATGGTGTGTAGTGACGGAGTATGACCCTGAGACGACAATACAAAGAACCCCATGCTCAGTCACGCTGTCGCTTTGACTCACTCAGAAGCATCGCTATGAGTACTCTTCGCATTCAACCATGGGCTACCTACTTAAGCTGTTTCGACCCCCTAAAAGATTCTGTGTTAGGCCGTTCCAGCCAAGGAGGATGTTTGTACTTGCTAGGCATCCAAATAAATCGTCGGCATTGCCTCGTCCTTTGTGGAATCAGAGAGACACATCACTCCCATTGGCATCCTCATTCTCATCATTATGTCTACCTTCAACGCTACCACAGTTCATCTGCCTATATCTAAGCGACATGACCCCTCTTTTCCATAATTTTGTAGGATAAGATACAGTAGTGAGAACATGTAGCCACCGGCCGAATCCTGGAACGTGGTCACAAATGGCTCGTGGTGGTCGTAGAGGTGGGCGGTGTGAAACATGTCCGCCAAAGCCACCCGACCAGGTCGAAATAGCAAGGCTGCCATTTCTGCCACACAACGTTACTCGTTGATCACCACTCAGGAAAAGTACCGGAGGTCACCATTACCCACTAGGAAATTACCAAGCTAAGCTAGGTATATACCCGGCGGGAGCCTCGCAGTGTGGAGCCCCTCGGCTGCCCCGCAGTGACAATTGAGGGGGGAAATACCGGGGTCTTACTCCAGGTGGGATCACCGACCGATGATCAACGTTGCATCTTGTTCTTTCTCCTCTACAAAGAACGTTACAGTGCTTCTGAAGTAGAAAAAGCTCCATCGCTGATTGGGTGTTTCGGACGGAGATACACCAATGCAGCACGGCCGCCATGTCCAGTTGCGTCAGTGGTGGTCAAGCTCCGAGGCCCGGTGGGCAAGCTTTTGCTTAATTCAGCCATGATCACATTCATGCGTTTGTCGTCAGAGGATAATAGGACAGCATCGTCCCAGACGTCCTGATTTCTTTTCTCGTTTCCATTCTTCAGCAATACCGCCAACATGGGTGACGTTGTTTCAGAGAAGCCGGGCACCAGCTCGGAGATCGAGGCGCAGACTTCCAACGTTGACCCTGTTCATAATGCTAATCTCAAGGTCGAATATGATAGGACGGGTGCAATTGAGGCAGAACATGCCGAATACAGAATGGGGGTGCTTCAGGCTGTCCGGGCCTACCCGGCCGCCAGCTGGTGGGCATTCGTCATGTCATGCACCATTGTAAGTCCCTGCCAGATGTCCAGAGTATTTCCCTAACGATTAATAGATCATGGAGTCATACTGTGTCTTCCTAATGGGAAATTTCATAGCGACTGCTCGATTCGCCAAGAACTACGGTGTTTATAATGTCGAACAGGACCAGTGGTTTATCGAAGCCTCTTGGCAGTCGGCATTCCAATGTGGCGGTCCCATTGGAGCTATAATCGGAGTTTTGATTGCTGGTCCAATTACTAGTTGGATCGGTTATCGATGGGCGACCATTGGCGGCCTCATGGCGTTGAACTGCTTCATCCTCGTGTTCTATTTTGGCGACTCCCTCGGAGTGTTGCTACTGTCGCAGCTGCTCGAAGGTGTCCCCTGGGGTATCTTTATCGCAAATGCACCCGCCTACTGCAGTGAGATAGTGCCGCTAAGACTGAGAGCTCCTGCTACACAGATGCTACAGATGTTTTGGGCGATCGGGTCGATCATTGTCGGTGGAATTACCTATCACTACCAGTCTAAGGATAGCGACGCTTCGTATAGGTTTGTGCGCTTCGGCAGCTCTGTAGAGGAGCACTCTGCTAACAGCAAGACTAGAGTTCCCATTGCTCTCCAATGGATGTTCCCTACACCTCTTGCTATTCTCCTCTTCATCGCACCAGAGTCACCTTGGTGGCTCGTGCGAAAGGGCCGTCTCGCAGAGGCAGAGAAGTCTGTCAGACGTCTTGGACGTTCAAGTGCGACTGACAATCCCGCTGACTCCGTTGCAATGATGCGTCGCACGATCGAGCTCGAAAAAACCGAGAAGAAGCCGAGTCTTGTCGAACTCTGGAAAGGCACCGATCGCTACCGTACATTAATCGTATGTGGTGTTTACGCTGCTCAAAACCTAACAGGCAACTTAATAGCGAATCAAGCAGTGTACTTCTTCCAGCGTAAGTTTGGAATCTCTTTTACAGTCTCTCGAAAGACCTAATATGGAAGCGTAGGCGCCGGCATGTCCGACAACACCGCGTTTGCCCTCGGCCTCATTACTTCGGCCCTCCAGTGGATCATGGTTATGCTCTCTTGGGTCCTTACCACTTACCTTGGCCGACGCACGATCTATGTCTGGGGTTCCTTCATCAATTGTGCGTTTTTGATTGCCCTCGGTATCGCGGCTTCAGTGGGTAGTAGTGATGCAGCTACCCAGGCACAAGCATCTCTTGGCCTGATCGTCTCTGTCCTATTCTGCTTGGGACCGGCCCCGGCATCCTGGGTTATCATCGGAGAAACGTCTTCTATCCGTCTCAGGCCATTGACAACTGGCGTTGGACGCGGGGCTTACTACCTGGTCAACATTCCTTGTATATTTTTGGCTAGCTACATGCTTAACCCGGACCAGGCGAATCTAGGTGGCAAGTGTGGCTACGTCTGGGCTGGTACTGCGTTTGTCTGTACAGTCATGGCTTGGATCTGGATCCCGGAGATGAAGCACCGATCTTATCGCGAGATTGACATTTTGTTCAACCGTCGTGTCCAAGCCCGCAAGTGGAAGAAGACTGTTGTCGACATTAACGACGATGAGTAATCGGAAATGTTCCAGATCGTCGAGAGGCTCGAGTGCCACTAGTTGTGCAAGAATTCGGGAGGGGGGGAGGGGGGGAGGGGGGGAGGGGGGAAGGGGGGGGGCCGGCGAAGATGAATTCTCTTCCACCCCCAGAAGCATCCAAAATCCTTGTCCGCATTTCCAGTCCATTGCAACACCTTCCTCATGTTGAAACGCGGCATGTATACGTCTCTTAAACAATACAACACTTATAGCTAGGTATCTACAGCACATGGCTTGTCCCAATGTTGTGCCTTTCAATTTTCCTCGCTTCTGTTACACCAAGTCTTCACGTTCGCCTGGTGCATTCACCCAGGTGATGTCAGACAACTATGGATGCCAACGCCGCTTTGAGGTGGAAGAGCACCAGGATGCTCACATCCGACTTTGTCTAACGCTTAGATCCACCACAACAGCTCGCATATATGAGGTGTACAGAAGGGAGGTAGGGAATTGTGACAAAGGTATGTATGTGGAATTGTCGATTCCTCCTTGTCTAGTCTGTCGTTTAGGTTCTGCTGTGAACCGCGAGCACACAACCTCATGTTCCTGCCCACGATATAGACACGCAAAGGAGGTAGATATCCTTGAGATGGAACAGACCATAGTTGCATTCACTTGCGCTTGATTCTGCTTTGCTCTCCTAATCGGTTAGTTCCTCTGTGATTGTGAGTTTGACATGGCGCTTCCAGATGCAGACGCCGTGCTATATCCAAAAGCAACCAAGTGTTGAAATCTTCGCAATTTGACAAACACATCTGCGTTCCCTCTAGGTGTAAATACTGCGTGGATCGAGGAAGCCAAGATGACTTTCTGCCTCACCGCACCAAGTCACTTTTTCTCTCATATCTAAACTCACAATTTTTGAAGAACCAATCGACACCGTACCAACTCATTTTTTCCATCTCATGTCAAGCCTCAACATGGACAACGGCATTGCACTTGATGCTAGTCAAGAGACAGAGCCCTCTTCACCAGACTTGATTGCAAGCGATGCTTCCTCAACCACCATCCCCGTCTTCACTGCCACTGATCTCGACACGGTCACACCAGCCAGCATCGTCTTGGAAAAGCTCGATCCCAAGGGAGACCTGATACTTGAGTTTGGTCAATATCGCCTTCTGGTATCGTCAAAGGTACTGGAGCTATCCTGTCCATTTTTCCAAAAGATCCTGCAATCCGATGCCCTCCTCGAAGGTGTTGAAAAACCTAACCAGGATGAACCCCCAACCAAAACAATCCACGAAGATCAGACGGAAATTCTCTATCTCATCTGCCGCATTCTTCATTATCTCCCAGTTGAGCGGCCAGAAAGCATCATTGAGTACGAGCTGTTCGCGGACGTGTGTAACTTCTATGGTTGCGCCAGGGCGATCGCCGTCCATATGCAGGCATGGATCAAGTACTGGTCACTGTCCAAACTGAATGTCACCGAGCTCCAGATCTTCCTGTGGGCGGCATTTGTGTTTCAGCTACGTGATGACTTTGAGAAGATCACCGTGGAATTGGCAGCGGCCATGACGACCAAAGAATGGAAGTCATGGGACGTCCACCCCATGCCACCCCGTTTGAGAGGTATGTACAGCGGTGATGCCCTTTAGAAAATCAACCGTTGCTTTCGAATGACAACTAAACCCTGTTGCAGATGACATGATTGAGCTTTGTCAAGACGCCAAAACCCAGGTTCAGAAGTACATCGAAGTTACGTTCTACAAGTTGACCGCCTCCAAAGTCGACCATGACAGCCTTGAAAACAAGGCCTGCCGCGGCTGCGGGATGCTCAAACCGATCGAAACCAAGAGATGTGGTAATTGTGGATCACGCGAATTCGGTGGTTCCGTATGCTCGAATCATACCCGTGTATCAAGTTTCATCGATAAGCTGTACACATTGGGACAATGGCCTATGAGCAAGCTCAATGCTCAGAGCTGCCGGACGTTCTTGAAACCCGGCCTCTCCTTGTCCTCGTCCGATGGTCCTTGCGGACTTCAGTCTTGTCCCTACGTCTCTGCAATCAATGAATTCTTTTCAGGTCAGGGTTCCGTGCTTGCAAACATGCAAGGCTTGAAGCTAGAAAACTACGATGCGGAATTACATGTCGAAGACTAATATGGTCCCTGTCATCCCTCCAGGATCAGCAATCCAGCTTACTCTATGGAACGGAGGATGAAGGACGGGAAGAACCGAGCCAACAATCACATATGCTGGCACGGACACCGCATGATGATGCTTCGACAGCCGTTGCCAATCTACTGTCCGAGTTGTTAGGAGTATTGAGACAAAGTGTGCCAAGTTTGGTCCCTTCGTGGCGTGATGCTGCCGGTGGACAAGTCACATCCATGTCGCCAAAATGAGACTCATCAAGACAGCGCAGTTTAAGGAGTGAATCAGGAATTAGATGGTAGAATGTCTAGATACCAAAAATGTTGTTCGGAATACCAAGCCAATGTCCATTTCGTAGGTTCAATTCAGATGCTGTATGGAAATGCATGGAGGGGAGGAAGGAGACAACTGGCATGGTTGCGCTCCATGTCCAACATCTGATGTACCTTAACGATCCAATTCATCAATCATTTCAACATGACGTCCTAAAGGATCACTCACTCTTCATGGCTAGTCCAAACAAGGACTGGATTTCGATGACTGGGTATCTATCTGTCTATCTATCGACTTTTGTTCGATGACAAAACCTCATCATGACCATGTCTTTATTCAATCAACCCAGCAGCAATTGTCTCTCCGTTGGCACGGAAGACAATCCTCGCAGGAGCCTCGAGAGGCGTGGGTTGGTCGAGTTTTACAACCAGCCGAACCACACTCCCTGGTTGGACGATCTTGGGTTTCTTTTTCAACACCGCGCCACTAGACTTGTCAAGTGTACCGATCAATTGAGTAATTCGACCGGGAATGTGAAGTCGGCCCTTATGTACATCCATGATCATGGGGGTGAGGTGGTCAAAAGCCAGCATCTTGGCCGTGAATTCGGTGATGTTCTTGATTGGGGATGTTAAGCCGCACAGTACGTCTCCAGTCTTGAGATGGATGGGGTCGACGTCCGTTAGGTGTAGGACGACGTTTTGACCTGCGACTGCCCACTCCAAAGGTTCGTCGTCGACTTCTAGACTTCGGATCGATGCAGATTCTCCACTCGGCATGATGATAATTTGTTCGCCGATTTGAACGGTGCCTGCTTCCAGACGGCCGGAAACTGAGAGTGGGTTTTGCACACCGCCACGGAATACGTCGCTGATGGTCATTCGTAACGGTTTATCCAGTGCGAAGGTGGTGGGTTCTGACTTGTCCAAATCCTCGACTAACGTTGGACCTTGGTACCAGGATGCTCTTGGGTCAGAGGTTCGTCGGAGGATATTTCCACCTTCAAGACCTGAGCAGGGGATGAACGAGACGTTCTTGGGCTGGAATCCTGCCACGCCCAGGAACGCTGCTACTTGTTGTCGAATTTCGGTGAATCGTTCTTCTGACCAATCTGCAACATCCATCTTGTTGACGGCGACAAGGATCCTCTGTACTCCAATGGATCGTACTAGTAGTGCGTGTTCCTTGGTCTGGCCTTTGAGTCCAGACTCGAAGTTCCCCGTGGAGGCGTCGATGACAAGGACGGCGAAATCCGCCTGACTGGCACCGGCGATCATGTTGGGGACAAAGTCCTTGTGTCCTGGAGCGTCAAGGATGGTGAAGCTTGTTTTCTCGGTCTCGAACTTGTTGGTAGCGATGTCAATCGTCACGCCTCGTGCTCTTTCCTCTGTGCCTTGATCTAGCACCCAAGCAAAGGCAAACGAACCTTTTCCAATGCGATCGGCTTCTTTCTGATATTTGTCCATGGTACGTTGATCCACTGCCTTCAAGTCGTAGAGTAATCTGCCCATGAGAGTGCTCTTACCCGCATCAACGTGTCCAATAACAACAAAGTTGGCTGCATTCTTCCGTTTCACCTTGTTATACTCGGAAATGACATCTATGTTTTTGCTCTTGACTTTGGGTAGGTCTTGTATCGATAGCTCTTGGACACCACTGGCAACGTCTGGTTTGGGGTTGGGTTTATCTTTTCCCTTGGGCTTCGCTGAGGACGGAGCTGCAAAACAGATATGTGTTAGCTTCTCCGCTGTAACCAACAACGGCCAAAAGCAGACTCAAATCTCAATTCCGACCTTTCACATTCTGGGCCGTGGTGACGATGTCATCCGGACTCGGCTGTGTAAAGTCAAAGCCAGACGGGAGCATCTCGCTCGAGGTGAAGCTAAATAGAGGTGGATTTTGCCCATGTTTCTCATGGCTAATTATGATGTTTGCAAATGGCGATGGCTTCCCGCGGACATCAGATTCGACCAGAGCAGATATATCTATTGGGGTTTGAGTGATAGTGTCGGCAGAGTCTTTCGATGATTTGGTTTGGCTGCTGTCACCGGATGGGTTCTTGACATCTGCCTCGTCTCCGCCTGGCGAAATCGTCATGGCGCTGGCTGTTTTTGACCGCGGCTGTGAGATTTTCAGCTTCTGTAAGCTTGTAGTGTAGTCTTGTGACGCGGGGGACTCTGGGTCATTGGAAGACGTGGCAGACTGATCATTTCCCTGTTGTCTTCGTTTGGCAGCAAGGGCTGCGAGTTTGGACATCTTTCCCGGCTTAGAGGCGCCTCCCAAAAGACCAAACCGGGGATAAAGCGGCTCAATGATGATATCAGCCTTGCGGTGTTCGGGTACATGAAGCCAAGGACAGTCTTTAAAAAAGTCGGCAGCGGAAAAGGGTCCTGAACAGATATCTGGAATGATGGAATCTTGTGCTCATCAGATGCCATGCCCGAAATGGTCCGTTGCAAGTTGGCATGAAACGCCAAAGACGAGGAGGCCATCACCAGATAGGAACGCATTTAAATAGAAATGGAAGACTTACTTTTGGATGGTGTAAGTGATGTTTGCTTGCTCGGAGTCTTGTTGACGGGAGGTTTGTGCTGATCTGTGGACAGGTATTAGAACAAAGGGTTCATTCATAAAGGTACAATCGGTGGTGCGGCAACATACTTTTCAAGTACGAAACTGACTTGCTGACATCATAATAGTAATTCCATAAGGCATCTTGGATCTCTTTGTCAGATGCTGGGAACCCAGGGCCCAACGCTTGACGAACTTTGACGGTGCCTTGCCGCAGTTGTTCTTGGTCTTCGGGAGACAATTCATTGTCGCCAGTAGCCTCCTGGTCATAGTATTCTTCATCTTCGTCGTAGTCGTCGTAGTCGTCCTCGTCGAGCGCGAGGGATTTGACCCGACGGTTTGACATATTGAAGGCGGGGTGATGTCAGTCGGAGGGGTCTTGAGCCTCGTTGGCCACCAAGTCTGCACTGTCCCTGCAAAGTCAAGGAAGAGAAATTCAAGAGATCCAGGCGATGTAGTGAAACATACTCTTGATCATGTACGAGCAAAGAGTAGGAAGAATCAGGTTGGTGGAGGGGTAATTGTAGAGAGGTGGTTGTGAGATGGTGAAATATGAAGTGGAGAGTCGTTGAAGACAGACCGATCACGAGTGAGCACGTGTGAGCACGTGTTTCCTGAATCATGATTCACTCACTCTCCAACACGACCCGTCGCCCCTCTTCTCTAGATTGATTAAACCTCATCCCACTCGGTCTCCAGCCGCCTACCAAGACACAAGCGCCGTCTTTAGTTGCTTCTTTGTTAAGGGCACCCCCGACCTGTTACACCTCTGTATCTTCGACATCGTTCCTACTGCCACAACTCCGTCTGCTTCTACAGAACATTCCAATCATAAATCGTGTTGAAAGCCCAGCATGGCTATAACCCCGGCCAGTTCCCCGACGCGTCCTCGTTGATCCCATAACCCACCTACCCATATCTACGTCGAAATGTCCACATCCGTCATGTCCAACCAAATGGACAAAACACCCACTTCTGCTCGATCGATTCTCGCCCAACAACTCGAGCAAGAATTCCAAGAAGGTGAACGAACTCCTCGATCCTTTAGAACCTCGGAACGGTCATCTCCCAAACCTCGATCCCTCTCAGATGCACCAAAGCCTGCCCTCTCACCCTCACCTGCCTTTCGAGAACCTCAGCGACGAGTGTCCAAAGATGACACGGCAATTGCCGAACCCGTCACCCCCTTGCGAGCGTCCTTCCATGCTCGAGGCCTCTCCCTCCACATGCCATCGAAAGACACACTTGAAGATACCACCAGTCCTGTTTCCCGCATACCCTTATCTCCAAAGCTGGATTCTTCCCATATCTATGGTTCACCTGCATCTATGCTCCCCAGGAGATCACGGGGTCTAGACTACACTCGAGCATGTACCAATTTACACCATTCCACCCTGGCTGAGGCCTCCCCTGACGCTTCTCCCATTACTGGCCGAGGAATCACAATCCCAGGACGGAGGAGTTTTGCCAACAATGTTCTAGACTCACCCAGCAACCCCTCCAACGGGTTATGGGGCTTGTCCAACGACCGAACCACACTTTCGAGCTCAGTCAGTAGTGTCAACATGCTCGGATCGGATTCGGACTCTGACTCGGATTCTTCGTCTGATGGAATGGCCATAGATCGAGAAATGGATGATCCCGTTCTCAATACTCCTGCAGTGTCCCGGTTGAGTGGTGGATTGGTGCCAGCCTTAGCCAATAGTCCTGGCATGGAATGGCTCAACAATCAACCTTCACCAGCTCAAGCAAGTCTGATGAGTTTTCAACCTCATCTCATGAGCTTTAGGCGAGCTCGGACACGCAAAGGCAAAAGCCAACACAGTTCGAGCAGCGTAAGTATGAATAGCTCCAAGCCGTCCCCTGGACCTCTATCTCCTGGTATTCTAAAGAGTGTCGAAAACGGGGGAAATGGCTACTTTGGCTCAGGACTCACAAGGCAACAAGTCCAGTCACGGCGAGAAAGTCTGAGTCTAGGGACAAACGACTTGAATTTGTCCGACAGCGAAGACAATGCACCCCACAAATCCAACGCTGGCCAATCATTATCAGACATGGACGCTGAAGGACCCAGAGGGGTGATCCGACGAGCAGTTACCAGACGAGGCAATCTCTTACCAAAAACCAAAGGATTTGCTCGAATTCGTGCAGCATTGTTGGAAGAATCAGCTCCGATTGAAAGTGAAGCCCGTCGAGAAGCAGAGATTGTTCGTCAAGTCCATGAGAATGATCCCACCTCCTCCCAAGTCACCTCACCAGTGCTACAGTCCAGTGGAGGGGGGACATTGGACCCAGTCGAGGATTCCATTGAAGACATCAGTATGAGCTTGAAGACCTCGCTGCCGCCTGATAGCTTCAGCCGACAAGCTGAGAAGAATGGAGCGGGACTAGGATTTTGGGATGCATTTGATGACCGATATCGAACACCTCCGCCGACATTGGTCCCTAGGGAGAGCTCGTCGGCGATCAGTGATGAAGCGATGGACACTCCTGGATCTTCATTGGACAACCCTGCGCTCCGACATTTCAACCGATCCCGGTCCAGATCAACAACACCACTCGCGGCTTACCCTCCCACGGCAGGCGACATTGCGAGACGAGTTAACAACAAACGGCGGCGAGACGATGAGTTTGATCCTTACTTTGTCAAAAGAAGAGCAGTTTCACCTGGGCTGAGTGTGCAGAGCAGTCCTGTTTTGCCACAGAGTCCAGTGTTGACCAACGACAAATCATGGTCTAAGCTGCCCAACAAGGCCAATGGCCACGGGCATGGACACGGGGACCGAAGTAACAGCGGAAGCAGCATTGCAGGCAGTAAAAAGGTTGGGCTACAAGGCATGAACGAAACCAACGATGGGATCATGAGCATGAGCATTGATTGAACGATTCGAAAGCGAGGCGCTCTGGTATAGAATTTGAGGTTTGGTCGCCTTGACCAGTTTGGAATTATACTTATTTTTGCTCTGGTGGTCCTTGGAATGACCTTTTATGATGAAAGAATGACCATTCTGATTTTGAAGTCCTTGAGCATAGTGATTCCGTGTGATAAGCTTGTTCATTGAGGAATTTTACAGATACTGTAGAACTGGGTTTCTTTCTGATAGTGCCTCTATTGATGGAAGGCGCAATCGACATTTGGAATTTACCCCACACCTGCCAACAGTGACCAACCCCAAAGTGCAGGCAGGAACAACCGCAACTCGCACCCATCAGGCACATCTCAATCTCACATCCCACACCTGGCGCATCCCATACCTCAGCTCTCAGGTCTGCGTCAAGATTGCTACAGATCAGGACGTGTTGTTGTCTCTCACATAACCCGAGACTTACACCGTCCCTTCCAACTGCGAGTTCTTAACCTGCCTACCCAATCCGACGCCCCTCATTCCATCCGTCGTATCATGGCGTCCACGGTCGACATTACCTCGTCCTTCATACAAGGCGCTCCTCCAGGAGAGCTACAGGATGTAGTCAAAGACATCCAAATCCTCGCCTCGGACAATGACCCTTCTTTAACTGCAAAGCTCAAGCCTGCTTTCCAGAAATACAACGAGGAGCAACTGGTGGCCGTCAAGCTCCCCGGTGCCAGTGATCATGTATATCCCACCCCGACGCCCGTCTCACCATTGAACATCCGCTAATATTGTCTGTCTTGATCATAACAGGTTTTAATCTCCTCATACAACCGTGTCCCCTCGAGTACAAACAAGTACTACGACACCGCTTCATCCACATCCTTCGACTTTGACCATAGCACTTCCAAAGCCAGCAACTCCCAATCCTACACCCATGACACCCAGCACACTTCGCTCATTCAATCCATCTTGAAATCTCTATCAACACACTTTGCCGAACACTACCCACCAAGCTCATCTTCTGCCTTCTCCGTCTCCGCCACGCCGCAGGACGATCAGGTTGCCATCCTCCTCTCAACTACAAAATCCTCACCCAAGAACTTCATCTCCGGTCGCTGGCGGAGTACATTCCTCTACGACCCATCTAACTCGAGTCTTCAAGGCTCGATCAATGTACACGTGCATTATTATGAAGATGGGAATGTGGCGTTGACGACCACCAAGAAGATCCAGTCGGTGACCGTGGATGGTAGCGATGGGGCCAGTATAATCCGCAAGGTTGCCGCCATTGAGAAACAGTATCAGGAAGAGGTCAACCGGACTTTGGTCGCCTTGAATGAGACAAGTTTCAAAGCTTTGAGAAGGCAATTACCTGTCACACGTCAAAAGTTGGAATGGGAGAAGATTCGGGGGTATGGCCTCGGAGGAGACTTGAGAGGAGAGGCTAAACGATAGAGACAACACCGTGTGATCAATTTCATGTTTGGGGGGGATTAAAGTCGACACTGCCTACGTGAACGAAATCCTGGAGCCAACGACTAGCGAGAAATGCATACAATCTATCACAAATGACCATTCTCAATGTGCTCTCTTTGCCAAACAACTCTTCTGTATTCTGGTACCCCATCGTGATCACGTTGAGCACTGGTTCGTTGATAAATATCGTGTCTCATTGCCGACGCAAGCCTTGTCTTCGCTTCCAACCCCAGACCCAAACCCAGCGACTCAAGGCATATTCCTCCCCAGCCTCGTGGCTTTAGCCACCTCACTCTGCGTAGTATCCTCCGCATATCGCTTGTAAGCCTCGACATACATCTGTCGATCAGACAGAGTATCCCGCACACTCTCTCTATCAAGAATAGCATCAACCCAGATCCGCCAACGGATCCAAACCTCCTCATCCGCACCTCCCTTCCCCTCAGCAGGCACCCCCAACCCACCCTTTTTATACACATCAAAGAGAAACAATCGACAAATCCACGGAGCCAGCATCACATCAACCATACCAAACGTCTCACCCAGAAACCACGGTCCCCCCACCCCACCCGACACCATGATCTCACGCACAATCGTTTTAATATGACCCAAAAACTCCTCCCTCGCCTCTTCCAACGTATACGCCTTTTCCGGTGTATGTTGCATAAAGCGATAAAACGCCGGCACGATCTTACCGTTGATATGATCGATCCAAATCCGACATCTGGCTTTTTCGTACGCTGAATCCGAAGGTAATAACGAGGAACTGGCGGAGCCTGAGCCTGAGCCTGAGCCTTTGTTCCCCGGATATACTTCCTCGAGATACTCGCAAATAACTGTACTTTCATACAATGGCTTCCGTTGATTTTGCCCTTGCAACGATGGTACCGGTACGGCGAGTGTGGGCACCAAGCCGCGTGGATTTAAAGCGAGAAATTCAGGTTCTTTTTTATATGGGTTGATTTCGATATATTGATGACGGATACTTTTCTCGTGCATTACTATCCATACTCGTTGGACGAATGGACAGAACCAGCCGCCATATAAGATGGGATCCTCGGGTTTGCTGGTTGAATGGTCCTTGGCGAATTGGGCGGCTCGGCCGGTGGGTTGAGTGGCGAGACTGGTGTCGACGTTGGTGGACATGTTGATGGTTGGTTACTAGATATTTAGTTGGTCATGAATGACTTGATTGATCGTCGTGATGGTCTTGACGTGATTGTAAGGAAGTAAACGCTACTATTTGGAGGGGGTAAGTAGGTTGTTTTGGATATGACGTCGTTAGGATCGGAGGAGTGGAAACGATGGAGTCTGTGGCAGGACACATTCTATTCAGACCATGCTAAGTACATGCTACATTCAACGTGCATAATACTACTGTTATTGGCGTAACCGCAACCGTATACCTAATTGCTTATTGTCATGTCCCTCCCCACGTATGTTAGACCCGAAGGAACGGCTTGTAAGCACAAGCTGACAATGCATCCATATTGCCCTGAACCCAATCCCAAAGAGGCTCATCTGCGGGCTCAAGGATCTTGAAGTGAGTGGGTTGAACGACTTCCTCCCCTTGGGCTACATTGTTCCTGCAGTAGAGCACGTTATCGTCTTTGTGTATGTCGGGGAATGCAAAGTCGCCATATGCGAGAACAAGAAGCTCAGGGAAGCCGTCAGGTCCGAAAACCCAGTCAGCAAAGCTGTCTACTTCCTCGCGATCAACATAGAATTCATAGTCGCGCCTAGTCAAAGAGTCCCCTGCGGCTCTTAAATGCAGAAGTCTGCAAGAAACGTCATGTGCGTGTGGCTCGAGACAATTTCGCTTTTCCCAAAAGTCAGCAATTTAGACGTCAAAGGTTGATTGCACCCACCGCAAAGTCAGGAGGATATTGTATCCCGACGACATCACAATGTCCTTGTGTGAGAAGCTTCAAGTGACCATCATAAAAACCTGGTTCACCGTCCACTTCTTCCTCAAAAGACGGGCTTTCGTCGTCAATGTCGATAGCTCGTGCATGGATGGCGACACGCTCCAAAGTCTCTAATTGACTGCAAACGGAGTCCATAACCGTATCCCACTGCGCAAGAGGCAAACAGAGGTACAAGTCTCTAAGACGTGAGAGCTTCTGCAAGAATGGGGGAACCGTAAACTCCAGTTCCCACTTGTCATTATTGTCGCCATACTCATACCCGCACGTTATCTCGAGAGATTCAAGTTCCATATCTTGTCGGGCCTCAGTCAGATGCTCCAACAATTCAGACGTCTGTGGGCAATTCCAGAGCTTGAGTTGCTTCAATTGAAAGAACGAAAACGCATTGACCAGCTGAGTGATGGCGGAGTCAAAGGACACCTGCCCGAGGAGCAGATGTTGTAACACAGGAAAACAGACACAGCTGCTTCGACTGTCGACGTTCCAAGGCAGGCCCAGAATGTCTTCGGCGAAGAAGTTCTTGCGTCGAGTGGGCTCGTCTGACCATCGTGTATGTTCTATATACCAAAAGTCGTCGGCTTTTGACCAGTTCAGGAGATCAAGGTTAAGAACTTCCAAGTGTCCCGCGTTTGCAGTAAGGCAGTCTTTGATTGCGTCAAAATCTTCCTTGGCTTGAGGTCCAGTCCAGGAAAAGCTCCGAATGTTAACAAACTTCGTCAGATCGTATTCGTTCTCGCCGTCCATTGCCACATCGCAAGCACCATCTGTGATAAGAGCAATACTCTCAAGACTAGTCTGATGTTGGGGAAGATACCCGTCCGCACCAAGTATATTCTGTGGGACACAGGAACCCAGTTCCCACCTGCAACACTTGAGCAAATATGTGATGGGAGGACGAGTTTGCATACCGAAAGCTTCTCAAGGCGTCGTCAGAGAGCCGACAGCAGAATTCCAAGAAGTCCTCCTCGTAGAAACGGGGCTCGACATCCCAGGAATTATTTCTGTCTTGATTCGTGCATCGTACACAATTGCAGACCGAGTCTTCATCTTCATCAAAATCATCCGCATCATACTTGCAGTCTCCAGGATGATCCGGGTCCAAAGCTCTTTCTTCGCTCCCTTCCTCGTCTTCGAATCGCTGGTGCCAACAACGTTGTCCGTTATCCGCCAGCGCTACAAATTTAGTCGTGAGGGCCAAGTCTTTAACGTATCCGAGATTAGAGGTGATGTCGATTTGAGGACTAGTTTTGGAAAAGTGCTTCAGAGTAGAGGTCCGAGGATTGTACCCCTCAGGGCACTTTATCTCAAGACGCGCGTACAAGAGAGGAGTGGCAATCTGTGAGAAGAGTTTACAAACACCACACAGGTTAACGAGGTCACTCCTTCGAGAGACCTAGGCCCGCATTAGTATTGGAATTGGCTGTGTTGGCGAACACTCACTTTCTGGAAGATGTTTCTCAGGACCTCAAGCGGCTGCGAGGAGAACCGATCATTTTGAGAACTGTGGCTAAGACTATCAGCTTGGGACTGCATATCGACATATGTACACTCTTGTCCAAAACTATGGAACTGAGGTCATATGTATCTCATCGCGTTGGACCGTTAGGAGTGCACGCGGTGGAGTTACATACTTGATTCCAGGAGGCAATCTAATCAGGCTATCACTGTTCTGAATGCCAGTCCTGTCCTGGAATCACACGCCATTCTGTTCTGTCACACTTTATTAAGAACATATTATTATTAGTGTGGATGTTGCATGCATCAAGGCCCTGCGGCCTGTAGCGAGCGAATTGGCACGTTCCTAGAAGGACCCCACTTGTTCCTCTAACTTCCCGCCCCCCCCCCGGACCCTCTCACCGGCCACCATCGACGAGCCTTGGAGAATGCTGGGAGGTCGCTATCTGTTTCACCCTATGCGGCCGCTGGTACGGCCAACTTCTACGTGTCTCGTAATCTTGAAGTTCGGAGAGCCCTCTTATGAGATCAAATAAATCAAGCTGTCGGGGTTTGAGATTATTGAAACTGAACAGTCTATCATTATCATGATATGAATCTTCTAAACTGAGTGACATTTGCCAGTGTGAAGTCGGCCTCAATCCCAGAACTGCACTACAATATAAAAGCTCCGCACAATTTCACAATTGTCCGTCCGGCGATGCATACTGTCAGCGATGCGCAGACATCTCTCGAAGTCGTCACGTAGATGGGTCGTATATTACTAGTATATGGCTGTAGGATCTATATACAAATGATCTAAATTGTCATCAACCTTTCATTAAAGGTACAGTGTTCGTAGATGCAGACACGTTTTTGGGTACATGTTAATCGTTTGACGGTTAAATGACCATTATGCTTCGCATGACAGATCAAAGACAGGTGTGGTGGATGGCGGGTTGCCAGGTCCAGCAACACCAAAGGAGATGTCGGTTTGACCGGTATTGGCATCTAATCCATGTTAGCCGTGTCTCTGATGCCATGAGTAGGCCCAATATAGAACTTACCAGTTAGAGTGTACCAGAATGTGTCACGATTGCCGAATAGATCGCAGCCGACTCCAGCCCAATAAGTGCGAGCGTTCTCGAGAGATGCAACGGCAAGGTTCATGTCTTCACCAACTGTAGGATTGTGGTCAGTAGATGCTACTTACCATTGTGATAACTATCTCCGGGGTTGACAACTTACTGTGAGGCCATCCAGTCTCGGTGACCAAAACTGGTTTTCCACCTGAGACGCCTTCGGTGGCCGCCAGGGCTCTGTAGAAGATAGCATCGGCTTCCTCAATTGGGTTTGCGAGGGTGGCTTCAAAATAGGGAAATGAGTTGTGGCCCAGCCAGTCAACACGCTCTGCCACGATGGCATTCTCGGGAAGTACCCATGCAGTCCAGGTGTCGACATGTCCAACAGGGATGTCTTGTAGGAGGGGTGTTCGGTCGATCAAGTCCCTAACACGATCGATATATCGGACTATAGTGGCCGAGTCGACTCCAATACCAGCTTCACCTGCAACACCTTGGGGGCTGGATCGATATAAATCCTCGGAACCAACACTGATTCCCACCACACGGTCGGTAAAGGCAGTACCATATTGGTTGACTGCATTGGTCAAAGCGGCAAGTTCATCCTCAAAAATACCGTCTCCAGCACTGGCCCACATTCCTAATAGCAACGTCGTGTTGGTGTTGATGGCAGCTTGGATGGCAGAGGTGGGTGTGTTGACCGTGTCACACTGGACAGTGGTATACAGACGGGCAGCTGTAAAGCCACCGTCAGTGCCAACGAGGTTCCGGGCAGTATTGAAGGCTCCCTCATAGTCGGAAACCATCCGACATGTACCATCTTCAAAGGTGGCACCGTAGTTGAAGCCCTGCAACTGAGCATTGACGGTAGCCACGGCCAGTGCAAGCCCACCAAGGGTTCGGAATGAAGGATGCATGATTTCGAGGCTGGTCGTCAACGGAATCTGCGACTGGGAAATGATGAGAACGGGAAAAAGGTGAGGACTTCCAAGGTGGCGTTGGACAACCACGGCCTATATAGTCAGGTTCAACAACATGCTGGTGTACTAGGTGATCATCATGAAAATTGTGTAAATGTGGGGAGATCTGGAATCACAGGTTAAGACCTCAAGAGATTCCAAGCCTCTTGGACGCCGCGATGAGCCGTCAAAGCAACTTTCATCGATTTGTGCACATTCAATAGGCAGCCGAGTCGTGGAGGCTGATGGTCTCACCATTACTGCTGGCCAAGATTCAATAAACCGAGCCATAATTGGAAGGGTTTGGGACTTTAACTGGATCCGGTTGAAGCTTCTGCATGACGCAGGCCGAGTGAGGTGCATATCGCCAAGTCAAGACCAAGACCTGTGGCCAAATAAAAGGGCGTCATCGAGGCCTTTGTCTTCCTCAGGCTTGGGAGGATGCTGACTCTTTTGGCCATCTCGTACAACTTCCACCACACCAGCTAGGTGTGTGTGGAGGATATTTTTAGCCGGGTTGGTGTCTTGTTCCTGCGTCAACAATCCAACTGGAAATGCTGACGTTGGTTGGCAGAGATGTCATTCCACTTTGAAGGTGGAGAGAGTGAGAGGAAGAGGAACAGAGAGAAGAAGCGTGGAAGGTTAGACGACGACATTCACGTGATATCACGTGAGGTGATCATTCATTTGCGTCCTTGTCCACAGTGGGTGTTGGATGCTACACTTGAACATGTCGAGATTGCTTAAAATCAAGTACGAATCCTCGTACGGAGGAAATCTACGAAGTACTTGAGACAGCGAACCATTGTACAGTCGGCTATGGCCAAACCCTATCTCCGCTCCTCATGCCACCATCACACCCTTATCTGTACGAGAGGATCCAGACATGGGTGTGCGGGGACAGCCGCATATACATATATATACCTATGTAACCACATCTGTCCAAGGCATCACAATAAGTGAGAGCTACCACAAAATAAAATGGCAATGAAGTCCACCTTTCATATCCCTACTGTGGATATATCACCGTATATTGCTGATTCGACAAGCTCTGCAGCAGCCACGGTCGTCGACCAGATCCGGGCGGCTTGCTCAACCAGTGGATTCTTCCAGATTGTTGGACACGGCGTGGCTAAGGAATTGCAGTCTCAAGTGGTCGATTCTGCCAAAGCTGTTTTCAGCCTGCCTGTGGAGGAGAAACTCAAGATGAGTGGGATTCCAGGTCGTGGATATGAGGCAATCGGCACACAAGCACTGGAGGAGGGCAAGCCAACAGATCTCAAGGAGGTATGTTTCGCCGGTTGCGTCCAACAAAGTCTTCTATAGATACCATACCAACGATAGTCTTGCAGGGATTTTACATTGGTCGTGAGATCCCCAACAATAAACCTCCATACCGTCCATTTCAGTCGCCCAATGTCTGGCCTCCAACAAGCTTGATCAGCCAGTCATGCTTTGAAGACCCTTTGACTCAGTATCATCGATCGATGATATTTCTTTCAGACATTATCCTGCAGATTCTCGGCCGTGGTCTTGATCATGTTGATACTACCATTTTCTCCCAGTTCTGCAAGGATCCCATCGCCGTGGTTCGACTGCTTCACTATCCACCGCATCCTGTCGATGCAGAGGCTAATGCAGTAGGAGCTGGTGCACATACTGACTTCGGAGCCATCACTCTATTGCTCCAAGACGGCCACTCGGGCCTACAGGTCCTCAATCAAGACACGAATGAATGGTTAGATGTCCCTCCCAACCCCGATGCCTACGTTGTAAATGTGGGAGATATGCTTCAAATCTGGACAGCAGGGGCTTACAAGAGCAATGTTCATCGGGTCATCAACACGAGTGGCACAGAGAGATATTCAGTTCCATTCTTCTTGGACGGTAATGCTGACTGTGTAATTAAACCATTGGATGGGTCGGCTGGGAAGGAAGTGACGGTGGAAGAACACATGCTTTCACGGTTCAGACAAACATACACCACAATCTGAACTGACGAGGGAAAAAAGAGGACGACGGTGGCAACGAATGATTGTGATGATATGGGCTGAGTAGAAGTTTCTAGTAGGCTCTGATGGCAGGCAACAAGGGGGGCCAAGGGGCACTAAATAGGGGGTGAGCGTCAATCTAGAGGGGAGTAGGGCCTATTTTGGGGAATTCCAGGCGTGGATGAGCCCGAGTGGCCACTGTAGCCCTTAACATCCTGACCACGTGGTAACTTAAGGCCAGGCTGTCCCCTTGCCAAGGACACTTCTTCACCCCAACCAGCAAAAAGGGTGAATGACAGCCCCTGTAAATGTCATTCATTATTAATGTGGATGTGTGGCTTCACCCCTACGCAGCGCCGCTGTGCCGTAACTCCCCTCTCATCCCCACAATTAAAATATTGCCGTCATTCCAAAGTCGTAAAATGTCGTGCTGTAGGGTTCCGTAGTGGCTGCAGTGCTGTAGCGCTGGTGCAGGTCGCGGGTCGTGACACGGTTTCGCGGTCTTCGATGAATTTCTGAGGCAGTGGCGGTTTGCGGGTGACGGACTTGCGGGCTTCGCGAAAAGGACAGCGTATCGATAACTTGTCAGTCCTATTTCACATAAATATTTTCCTGGCTACCCACCACTGTACTTTGTTCCTCATCCTCTCTGCTTGTCTGTGACAACACTCTTTTTTTCCTTTTTTCATCCCCGGCTCCTTGCTCTGGTCTCTCACCATGGCTCGTCGTGGTCATTCTACATCCACCACTTTCCAGTGGACTACCATCTTCTACCTCCTCCTCATCTTCATCTGCCCCCTCGCCCTCATCGGCTCAGTCCAAGCCCAAGACCAAGCTCCCCTGAACGACTCGGACACTAACTATGGAACCGTCATCGGTATTGACTTGGGAACCACATATTCTTGCGTCGGTGTGATGCAGAATGGAAAAGTTGAAATCATTGTCAACGACCAAGGAAACAGAATTACCCCCTCATATGTGGCCTTTACCGACGACGAACGGTTGGTTGGCGACGCTGCAAAGAATCAGTATGCGTCAAATCCTACAAGGACCATTTTTGATATCAAGTAAGTGTTTATCCTGCAATCATCAAATCCGGCCTCATGACTAACTTCTCTTTTCAGGCGTTTGATCGGTCGAAAGTTCTCGGACAAGGATGTCACCCGTGACGCCAAACACTTCCCCTTTAAGGTGGTCAACCAAGACGAAAAACCCGTTGTCAGTGTTGAGGTCCAGGGCAAAGCTCGTACCTTTACCCCTGAAGAGGTTTCGGCCATGGTTTTGGGCAAGATGAAGGAAGTCGCAGAGTCATACCTTGGCAAGAAAGTCACCCACGCCGTCGTCACCGTCCCAGCCTATTTCAACGACAACCAGCGACAGGCTACAAAGGATGCTGGTGTGATCGCAGGTTTGACTGTTCTCCGCGTCGTCAACGAGCCTACGGCCGCAGCTATCGCCTATGGACTCGACAAGACCAGCAAGAAGGAAAGCCAAATTATCGTCTACGATCTCGGTGGTGGCACTTTCGATGTCTCTCTGCTCTCAATTGACGACGGTGTTTTCGAGGTCCTGGCTACTGCTGGTGATACCCATCTTGGCGGTGAAGATTTCGATCAGCGAGTCATCGACCACTTTGTCAAGCTCTACAACAAGAAGAACGACGTGGATATTCGAAAGGACCTCAAGACTATGGGTAAGCTCAAGCGCGAAGTCGAGAGAGCCAAGCGAACCCTGTCGTCTCAAATGTCCACTCGCATCGAAATTGAAGCCTTCCACGAGGGCAAGGATTTCTCCGAGACTCTGACTCGAGCCAAATTTGAGGAACTCAACATGGATCTGTTCAAAAAGACTCTCAAACCCGTCGAGCAAGTCCTCAAGGATGCAAAAGCCAAGAAATCCGACATTGACGACATTGTCTTGATCGGTGGGTCTACTAGAATTCCCAAGGTTCAGTCAATGATCGAAGAGTACTTCGGTGGCAAGAAAGCCAGCAAAGGCATCAACCCTGATGAAGCCGTTGCATTCGGTGCTGCCGTTCAAGGTGGTATCCTCTCTGGAGAAGCCGGCACGGAGGACATTGTCTTGATGGATGTCAACCCACTTACCCTTGGTATCGAGACCACCGGAGGCGTCATGACTAAACTGATTCCTCGCAATACTGTTGTCCCCACCAAGAAATCCCAGATCTTCTCGACGGCCGCCGATAACCAGCCTGTGGTCCTCATCCAGGTCTTTGAAGGTGAACGATCATTGACCAAGGACAACAACCTCCTCGGTAAATTCGAACTCACCAATATCCCCCCTGCGCCTCGTGGTGTCCCTCAGATTGAAGTGTCGTTTGAATTGGACGCCAACGGCATTCTCAAGGTTTCGGCTGGCGACAAGGGAACTGGTAACTCCAAATCTATTACTATCACCAATGACAAGGGTCGTCTCTCACAAGAAGAGATTGACCGCATGGTCGCCGAGGCTGAAGAATTCGCGGAGGAAGATAAGTTGATTCGGGAAAAGATCGAATCCCGAAACCGACTGGAGAACTACGCAGTCAACATCAAGAACCAAGTCAACGACGAAGAGGGACTAGGTGGCAAGATCGACGAGGACGAGAAAGAGACTCTTCTCGAAGCCATCAAGGAAGCCCAGGACTGGCTGAGCGAGAACGGCGACACCGCCGACAAGGACGACCTTGAGGAACAATACCAGAAACTGTCCGAGGTCGCATACCCCATCACGAGCAAGCTCTACGGAGGTGGAGCTGGAGGCATGCCAGACTATGGCGATGACGATGAGCCCACGCACGATGAGTTGTGAGCTGGCATCTGACTCGGTCTGGTATGATAATCCTTATGACTGCTTTTGATGGGCATTTTTAGACCACTCGACCTGGGACGATAAAATAAAAGCCACATAGGTCGAGAGGCTGGGCGTTGTTTTTCATGATTTTTGAAACCCCTGGCTGGATGGGTCGTGACTAGATACCATGAATGAAATTGCTCTTGTTTGTAACTGAAGTCATTTTTAATTCATTCTTATTTTATTTTTATTTCTTTTGTGGCGTGTTCGTATCTGGACAAATCTCGACAAGTCTCACAAGTGAGAAAGTATAACCTCCAACACGAGGGATAAACATACCTACCTAAGTCTAAATGGTAGGACAAAGTCACACCAAACCTTACCTCACCAATCGAAGTCAAAATATCATCACCAACCACAACCACAACCTCAACAACAATATCCCACTTCTTCAGCTTCACACAAGTCTAAATCATCTATAAATGTTCCCACTTCGCATCACCATCACGACAAGAAATCTCCTCCACCCCTTGGCCAGCAAACGTGCATTCAACAACCCCATTCCTCGTGCAATTCATATCCGACGCATCGAATCCAAAAACCTTCACCACCCCCTCCTTCAAGCTCGACCACACAAAATAACTGGTGGTGCACCAACCCAACACCACAACAATCCAACCATGACTAGTTCCGATTCCAGTTCCACCATGTATCAATTGACATTCTACGTCCCCACTCAAGACACACAACGTGTTCTTTCCGCAGTCCATGCCACTGGGGCAGGGACCTGGCCTAATGATTCAAATTCACCAGAGAAATTCGACAACGTCGCTGACCCTCCTAAATATGTCGAAGTGGCTTTCATTACTCGAGGGACAGGACAATTTCGACCTACGGAGCATGCGAAGCCGCATATTGGTACTGCGGGGGGAGAGGTCGAGTATGTGGATGAGAATAAAGTCGAGATGGTGGTGATGGGAACGGAGGTGATGAGGAAGGCTGTGGAGGCGTTGAAGGAGACCCATCCGTATGAAGTAGTGGCGTTTTTTGTTACGAGGTGTGAGAGCGTTTGAAGCATAGGGATCAATGAGTGGTTGAGGGATGGAGGATGGATTTCTCGATCATGGGTTAAGGAGGATGGGGTCATGGATCAGAGATTAAGAATGCGTAGATGCTAATACATATGTAAATAGCTCTCATTCATACTATATTGCATTCAGACGATGGTATTTCTAAATCATATGGAACAGTCCTTCATATCATCTTCCAGTTCCCCCATCGTGGACTCGATCAATAGTCGAAATTCTCAAAAGCAATACTCTTTCCCGGCAGCCATGCCTGGACCTGTTTCCGCATTGCAGGAGCCGTGCAAAGATACCAGTTGCCCACCTTTTCGTCTGCGGCAGTCAGATCTTCCTGACTTAGTCGTCGCCGTTCAATCTTGACTCCTGTGTCCAAGAGAGCCTGTAGAGACTTCTTTTCTTCTTCGTTCGACAATATATCTTCACTGCCTGTCAGAAAAATAGTCAACATGGTCTTCAGCTCAGGGTGCTGTTGCAGCAAGTCCACAGCGATCCCGGTGTCCCGCACCCCCAGACTCCAGAGTGTGATGACGCGGGTAAGATCAAGGTCTTTCACTTGGCCGATTAAAGGAGTGATGCCAATTCCTGCGGCAATGAAACCGATGGTCTGGTGATTCTCCTGGTCAAAGATAAATTCGCCTCCAAACCCGCGTATCCCAATTTCAGCCATACCAGGTCTCTGCCATTCTAGCCATTTGGTCACGTTGCCAACCCTCCGAACAGTGATTTCAAATTCTTCGCCATGCTCTCCAAGGGAGTTCGGCGAAGAGGAAACAGTAAATGTGCGGAGGAAGTCGTCGTTGAGACTTGTTGGGTCGTCGTCTCGCATATGAGAATAACCCATGTACAACTCATGAGAGAAGTCCATGGCGACATACTGGCCGGCTTTCCAAGGTCCGAGGATAGCAGGATCCGACAAGGCAAATCTATACCTCGAAATGGTCGGGGTGAGCTTAGTCTTCTCAACCAACTGCGCTGTCACTGGTGCGTCCTCTCCAGGTGTCTTTGCGAATTCCTCATGGTTCTCGGTTATCAGGGTTCGAACTCGAGGATTGTACGGCGAGCGACCATGGGTACCGTCCTCAACTGTTGTTCCGCGATACGCAAGGCCGTCTTGAACGAGTCTGGCACCCGTGAGCTTGAGAGATACAGCGAGTTTGCTTTTAGCTATCACCGCGCTGGCTTCTCCGCCGACCAAGACTTGAGTGGTGCCGGTGACATACAAAACATCACCAGTCTCAAAGTTTGGAATGACAATGCCAGCTTTGGGTGTGGCTTCAAGGTTGCCTAGAGTCTGATACAAATTGTTACCGCTGTACTCTGGCCACACAATTGTGCTAGCCTCCTCCAAGCTCTGCGGTTGAGCGACTCGGATGAATCCTTGAGGTCCTCCTCGGATATTTGCATCCATGTCCTCGTGCTCATGTACTGATGCAACAAACATTGTGTCCGCATTCTTGATCAGATCGAGTGCTGCCTGAGACAGATGCGTCGAGTCGGATAATAATAATGGCTTTGGTGTTGAAGATGTAATTATGCGTTTGTTGATATACTTCGGGCAGTTGGGAACGCATTGCTCGATGCTTGCTGCTAGTTGGATGTTTCCAGGCTTCCCACTTGTCGTGCCGTCGTCCTCTGACGCAGGCTCAGCCTCGTCAGGTGCATTCAGTGAGCCCGCAATGATTTTGCCGGCAAGTTTGAGACGTGATCGCTGCTCTAGGTTGATGCCCAAGGCACTGAAAATCTTCCCTGCACCTTCATGACGTACTATCTCACCATCATCTTGACCATTCCAGATGGCTTCGACAACTGGGTCAAAGCTGGCATCGACTTCGGACCTGATGGCGATGACATTCTGAGCGATGGCTTGGGACAAAGGAGGAGAGCCTGTTCCCCAGAGAGTGGCCCACGGTCGATCTTGATCGTCCAGGGTGCCAACAGCCATCAGAGGATAGCGGGGGATTCTGGCGGCGAAAGTGGCTGCAAGGAATGGTGATGTAGGATTGTCTCCATGGTCATCGACACCCACCCTTTTCTGGATTGCCCGCTCTCCAGTGTGCCATTCGAAGGCCATATGATAAGCCATGGTGTTGGATAAGAAGCAGCGGTAATCGGGAGTAGAAAGTTGTTTTTCGAATGGACAAACGTACGGAGGGTGGCGAGTCTGTGCTCCGCAATGTATTTATACCTGCCTATTCATTTTTGAAGAAGCCGACCAAAAGTAACTGTCCAGCTGGATGCCTCAAGGTTAGTAATCCAGGCAAGCCAAATCTCAAAGAGCCAGATATATTTGATTCGTCTCAATTAGAGTATGTTAAGGCGGCCATCTCGCCAGCTGAATGAACCAAATGGTCAGAGGAGGATAATGGCGAGCCGAGCGGGATAAATGATGGAGATCTGGGGCATGACACCATCTTGATTGTCAAGAAATGTAGAGCGAAGTCCAGTTAAATCTCACGAATCTCTCAGCGTTCTTAAGTAACCATCCGCCACTTTTGGTGCTTAGGGCGGCCACTGGGGCCACAATTGGCTCCGTGACCATGAACATTTGAAGCAGCCAGTAGTAAGTCTAGGATGTTGTGCCAGATGTAGCTGGCGCATCGGATGTTCGACGATGACAGATGTTGGTGCTTCCGGTCTGCCGAAATGGTCTAGGTCATGCTGAAGGTTCCACAATCAACACGAAATCGATGGCAGCCATGTTCTGTTGAAGCTCACAGTTGTTGGTCGTGAGAAAGAAATATAGGATCATCGAGGTTTGCATTTGCAAGTGTCTCACCAAGGCAGGACCAACCCTTGCCTATCATATTGTCTGAGAAAGGAACTCCACTCATGAGTAACTTGACTATCAAGTTCATTGAATTATTGGATCATTACATTCATTTCTTCTCCTTCCCCCTTTGCTTCCATCAGTATCACTTCTCTCTTGTAAATCCTCGTTGGCGCCAGACGAGTTCCAACTCATCTAATATCACTAAGTCTTCCCCGCTACTCATCTGTGCTGTTCTGTCCTGCACATCTCGACGCAATATCTCGATCGATCTCAGATCTGAAGCTGCGTATCCGAAAATCAACGTTGGCCATGAGCCAAGGTAACACCGAGTCCACCCTTGTTTGGATTCTGTACATGTCATGATCTTCAACGCTCGATCCATTTGCCACGAATCAATTGGTGGCGGCAGATGGCAACAAGGTTGATCAGAAACATCATGCGAGTTCTTGATCCAGTGCATAAGCAATGACGTGGCAAGGATGTGCAGGCTTGTTGAATGCTGGTTGAACGCTTCAGCTCTGTCAGAAGAGTTGAGAAGCAGATAGTCTGGATGACCGCCGTCCATACAGACTTGCTCGTCAATGACCATGCTCTCCCAGTATTTCAGCTCAGATTCCAGGCAATTCAGAGTTTCGACGTCTGGCTTGACACGACTTTGACTCACTCGCACAACGGAGATGATGAATTTTTGGAGTTTGAGCGGAAATCCGATCACAGGGCTACTCTCTCGATCCGTCATGTATGAAAACCCCGAACTATCCAGTACTTTCTCAGCGAATTGATAGAATTTGTCGTCGGGCTGGTAATCCTTCCAGAAAGGATTTCTCACACTCTGCCGGAAGCTTTGGTACAAAATAGACTCCCACATGATGCGGTCAAATGGTCGACTAATGGGTGCTTTTCGGGACTGTGCGCATCGAAGAGTCATCAACTGAATCGCACCATCCAAGTGTTTGCGAATGTCTCTTTTTGTGCCACAGAAGATGATCTGTTCAGTTTGTCAGCTACCGACTGGAACTCTGCCATCTTGATTTGGTCTCTCGGGACGCAACCTACCCCATGCACATAAAGTAATACCACAGTTAACAGCACACTGTCTTCGAAGCCATCTCTCTTCCAATCAACCAAATGCAAAGCCTGTCCAACATCGGAAACGGCCTGAGAATAAAAATTCAGCCCAGCTTCGTACAGATCTGCATTACCGGTGTGGAATTGTTTATGGGATGCACCACATGCTAGCACTACATTTTTCAATCCACTAAACATGGGCATCATATTCGTTGTCGCTGGCAAGTATTCGGCTCGATAACTGGCATGCGAACTTGGAAGAATCAGAGGGGGCATCACCTCGTACAGAAAATGGCGAAAACAGTCCACTTCAAGATCCGATTTGAAATGTCCAGAAGCAACCAGATCATCACAGGGAGAGATCTCGCGAGAAACCTTGATGCACAATGGCCGTCTCGCAGGTCGTCTTTCATGAAGCGGTTCCACATGCTCAGGGTCTGGTGAGACATATTCAAGACTCGACGAAGAGGACGGTCGAGGAACTGGAGAGCCATGACGATGTCGACGATCACGTAAATCGTCCTGAGTTGGCCATGAGCAGACCCTGTTGGATTTCATACACCTTGAACATTGCGGCTTTTGCTCGTTACATTTCTTTCGCTTGAGACGGCCTTAAGAAACAATCAAGGTCAGTTGTGAGAATGTCTCGGCAGGGATCCATGTCACCCTAGTGACCACATGGCTACTTACACATCAAGCATCCAGTCTTGGTTCGAAGCGTCGCGCTAGACGTGTACTTCGGATATGGCATGGTTTTCGGAGAGTTGGCCTCTTTAGCCCTGCTCATTCGGTCAATATGTACCGCTCAAGTCTGCGCATCACATTGCGAGTGGCGCGTGGAATTGCATGATCTGCACTTTGGACGTTTGTTGCAGCTGTTCTCCTCGAGTGAATCTTGCAATTTGTAAGGGACTCCGGGAGACTTCCGCAAGGAACGAAAGATAAGTGACCCTTATCTCTGTCAGGGTACGAGTGGGGATCGGGACTTCTCTCGGCTTAACGATTTACAGGGTCAATAGGTACTAGTTTCAATTCGGTAAACCTCCAGCCACTTCGCCCAATGAGACGCTCACGACCCCGCCATGAGGATATGAGCAGGCCTAAAAGATATGTCGGGCTAGTTACGACTGTCTAGATCTGTGTATCATATGTGACTCTTCAACACTAATTGGATGGAAAAGAACCTCTCCTCTGTTCTTAGATTCCTAGATCCTTTGCTATTACTTCCACAGCAGATATCAACTCTTCGTCCAGTTCCGGTCGCGCAATGACCTGGACGTTGCAAGGCGCACCATCTACCTTTTCCGGCTCATCTGAGAATCGGTCAGCGGCAACGTCAGCTTCCATGGCCAGAACAACTACTTACACGCTGGAACTTTTGAGTCCGCGACATCCACAGACTTGTCGGCGTGCAGATATGGTATGATACACGCAGGGTACTGTCAACATGTTAGCTTCATGACTCCGCAAAGACAAGGCGGAGTCTTACAGCGAGCAGGTTCCAGTAAGCAGTATAAGCCGGCATCCTGAAGGTATCGTGTGGCACTGCAGTGCAATGAGAACCAGGTGTCAAAAGGACATCCATCTCGTTCTCCATAAAGATTTTAAACCATTTTTCTTGCAACTTGGATCTGCCTGCCGTGTGATCCAAGAAAGCATCCATGGTCTTGGTCTTTCGACCCTCCGGAGGTGGGGTGTACATGTCCTTGACCGAAGGCACCCAAGGTTCGCCCGAATCCTCGATAAATTTGAATCCTGCGAGCGAATTATCAATATCAAAGAAGTCCCATGCCGCCTTGGTCACTTCTGCGAACGATGGAAAATTTTCCAACATAACAATCTTGTGACCCGCCTCCTGCAACTTTTTAGTCGCTGTCTTGACGGCACGAAGTATAGGCGGCGTCACTGGGAATGTTGGACACTCGAAGATAACTCCAATGGTCAGGCTCTTCTTCACAGGCGTGGGACTCCAGGGAATGGCCACAGCACTGTAGTCAAATTTCCAAGGCTTAGCTTGAATGACCGTCTGGAGAAAGAGTCTCAGATCTCTAGCACTGTTGGCAAGAGGGCCTGCAACAGGGATGATACCGGCCCACCCTGGATTATTCTTTGTCAGTATCCACTGTGGCTGTTTCGACGATCATTCCATTCTTGTTCGTGGGACAGCGAGAGACTTACCATCACGGATCGGCATTACTTGGCCTCCGAATGGAATACGGTCAGTCGATGGCTTGAAACCAAAGGTTCCGCAACAGAGAGCAGGAATTCTGATGGAGCCTCCAATATCGGTGCCTACGCCCAAAATCGAACCTCTCATGCCTACCAATGCTCCTTCTCCACCACTACTACCCCCGGCATTGATGCTCAGTTTGTACGGATTCTTTGACTCGAATTAGATCAGCTGGCACAGTTGTGGCCTTGACTTACCATTGTGCGGCCGAAGACATTATTGTCCGAGTCTGCCGTCATCAGGGTTTGTGGGATGTTGGTTTTGACGTACAGAACTGCGCCGGCTTGCAAAAGGATGTCGACCAGAGGCGAGTTCGTATCTGCTGGAGGATGACTGATGAAAGACACATAGCCAATGCATGAGTTGATGCCTTTGAGATTGAACGAATCCTGCTCTCACTTAGGTCCTGTGGAGGTTTCCAGAGTTGAAGCACTACAAACCTTGAGACTGATTGGCAAGCCATGAAGCGGCCCCAGTGGTTTACCCTCTTTCTCCAGATACTCATCCAGATATTTGGCCCTTTCTAAACCTTGTTCAAAGAACATTTCGGTCAAGCAATTGGTCTATACCTATGAGTACATGACTTCACGGCAAGGCAGGGGTGGACGTACAACTTGATGAGCAATTGCAGCACGTTTGCAAAACGCCAACGTAACATCGTATGACGACAGTTCCTTGCTCGCAAGTTTGGCAACGAGGTCAACAGCATCATATTTCTCCGTGATCTCAAGCTCCTTGGGAGTCAGGATACCGCATTTCGAAGGGACATCCAGAACATTGGTGTCGGCACTTGGGCTAATGGTATCGAGGATATCCTTTGAGAGGCGCCATTCTTGTGGCAATTGTTTCCCCACCTCGGCTCGCTTTTCAGCGACAACCTCTTTCCAGTCTCGAACCATGCTGAATAGTTTGGGGTGAAGTACTGGATACAGGGATATCAGAATGGAAGAGAAGTATTTATACACCCAGGACAGTCTCACTATTACTAGGTTAATGTCAGAGCAGGCAGAGACGATGTTCTTATAGGAATGAACAGTTCCCAGCTTGCCCGATAAGATATATACGTTCCATATACCGTGATTCTGATATCAAGAGTCGTTGCGGGGGGCGGGAACTATTTGACGCCTCGGTCCAAATACGCTGGCCAATGATGCGTTCTTGCGCGAAAGTTCACGCCAATGACTCCTCGTAATTCAATCCACAATAGCTTAGAGTGAAATTCACAGGGTTGGCATTCCGGGCGGTAGTCCAGTTGATTCGGCGATGACTTAGGTCTAGCCATGGTAGGAGGAGATTCCTATCTATGCTAACCTCTACGAATAGATGTGTTTTCCGAACCGTCACGAACCCAGACAATATGCACAGCCAGTAAAGGCCCACTAACCCCCGCAAAGAAATTCGAATTGTCCCAAAAAGGAAATCATGGCACGCGTTAAAAGCGGCACTGCGATATTAGGCACGTGCACGGCAAATCCTCGGTTGATATAGACATAATTTTTTTTGGCAAGAGCGACTCATATGAATTCGATGATGCGTGACTTCAACATCAAAATCAACAACCATCGACTACATCACAGACTTCGACCACATCTTCATCTGTCAGTCATACAACATAATCCATGTATTGACTTCAATCTAAGAACGGGCAATGGTTGGAAATAACGCCTTCTAGCCATGCCATATTCTTCCCCCAGGCCACTTCCCGAATCCTGTCAAGATATGGCTGATGCCTTATATTCATGCTGCGGCAACTCGTGACCAAGACTCACCCGTTCTCAACATCAGTCCGGTTTGGATCTCCACTGTCGAAGATCTCCCGTATGTCCAAGACCATGGAGTCAATCATCAGAGACCGTACCCGACTGGGAAACCAGCCATATGTCAACTGCAAGACCCGTATTATCAGCCTGATGGATATTGAAATCCCTGAAAAGGCATCCGATGACGAGTATCGCCAGCTCTACAAAGCATACGTTGCCAAGGCACCTACAAACTCCAATGCTCAACTACTTCTTGACGCTGTCGACTCCATCAAATACGGTATATGCCCTCCAGTCGCATTCCCCACTGAAACAGTCTATGGACTCGGAGCAGATGCAACAAACGAGCCGTCAGTTGCGGGAATCTTCGCTGCGAAAGGTCGTCCCAGTGACAATCCGCTCATTGTGCATGTCTCTTCTGTACAACACCTAGAACGGGTCACTGGATCTGCCCTCCCCGATATCTACAAATCCTTGGCCGACAAATTCTTCCCTGGCCCCCTGACGATTCTCCTACCCGTTCCAACACCCTCCCACTTCGCCAGAAATGTCCATCCGGGCCAAGAAACCATCGGCTTCCGAATCCCATCTTCCAAATACGCTCGCTTCTTCATTGCTGTATGTGACCGACCAATTGCTGGTCCATCGGCTAATTCTTCTGGGAAACCGTCTCCAACCACGGCACAACATGTCTTCGATGACTTGCAAGGCAAGATCAATTTCATCCTTGATGCAGGGCCCTGTGATGTCGGTGTCGAAAGCACTGTAGTCGATGGTCTACATGACCCGCCATTGATACTCCGTCCTGGTGGGGTATCACAGGCTGAGTTGATCGCACATGGAAATCGGTATGACAATCGATTCGCCCACACCGCTATCGGATACCAGCGACACGACGATCAATTAAACTCCATGCCGACATCTCCATCCGTACCTTCCAACGTCTCCACTCCATGCTCTTCGAGTTCAACACTGGCTCTGGCAGGTAAATATGATCACCATGCCAACGGTGCTCCTCGCGCCCCAGGAATGAAATACCGCCATTATGCACCCAAGGGGCGAATGACCTTGTTCTCCCAAAGGGCTGTCGAGAATGACCGAGTCCAAACGAAGCTGGACAATCTTGTCGAAGCAAGTCCGGCCAGTAACATCCGCTTGGGTATCATATCTTGCCACTGGCCTCCATTCGCCGGCTTACATCTACCATCCCCACCATCTAAATCATCACATATCGACACCGATTCAGATCCAGTGTCACAATCAGCCTACTCAGCCATCACAAAGACCGCCCACCTCAATCTTCCCAACAAGACCAATCTCACCCTCTACGACGTCCATCTAGGCCCCGAAATATCTGTGCTCGCGCAATCACTCTTTGGCGTCCTCCGGCTTTTTGACGACTTGAAGTGCGACTACATTTTCGCCGAGACCGTGCGAAGAAGTACACCGTCTGAAATTGAATCCAAGACGGATCTCAATTCTGTCGATGTTCCAAAACTCATCGACCGCGATCATGTCATCAAGAAACGTGACCTTGAAGATGCTGTTATTGATCGCATCGAAAAGGCTGCTGGCGAAAGAATAGATTCTTAACTCTTGAGCCGCGCAGTCTGCTTTCATTGACCTGCGGTGCTCAGCTCTCACTAATGAGGAATAAGATCGACCCTTTTTAATCGACATAGCCTACCCTATCAAGCCAGGAGAAACCTGCAAAACGTCATGTACCACTACGTAACCTGCTCATACCCAGGAGTTGAGATAATATAGAATGATTTCATGTGCTTGTTCTATTCAGGATATACGTCTTCTTGGTCTTGACGACCATGGCAGCTTATGTTCTAAGGACACTGTCCATACTACAGACCTTGGAAAAAAGGCTTCTTGTCCTCTTATTCCTTTTTCTTTCATCTCTTCCCTTTTCCACCACCAGATTTCCCCTTCCCCTTCTCCTTCCCACCACCAGGCGGACCATTCCTCTTCTTCGCCGCTGTAGCAGAAGCCCCAACCGCTCCAAGAAGACCACCACCCTGTACAATGCGTGCACCCTTGACAGGTAAATACCCGACAATCTCCTCAACCCTCCAATCCTTAAGCAAATCCAACTCACGACGCCACACGCGGTCCTTTTCACGACTCGTCTCATCCACGATCTTCGGTCCTCTCGCACCAAGCCCCGTCCAGAACGTGACGATTTCACGCACGACTTTCCCTTTCTTGACCGTGCCGGGCTGGAGCTTGACTTTATATTTCTGTCGCGTCATCGCTGTCCATGGTGCGACCATGGGGATTGCGGCCAGTAGTTCATCGCCCGGTTGTGGCGCGGGAACTATTCGATCGATGTTGAGGAGTTCTTGTCGTTCCTGTTCGATTTGTTCGCGACTGAGTTCGTCGTCTTGGTCGAGTATGGCGTCGGCGCCGGTGCCTGCGGTGGCGGCAGCGGCAGTGGCTTTTTCTATTCTCTCACGGCGTTGGCGTTCTTTTTCTGCTGCTTTGGCGTGTTGTGCAGCTCGTCGTTCCTTGTCGGCTTGTGCTTTGGCTTCGCGCGCGGCTTTTTCGAGTTCGGCGGCTTGTTTCCGTTCTTGTCCTCGTTCGGATCCCAGGAGATGCATTGCTAGGGCTCGGTCTTCTTCGTCTTGCTCGGCGTATTTCTTCTGTGCGCGTTTGGCTTTGCTGCGCTTGCCGCGAGTTAATTGCTTGGATTTGGTGTTGGAACTCTGTGGTGTTTGCGAGGAGTTGGGTGTGGAGACGCCTGTGGACAGTGGTTCGGGCGTGGCGTTTTCGGAATTGTCGTGATCTTCTTCTTCCTCTTCGGCCTCTGACTCTTCCTCTATCTCAACTTCTGTCTTTTTGATTGTATCATCTTTGGTAGCCGTGGGCTGTGTGGAGGTTTGTAAAGGATTGCTTCGCTGCTCTTCCATATCGGATGCTCTGTCGGCGTCGTCATCGTCGTCATCGTCGTCTTCATCACTAGGAATTTCCGCAGCATTGACAGCCACGCCATCATCGTCGCTGATCTCCTTCTCTGCTTCTTCAGCGGCGTCTTCCAAGTCGGGAATGACCTGATCTTGATTCGAAGACTCTTCAATAACCTCTTCAGCGATGTTTGCATCACCAAGAGACAGCGCTTTCGTGTCGTGTGCCAATCCCTCGGCTTCCCGGTTTAGAGCAGTCTCGGTTCGATCCAACCGGTGTTTACCATGATTTGCCCGACTTTCTTCGCTGATCAGCCACATGACTCCGAAGCCCAGCAATAGTTGAGTAGGAGGGAGAATATTCTTGCGGCCCCGAATCACGAATCCGCCAGTCTTGAGGTATTCGCCATCTGGAGCTGTCTTACTGACTTGATCTGATTCAACCCACCAGGCCCCCATCACTGCCTTCGAGTCCCAGGCGGTGCTCGTACATACTGTCAATGCTCCGGCCTGCGAAAGAGTTGATGGAGGGATCGGCGCATCCGGCGTCCGGGGGTTATTTTTCACGATCACACTAGACGCCCCCTGCAAATCAGCGTGTACATAGGCATCACCTTTCTTGAGGTAACGCCGGTACAGAAGTTCGTTCTGCTGCGCATCCTTGCCTCCAATCACCAGATAGCCATCGCTGGAGATAAAGAACAGGAATTTCTCGAACCAGAACTGCTTGCGTGAGACTCGCAATGCAGCTTTCTCCTGTTTCAGTCCTTTCTTGAGATCGCTTTCGATCTTTTTCTCGGCAGACTGCAGGGCTTTGGCAGAAGCCTCCAGCGTCTTCTTCTCCTTGACCGCAGCACTCTTTTTCTGATCGTAGTACTGTCGGGCGTTGGCCCACGGAGAGAGGGCGAGATCAATGTCAATGGCAAGTTTCTTTTCCGACCCCCCATGGGAGAGTTTCGCCTTGTCCGGCTCTTCATCGGAGTCACTTTCGTCGTCCGTTCTGTCTTCCTCGTCGCTTTCATCTTCAAATTCCTGACCAGGTTCGTCGAGTAGAAGTGTCACTGTGTTTTCTTCGAGTTTCAAAGGTAGTTTCACCATTTGCGCCACCACATTTGCACGCTTTTGTTCATTTTCGATCAACTTGCCGATGTCGACCCAATCCATACCTTGACCGATCAAGCCATTGACAGCAGCACATGCCTCTTCAACCCAGTGCGTATTTGCTTCGATGGCCTGGGCTTTTCGAATGTGCATTTCTTGCACGTGCTGCAGCGCACCGAGTCGATTCTCGTGTTCAGCCCGGGTGGTCTCAATCTTTCTCCTCGCCGCTTGCTCGCGCTCAGTCAAGCGTGATTCGAGTCTCTGGGATTCGATTGAGGAGTAGAACTCATCCACGGTGCGGTTGAAGCCGTCGAATTCGAGAATCTTCATGCCAGGTTTGGCTTCGTACTGAGCCGGGCGAAAGGGATGAAAGTCATCATAGAGGAGGCTCTCTTGCTCAGGCGATGCCGCTTCAGGCCCTGCCGGCTCTGTGCTAGCTGTTTCTCGTATCTTCGCAATGATATAGCCCTTGTCTTGGCCCTTGCCTAATGAATCGAAAATGGACTTGGCTTGATCCAGTGCCTTGACGACATTCTGGAACGAGTCCTGGTCTCGGAGGACAGCATCGGCTTTTGTGGCTCCGTCAAGACCAGCTTGCCGGAAAACATGCTCTAGAAGCTGTGAGGGTACCTCTGGAAAGGCAATGCTCAAAGCCTTGCCTAGATCATCCAGTCCTTTCGCCCTCTTAGCTTTTTTACCGCCAACTTCGTTTGCAGCCTTAGCACGATCCACAGCTGACTGTAACGCGTCCTTTATTCTTTGTGGAGTGATAGGTGGCACACCATGATAATTTTGTTTCACATCGGTGAGATACTTCCCACCTAATTTGACGTCGACGTCTTCGTCTCCCTCACTGACCTGCCTCAACAAGACCAGGACATTTAACTCCGCGTCGGTTACCACGATGTTGCCTGCGGCGAAAAACTCGAGAAACAGTCGATATTGTCCATCACTGAAGGTGATCTCAATTACTCGATCGGTACCGAGTTGTGTGACGCCTGTCACGCGCCTACTCTTGAGGTATTTTCTCAGCCGACTGACAAATTGTGACGGGGCGGTGGCTGCCGTGCGGGAGAAGGAAGTCAAGTGACACCGGAAGCCGGAATCTACCAGCAATTGTTCACGCCGCCCGGGCTTTGCAAACTTGAAGAGGAAGATTCGGCTAGAGAGATCGTAGATGTTGGACACTCGCAGGGAGACCAGAGATGCGGCCAATTCAGTAGCAATGACCTGTGGAATAATGGGTGTCAGTCATTTTCTCCTCGGTGGTGGGCAATTGGGAGGAGCGAGGACGAGCGAGAGCACTTCTCACCTTGACATCTAAAGAAGAGAAACGCTGCTTCATGGCGGGGCGAATTACAACGATGGAAATGGACTGCAGAGAGGAGGAAATGAGCGGGGAAAAGAAGGGTTGGCCTCAAGGGCAGGAGGGACCAATGAGTTGTTCAACGAGAGCGAAATAGAGCCTCAATTCCAAATGTAAATTGTATCAAACAATTATCTCGCGTGTACAAATAACGGACAGTGATAATGACGGTTGGGATGCTGACGAATGACGTCGACTGAAGGGGACGGGCATCGGAAAAATTAACCCCGGCAAGGCTACTAAGAACGCGAGGCTATGAGACTGAGATTCTTCGCAAGGCTAGGTTGTGACTCCAGCCAAACATTTCCTACTGAGTGGCAAGGCTGAAGGTTGATCACAACCATTGATGGCATTGACTGCACAAGCCATCGGTCAACCTGGGGTTGGCTTGTTCTAGTATACGGCACCAGGAATCCATGTCTCTTTGCAATTGCAGGAGAGGGGTCTCAAGGTCCAAACAGCATAGCATCCTCCGTCACTGGCGATGCGTAAACAAGCCCCTAGCGCCCAGTGGTCTCGTCATCTTTAGAATGAGGTATTGCTCTATTATCATGTCATGCAATACTGAAAATTTTGAACTCCAACATATCCGCGCATGGTCTTCCATCATAAGTTCCTCCGGACAAACTCCATACCCTGCTTCTTGCCAAACTCCCACAAATTCTGGATGCCTTGTTCGCTGAGATCAATGTTCTTCATGTTAGGGGCATCCTGAGCGGGTGCCTTTGACACTCTGGACGCGACCATGACGGGGTCTGTCTCCAGAACGATGCCATCGTCGACGATCTCGTCGATCGCTAGTGTCACTAGATCGTAGTTCTCCATTATCGTCCGCTTGTCGGTTGAGTTTCTGTCAAAGGTTTCATAATGTTAGCGCAGTTCATCCGTATGTGGTACATGGTTGATGCCGGGGGGGGGGAGGGTGCGGCGCACTTTAACAGAATGCTCAATGTATCTCTCAACGCAAGGATCACGTTGTACAGTAAGATCTCGTTCTCTTCAGCGCCTCCCACCACGTAGAGCATTACATCGCTCTCGTTCTTGAACACCACCACTTTGTTGTCGTAGAGGATCACGTCGGAGGTGGCTTTGGCGGTCTTTTCGAGCAGTCCCTTCTCGAATGCCTTTTGTTCCTTCACGTTGGCATACGGTTGTGTCGGCGTCGGCTGGGTTGTGGATGTGTGAGGGGCGGTATAGTATTTGGCAAAGAGTCGTGAGGTGTCAGGGGGTCCGTCTGCAGCGAGGATCAGCACTCCGACCACGCTGTATAGTGAGAGAGCCATGTTGGCTGATGATCCGGTCCGGTGCTGATGCAACTTGCTCTCGTGCGATTGAGGGATGGACGAGGAATAGGCCAGGAGGTTTCATTGACCCTCAACGGATGGTCTCCAAAGTGTCCTCAGGCGCGGAGACCATGTGAACTGTGGTTGGATCATGAATGATTCGACGTACGTGTCTTGGCAAAGTTTACAGCGGGCTATATACTGAAGTACGCAATATCACTCCTCTTTTTTTCTAATTTTGATATAGAGCAATCGAAATATCAATAAACAAGTGAAGACCCAGAGTTTTCTCGACAATTAAGCCCGCCCGGGCTACTTTGGTCACTATGGGCAAGTCGTCCAAGGACAAAAGAGACGCATATTATCGTCTCGCCAAAGAACAAAATTGGCGCGCCAGGTCAGCGTTCAAACTCATTCAAATTGACGAGCAATTCGACTTGTTCTCCTTTGCAGATCCATCAAAATGTACCCGAGTGGTCGATCTGTGTGCTGCACCCGGCAGCTGGAGTCAGGTACTGTCGCGGATTCTCATCAAAGGTGAAAGTTTTGGACGAAGGGCATGGATGGAGAGAATGAATAAATTGCAAACTCGGATGCAAGTCACGGATTCGTCGAATACAGTTCAGGATGCGACTGAGCAGGTCTCATCACTCGATCTAGATATCGACCAACAAAAGCCTACGTTGAAACCTCGTGAGAATGTCAAGATTGTCGCCATCGATCTCCAGCCGATGGCGCCTCTCGATGGCATTATTCAATTGAAGGCGGACATCACACACCCATCAACCGTCCCTCTCCTCCTCAAAGCCATTGATCCGGACTTTGACCAAGACAACGAAACACATCGCGTGGACCTGGTGATCAGCGACGGCGCCCCTGACGTGACGGGTCTTCACGATCTCGACATATATGTTCAGTCTCAGCTTCTTTTCTCGGCCCTTGCTCTAGCTATGAAGGTGCTTCGGCCAGGTGGAAAATTTGTAGCAAAAATCTTTCGAGGGAGAGATGTGGATCTAATTTATGCTCAACTCAAGTTGGTGTTTGACAGAGTCCATGTTGCCAAACCGAGGTCGAGCCGGGCGAGCAGTATCGAAGCCTTTGTGGTATGTGAAGGCTACACACCAATCCAGGGATGGACTCCCGAACTCGGACAGGTTTTGGAAGTTCCACAAGCCAAAGGGACAAAGAAAGAAAAAGACACGACGCTGGATCCGCATCAGGAACTCAGACATGTACGCGAGGATGGCATCGTGGAAATTCATTTCGAAGCCGACGAAGCCGACCCCAAGAGATGGGTTGCCCCGTTTCTCGCTTGTGGAGACTTGTCTGCATGGGATGCAGATGCCACGTATAAGCTTCCTGAAGGTCATACAAGCCTACCTCCTGTGCAACCTCCAACAGCACCGCCGTACAAAGCCGCCATCGAGCGACGGCGAGCAGAGGGAGGAGCTTATGGGAAGACTAAGGACCGCACAAAGGGATGACCAGCCTGGTGCTGTTGAGTGTGATTGTATCACCGCATTTGAGCTCGGATTTGAAGAGCAATCTTGAAGCATTGCCCGACCGAGGAGTTGTATGCGCGGCAAGGGACTATCTGCTCCATGGGAAGACTATTCCTCGGCCTGACTCACGGCATGACCACGTGAATGGCGCAGAAGGGTTTCTTGCATACCATGTGACCTTGGTCTCACGACAGTCTGTTCATGTAAACCGAGGACAAATGCCATCTCCTTCCAAATGTGATGTCACCTTGGGCTTGGTTCGGTTGCACAAATCGGTCGGATAATGGACGGAATTTAGGTCCAGGGCGTACAGACCGGAATAGAGCATGGATGGTAGGAGACCCTGGATTGGGTGAAAAGTCCGGCATTGTATCCCAGGGCTTCCCCAGTCCGGGTTACGATACATACAGTACACGCTGACCCCAGTCTGTCTGTGCATGACCGTTGAGTCAAGAGGCACCATTGCACACACTATTTCATTAACCGTCCAAGCGTTGGAATATGATGTGTGTCAATCGTGGCAGAAATACGGGACGCAAGAAGGCTGCACAGACCTGCAGCCATGCCTGACCAGGTAGCCGTAATGCATGAACATGAGGTTGCTTGTGTTCGCCGGCCTCCGTGAGGGTTTGGAAAAGTGTCTGATTCAAGGCGTGATGTTTTGCGAACAGCTCAGAGGTCGAAAGAGAAAAGAAGGAAGAGGAAGCCGGCTCCCTCCAGCCAGTGTTCCCAGTGTTTACAAGAATCCTTCACGAGAAATACTTGGCCTTGGAGGTGAGTTGCAGGCTGACGGGAGTGCTGGGGAGAAACCTGTCCAAGGACGGCAAAGCATGACCAGTGCATTGCATCGAGAGGAGGGTGTGGAGATCGACAGGTCATCAAGTCGGGTAGTAAAGCAGTCTGCGGTATCGAGAGGAGACTTCAGACCCGCCCGTGTAGAGTGCGAGATGCGGAGAGATGTAGCTGAGACTACTTGGAAAGCCGATCGATCCGAGGTTTTGATTCGGTCACCGTTGGGTGCCCAGACATGAAAATGACGACTTGATGAGTTTGGTTTTGTTTATTTTTAGAGGCTGATTTTGCCTTGGAGAAGGGTCTTTGTCTTGGGAGCACAATTCAACACCACCAAACAATGTCAAGTCCTGTACGTGATTCTCTAGGCAAGGGTCTATACTAAGCAGGATCTGAGAGGTGTGTCAGTTTTCACGTACTGAGAAGAGCACGGATAAAACGTTCCTCATGATGAAGGAATAGTGCAATCGTTTGACCCGCAATGACATATGATTTTTACCGTAAAGCATCTTCGACGACGGGAAGAAGGATGGAAGCACGCCATTGGGAGATGCTGTGCAGGACTCGTCGGATCAAGGTTGCTTAGTGAGCCAAGAAGGTTGACAGCTTTTTTGACATCGAGGAAAGGGACATGGAAAGGTAAAGAGAATATTGTTTTTTGGGAGTTTTGGATGGGTAAACCGGAGCGTAGACGAGGGCACGAGGGATAGGTAGTTGAGGGAGAGGATAGAGAGCTTGTTGGACGAGTGAACGAGGGATTGGATAGTGAATGAGGAGGATTGAGTGGTAAGCAGATGAACCTTGAAAAGAATTCGAAGTGGGCAGGCAACAATTCCTCCAATCCAGTTTGGGCAGGTGCGAAGCAACAGTTGGAAGGTGCAAGGCAACAAGTGCATAAAATCTGGGAAGGTTCGACTTTGCATGACATCTGCAGGTTCCAAATATTTTGAGCAGAAGCTACTGGGCAATACTACCACATATCATCCTTGTACCCAGCAATCAATCAGGTATGTATGTATTTGTTAACCTACCATCAGGATGGAGCACCAAGCAAGTAAAAATCACAAAAAGGCGGGGAAAACCTTAGAAACATCTTACCCTACAACGGGCTAAGCCTATTAGCTCGCCAAACGGGGGGCCGAAGAAACAGCTCGGGATCTTCTTAGGGCAAAGATTAGCTTGAAGTATCCGCCAAAGCATACGAGGATCCTTCGTACGGGAATCACGGAACATGGCCCCCCAAGACCAACTCCAAATACATCCCAAGTGCGAGGCAGTAAGCGAGCAAGCGAGTAACGCCACCGCCAGCGAAAGAAAAAGCGTGGCAGCCACTGGACAGTTCGGCCCAAAGTCTATTTCGGCGTCATGCCTGCAGGTGCATACGGAGTGATATGCATACCCTGGCAGCCTGGTACCCGCCCCTCCATTATCGCTTTTCAGAGGAGAAGAAATTGAGGATCATTCTCATGTTGGAGCTCATATTGGAGCTTGGATAGCTATTGGTGCTGTGTTGCTGCTTGGTTATCGAGATGCACGGCTGGTGCTGTCTACTTGGACATGGATAGCTTCATGATTACACCTTGGTATCGGCTCTGGCGGATGACCATTACTCTAGTATCCACCTTTCTCTGGCCCAGTCTGTCCTGGCAAATAAATCGGTGATATTTTTTTGAGTCATGCTACTGCTACTGCATCTGCAGATGCATGCGGGTGGTCTGGGATGCCTTTTCTTTGACCACTGGATCTCTATTGCGTCTGCTGTACCTGCCTACTGTAGGTACTCGCCATGCAATATTCCCCTCTCGCCGAGATCTTTTGGCGAGAAACTTGATTCAGGCGACTCGTTAGTGCGTGGTGGTGTATGAGGTTATGGTCCTCAGAATATCTTGTTTAGTTGGAGGCGACCATGTCAAAGACTCTTGAATGAGAAGATTCAGGTGTAAATAAATATCCAATTGGTAAGTAGTACCACCGTGAGGCTGAATAGCTGTAATGCCCCGAATGTCGGAGCTACTTCCAAAACTAAAGATTATCAATACTATGTAGATGTGTGATGGTGTCGTGCTTCGTGAGCGTCCTCAGACGGGAATCCAGCCCAAACCCTTCCATGTGTTTGTTGATTTTGGACTCCGACCCGAATGATGCTGATTTTTGGTTTTAATGATAATGAGATAATAGATGGAATGCCGCGGTCCTTGTTGTGTCGTACGTTGATTGCTGGCGGTGAGGGTTGTAGTCGTGATGATGACGGTGGTAGTAGTGGTGGCCAAATCAAGAGCCCGAGACTTGGTTCCATTCTCCTCCAGAGCCTTTCTCGCCTTCCTTCATTCCATTGACAACGAGTGGTTTAATGCCAATCGCCCCAAGTCTTGCCACCCTCCTTGGTCACATAGACGGTGATATACTCCTTCTGAGGAGCGGCAGTGATATATGATGTCTTGTAATCAGTCACTGTGGTTGGGACAATCTTCTCCTTGTAGTCGGTGACGGTCTGAGGGAGAGTTAGTATGTTGCATTTTCCTCGTTTGGATTGGGCCGACACTCACAGCAGTCTTGTACTCAGTCTTGTAAATGGTGGTGGGCACGACCTTCTCCTTGTATTCGGTGGTGGTGGCGGTGACCGTCTTGTAGTCGGTCTTATACTCGGTCTTGTACTCGATCTGAGGAACGGGCTTTTCCTGAGTGACGTACACGGTCACTGTCTCCTTGCCCTTCCAGTCATTCCATTGTCTGGGCTGGAGCACCGAGGCGGAAGCCGTGGCGAGGAGAAGAGTGGCGACGGTCAAGTATTGCATGTTGATTGTGTTAACGATTGATATTGGTATCAGTCACAAGGCTGAATGAGAACGAAAGGCTGGAGGAGATTTTTTGGAACGAAGGAAAGATCTTTGTGAGTGAAGAGGCTGTTAATCGTGAGACTGAAGAGAGAAAGGATTCACCAAACCATTCCTTGCCCTCTATCTATATACCTCTCTCTCCTCCTCCATCTCCACCTCTATCTCGCAAATCTTCCGGCGGAATGACCAACCTTCCCAGAATACTTGCACAGCCGGTGGTACGAGAGCTTTCCATGCAATAAGGCCATTGCCCAGACCGTCTTACATTAGTTGACCTTCCACAAGGCCTACCTATCCACACCCTGCCCCTCAGCTGACTTTGCTAACGGTCAAAATAGCCGTCCTAGCGGGATAAGGCCGAGATGGAAGTGATCACCGCTAGTGAGTCTGGAAGAAGGTCTCTGCCAGCATATGCGCCAGAGATCCTGCATCGTGCCACGGCATTCACAGCTGGCACGGCACCGGGTAGTCTGGGTAGTCTGGGGATGACCATCCCGACCCAAACGGTAAAATCATACTACTCCGTATTGTCTACCAGGTGGCCATCCTCGGCGGGGGCAGGACAACAAGTGAGGTCAAGCTTCACAGACTTGGCAGTGTCTTGGCACATGGCAATTATTAGAATCATCTATACTGGAAATGGCGGAAATACAATGCGAAGCTTTTCAATGACATGTATGACTGGTCAGATTGTATATTCGTCCGGGCTTGGCATATCTTGGCTCACACATCCCGCACTGCCTCAGCCATCTTTCTATGGTCAAGTTTCGGGCAGAGTTTCTCATCCGTGGCCAACGCAGTCATCAATTGTTCCAGACAACGATGCTGCCCGTTGTTCGCCACGGCAGGCCTGTTCAGCCTCCCCTGCCTCATTCGCCCACCGCCCTCACTTGCATAATAATTACATTTGTGGTCTTGATTTTTCAGCATCCTCTCAGGCTGTGCCCGCTAGGCATTGTGGTTTTGGACCTGGTATTGTTTTGCCTCGTTCGTCCAGACTCCGGTCTGGTTGGCCCCATCACACTGCCATGCTTGGGGCCAATATTGACCATTTCACCTGCCACTTTTCGGACCTTCGATCGATCGGAGAGACCTAAACAAGAAAAGTCTCCACGTTCTTTGGCTTTTGACCAAAGGATCGTTGCCAAGATGCATGCTTCAAGGTACTTTCTTGGACCGCATACAACCAGCCGCTTGGTTGCCCCACGAATGAGGTATGCCGTGCTTCCCACCTGTAGCCAGTGAGCACCCCATAATGCATCCTCTGATGACATCCCGTGCACATCCAAAGTTACCCGTCCTCGTAATGTTCATCTGGCTGTGATTTTGTCTGTGCCTTGATGGCTGCCACTCAATCTTCGCAGAAGTTTCACCCTCGTGGCATGCTTCTTGGGCCAACTTTGACCGCCAGCCCGGTGAGAAATGGGGCAGCAGTGAATCGGATGGAGCCTTATTGTCCTGTGTTGTTTCTTGAAGCTTAGTGCCCAAACAACTGTCGGAACCATTCCTCAAACGGAGCTCACGGCATACCACGATCCACCCCAGTCACTTCTCTTCCCATGCTGTGTGTCCTTCTATGCCAGGATCGACTCGACATGTCTCAACTCCACCTGGCCACGTTGATCGTTCTCGCCTCCCACTTGTTGACTTCATCCCAGTCTTTGGACCGAGTTGAGTGCTTTGTTGATTTGCCATCCACTGAAATCCACTTCTGCAATGTGATGGAGAGACTTACCCACTTACAACAGAATCCGGCTCGAGGACCCACTGGCCATATTCTGTGTCTTTGAGCTCACCATACTGGCCACCCAGCCGCAATGAGTCTCGATGAACACCGGGCTGGGCATGTTCCAGAGCCATCTTGCCAATTCTCCGGGAACAACCCCAGCCAGAAAGGCTCAAGGTTATAGGAGCCCCATACCATGAGATATAATGTGACCAAGGCGCTGTTGTGATGTGACCTTGACCGCATGTATTTTGCTCTCCATGTGCTCACCATGTCGAGCACTACGGAGTAGGTTGACGAGGTCTTTGAATCCACAAGGCAGATCCAAGGTCACCTGCACGCATCACACAGAGTGGAACTCCCAAGACCTCCACATCTCTCTCACTCGTCGACACCTTGCTCACTCCCAGTGGACCTGCAACCAGCTCAATCCTGTTACATAGGCGACGGTTAGTGTCATCGATTTCACTCACTGGCTAGGAAACGAGGCGAGCGCAGCCTAACCCGATCAGTTCGACGGGGACGTCTGGTCAACCCTCCCGGATGGACTCACACACTTGTGGGCGAGGCTCAAATGCAATCTAGGTGACAGAAGAGACCGGAGAAGCTTGCCATTCTGCATCTCGAGAGCCTCATTGGTGGCCATCTTTCTGTTGTACAACAAACCTCGATATTAAAAATAGGACCAAGAGCCACGGAAAACCCGCAACCTTTCCCTGCAATGATGCAATCACATGGTCATAGGTAATCATTGGATTTGGCCTACGATCCCACAATTGGTCAGATCAATGCTTTCTGTGCTCGAGTGCAACAACAGCTTGGAGAATGCATTGTCGGCAAACCGGATTCACATATTGTGATCCCCATAAAGTCACAACCATTTCTTGATCCTCAGCACCTAGCTTCGGAAGTGATGCATAGAAAGTATCGATGTGTTGGCTCAACGCTGCGGCTGGGCCTGCCCGGAGCGGAGATCTCATCGTCATCGTCTCCGTCGGCATTGTCGTCGTCTAGATTAGCTATCGAGTTGTTCGCATCGCTCGTCCTACCATTGTCAAAATTGAAGACTCTCGTTGTGGACCCACCAACTGCACCGAACTTGACTGCGTAGTTCGGAATGAAGTGATTGTGAACATCATATCCAACATCAATGCGGGATTCAGAACCGCCCTTGGTCATATCGCACCTTCCATACCTGAGAGTAACCCACAATACGCCATGATCAGCAACCAGTCGATGGACCAACTCGTCGTTTGTGAGTCAGAGTCGAGTGCAAGTGCACAGCTGAACGATTTCAACAGTGAACAGATGCGAAATTTCGAATGCTACAATTCACCAAACAAGTATTCGTCTAGAACAAGGGGCAAGAAACAATGGCAACGCAAACACATAGAGCATTCGAAACTTCGGGACAATCCCACTAGAAACCTCAGAGCTCTGTTGCACATGCCGATCTTCTGGGGAGGATGCATTGACACCAGTGGCAAATTGCCGTGCACTCAACATGACTGGCATTGTGATTCTCCAAGAGAGGGTTGCAGAAACACCAATTCCAAGAAGGCACAAGTATGATACCAACAATTTAAGATTTGGTCGACACAATCGTTGAAGTTGTAGACCAAGCCGTGATCATCCTCCTTCCTGCCTGACTGTGGGGCAGACATCGACGGCGGAGTCAGGCAAGTGTAGCGGCATACTCTTGCGATTCTAGTCAAGTATGTACGTCCGTATTTCCGCGAGTTGCTTGTGGCAAAGGGTCGCTTCGGCGGAGACTGTTGCATTGCACCTGCGTGTTGTGCCATTTGAGAATGGGATGCAAAGTGATTCAATCCCCAGTCATGGCTGCCAACTTCTGCATTGTCTCCCGCTGTGCATGCATCGAATATTGCGGGGATTGTATTTGTTAGTCCAGGATTACCTGGATCGGGGTTTATTAGCCTGTTGGCGAGACTTGTCAAATTCTCGAACAATGATTTCGCATCTGACTTCTCCACAGAGGCGTTTCCTTCTTTCGATCGGCAACTTGTCTGCAAACAGAAGTCCACTGGCCCTTTCAACGGCTTCGAGAGGAACCTCAAAGTCGGCCAAGCTCTTTGAGTTGGGTATCTCTGCATTGGGCAGGACAAAAGCGCCGAGGGCCACTTTTCCGATTGGGCTATTTTGAGCTTCCTCAGCATAGATGATCTTATAAAAGTGGGTAGGCACTGCAATATTGGGCGGTGACCCAATTACTTCGTAGGACACTCGCCATTTGCCATCACGATCGTCTCTCTTGGGTAGATATAGAGGACCCGTGATGATTCGAACGCTCGGATACTTGTGTGCCAGATTTCGACAAAAGTCCTCGAAGTGTGCCCAATAATCACGGTTGAAACCTTCGCCAACCTGAGGACACATGTTGCTCAGAACAAAGGTCGAGTCCATGGCCTCTTGAGACCACTTGGCATCGGCTGCGGGAACTTGATGACCTCGATCGTAACCACTCCTAGCATAGTCGGCTAATTTTGCTCGAAAGGCGGGTGGAACAGAAAGATCTTCGTAGAAGACACTGTGTCGGCGTGAACCATTATTCAGAAGAAGTGATTGTGTAGTAAAATGCTCGGCTACCCAGTGAGGGTTCCGTGTAGCTCGATTAAACGAGGAGAGGTGAGAAGGAGTAGACAACGTGTCTGCTACCGGACCAGGAAAGCCATATCTTAAAACACCGGCGGGGTCAACGGGAGTGACTTGTGGAGTGACGAGAGGCTGCGTGGCAACTGCAACAGGAGGCACAGGGACAGAGACTGGACTTGGAACCGGTGGGAGGGTTGATGAGGAGGAAAGAGAAGGCTGCGGCGGTACGGTGGTCGGTGGAAGAGCGTCTTTGCGTGAGCTTGACACAAAAAGGAGGCTGAGAGATGCGCCCAACGCTGCCGATGTGCCGGCGACTAGGGCGAGAGTGGTTTTGGACATGAGTGTGAATTGCTCAATCGTCAGTAGAATTCAGCCATAGGGAGAGATGAAAGGGAGAAGAGAAGATAAAATCTTGAGAATTGCTTGAGTATAGAAAATAGGGAGCCAACAGTAATTTATGTGGTAGACCAATCGGGTGGGGCCGAAGCCCGAGGGGCCCCATCAGGCTGCAGGATCTCCTCTACTTTAGGCGACAACTTTAAACAGGTGCCTGCATGGGCCCAATTAGGTATGCCTACGGAGGAGGGCTCCGGGGGCCCGAAGCGCCCCGAGCCCCCTACTCAAAGGCATCCTCAGGCGCCTCCGTGGCCCCTCGGCCTCCAAGCTTCGTCCGCGGGGCAACAACCCACAGCACTTGTTTGGCGAGGCAAGCGGCAAGGCTCTCGCGTAGCCTCGCTTGTTGACCAATAATCCAGAGCGGATTTGAGGACCATAAAAGGCGCTGAAGTCGCAGTCACTTATCTGGCAGATGTTGGTATCATTGGCAACGCTGCCACAATTGATCGCCACGCCTCTCAAAGGTTCTTTTGTCCGTCCTATCTCTTGCATTCCTTCTGATTGTATCTCTCCTCGCCGCGTCATGAGAGACTGCAGAGTCGAGGACTGCATTTCTAAAGGATTCTCGACACCTATCCTCACCACCCTCTGCCAAAATGGTGCTCGACAATGACACTCGTGGATGGATCATGACATGCATCAGTGGCGTTGGTAAGCAGTGTTTGTTCGCTGCTTGGTCTTTCTCGTGGCGCTGACCTCGCTTAGCATGCATATTTGGAGCCTCCATCATCTGCGTTGATCTTGTGGTCCGTCACATTCCACGATATCGAGATTTCTCTATCAGTGAAAGTGATGTCTTTCTCTCCGCATCCCTAAGTCTCAGCTTTGGAGTTATGGTATTAACCTTACCCTTGATCTATACTGCCTCAGAGGTGATGAGAGCTGACATGTCGTCTAGCTATTTTCGTCACTCTACTCCATGCTTCCGCAGTCCAAAGCCTACCTCGAAGATGCGGGATACTCTCCTCGGGCTGCGTCTTATCTTCTTATCGGTTTATTCCTTGCTGGTGTAGTCGGCATTCAAATCCTGTCCCGAGCCATGCACAGATTTATACCCTCTCACGTTGTTGACTGCGACCACAACCACGAAGATCAAGAGGTGGACCAGAAAGCTCCAGAGGAGATGTCTGACCACGATCCGAACGATGAGCACACCAATGGCCTCCCTATCTGCAAGCGAAACACAATTGGTGGAAAGAACTGTGATGAGGAGACTCCCCTTCTGGCTCGCACTACAAGTTTTGGGGGTTCCCAGCCAGCTGAGACCAGAGATGTTGAAAGAGATGCCGATAACAGCCAATCCTTTGTTACTGCACCCTCGTCACGACGACCTACAATGATTACTCGTACCCTAACACGCACTATTTCTCGCTATGTCGGCACCCACAAGGAAAATTGCGACGAGAGTGGACCCTGCATGGGTTTCTCGGACCCATGTGGTCAGGATTGTTTCAAGGCTGCACAAAGACGGGCAACCATTTTACCTGGGCACGGGGGCCCTTTCATGCGATCTTCGACCTGGCGGTCCCCAGCTGAGGTGCATGTTGAGGCACCTGGTGAAGAGGAGGAGGGTCGCAACGAGAGCAATGATACAACCCTTGCTCGTCACCACACCCATGATAGTATTCAACATCAGACGACGAGGCCCAGGTCCATTACCCACCACCGACATCATCCTGATCATAGTCACAATCATGAGCACCAGCATCCGCATGAAATAGCCCAACGTCGGCTTTCTGAGTATTCGGCCTCTCAAGGTCGTGAACACCATCATCATGTTCCCACCAATGCCTTCATGTCCATTGGCCTACAGACGTCGTTGGCCATCTCTTTACACAAGGCACCCGAAGGCTTTATTACCTATGCTACCAACCATGCAAACCCGACATTGGGCTTTGCTGTCTTCATGGCTCTATTTATTCACAACATTACTGAAGGCTTTGCCATGTCGCTGCCACTATACCTGGCTCTTGGCTCGCGACCCAAAGCCATCGCGTGGTCATCCTTCCTAGGTGGTGCATCTCAGCCTCTTGGCGCCGGAGTCGCCGCCCTCTGGTTCAAGTTGGCCAACAAGAGCAGCCTAGGTGGTCCCACCGAGGCCGTGTATGGGTTCATGTTCGCATGTGTCAGCGGCATTATGTGCTATGTCGGCCTTGGGCTCTTTGCCGAAAGCCTGCAGCTGAGCCACAATAAGCAAACTTGTATTGTTTTTGCGTTCATTGGCATGGCAATTCTGGGAATCAGTTCTGGTCTAACGGCGAAATGATGTTTTGAGCATGGAGTTGCGGATGGTGCATTGGTGCGGTCACGTCACTTCTACCACTGTATGTAGGCCTGCATGGCCTCGGAACCGATGTATAGCAAAAGCCCTCAAGCAGGAGCACCCAGTCAGTAGACAACGTTACTACTCTGCAGTAAGTTGAATATACATGTAGCTTGTAATCTTGCCAGCTTAGAGCGACACCAGCTACACATAGATCTCTCTACAAGACTGAAGACCAATGGTACAAGAGAGAGTACTTGGTGGCCAGGGAGGAGTGCAGAGTACCCGATACTGTGACTAATTGACCTAAGTATCTTTGTATCGTAGGTGATGCCCCAGGCATGGGAGATGTTCAACGTGCTACGGTGAGTCACCTGTGGAGGTAATATGTGGGTTATGACATTCCTTAACACTGTTGTTTTATGATGCCAAGGCCCCTCGGCCCAGCCGCTTTCACATGCAGTCTCCAGATTGGAGTTTGCTATAAACCTTCCACCATTCTTTCAGTTATACATACAGCCGATGCTAGATCCCACCTCTCTGTAACAATGTCTCAAGCTTGCTTGCTTGACTCGAGTCGTCTGTCCTCACTGCTTGAGGAGGCACTGGAATGGAGCGACCATGTCTCTTCACTAATGGTCTCGTCCTTGAATGGGTCCATCCTCGCCTACGCCTACAGAAGTTCTACTCCCTCGATCAAGGCGATGCGAACCCAATCCACGACCATGACTGCTGCGTTTACGGTCGCATCGGAAGACGTTCTTGTGTTTGAAGCACAGAATATGGGAGCAACTTCGGTCATCACCCCCATCGCAGACCACATCCTCCTCGCCGTCACAGGCCCCGAGCCACACGCATGGTCGTCTAAGATCCAACTCAATGGCGAGACGGCGAAGAATGAGAACGGCAACCAAGAAGAAGGAGCGCACACACGGAATCGAGGCCAGAATGGGTTTGCCGACTCAGACGATGAAGAGCAGCAGCAAATTCGCACGGATTTGGAGCTTGTTGGTCAAGAGCTGGCGAATATGCTACGAGAAGAGCTCTCTGCTCTCAAATGGCCCAACGACATTTGAATTAGATGGACGCATTCATGGACGCAGAAGGGCGACCAACTGCCAGCCCGTCAAAAGAAAGCTACCGGGTTAGCTGCCCCCAACGACACTACAACCTGCGACCCCGCCACGTGATGCCACGAACTGGCACGAAGTTCAAATGGCGTCCAGAAACCAATCTGCATTCAAGCCTATGACTGTATGAATGCTGAGCATGCATCCTGCACTATCACCAGGGCAGATAGACTGTGTACGACTTACATACTGGCTGGACGAATCCCGGCTGACGATCTGAATGACGACTGCGCCCGAGACGCGTGGAGCCGCAAACCCCTCTCACCCCCCTAAGTGGCACCCAGACACGGGAGAGGGGGGCTTTGGGGGCTTTCAAGGAAGCCTGAGGGCCGATGGCCCCGCGGTCACTATGCCTAACAATCTTGGCTGATAGCACTGCCGACCCTATCCTTTACCGTCCCGGAAGGCTAAGCGCCCTACGCTGACAACCACTGACGCCATCACCCGCTCCCTGGTGTCCACCCACGACCTCTATTTGAACGCACAGTCTGACTCTTTACCCTGTTGGTCACGCAGTCTCGGTGCAAAAATATGCCGTCCCCAGGAAAGCCTGGGCCCGAGGGGACCCTCCCCAGTTCCTGTGTGCACCCCTCGTTCCTCTCAGACAACTGACGAAAATTAACGCCCTACTTTGCTCCGTAGCGGTGATTCAGAGAAAGCCTCTCGGGTGTTTGCAACGCCAACCTTTGCTTCTCCCTCCACTTATGCAGGCGTGGCAGGCTGCTCGCGAGTCACCATCCACGAAGCCCAACAACCCTACCCTTCTAGATTCCATTTGCCCCAATCATTGCCTTCAACTCAATCGCTACCACGCGGTCCACGAGGGAGGACCAGGGAGCAGGTTACAGTAACATCAAATCTATCTTCCGCGCCGAACACTGTTGACCGTCCACCATCAGTGACCACCCTCACCACCTCCAACATTATCGCAATCACTCGAAGCCACACCCGCTTCCTTTTAGCCTAGCCATCTATCCCTCTTTATCCTTCTCGCTCCTCTCCCCACACATAGACACACTCTCTCTACTGTGCCAGCAGCACGCTGCCTCCCCTTCTTTCAAGCTTAAGAGCGGCACAGGATGTTGTAAGTTTGGATTTGTTCGCCGACAGTGTGCGCCTAATTTGATTAGCAGCTGACATGTACCTGCAGTGCCATCCCACCTCCACCTCGCTATCCTACCAATAGTAGTCTGATCGCAGCCACTCTTGAAACTTCAAACACTCTCACTGTTCGCGAGGGTCCAGAATATACATTTCAGGCTGGTGAAGGTAATCAAGTCATCAAGCCTCATTCCTGCTCCCCTGGCTCAACCTTGTCTTAGGCATCTACAGGCTACGCGATGATCTCCAATTAGCCACTCCTCCTCCACATCCTTCCGAAGCCCCCATCGTCAACCCAAACCCTTTGGCCACGACAGCGTCTCCTCCGACTGCCGGCGTCAAGCTATCCCTCGTCTCGCTGAACCCGAAGCAGATCAATCCCGACTTGTACAAGACCCCCACCGCAACAAGCAGTCTGCTACGATGGAAGACTTTAGGACTGTCCAATACCAAAGAATCCAAAGAGGCCAAAGAGGCTAGGGAATTAAAGGAGGCTAGAGAGAGAGAGCTTGAAAAAGAGTCCAGGTTGTCCATTGAAACGTCGAGCGACTCGAGTAATCCTACGGCTTCTGCCAATGGCAGCAATCGCTCCAACACCGTCAAGGCATTTGGCGAAGGCAACGCTGCACTTTCTCCGGTCATGAGCAGGGATGTCCTCAAGCGCCGCAAGCCGAAAAATAACATCATCAAGAGCAACTCATCTTTTGTCTCTCGAGTCATCCCTCACGAAGGCTTGGCGAAGAAGTTGGCAGAACGCGATCAAGGGGGCTTGTTCGCTTTTGTGAATATTAACCGTGCCTTCCAATGGCTCGATCTTTCGTCCGCCACGAAGGCTGATCCCATGACCAAAATCCTATTTACCAAAGCACACATGATATGTCACGACGTGAACCCAATGAGCAAACACTCAACCCACATCGATGTGGTCATGGGCTCTTCTGCAAGCGACATTATATGGTACGAACCTATGTCGCAGAAATATGCGCGCATCAACAAAAACGGGGCGATCAACAGCAGTGCGGTGGCCAAGGTCAAGTGGATTCCTGGCTCCGAGAACCACTTCCTTGCTGCCCATATGGACGGCACATTGGTGGTGTATGATAAGGAGAAGGAAGATGCACCATTTGTGTCGGAAGAGCTTGTGGATGAAGCCATCAGTATAGAAGACGAGGACCACTGGACACTCGTCATCACAAAGAGTGTCAATTCTGCGAACCAGAAAGCCAATCCAGTTGCGTGCTGGAAGATTTCCAACCAGAGCATCACAGACTTTGCCTTTTCGCCAGATAGCAAACATTTGGCCGTGGTTGGCGACGATGGTTATCTCCGTGTGATTGATTATCTTCAAGAAAGGTGAGTCGAAAGTTTCGAGTCCGAATGCGGGATGTCAAGGCTGACTTATTTCGGCACAGGCTTACAGACATGTATCCGTCGTACTATGGCGGCTTCACTTGTGTGTGCTGGTCTCCCGACGGCAAATACATCTTGACAGGAGGACAAGATGACCTGGTGACCATTTGGTCTCTCGCAGAGCGTCGCATCATTGCCCGATGCCATGGGCACGACTCCTGGGTTACTGCGGTCGCTTTTGATCCTTGGCGCTGTGACGAAACTACGTATCGGTTCGGGAGTGTTGGCAATGATTGCAAGCTGTCTCTGTGGGATTTTAGCGTGGGCATGCTCCACAGACCCAAAGCGGTATGCAAAGAGTTTCGTTGTTTGGAACACTTGTCTCTAACCTGGACATAGGCTGCGACGAGAACAAGGGGAAGTATCTCTGCACAATCTGTGTCACTCCAGAGACAGCGGACCGAAAGCACCAGCGTCGTCAACCGCATACGATCAGACTCGAATCGAACAGGGGTGCAAAGCATCCAAGCTGAGATTATTGACGAGTCCGAGTTTATCAACCACCCTGTGGAATCGAGGGCGCGCACTGCTCAACTTCCACCAGTTATGGTGAGTCTCCTGGAGAATGCTGAAGCATATTTCTGCGTTGCTAACACTGGATAATAGTCGAAAAAGATTGATGATCATCCGTTAAGTGGCCTTGCATTCGAGCAAGATTGTATTATCACTACCTGTGCCGAAGGTAAGCGAGGCAGTATTTTCTTGGGGATAAAATGAGTGAGAGAAAGCACTATACTTACATATTTCATACAGGCCACATGCGCACCTGGGATCGACCTCGGGAAAATGTTAACAGCAGCCAAGTCAATCTTTCGGAGTCCTCTAAAAGTTAAAGTTGTGCAAAGATGGTGTACCATCTGTGTTGATTTAGTCACGGACCAAGCTCGCCTTGCCTCGCCTCTGCGAACGGGTCATTGATATTTACCATGTTTTGGACATGCAGCAGGACCACTCGCATGGTCGATGAAAGAGAAATGGCAGGCACCACATAAACATCGCGAGCCAGAATACGTGTGATTGCCTGGGTTGCGCAAACAATACCCAGCCGTCACAGAGGAAGGAAATTATCGACACTGGAAGTTGTACTCTGATGTTCGCGATTTGTCCTCCACTCTGACGGTGACGACAACTCTCAAGGTGCACACCTTGAGAGTTGTCTCAGGGTCGGCTCGTTGCGGCATAAGTTCTCACACACCAAGCTCATATCTCATTGCCATTGGCCGGCTTTGGAAACTGGAGATGAATAGCGATATTCGTCAGATGGTTTGTAACGTTGGTATGTCTTGGATATGACCTGCTGTTAATGCAAGGCAACTATTTTGAAGCACCTTAACAATGACTGAGGGGAACATTTCTATGCGGTCAAAAGGATCATCGCACGACTCAGAGACCTGTGCATGGCGATTGTTAAATATCAATGCAGACGAGGACAAGGCTCTGTCGGACTCCAGCACTTCAAGAGACAGGAGGACTCGGGAATGTATCTACCTACCAATGGACATACAGTAACTGTGTATCATGGATGCCATAATATGCCAAACAGTGGTCCCTTTGGATAGCGTTCAGAATTGCCGAGAGCCGCGGGCGGCCCCAGCCTAAAGGGTCTCGAGGACTGTTTAGCGGCTTCCCCGGGCCAGGTACAGTTCGCCAACCACTAAGCAAAAGCATGAAATTCTGTGGTTACATCAAGGTGACATTCATATACTTGGTTCAGTAGTAGCATGGCCTGATATTAATCATGTAGAAGAGAAAGGGGGCATTGTATTAACCACAACCGAATAGGCAGATGCAGGGAGCGGTCTGAGATGAATGGGCTGTTTGTCTCCCTCATGGTCTGATTATCACATACATACTACAGTCAGTCACGGGGTGGGGTGCAGGACTGAGAATATCGAGCCATGGAAGAGTCGGCACCGAAAACCAGACTGGTCTGTGTACATTGAGGGCGTTGAGGAGCCGAATACCCGTGGGATGCAGGTGACAAAAGGTTGTGTCGAAAGACCGAGTGTTTGGCCAAGGCGAGGCATCTTTCCAGAATGAGGCTAGAGGGGATAGGGAGGGCGGTAGGTGGGTTGGAAATACACAGAGAGAGAGCAGAGGGTGCCATGGAAGTTGGAAGTAGAAGTCGTTCGGAGATGGAGATGCGTGGGCCTATGTGTCGGCGTATGCATCAGCTGCAACTTAACAAGCCGAATTACAACTAGTCATGCAAGCCAAATATGCATTCGAACGCCACGGATCTCCTGGCTCTTGACAGATGAGGAGGTGATCAAGTAATAGCTTGCCTTTGGTAAAATAAGTTAGACAGCGAAAGTACAGGGCATACGAGGCAGAAAAGACGCAGGGCGCAGTTCAGGCGAATACGTGGATGTGGATGGATGTGGTGGATGCCTTTCGCGAGAAACGAGAAACGAGAACGAAGTCATCGTCGGTTTGTCAGGCGTGGGAGGATTAGATACTAGTAGTAGGTACCTAGTACCTAACACTTACCTAGGTCATAAGAACTGGATGAAGCTAGGGTTCGCTTGGATCTGAATAGGCACGATAGGTGAATAAGGTTGTTATTCAGACGGTGGCTGATCATGTCACTTGGATCTGGATAATGACAAACTGCACCTACCAAAAACTGTACTTAGACTGCCGATACCCGCGGGGAGACCAGAAAGGCAGGACTGAAAGGGGTCGCCTTGGGGTTTACTACCTACCTAGGTACCTAGGTACCTACCTAGGCAGCGACAATAGTTAAAAACCACTACTGAGGAGCTCCGGTGTCCGAGGCCCAAGCGCCTGATAGTTATTATTCTTGCCCTGCATTGTCATTTCTCACCACTAATCCTGGACTTGGACTGGCATCGAGGGCCAAACTACCAGTTGAAAGCCCTTGGGGGGCCATAAAACAGTTCAGGCGGAAGTTGGGGTACCGTGGGTGATCCGTACATGGGTAGGCGTACTCGTAGGCATGCCAAATGCCCCCCCATGCTCCGGGGGCTGGTTCCTTTGTCCAATGTGGATTGATGCCTTGACAGGCTTCTCAGCTCGGGAACGCCGCTTCTCTCGTAACCAGAATGCGACTCGCCCGTGACGACATGGAAACGATCGACAACCTGTTTCATGACAGGTCGAACGGATAGATGCACGTCCAAGGGATCCAGGAGCGACGGAATGCAAGGCAAGAAAAGGACCGCCATCTGCCCGTTTGCCCGTCTACGTACAGATTCATTCTGCGAGTGACCGATGAATCGAGTTTGCTTTTTTTGGTCGGCACCCCTGGCCATGAATGACTGCTGATGCTCGTTACCTTTGTTCCTGGCTCATCAAGAAGATCACCGAATAACACATGGTCTGTTTATGTGGTTTGAGGGGATGACTGCAATCGTAGACTTTTTTGTTGCTGCGACTCTCCGTCCGTCACCTCTATCTATCCATTCATAAAATTTCCAAGGCCACTGCTCTGCTTCTTCACTAGAAACATTGCTGTCGATTCGATTTCGTCGCCGTCACGGTACTCGCCATCTGGCCTGGGCAGAACCACGATCCACAGAGGCTAGATTCACTTTATTTGCAACCTCGACCGACACCAGATCCAAATCACAAAGGCACGTGCCGAGATTGCAGTGGACGTCGTCGCAGACTCACCGCACAACCCAGAACCACAAGTTAAGACATTTCGCAGTCCTCGACGTCACATATGCAAGACCAACGATAGGGGTGCAGTGTCCAGAATCACGACAGGTTCCAACTACGAGTACGAGTATATTGCTGTGCGATAAGGACCCGCGAGAGATTCCTGAGGCTGTATCCACCTATTGTGACAGTGTCCACCGACCCGTGGACCCAAGTTCCCTCGATTCACCATCGGGCAAAACCGCGAGCTCGGCCGGCGAACCGTGCCACATATTGAATTGGAGGATTGATCGCCGACAATATTGACTTGTCCAGGCTATACAGATTGTACCTGTCCTGAGTATATTAAATATTGTACTCGGGCGGCGGGTGAAAGCCTAGGTGCCCAGACACCCCGCCACTTGTCCGGCAGACAAGCTCGACAAGCAAGACAAGTCACTCATGTCTCTGGCCACAAGCAATGACGGGCATCAGTTCCGGCCCAGAAGAACAGAATCGAGATTATCCAGTCTCAAGGCTACAGCACACCAAGAAGATCATCAAATCCACGATCGGATCGAATGCAGACAATGTATTGCGACTCCACCCCAAGGCACGCTTCCCAGAAGCACGATAACCCAGCATGAGAACAATCACCAACATGTGGCTGCTGGTACTGGTGCTGGTGGTGACGCGAGTGGGGGTTGTCCGCACATTTCCCACCCACGCCTGGCGCAGCGGGACCAACACATCGTGGTTTCGAAACACAATCCCAATGCACATGAGATCCAATTGTCAGCATCAATTCCAGCGCCTGAAGTTCAACTTCAACTTCAGGCTCAACACAGAGTAACATCCTCGGCATTATCAACGGTCATATATTCATCATCTGAGGGAATTTTGTCACCCCAAGAAGAGCTTGGCCGCCAGGAACCAAATCCAGACGCAGAACAAGCACGAGCACGTCAGCATCTCGGTGGGTTTGGCTTCGGGCGCCAGCAGGGATCTCTAAGCGTACGCTTAGGCGTGGGACCCACCACCGATTATCCAACGTTAGCCACACCCGACCGCCTCGGCCTGGGTTCGTTAGCGCCAACCAAACCAGAGGCACCTGAGGCTGTGACGTTGGGTTGTTCTACAGGGGCCGAGAGGGCGAAAGGGCCCGATAGTGCAACGTCTGACCGTCAGTGCCACCATCCTGGCCCTTCTGAGCCCAGGGTGTCGCGGGCCAGTCGGGAGCCCGAGAGGCCTGAGTGTGCGCCTGAAGCAGAACGTGTGCCGGCGCCCGTCTTGGGAGAGTCGGCACCACCAAGCCCTCCGACTACCAACACTACCAGCACTCCCACTCCCACTCCAACTCGCAGTCTCCCCTCCTCCCACCCAGGATCAGGATTAGGATCAGTGCCTGTGCCTGTGCCTACACCACGAGCCCTGGCGCCCTCGCCTCTCTCTGCAGGGCTGACAGCAAACGTGGATAATATCCGAAACCCCTCGACGGCAAATGTGACGAATGTTGCTGTGCCGGTGGATCAACGTCTGATAACAAGTCGAGTGAGTTTTCCCATTTGCCCATTTGCAATTCCTATCATTTTATTATCATATCAACCCACTTGCGAACACCCACTTCCCACCACCCACTTCAGCCCAGCAAACTCCCCTTCTGTCCATGCCTCCGAGCTAGGAAGCCTTTGGCCCATCCGCCAAATCTTTGGTCGATTAAGCCTTTTTTCTACCCACTTTGGGACCCATCCATCGTCCCCTCCCAAGCACCTACCACCTAATCACCGTTCCATTTTCATCGCATTGGTGTTTCCGTGCCTTATCCTTTCCTTGTCTCTCTTACTCAAATCCATCATTCTTTTCCACTCGACTGCGTCTCTGAGATTTCCTCGCCGAGCCCAAGTAGTCTCTATCTTTTCCCGGGTCCAGCTGCAAGCCCACTCTCACTCTTCCATCGTCCGGCATCCGGCCCCGCCAACCAGAACAGTCTCCTGCGGCCTCGTACCTCTTACGTGGTATATCGACTCTCAGGTACATGCTCCAGCCATCTCAGCCAGCATCAATCACGGGTCCACTTTCGGCTTCTGATTAGCCCTGCCGTTCTTCGCTCCGTCATGTCGTTTTGATTGTTGCCATTCATGTCATCCTTCCCTATCGGCCTCCCCTGCGGTTGCATCCTTCATTCGCTCCACACAAATTCTTTTGTCTACTTACCATTCTTCTCGAACTTCTTTCATGAACACATGCCAGACTTCTTCCCACCTTCCAATCGTCATTCACCTTGCTGACGCTCATCGCATATCTAGCTTAAGCCAATTCTTCGCCGATCGCGCAAGCACTCTCCCTCAGAGTGCCAACATGAGCCTGCCTTACGTTCCACTTTGACTACCCGCCCTTCCCGAAGTTCTTCCAACTCGTCTATAGCAGATCGACATCTGCTCAAGACCACTCCTCCATCCAAATCTTCAGCCATGGCCCTCAAATTCTTGACCTCCCACAGTTCGCACTCTGGGTCTAGCAGCAGTGTCAAGTATTTCGACATTAGACTCGACAATGATTATATCGTGTTCAGAGGCAGTGAGGATGAGGCTTCCAGTGCCGAACTATCCGGCTCCGTTGTTCTGTGCCTGACTGATATCCTCAACATTGCTCAAATCCACTTGACCCTCAGCGGCATTGTCCACATGTCGTAAGTTCCCCCAAACCTACATGCTCTTTCATCTGTCACAGCAACACCACTAAAACCCCGCCCACAGATACCAGGCCTCCTCCTCTTCATCCATGTCTGGACGCCGTACGAACTCCAAGGAAAAGACCTTTTTTGAAAAGAATTGGACATTCCGAGACCCAGGCAAAGGAAAGACAGAAATGCTCTGCCCCGACAACTACGAGTGGCCCTTCTCCTGTATTCTCGAAGGCGGTCTTCCTGAGAGTGTCGAGGGCCTTAAAGACGCCTGGGTGATATATAGACTCAAGGCCGAGGTCGTGAGGAAAAGAGGTCGTGACATCGTCGTCCGCAAACCTCTGCGGGTTGTCCGCACTCTTGATGCCAGTGCCTTGGAGTTGGCTCATGCTATGGTACGCACGTGACAACCCCATTTATATTTCGTCTAGTATGCTAACATAAACCAGTCTGTGGAGAATATCTGGCCCAACAAGATCGAATATTCCATCAGCATTCCAAACAAAGCTGTGGCCTTTGGCTCTTTCGTCCAAGTCGATTTTAAATTGATTCCACTCCTCAAAGGCCTCGTCATTGGCAATGTTTCCACTCAGGTCAAGGAAGAACAAGAATTTGTTGTCGATCCAGAATGGGGCGTATCGGCCGTTGGTGGTGGCCAAATCAAACAGGACCGAGTCATTGTTGCCGATTTGCATAGAATCAATGTCGAAGATGAGCAGATCCTCGATGAGACCGCGGAAGGCTTCGAGTTTTCACGATATCTCGAATTGCCAAAGAGTTTGAATCATTGTCTACAAGACTGCAACACCAAAGGCATCAAAGTCCGGCACAAGGTCAAGTTCAATGTTCAACTCCATAACCCCGACGGCCACATCTCCGAGCTTCGTGCCAATTTGCCTGTCTCACTCTACATCTCTCCCAGCCTCCCTATCAATGAAAACAATGATTTGGTCGACCAAACTCCACAGGCGAGCAGGGCCGCCATTGCCAATGATCTCGCCAACGCGGCACCCCCGGTATATGGCAAACACACTCTCGATACGTTGTACTCGGACATAGATGGTTATCGGACTCCGGGGACAGCTCTGTCAACTCCGGGAACACCCTATCTCCACAGCCGACATGCTTCGTCCGACAATTTGGCAAGTCTTGCCGCTATTACCAACGGAAATTATGTGTCTCCCGTTGCTCTTCAGAATAGGCTTCAAGATCTGCGGGTGGGCTTTGTTTCAGGTTCGTTGGAGGACGACCACAATATTCCCATGGGGCTTGAGAATGGTCAACGAAGCCAATCACAAGAAGATTATTTTGTTCCTCATGAATCTTCGAACGGCAGTGCAAATACGAGGTTCAGCCCGTATGATGCGAGTCGATCGGGGGGACAAAGCGGGACCCCGAGCCAGCCAGGCAGCAACCTTATGTCCAGGAGAACATCAGAGGAGGAGGATGGTACTTTCTCCGGTGCCAGGACTCCCTTCCCTCAATATGACCACATGGAAGACCTCAACTTGATCAAAATTCCGTCTTATACAACAGCGGTCAAGACACCGGCCCCGAGGACGCAGCGAAGCTCGAGTACACTGCCTACGTACGATGCCAGCGTACGCGAGCCAAGTCCGCCCACTCTCATGGAACCACCAACCGCCCACATCCGCAACTCTCCGCGGCTACCGGGCAGCCTGGCAAACAGCCCTCCCGATTCGCTGATGAATGGTTCAAGAATAGCTGCATCGCATCGAACTGTCAGCTCAATCCAGGATGACGAACGTCGGTTGAGGCTGATGCAGCAAAGAGGACGCTAGGGGCTGATCGAATGGGGAAATTCGAAAGTCATTTGCAAATGCATGGGAATACAACAAGAGCAGCAGTTTTGAGCATTGATATGGCGTTGAAAGTCGAAATGATACCCACGAGAGGCAAGAGAAGCCTCGATGACGAATTGAATTGTGACTTGACAAGATCAACTTTGGACAGGCGCATGGGAGGTTGATTGGATTGGATCAGAGAGTATTGTCCATTTTCGAACTAACGACTCACCACTTTTATTTCGCGGCGCTTGTGTGAGTGGAATGGGAAGGGAGGGGAACAACGGGTTTGAGGGTCTTCTGGTCCGAGAGGGGTGCGTGGCAACAAGACCGGTTCTTTTGAATATGAGGATATGAAAGCTGTGAGACATGGAGGGGGGATGGTTTTGAGAGATTCAATGCCCGGTGTTTCTTTCAATGTCCTTTTTCACCTCAACAATGGACATGGACGCTTTATACTGTACATGACACAGAAATGACATAGATGCATGATATGATGCCAACGAACAAGACTCAGAATCGGCATCTCTGTCAAATCACTTTCGTTTCTCTGCATACATAAGTATTTATGGACTTTTCTTCAAGTAATTGACTCACTCTAAGCAGACACAAAGGGAGATATCAGGTTTAAGTCGAGCAGCTACTTATTATATCCAAGTGTCAATGCAATCATGCACCAACAAAGTGTCACGTGACATCTATAGGCACATATCAGAAGATAGATGCTCATGGGACCCAGTATGCTCATCCTCGTTCTCATACTCGTTCTCATGCTAGTGCTACCAGTTACAACCTTTCTCAGCCAAAAGTCTACGAAAATCGTCCCTCATGGCCTCCACCACAATGCGCAATCCTTTCTGTCTCTCAAGTGTATTTCCTCCAATTCCGCCAGCATTGGCCTTATCTCTATCTTTATCCTTATCCTTGTCACTGGATTTTCCTATCCCAGCACCTCCGTCTGACACGACACGAATATTATCGCCACGAGCCTCATTATCACCGAACTGGACCAACTTCGTGCCATCGACATCGGTGGCACTGTTCTGCACCACGTCAGGACTAGCTGCACTCTTGGGTGTGCCGGACGGCGTCAAGGGTGTAATTGCCGTGGCGTCGAGTAAAGCCTGCCAACGCGCAAGATATGCGCCTGGTCCAGGGGATGTGGATTCGACTAGTGCCGGTGAACCAGAGCTAGAATTGTGACCGTGACCGTGACCGTGACCGTGACCGTGACCGTTTTTGCCGGTGATACTCATCTCTGAAGCCGAGGATGTGATAGAATTAATGAAATTGGCAAATTGATGGCTGTTAGCATTATTAGACAAACCTCCCGGCCCAGGACTAGATGACCGTGACGACGGACGACTAGTCGCTGCAGACGAAGAGAAGATCTTTGCAATAGCGGGGGTTTTGGACGGAGGTGATTTTAATACGTGTGCCAGTCGTGCCGCTGATTGTTGATGCATCTTTTGTAGGAATTCACTGTGTGTGTCGAGTACGGGAATGATTTGCTGGCGTTTCTCCTCGGTCAAGGACTCGAACATGCGGTGGAGTGATGGGGTTAGTGACCCGGCTCCCTTTTCGGTGACCATGGGGTCGTCGGCTTTGATGGTGGGATGGTCGTCCATGTCGCGTTTGAATTGTGTCGCGGCGTATTTGGCCCACTCGACGTACCAGCCGGTTAGTTCTTTGTCGTTTTTGCAGCATTGGTGTAGGAATACGTGACATGATCGTTGGTGTTTGCGGAGGAGTTGTACGAAGTCCCCGACGGTGGGTACGGGTGCTGATGATGATGATGATGATGTTCCTTTGTCGGTGCTGGGGATTCGGCCTAGTTTTATCAGATCCTTCAGGAAATATTCAAAGTCGCCCAGAGTTGCAGAGAGGTCGATAGCCTTGTGCGCTCTTCGGATTACGGGCTCGTATGCATCTACTAGTTGTCGTACTGACAGTGTCAGATGATCTGGTGTTCCGTGGCAAAGGACTTTGATTAGTTGTCTCCGGTCGCGGATCGAGAGTTGGACTGAAAGATATTCGAGAAACTGTTTATGCTGTGCTTCGCTGATTTCGCTGGTTATGTTGTGACGCTTGAGAATGCTTACTACGATTGAACTCGAATGCGTTTGACTGTCTTTGCGGATCTGGTCCTGCTCGTGTTGTGGCTTGTGCGTATATTCTTTGAGGATCGAGAGCTGGTGTTTGGCTGTTTTGGATAGCTCGGCTTCGATCTTGGTGCTTCGGGAATGTAGATCTTTAATGTCCCAGTGAAGAACTGTAGATATGATTCTGGAAATAGAGTGTTAGTCAGATGAGATGTGCAACAATGTTATGTTGCATGAATGAGTATTTGCGGGGAAGGGCTTGTACGTTTGCATGAGATTCATCCCTTCGTCTTGATGTTGGGTCAGTCCCATCCAGTTAGTCACGCTGGCGACACTAACTTTGGCCAATCCGACCTTGACCATAGCTTGGATCATCGACGCAACATTTCCGATTCGTAGTGTTTGCTTTAGTACCATATATGGAACCAATTTGTTGGCATTGTCAATCAATTTCAGGAGATATTGACCCTTTGGCGATAAAATCAGTGTATAGTGCATGAATGACGCTAGGCTTGACAGTGGAGGCATGTCGTTAGCATGGGTAGTACAAATATAGGGGGCCAAGATGGGGGAAACCGGCACTCACTTCACGAGGACATATTCATGCAGCGCCTTGCTCAGAGGTTCATGATCATCCAGATTGTCTGTTTCAGCGGTCTTTGCAACTAGGTCTTCCAATACATTTCCATAGATAGCTCCATTCATGAAATCCCGGAACGCCCGGCTAAGATCTTCAGCATTGGTAACATCGTATTTGGGATTCTGGCACGTGGACTGAGGAAATCCACCATAAGTGCCTCGTACGGGATACTCGATCAAGGCTGAAACAGCCGTAGCCAAGGTCTTTCGAATGCCAATGACACCCTTGTCATAGCTCTCTGAAAGATTGGCCTTTTCCAAATGATCGATGATGTCCCTACACTGGACCTTCCAGAAGTTGGTCGGCACGTCCTTCAACCCTGGCAAGGTCAATAGGAACTTGGAGACCAGAATCTGGAGAGCTGGCGACGTCGACGGCTTGTTGGCCTCTGCGGTAAATGGAGGGCCATAGTGTGCAAGGCTGCCAGGACGTCGGAACTCCCGGATTTCTGCATATGTATCATAATGCGTCAAGATGTCGAAGAGAGCTGCACTCTGCACGGGCGAAAGAGGGGGTTCGCTCATGTTTTGTTGTCAGTGCCAGCCATTAACCAGACAAGTCGAGTCGAGGTGAGCTTGGTTCGGGAGTTTCTGACTCAGGTCATGGCAGACATGGATTGTCTGGAGTTGTACCACAGTCGACCGACATTGGAAGTCCCTTGTGGCTGTGGCAGTGAAATGCCGTCCAGATTTTGATATGACGTACCAAGGGATGAAGAATTACTGGACGGCATGAATTAGTGCATGGATTAGTGGTGATGACATTAGAGCTATTTTAGGTTTGTGGAAAATGGTTTATGAGCGCGCTAATTTAGACGCTAGTGCATTTTAGCCGACTACGTCTCTGGTCACGTGTTACTTCATCTCGAAAGATATCAACGACAGTTCTATCCGAGCTACCACCCATTAATATGGCATCTCCAATTAATTCTTCCAATATACAAGACCTCGGGATTCGAATTCCAGAAGAACGAAGTCGCCATTCTAGCCGCAGATCCCCCCAATATGACTGGCGGGAGTACGCATCCACCGACTATCTTGTCCAGCAACAAAGTGGGGATACCTCCGTTGCACTCCAACTCTTGGAACAACAGTGGGATATGACCTATGCAGAGAGACAAGAAGAAGAAGTCTTCCAAGCATTGATGCCACTCTGACGCAAGCATTTCTCTCCCGCCACGTCCTCCCCAAGAGGCATCTATCGCAGTTTCATACTCAACCACGCCGACTCTCCCAGTCCAGTACTGACCTGGATAATGTCGACCACTAAATGGCATACACATTTCGCAGGACGGCGATATGAGCTCTAGACAGAAATCGAATCGCCGGGGAACCCCCAACCAGGCAGTGACCATCTCCGCTCCGCTGCTTGGCTCACTGGGCGATACCGGCATGTTCGACGAATCACTTACCTAGGTAACCTCAGGGGGTATATGGGGATAGATATGGAGATTTCTCCGCACGCAATCTATATGATTCTCGGCCCATAATACACCGGTCTTTATCGGCATCGTCATACCGACCGGGAATGGTTGTCTTAAAATCATACCATAGCGCAATACCTACGAATCAATCCAGTGCCACCTCATCTGACAAAGTCTTGTCAAACAGGTAGGTTTGCATGCCAAGCTCCTCCGTGGGGACCTTCTCGCACATCGCCGACTCTTCTCCAGCCCTTCAGATGGTTGCTGATCGTCAATGATCATTTCATTTTTGGTCAAAACATGGATCTCGACGTGGGGATGCACCGCCATTTCGACATGTCTCTTGGCACCATCACGACCATTCTAGGAGGACAAGACTTGAGGGGAAACAAGGACCACATGCTTCCTATCTATTGCCGACCTATTTCTCCAAAGAGAGTGCTCTCCGAGGTCCAACCACGGTTGGAAGCCCAAGATACGATGTATATAGTCCCCATGGGTCATCTCTGGTGAGCAAGCCAGCTATCTTTATCCTAATCATCTCAATCCCATCGACTTGGAAAGGGCAGAACTTTACCAACCATGCCAGCAAACGCCGACAGAAAGCATTCGGACAAGGATGGCGCTGATGGTGAGCTAGTGAGCCCACAGACATCCCAAATATCCCACCTGGAAGAAAAAGGCCAGAACATACCCGTCGTGGACAATACCGATCAAGATGACGAGTTCAGCTATACCGAGCAACGGAAGATTGTCCATCGCATCGATCGCCGGCTGATTATTGTTTTGGGTCTGATGTATTGTGTGTCGCTGATCGATCGAGGAAACATGCCCAATGCCGCGATCGCTGGTATGCATGATGACCTGGGTACCAATATTGGTTATCGCTATGTAAGTGTCAAGTCACGATCCTAGTCCTGCTTGAGCGCCGACGTTGGAGATTCTAATGCCCAGTCGATCGGCAGTCTATCGCCACTCTCGTCTTCTTCGCAACATATACTTTGTTTCAACCTCCTGCCACCGTAGTCACTCGCAAGTTGGGTCCGAGGAACTTTTTACCCGCTCTTTGTGTCGCATGGGGTGTCGTCATGGTAATATACCCAACTCTTGTTATGCTTTAGTTAAGGAGAGGTATTGACCAGGCATCTATCTAGATTGGATTTGGCTTTATCCAAGATTGGGTCGTCTTGATCCCCCTTCGCTTACTGCTTGGTCTTTTCGAAGCTGGCTTTTTTCCAGGTCAGTTAATTCTCCATCACATATGATGTGTCTAGACCGATTACTGACCGTGGCCACGAATAGGTTGTTTCTATCTGATCTCGACATACTATACACGATTTGACATGCAGAAGCGATATGCATGCTTCTACCTGGTCGGCACGCTCTGCAATGGATTGTCTGGTGTGTTGGCATATGGATTGCAACAGATGGTGAGTGAGCGAGATTATGACGAGGCAACCTAAGCAACAAACAACCAACTAACAACAAGCTTGTACCACCATGCAGGACGGTCTAGCAAACTACCGTGGCTGGAGATGGATCTTCATCATCGAAGGGATCTTGACCGTGATTGCCGGCTGCATCGGCTACATCTACGTGGTTGATTTCCCAGACCAAATCGCCAAGAAGCCAGCATGGGGATTTCTTAGTGTCAAGGAGGCCGAATTCCTCCTCCGGCGTATCAATCGAGATCGTAACGATGCCGATCCAGAACCGTTTAGCCTAAAGGTATATGTTGCAGGCGGTAAAGATTGGAAGGTTTGGTCATTCGCTTTGGTCTTCTTGTAACCCCCCCCCCCCCCCCGCCCTTGATATCTATATCAAAATGTCAACTGACAGGTCAATTCCATACAGTTGTCTCACCACTTCAGCATATGCCATATCCTTCTTCCTACCAATCATTCTCCGTGAGAACATGGGCTTTAACATCAGCGAAGCGCAGTATCTGTCGGCACCTCCATATGGACTGGCATGTATTGTGATGTATACAATGGCCTGGGTAGGCGACAGATACCGAATTCGAGGACCCTTGCTCTTTGTGAACTGTCTATTTGGTCTCATCGGCGCACCACTATTGGTGAGTTTCAATCCCTCATCCCCTCCTTGAAAATTGACCAGAGGCATTGATATCGTCTTCTTCTTTCTACTTTACACAGGGCTGGGCCACTCAACCAGGCGTACGATACTTTGGAACATTCCTCATCTGCGCGAGTGCACAAGGCGGAATTCCCACCTGTATGGCATACCAAGCCACCAATGTACGAGGGCATTGGAAACGGGCATTTTCCTCGGCGACGTTGATCGGCGCCGGGGGAGTCGGTGGGGTGGCTGGTTCTTTGATCTTTCGATCAGTGGACCGTCCTCATTACCGGCCTGGCGTCTATGGTTGTATTGCATGCAATGTCCTGGTGGTTATTCTCGTCGTGGTCAACAGCATCTATTTCCGTCATGAGAATAAAAAGGCTGATCGTGGTGAGAAGATCCTTGAGGGGGATCCGAATTTCAGATATACTATCTGATTTAATAACGATGACGGCGATCGCGGGCGCGGACGCGGACGCGGAACAGGGTTGCGTCGACGTGGGTATGGGTATGAGTATGTCTGGGACACATGAGTCTCTTTTTTATTCTCATAGTAGAGTGTATGCATTTTACACTATGAAATTGCCCACCGTTATTAGATTACATACATATACACCCCAACCGGCTATTACAATAACGCACTCTTGTCCACTCTAGTCGTCATCTGTCTGCTCCTGAGGCCCAAACCGCATCAACCGACTCTCTCGGTTTGATTCTAAGCCTGAGCACAAGTCTCTCGTCGGCCCAATGGTCATTTCTCTTCCCACATCAAGACTCCGCACGTCACAGGTCCATCCGGTCTTTTTGAGCCATTGGCCTTGCTCACCTTCCCACAGGTGAGTTCTCACTTGATCAGCTGATATCCGCTTGACTTTGAGCTGCTTGACGCTGATACCTTGATCATCCTTGACCTCGTCATGAGCACTAATCCAACATCTCGCCATCAGCGCGCGTGCAATGAGGGCTCCGCCCGGTAATCCGGTCATGATGTTGCCACCCAGGTACCAGGGATTTTGGGCAAAGTCAAAGGAGTGCAACAGAATGGTCAAGGGAAGTGCTCCAGGTAGATGAACGAGGTGGTGTTGGATATAAGGCTGCAGATCAGAGAGGCCAACACCATGAGGAGAGTAGATAACGGAAATGGCTTTGGGGCGACCTGGGGTGATAGGTGAGGCAGGACCTTGGGGGAGGCTCAGGTTTGGACAAGACGAGACACTCGAGAGAGACTTCTGGTGTGATGTGGCGACTGAGGTGCGAGGGTTTGAGGTGCGAGTAGACGAAGTCGGTGAGAAGGCTGTGCTTAAGGCAGAGAAGCCGAGACTGGTGAGGGAGTCACGTGGACTAGGGGAAGTTGGAGGTGTGGGCAAGGCGTGGAAGGAAGAGGGTGGTAGGTCGAGTTCGAAATGAAAGGGAGCATCGATAGTCAAGTGGGGGTCTGGAATAGTGACTTCCTGAGAGATGACATTGTCAGGCAACAAATCACTCTTGGGCTCGAGAGGAACAACTGTCTGATGGTGGGAAGGGAGAAGTTCGGACGATGCAGTGTTGGAAGATTGAGATAGCTGTGGTCGGCGAATCTTGGAGGCTTGACTCGAGCGAGAAGGTCGTCGTGACAAGGATTTCCGATCGGAGTTTCGGGGTTGATCAAAAGACATGGGCCGGACCTCGATGGGTGGAGAGATTAGAGGGGAGGGACTTGATGGTGGCAGTGTGATGGGGCTTAGAGGCATGTGGAAATATCTTGTGGTCCTCTTCCGGGGTAGATCGACGGTAGCGATGGAGGCTATCGATTTTGTATGGGTGGGAGGTTGATATGTCAGTCCAAATGCATTGTGCATGCCAGTGACATAGTTTTTGGCTGGTATGAACGATATACAAAGCTCTCCGGGAGATCCATCGAGGGTGACAGGAGGTATGGACAGACGCAACTGGCGTCCAAACCTAGACTTGGGATCGTATTTGGATAGTGCATGGATACGATTTGGGTCAAAGTGGTTCCAGCCTCTGATGGTGCGGGCAGCCGAGGGTTCAGCGGCAATAATGGTCTTTCCCTCTGGGCGCAGCTGGGTCAATGTCTCCTTGTGACAATGGTCAGGCTTATTTTGAGATATGATAACAACGTCTGGCTCATCAATATGAGAGAGGTGTGTGATGGCAGTGGGGGTCTTGAGTTGGGTTTTGGCAAACCATCGTGCGGTGACTATGGAGGGACCAGACAGCCACGGATCGATGAGAACTGTGAAGGGTGTTGGATGTCTGGCTAGGCCTTGAGATGAGGTTGCGTCGGGGACAAATGTCAGGAGGAAAGTGCTGTCACCATTCAGATGGCGGACGGTAACAGACATAGAAGTGTGGTGGACGCTATGGCTTCACGTATGTGCAGCAGTCAGAAATAGGACGACTTTGGGGTGTGAGTGTCAGAGAGGAGATAAGTGGTGAGGGTAGAGAGAAGAATTAGAGGAGATTCAAAGGCAAACGCGAAGGTGGTGGTGTACTCCGTATGTACCAGTGTCTGCGGTGATGTGATGTTAGTGTACTCCGTGATAAAGTCAAGTCAAGTCGGGATTCATGATTGATGCCATGGCGAGCGTTGGCGGACTGGCGGACTGGCAGTCTGGCGGCCAGGGCAGCCTAAAATGACAGACAATGTGGAGGAAGCATCTGCTGGGCATTTCAACACTGAACCAGATGCATTGTTGGCGGGGAATCAGTTCGTTGAACCAAGCAGAAAACTGATGAGTTAAAGAATAGCCGAGATTGATGATGTCTGGATTCGTTGTCAAGCAGCAGAAATGGTTAATGTTGCCTTGGACGCAGGGGCTGACCAGGATGGTCTCGAGCCTATGTGGAGGCATCTCTGGCGACCTGGAAGCCTAAAGACCTCTTAGGATGCTTTGGAAGGTGCCTGACGTTGTATGGAGTACGGAGTACGTAGCCTTTGCGGGTGGCTGTTATCTCAGGGGGACTAATGCACTTGGTGTGGAGATGGCGTCCGTCTGGGTCTCTTTAGGCTGGAGGTTTAGGCTGGAGCTTCCCCGTTTGGTGACATTGGCTTCCAAATTCTATCGCGGTTTCCAAAAAATCGATAATCTGGCATGACTCGTGCGCAGAGCCAAAGGAGAAAGGACAGACTCAGAAATGGGAGCACGTGCTGGTCACCTGATCTCCACTGAAGGAGATATACATATATGGACATATTTACTTCCCCTAGCCTGTCCATCATCTACAGCTTGTTGGGAAACAGCGGCGCGTTCCTCCCACCCCGGAACAAACTCAGCATCTCAGGTCCCATCCATTGATCTCGCGTCTTTGCAATTCCCAATTCCAAGTCTGCCACTCGTCCAGCTTGCACCAAATATCCTTTACCATTGGCCTCAATTCCCTGGCTGAATAGGGACACCACCGAATCTGCAATCTCTGCCGGATCGTTGATGGGCACACCCATTGCTCGGAATCTTTTGGCCCAATCCGAAAGTGATTCTCCCTCTTTGCGACCGGACAAGATGGGTGTCAACGTGATACCCGGTGCCACCACCGAAATGGCAATACCCAGCTTAGCCGTGTCGTTCTTGAGTGCCCTCATCAGACCAACAATTCCTGCAAATTGTGTCAGTCAACCGCCACAGGTACATCTTCATTGTCGAGATCGTGGAGCCTGAAGGCCTGGACCAACTTACCATGTTTGGCGCCACTGTATTGTGGGGCACCAGCACTGGCAAGATAGCCCGCTAGACTGGCCGTCATGACAATACTGCCTCCCTTCTTCTTGTCGGCCCCTTTGTTTTTCATGTAGTAGATGGCCAACCGAACTGTGTCATTGGCCGCGTCGAGATCAATGGCATAGACCCTATGGTCGGGCTGCTTGAGCAGTCCATCGGCATCTAGCTCATCCTTGAAGAATTGGTCCTTGTATTCAGCAATCCCTGCATTGACAAACACGCCATCGATGGACCCAAACTTCTTGACCGCTGCTTCAAATGCCGCTCGCTGCGATTTCCAATTGGTAATGTCGGCCTGTTGATAAAGGAACCGTGGTGAGTCTGTCAACGTCTTGGGAGCTGATGAGCTGGGTTGGTCCCGGTCTACAACAACCACATTATTGCCGAGGTCGTGGAGTAACAATGCCGTCTGCAGGCCGATGCCAGAACTGCCTCCGGTGATGAGGTAGGTGCTGTCTTTGAGTCCAGTCAACGTGTCCCGTGAGACGGTGAATGCCTGGTTAGCCATGGCGATGTACAAACAAATGGCAACGGTGACCGCCTTGACCAGAATCTAAAGAGGGCAGCTACGGTGTGTGGTCCTACAAGGTCGCGACTGCCCCGGGTGGGTTGATTCATATACTCTAAATATGAGCAGCCGTGGCAGGGACTCAGGACGCCGTACTAAGTGTATTTCTTCCCCGCACTCGAGTTCTGCTTAACCGCTGCCGAGTTCCTGTCTCCCTCCCTCCCTCCCTCCCTCACTCCCTCCCTCCTTATCCTCCTAGAATGCCTAGGTAAACTCCTACAGGAAACCTTTCTTTGCTGACTCTAACAAGGCTCGGATAATCTAGGCACCTAAATGAGAAGTTGCCCGTGGATCGGAATATTTGCCAATTTACAGTGGTAGTAGGAAGCAGCCACGAACCCGAGGACCGTTCTTTCCCTTTTTTCAAACTCCTCGGCTCATGGCCTGTTGCAGCCAATCAAACTTGGGCAAGCCACGACCCTTCCGGGTTTTTTCCGTGGAAGCAGTTGCAAAGTCGTGACTCGTGCGCGACTGCCTGTTTACTGCACAAAGGTCCTTGGTGAGGCAGGTACCTATCCGACGCTAGGGCAGCTCCTCCAGGTACCGCATCACCTACCGTATGTGCCCGAGTACCTGGACTTGCTGCACACAGATGAAGCGGTTACACCTGCCATGTCCGTAATATTATGTCAGCCCATTCCTTGCCTGTCTCCCACACCCTCAGACCCTCCATGTTAATTCCAACCTCCACCCCGGATTTTCCCTCCATCATCGGTCCCAACTAGCTCGCCCGAGCTGACCATGTCACTCTCCACACCTCGAACCGCATCATTCTATATTGGCCCAGGGAATCATGACTCCTTCCCCTCCTTCTGAGGTCCCGCACCCTCAACCACGGAAGCGTCGGAAGATTGCACTCGCCTGCGATCAGTGCAGGTTGCGCAAGTCCAGATGTGATGGTGTCAAACCAGTCTGTGGCGAGTGCTCCCACCGCCGCCAACAGCGAAACCCTTGCCGCTACAATCTCGAACACCAGAAGGATCCCGAGCGTGATAAATACGTCGACACCCTTCTAGCACGTATTCAGCATCTAGAAGAAGAGGCCGCCCTCTTGAAGGCGAATGCCCGCCATCCATTGGCCTCTGAGCCTGATCAAACCAATCGTGGCATTTCAGAAGCCAAGACCTCGACCCAATTCTTTACCGCCGCTCACGATGACGACCCTGCATTGTTATCGGTCGACGCCATGGGCGCCAATTCCATCATGAGTCAAGATGGTCTCGACGATACCCGCTATTACGGAAGCTCGTCCGCCGTGGCCTTGATGCAACATGTTTACAGCACCATTAATGATGGTCTTCTCACCACTCCAACCCCCGACGGCAGTCAAGCCCACTCCAAGCCTTCTCCCAGCAAGCCAAAATTGATGTCCTCCCAAGACCTCCAGGCCGCGAAGTTGGTTTCCCGGTCCGTCATGGACAAGACCCTCAATTGTTACTGGGAGAAAATCTACCACCTGTACCCCTTTCTCCACAAGCCCTCCTTCATGGCAGCATACCTCAAGCTCTGGGAACCCGACCCCTCAGAGGGTGCAAACCACGTGTCGAGCCGGGGTTTGGGCGGATCTTCCACTTACGGCCACCGAAGCGCTGTCTTTCACTGTGCCCTCAACCTTATGTTGGCCCTCGCCACCCAGTTTATGGATCTGCCCTTGGACATTCGCCAGAGCCTCGAACGTGTCTTTGCCGACAAGGCCAAGTCCCTATGCCAGGTCGACCTCTTTGACGATGGCTCCCTCGCCGTCATCCAGACTTTGCTATTGATGACCCAATTCTTGCAGTCAACTCCGCACCCCAACCGCTGTTGGAATTGTCTCGGCATAGCCTGCCGAATGGCGCAAGCCTTGGGTCTGTACATCGAGAATCCCCGGACCACAGACACTTTGAGTCTGTTGGATGTTGAGCTGCGCCGTCGAGCATGGCATAGCTGCGTCATGCTAGACGCTGTTGTCGGCATGACTCTGGGAAGACCCCTGATCCTCCACAGATACCGCTCTTTGCCCCTGCCTCACCTACTAAGCGATGAACAACTCTACTGTCAAAACGTCCCTGTCGACCCACCCGGTCCAATCTTCATCCACTTTTTCATCCAGAGTCTGCAGCTCTACCAGATCTTGGCTGATATCCTTGCACGGCTGTACGAAGGCGACCCAGCAGCCACCCACGAGTCGGGTAACACGGCCAGACCCGATACCTTTGCGCATTTGGATTTTGTCTTAGAGTACGATGACAAGATCACCGCCTTTGAGTCTCAAATCCCCCCTCACCTCTACTGGAAGGACCGACAGTCTCTTCCTCCCAAAGTCCTCGCAGTAAACATGTTTGAGCAACAATCTTCCGTGCTACTCGTTCGCTATCTCCATCTGCGCGTTCTTCTCTACCGCCCTGTCTTCACCAACTTCTGCCAACATGTACGACGGCATAACGTCTTCGCCGCCCGTTCGGAACAACCCCTCCCCAGGGCTTCCGATATTTCGCTCAAAGTTTCACTACCGCTGGCTATCGCTTGCGTTGAGAGTTCGATCTTGTTGATTGAACAAGTTCATCTTCGTGCCACGTCGTCCGCAACGGGTGCTTGGTGGTACAACTTGTTTTATGCTCGGACTGCCGGTATGGTGATCTTGCTGTCCATGGTCTGCGAACCAGTCGTCACATCCATCACACTTGCTCGACTGCAACAAGCTTGGTCGACTTGCCAGACAGCCTTGGCTTCTATGCAGAAGTTCAGTGGTGCTGTGGGCCGATGCCTCCAAGGTCTAGAAAACCTCCACGAGCACATTCTCGCCTTCTTAGAGCGAGACGAACTTCGCAGTAAAGACACTGATCTCTCAACGACGATCCCTTCTGGTGCTGTCGGCCCATCTGACCAATCCCAGAGTGGGCCATGGGATACCGCTTTCATCCCCTTACCAACTGACATCTTTGGCGACCCTGACGACTTTGATTGGCCTGGACCTGAGGTTTCGTTTCTAGACGATGTTTTTGCCTTTCCAGAGCTCCATGTGTCTTGAGCTACATTCTGACTACTTGTCATAGTGTCCGCTACGAGCTTCGCCCTGTCGTCCAGGCACTGATGGTCCTCGACATAAATGTACCATCGTGTCTTTTGTCCGCCATGTACATGTAGATCCCTCTTCAAGTGAGTGAGGAATGATAGCCCTCACGAACAAGGAGAGATAACAGGCACTATGCCTATCGAGGCACGTAGCAGGAGAAGAATACTACTTCACAAATGATCTTGTCTCAGTGGCTCAGACCTTTCTACTTCGCAGCGGATAAATCACACTTACCACCTTAAGCACTTAAAGCCTCCTTCTATAGTTGAACGCTTCCTCCACTAGGAATTAGGGCGTCCCCCCATCGTCATATTTATTCAGGAGATGCTGCTATATAAGTCTTGCCTGCGTCTGGCTTAATTTTTTGCAGCACACCAGCAATTGGCGGGTTTGTGGTGGTAGCGCAAATGCTCTGGGCATACGGCGTTTGTATGAAGACCACCTAATCTTTGAAGCCACGCCTGGCAGATTGGCGAAGAGGCTACTGTCAGCTTGTACTACTTCCTTAATGGTCATAGATTGTATGATGCCAGTTATGCCTTGATGCAGGTCACCACTTTCAGGCTTTGTGTCGGCGACACTACGACCTGGAGAGTAGTCCCCTCGTCCCTCAGGTAGCTTTGTCTTTCAAAGCTATTAACGTTACCCAGTCCCCTAACGGCGTACATCATAGGCCGAGGAACTGAAATAATGAATGATCAACCGCAGTCGAGCACTTGACGAATTTTTAATGAAGTCGTACAGTTGTGAGAAGTTCGAGACATTCTCAACCTCTCGCCGCATTGCTACACTCAAACGATCAGATTCGATATTTTGTCATTCCTTAAAGTAACATGAAGTACTATCTGGCAGAAAGACAAGCAAATCCACGCGTACAAGCAAGATCTTGGATGAAGTAAGCCCTTCAAGAAGGTCGTGATCCCACTCTTGAACGCTTGCCAAGAATGCTTATTGGCCTTAGCATCGATGGTGTCATTATCAACCTCCATGGTTTGATCCGATAAGTTAACGACCTGCCCACATGGGAGAAAGAACCAGGGGAGACTATTGCGATGCTAGGTCCTGATCGTCAAACAAACAGGCAATTTGATCCCAAAATCCTCGACTTTGCGATCACGCAATTGACAACGACTATGAGTACATCCTCCCCAATTAAATCCTCTCCGTTCATCCCACCGTATCACCAGATCTAGACCAATCTTGTGTCCTCTTTGACATGCAAAGATATCTCTACGCCAGATTTGCCAGTATCATATTGGCTCGGCATTCACACAGGTGCCCCCATCGTCGGCGCCGACCTTTCTGGGACCGATGCCACGACGTTGTTGGATGGCAGATATTTCAGCCACTGATTGCGTGCTGAGAAGAAAGAAGGTGGAAAACCCCCTAGGCAACTTGCATTGAAAAAAATGTCATGCATTGTGTCAAACCGATTGGTTTAAATGGCCTATTCTCGTCCTCTTCTTTATCATGTCTTCTCAACCTTCCTCAAGTCGATAGTGATATCTTCTCAATTCTTAATCCGTAAAAATGAGTGACAAGGCAGGAGTCGTTGAGGCATTCCCTCAATCAATAGAGTCCGTTGCAAGGGAGTTTCCAAAGCCTCGTCCATGGTGGAAGCTTGGGGGGAAAGACTGCAGCTATGTTTCTGTCAATGCAGGATATGATCTACCTTCCGAAACAGCTTCTGTTGACAAATCGGACGATGAATCACTGGTCAAGAATGTTGACAATGTTTGGGACGCTCCTGAGGCCACCGAGATTTACAAGCCGGTTGAAAAATTTGAGGGAGCTCATCGCTTCGATCCTTCTGCCACATGGACAAAGGCAGAAGAAAAAGCTCTGGTTCGAAAGGTACGGCAAATACTATTCCTTTCACTGATATGGACCTGACATGACTACAGCTAAACTGGTACATTGCTGTCCCAGCATGTATCATGTTCTTCGCCCTTCAGCTTGACCGGGGCAACATCACACAGGCTTTGTCGGACAACATGCTCGGTGAGTAATGGATGAACCTTACATCAGATCGGACACGTATTGACCCTTTTCTCAGTTGACCTTGGTCTTAACACCAACGACTACAACAATGGACAGACGATCTTTTATTGTTCATTTCTCTTTGCTGAGCTTCCTTCGCAGCTCATTAGTAAGAAGTTAGGGCCTGACAATTGGATTCCCATTCAGATGGTATCATGGTCTATTGTTGCCGCATCCCAAGCTGCCTTGAGAGGAAGGACTGGTTTCTTTATTTGCCGTGCCCTTCTCGGCCTTATCGAGGGCGGCTTCATTCCTGACACCATCCTTTATCTCAGCTATTTCTTCAAAAACTCCGAACTTCCCAGACGCTTGAGTTGGTTTTGGACATCATACCAATCAACCCAAATCGTTGGTGCGTTTCTGGCATATGGCATTCTGCACTTAAGAGGTAGCAGTGGCTTGGAAGGCCAAGGTTGGAGATACTTGTTCCTTATCGAGGGTGCTCTGACTGGCGTCATCGGCATTTTCACCTGGCTCTATCTTCCACCCTCGCCAACACAAACCAAACGTCATGGTATCAAAGGATTGCTTCGGCCCAAGGAAGGCTGGTTCACCGAGCGTGAGGAGGTCATCATGGTAACCAGAATTCTTCGTGATGACCCAGGCAAGTCAACCATGCACAACCGTCAAGGTCTCAGCTTTAAGTTATTCTGGGATTCGTTGAAAGACTATCATCTCTGGCCACTTTATCTAATTGGTCTATCATGGACAATCCCCAGTACACCACCTCAGGCATACATCACCCTTACTTGCAAAGCGCTGGGCTTTGACACATTTGAGACCAACCTTCTGACCATTCCGGCATATACGCTTTTCATAATACAGCTGCTCTTCTGGACTTGGGTTTCGGAGAAGATCAATCAACGGCTGTTGCTCGGCGTCATAGGTCAGATCTGGTGTTTACCGTTGTTGATTTCTCTTGTCGTTCTCCCTGCACAATTCCACAATTCCAACTGGGTCAAGTGGGTGTTGTCAACATTACTGGTGGGATATCCCTACATACACGCTATCCTTGTCGCACTCACATCTCGCAATTCTGGGACAGTTCGCACGAGAACGGTCGGGTCCTCGTTGTACAACATGTCGGTACAAATGTCCAACATCATTTCATCACAGATCTATCGCGCAGACGACAAACCATACTACTACCGCGGCAATAAGGTCCTGCTAGGCATACTTGCATGGAACATTGTGGTCTTTATCGGCGCCAAGGCCTACTACGTCCGAACCAACAACAAGAGAGATGCGATCTGGAACGCAATGACGCGCGAGGAGCGGATCAACTACCTAGCCACCACCAAGGACAAGGGTAATAAACGGCTCGACTTCCGTTTTGCCCATTGAACCACTGGGATGCGACGGGACCCATCGTTCTTCCCTAACAGAGTCCGCGGATTCAACAAGAAAGCCATGGATGCTGTAGAGGTGAATACAGCATACTCAGCTGCGAATCTTGCCCTCACCCAAATCCAAATCCATTTTCGGGCACGAGCAATCTTGCTATTCAATCCGAGTCGTGACTAAGCCGCTCTACGCTATGGCTGTACATACCTGAGTAGTGCCCTCAGCAGGCTGTGTACAGGCATCAGCGCATTCTATGGATCAAGAAGGTGACCTGTGGTGACGAGTGACCTGCATAGAAACACTCGTTACTTATAGGAGTCAGCTCCTTCCGAGCTTCGGGTACGCCTTCGTAGTCAACTTTAGTCTTGAATGCAGAGATATTATTTGTATTCCTCTTGATCATTACTCGTTTTACTTGCACACAGCACCCTGTCCCACTTATCAGTAAATACTGACAAGTATCGTGAGCCGACCGGATCAGGATCTTGACATGTGGGCCACGTGTCCCGAATACCGCAGTGCGTCTAATTTTGACAGCCGTCGCACACCTACAGACAGAGTCGTCCGCTCCTGCCTACGATTTTGGCGAGAATGTCTTTGTCAACACTTATGCGGCTGAAATACTAATGGAGTACTAGTAATCATAACTAATATGGACTCAGAATTAGGCCGAGGGCCATCCCCAGCATTTCAACACGCAATAGCGGATAGTCGAAACGCCGACTAGCGGGTTCTCCTAATCACCAAATGGTATTTATCCTGGCTGAGATGGATCTGCGATTCCTGTAATCGCCCGAAGACCCTCCCCCTCCCCCTAGGCTTGTTCGTTGTGGATATGTCCTGATTCCTTTTCAGTTCCTTGCGCACTCGGCTTGGTTGTCTCACCACCTCCATTTGTTGATCCAAACCCATCGATATCGTTGATTTCGTCATCCGTGATATGAATATCTCGCATATATCCAGCAACCTCCTCATGGTCCCCAAAGATAGCTGCCACCTCTTCCAAAGGTAGCCCGAGAGTATCCGGGAAATAGAACCACATAATGACTGAACCAATCGTCCCTGGAATGATAAAGCAGAGGTAAAAATACCACCCAATATTCTCAAAGGCGCTCGGAGCTGACTGTAGCCAAATAATATTCATTAATGAGATCATGGCCACGCCTAAGCTCACACCCTTTGCGCGAAGAGGCATAGGCCAAATCTCGCTGACGTAGATGAACTGCATGCCATTTAGAAAGAAATCGTAAGGCACCTCAATAAGAAAGAGGAATGCGACGCCAGCTCTTAACGCATTCATGTTGCCGTCGGCGATAAATGTCTGGACATTAGCATTAATACCGGCAACTACGGCGAGGACGATCATGCATCCGAGTACACCGATAGCTAGGAACTTGTTACGTGGGAAATGATCGTTGAGAAGAGAAGCAACCACTAGATTGAGTGGTTAGAATTAGAACTCGAGGAGATAGATTAGGATAGAATAATGTTCATGATAACTTACTGTTAAGCCCAAGCGCAAAAGTCAGCCAGGCGGCGCCGTACAAGAGTTGGGTAGCATTATCAAAACCAAGATTCCGATAGAGCAATGGGCCTTGAGTAGGGTCATGTTAGTCAGGGCTCATTTTCATCTAGAATTCCTTACCGTAGTTGTTAACGACGAGGATACCAGAGCATTGAATG